TCAGTAAATCACTTTCTGTATCATTGCAATGTTTTAATTTTGGATGGCCTTTTCGATACAAGAAACTGCACATTTCTGTTCAGGAAATAAAATTCTCCCAATCAAAACAACATCTTCCTCTGTCATTCACAACTATGTGCAGTCTGAAACGAAAGGTTGACGTTTCTTTTCTTCCCCAACGCCTATCACTAGAGTTTTAGCATGACATGCCCCTTCTTATTTTTCCCAATAAACAATAATCAGTTTTTTAGCACAATAGTATTTTGCTAAATTTTAGTCTGAAAGATGCTTTTTCCCAACTCCTACTGCCCTATATCCCAAATGCATCGACAAGGGCACACAAGGACCAACGACCAGAATGAAAGCATGATAAATGACAACCACAGGGGAAAAGATAATCCGGATAAAAGTAAAACCCCTAGTAAATCAAATTCTACAACATCCGTCGTGAAATCAACTCTGATAAAATTTCATTTTATCCGCATAAAGAAGTGTAATGGTCTAAGAACTCTGTGTATTACTTTTGCAGCAAAGTTCTGAATTTTTTGTACTTTCTGTAAGTTGTTGCTGGTAGCACTGGCAGATACAATGTCACAGTAGTTTTTTTCGAGATAACTGTTGCGCTTACAACATTCTTAAATGTTTCTTTGCCCATGGATCCTCTTACTTTTGAGAGTTGAATGAGTCACCCTGCAAAATTTTTTTGTTTGTTGAAATATGGAGGTGTTATTGAGTCCAGATCTCCTTCCTCACGTCATTTTGAAGGCTTTGTTTGCTATTTAAAAATTCTCAACAAGCAGTGAAGTTGCCAGCAAATTTGCAGCCAAGGCAGCCAATTACAGACGCCTTCGGGACCGGCACGTTATAATTACGATTGAATATGAATGGTACCATGAATGGGAGACAAGACTCGCACTATTCATGAAAACCGAAGAAATAAGCTGTCACTCTTTCACGTTTCATAAACAATTTGTTGTATAGTTGTGGAGGCCTGTCGGGATGGGTGGCGTGGGGGCGTGGGGGGCGTCACACCCCCCCTGGCAAAAGTATTGTCGACAAATCTTGTCTTCCGTCGGCAAATCTGGTCTACCGTCGGCAAATCTGGTATACCGTCGGCAAATCTGGTATACCGTCGGCAAATCTGGTCTACCGTCGGAAAATCCTGGGCAAAGCAAATATTTGAATTGATTGCAAGGGATTACTCAAAGAAATATTCTGAAATGCATTTTAAGACAATCTAAAAGGCGAGGTCGCAAAAATTTCTTTGGTGGCCTATTTTATTTATTTATTTATATAATCTTATTTAAACACAATACCCAATCAGCTATTTAACAAATGAACTATAAAATAACTAAAGTTGCTCTTCCAAGGGTTCGTGTTTGCGTCGCTCTACCTCAAAAACTCCTTTAATCTTACTTTAAAGGAGCTCAATGAGGCGGCATATCGTATTTGTTTTGGGATCTCGTCCCAGGTACTTGCTCCCTGGTATCCATAAGACTTTTTGCTGTTTCAAGACGAAGCCGAGGAATTTCGAAATCATCAATTTTTCATGTGTTATGTTTCGAAATATTCGACCTAGGAGTGAATTTACTTTTGAGGCTCTCTGGGCAGAGTCCATTGTTTACTTTGTATGTAGTAATCAGCCTGTCATCTTCTATTAAATTTGGTACATTGAGCCAATCACATACCCAGCCATCTTTGTGCTTTGCACATTCAATTAGTCTGCGTGTCCTGTTTTGCAATCTCTGTAGGGATGTCATTTTAGAGTTTGACAGACTTCCCCAAATGACGCTGCAATATCTCACATGGCTTTCAATTAATGCTCGACAAACAGTTGTCAGTTGTTTCTGGGAAATGATGTTTTTGAAATAAAATATCGCCCCAAACCGTTTTTTATCTTTTGCTTTACGGTTTTGAGTTGCTCTTCCCAATTCATGCTTTCGTCAATTATGACATCTAGATATTTTGGTTTTTTTAACTCTGAATAATTTTTCATCTTCTATCTCTAGGTCAGGGAAGTCTTTGGCTCTTTCCATTTGTTTTGGGTGCCCTATCAACATAAATTCATTTAGGCTAAGTTTGTTTTGCCTCACCCAGGATGATACAAGGTCAAGTTCGCCCTTTATGACGTTAAAGATCTCATTGGTCTCTGTGGAGGCATAAGAAATGTTTGTGTCGTCTGCGTGCATGTTTGGTTTGGATTCTTTCAGATATTTTTCAAAATCATTCATATAAATGATGAAAAGTAAGGAACCAAAACAGGACCCCTGTGGTATTCCGCACTGAACTAAACGCTTGTTTGACGATTTACCATCTACATAACAATACTACTCTCTTTCGGTAAGGTATGAAGTGAACCAACAGTGTGCAAAATCAGTGACTCCGTAGGCTAATAACTTCATTAACAGAACATCATGGTCGACAGTATCAAATGCTTTTTTAGATCTAAAAATACGCTTAAATTCTTTTTTTGCTCGTTGATGTTTCTGAACCAAATCTCTGTCATGTTCAGTGTCGATGTTTGCGTGTTATGTAGTTTAAGGAAGGCGAATTGGTTGTCTGAAAGAAGACCCAAATCTTTCATATGAGAAAGAAGTTGATCATGGGCCACCTTTTCAAGCAACTTTGACAGTATCGAAACGACATAGGCCTCGTTTTTCAGTTTTCCTGCAAGGCCTCCAAAGCCTCTCGGCAGTCCTGTCAGTAAGATCAACGTGCGGAACTATTTGAAATAATGAGGATATCTCATTGCTCAAAACTTGACTTCTAGGATAAAATCAAAGAAAGTACCCTCAGTTACTTGAAAATCGAAGCAATGATTGACTAACGAGAACACACTCTTTGATAAACAAACTCAATTTCGTCAAAATGCCACACCCAGAAATTGATTTATCTTAGACCACGCCCTACTTTGTCAGCAAATTGGTGACTGGCACCCCCCCCCCCCCAAGTGAAAGTGCTTGGCGACGGCCCTGGTGAATAGTCATTCAGTCAATTCGCACAGTCGCCTAGGCTAGTAAAAAGAATAATAAATGGGGTATTATCTTTTTTATGCTGTTTCTATTCAGTATCTATGCGCTTATACAATGGCTTGAAATTGTGAGGTGAGACCGTTTCATCAAGTTGTGAGGTAGTTTGGCTATTCAAAGATGTAATCTGCAGCAAAATAAAATACATCTAATTTCTTTTGCTATAGCGACGTCGCTAAAGGCATTATCTAGAATGAAAATAGTATGGAATGATGTTTAGCAAGCCTGGGCTCAGACGCAGGTTGGAAAGTAGGGGGAGGGGGGCAAGAGAAAATTTAACAATCATAGCAAAAGATTTTGAAAAAAGGCTCTATTGTTTTGCAAAAAGTGAAGGGGCCATGCCCCCCGGTCCCCCCCCCTTCGTCGGAGGCCCTGAAAAGGATTACCCTATAGAAAAGTTTCATATGAAGAACTCTTTTCACAAGTAGAAGCTTCTCAATGATAAATAATTGGACGTGCTTTGATTGCACTATCATCCGGTATATTTTGTTTTGCCAGAAAGTGCCACAAACTAAGCCCGTGGCCATGCATCCGATCTCAGTAATTAACAAAATTGTGAACTGCGTTTATCTGCTATTGATATTTTCTAAAGCGGTCAGCTCTTTCCAGGCAATTTAAACGGATATACCAGTCATCCGGAGGATGCATCTAATTGCAAAAAACAACGGTTTCTTGTGAAAATGCTGGTTTTTCTTGCATTTGGATAAGTAATAAGATTTCGCTAACATTGATAGAATCAATACAAAGGCAGGTACTTCTATGGTTTTTGATGTAAAACTAATCAAATCAAATTTTAAGCAATTAATAGCACGAATTTTGAATTCCTGTTTGGACAGTGTTTACCACGAAGGCTTACGACAGCATTTGTTTGACAAGACATTAGTTATCTGCTAATCTCGACAGTTTTGGAAAAACAAGGTGCTTAGGCCCTGGGTGCACTAAACAAAATATCAGGGAAAACTTTTGACAAACGTAATCCATATTGCTCATAGACAAAAGGGATTAGGCTTGTTAGTAAACAAATGCTGATTTTCCAGTGCGCCAACTAAAATTGCCACTGAACCAAATTCACCAATCCCTCAAATGTTCCGTCGTCCTGCTCCAGAGCAGGTTCTGGAAAACGGAAATGATTAGCAATTAATGTCGGTTTACCACTTTGACAAAGAAAATGAGTTTTATGTCAGAAACCAGTGTTCCCAGCGCCTTATATTCCTTAATTTTCTTCCAGAAACTCCATAAACATGTTCCTTTCGTTGGCCGCATTTCCTTCACTCCTTCCTACCTTCTCGTGATATAGTTATATTCAAGTCCGTTTCCATGCATAGGAAGGAGCAAGATAATTTTAGTTTTGCTCTATCTTTGTCCCCTTTATTTACAATCTTTAAAGGCATCGAGTCATGATACAGGAGTGGGTATACCCAAACGTACCAAAATCCGCTGAGTCATGAATCTGAAATGTTATGTTATGTTATGTTATGTTATGTTATGTTATGTTATGTTATGTTATGTTATGTTATGTTATGTTATGTTATGTTATGTTATGTTATGTTATGTTATGTTATGTTATGTTATGTTATGTTATGTTATGTTATGTTATGTTATGTTATGTTATGTTATGTTATGTTATGTTATGTTATGTTATGTTATGTTATGTTATGTTATGTTATGGTATATGTTATGTTATGTTATGTTATGTTATGTTATGTTATGTTATGTTATGTTATGTTATGTTATGTTATGTTATGTTATGTTATGTTATGTTATGTATGTTATGTTATGTTATGTTATGTTATGTTATGTATGTTATGTTATGTTATGTATGTTATGTTATGTTATGTTATGTTATGTTATGTTATGTTATGTTATGTTATGTTATGTTATGTTATGTTATGTTATGTTATGTTATGTTATGTTATGTTATGTTATGTTATGTTATGCTAGGTTATGTTATGCTTTGCTATGCTATGCTATGCTTTGCTATGCTATGCTATGCTATGCTATGCTATGCTATGCTATGCTATGCTATGCTATGCTATGCTATGCTATGCTATGCTATGTTGTTATGTTGAGTAGGTAGACACCCAAACGGGTAGATCTTGATTGGAAGAAAATCTACAGAAACAGTTCCGTTTTGGTATATTTACAAGCTTAAGGTTCTAAAAAACCCCAATTGCAGCACTGGAGAGTTATCGGCTTATATAAGAAGATTAAAGAAACTTCTTTGGTGAATGAAAAAGCAACGGCAAAACATTTGCATAATACGCCACAAATTAGCTTGAGGTTTGCATCACATTAGCCCCTTCCCACGTCCCAGTATCATTTCACACGGCCCACCAGTGCTGCAGGTCAGTACTTTCAAAAGGCTTCAAAATTATATTTTGACAATACGGTTCCGTAGCCCACAGATGTCACTTCAATGAAACGTCTGAATAGCTATCAAGCTATTAAAATTAATGTCAAATAGTCGATTCTTGTTTTTGTCAGCTTCAATTCAGTGCGGATGGGAGGGCAGGTGACTACCACAACGTATTTTCAAATTGTTGCGGCTTTCAGCGACTTATGGACATGATGAGTGCAGGCATGGATTTTAAGAGCTTGACTCTCGCTTTAATGTGAGTTGCTTTATCTGAACCTATATTTTATTTCAATATTCTATTTCTTCTTTATGATGATGTACAGATACTTCTTGCTTATGGAGTTCGCATGTTAACCAGAACTTTTTAAGTTTACAATATGATAAATTTCTGCGCACTTTCCTAGCGGTTAAGTATGGATCTAAATTCCTAAATAGGCAGAGAATGAGTGTTAACATATTGTTATTTTGTAAAAAATTGAAAGGTTTCTGTACGGCAAAGTAAGCGGAAGTTAAAAACAAATCAGATGAGAAATATAGTATAGCTACCTTTCATTAAAAGAAAAACACTTTTATTCCTAGCAAGTATATTTTTAGAAGCAGAAACAAAGTATTCAATCTACAGTTTAACCTATCCCCAGATATATAATGTTTTAATCCAACAACAAACATACACCTCAGGCACCCCGTATTTGTCTGAGTAAAGGAAACCCAGCAATATGTTATGCGCTTAAAAATCGCATTCAGACAATTCCTTGCTGTTGGCAGTAGATTTAAGTTTGATATAAAACACGGACTGAATCTTTTACAGAATGGCTATATGGTGATTTTCATGCCTGTATCATTAAGGTGCTTTTTCTAGCAGGAAATCATTTAGAGAGTCTGCATACGTTATCCATCTATTAGTCATTGCTTGCCTGAAAGAAGGTTCTCAAGATAAAGGTCCAGAGGTTACTTTCCAGTTTACGTTACACGTGGAATGAGGACGCAAAACATATCTCTTGAATGATCTTATTGCAGAACTACATAACATAAGACTAACATAAATCGTAGTAACACTAAATTTCATAGTCCAAAAACACTTTGCTGTTTTATCACTATCCTCGATATGTTGAAAAAGATCGTAGAGATTTTGAATGCTACAGGCTAAAGCAATACTATACAGAAATACATCGGAGTAATACTAAAGCAATACTACATAGATATTCATTGGAGTAATACTAAAGCAATACTACATAGATATTCATTGGAGTAATACTAAAGCAATACTACATAGATATTCATTGGAGTAATACTACGCAGAAAAAGTTTTTGCCGCTTGCAAATAGCAAGAATAAAGGCTGATTTCTACGAGGCGAATTTCGCAGCTTCGCGGCGAACTCGCTGATGAAGGCATCAAGGCATGCGTAGTTTTGATTTTTGATTTCGCAGTGAATTCGCAAGGAAGTAGAAAAGAGTTCTACTTTTTCTCGGCGAAATATTTCGCAGCACCTAATACCCATTCAAAGCATGGTAAATTTGCTTGATTTGTAAGAAAACTATCTTGGAACATTCGCCATGCGTGCAGTTCTGAAAATGGGCGCCTTAAAGTTGAGTTTTGGCGGAAATTATTATATAATTTCGCAGCGAATTCGCAGTCTCGTGGAAATCAAAGACAATTTCGAAGCGAATTCGCAGCGAATTCATTGAGAAATTCGCCTCGTGGAAATCAGCCTTAAGAAGAAGACTTGCCGATTGTTTTTTGCACTGAGTGACTATGAGGAAGATTTGTAAAGGCTATGGGTGACAACAAAGAAAAAATTGAAGCAGGAATGATAATCAAAATATTTTGATTAAAAAACCAATCAATTAATTTTCAAATAACGAAATGCAAAATAATTTAGAATTATTTTCCGAATGTCTTCGCAAGCAAATAATTCAAGACATTTTAACACTTTTTTCATAACAGCACAAAAATTTTTCATGTTCTTTATTAAAGGCTTGTGACGTCAAGATTTGAAAATTAATCTAGGAATTTACAAAGTATTCAGGGTGCTGAAAGTACATTCCTTGTATTTCATTATCAGTATTTCAGAGCTCCAAGGTTTAGTCCTAGGGCATCCCATATCAAGTATGTTAGTTCGGCAAGATCTATCGATAGGGCCTCTCATATTCGATATCTAATGGCTCCGAGTTCAGTTCTTGGTCTCTCGTCTTCAGTATTAGAGTGATACGAGGACCAGTCCTCGTAGTTTTTTATTGTTGCAGGGTTCATTCCTCTCATTCGATTATAAGGCATTTCATAATACACAATAAGAAAGCTCAAAGCTAATAAGGGCATCTCATTTTCTCTATTTGAGTGTTGTAAGGTTCAGTCCTAGGACCTCCCATATCAAGTACATTAGTACTGCAAGGTTCCTTTCTAGAGGCTCTCATACTTAGGGTTTGAGTGCTGCAAGGTTCAGTCATAAAGCCATTCATTTCTAGTATTAGAATGCTACAAGGTTCATCAATAAAAGCTTTCAAAACTGTGTTTTAGCATTGCAAGGTTCAGTTATAGAGCCTTTCGTACTTGGTATTTGAGTGCTGTGAAATTCATTCCAAGGTCCTTCATTTCATATTTGACTGCTGCAGTGTCCTCTAGCATTCGGTATTTGGTTGGTCGTTATCTGAATTTTTTTTGCCTTGAAAACGCCTAGTAAAGTAGCTATCGCTGATCTTTGTCAAGGAAAAAAATATTGGATTTACTTTACAGTCGAAGGATAAAAGACAAAAGGGGTAATACATTTTCCTTGCTACATATATTCAGGGCATTCGTATGTGCAATGTAAGGCCTTCACTCTTATCAAAGGAAAAGTTAAATCATATTTATAGCATCTTCTATTTTCCAGCACACAATCAATGCTTCAGTTCTGTATATCCAGAAGCGAAGGCTATATTCTTCGACAACAGTGTCAACATACAGCAAACTTCAGCATAGAAAGGTCAAATGAGGTCATGCCAGGGTCCGTTATAGATACAATCATGTTTACTACAATGCAAGAATGCAAAGCACGTTGTATGTTCATTGATGCATGCAAATCGATAAATTACCAAATGATCGGAGACAATATATGCGAACTCAACAACAGGACAACTGAAGATGTTCGCTATAAAGTGGTGCTGGAGAAGAAAATGGACTGGGTGTATGCAACAACAGATTACAATCAAACAAAGGTATGCTTTGAAATTTACGGCCATTTTCAGTGAAGGAAAATTTTTACAGAAACTAAAAAACTTTATAATCAAACATTTATTTTGTTCATGTTCTGTTGATATTTTATGCAAATTGTGCTGTACTAAGCTTTATAGGTTTTAAGGTACCTCAGCCATGCCATTTTCGTAACAAGTGATAAATTGACTCAGCACTTTTCCAGCACAGTACATAAAAAGGGTAAAATTTGACGGCACTTTTGGCCTGGTTTTCTTAAAGTTCGTTGGAGACATGCACCCGCTCTTCTCCTAATGCACACATTTCTTCAAATTGGAAAACAAAAAATTTCACACTCTTGTCATCCTTTGTTTTATCGTGGTTAGCAATCCAGTGTTTAGTTTTCAGCTAATAGTAATTCAGGGAAACTGGCCGGTTTATTTCTAGGTAGGAGACATATGCCGGAAGAGCAACCCATGCGGAGAGAATGTTTTATGCATGGATACTTGTACATGCCCTGGTTACAGATGCTACAACTGTGCACCACACGAAATCGGTATGGATTGTCATCAGCGTAAGTACCGAAGATTCGTCTCAGTTTCGAACTTTCTTTAAGGATTCATCTCACGTGAACATGTGAGCCATATGAAATCGAAAATCCTGCACAGGCAACAAAATTAGAGGAGTTGCGTTGCATGACCAAACCCCGGGGGCGTCGGCAAAAGCACATGCATCGAGCGTCTTACTGCACATGCTCTTGACTGTAAGAAGGGGGGTAGTTAAACGTTAACAGATTTCCACTTGTTTACCTCAACGACGATTTCTGCTACAGGGATGCACCTGAAATAAATTCTGCAGTTCTGAGGCCTGTTATATACAGCACACTGCTGTTTGCCATTAGCCACAATAGGCTTGCTACGCTTGACTTCCCCGAATAATAATTGACCCCACTGTACACATATCAAGGATGTGTTGGCTGGCTGCTTTTCTGCTTACAAACTACTATCAGATAACCGTATATAGGTAATGTTTAATTATCGTTGAATAATCAGACAGTCTTCGAAGGGCGACCGGAATCTTTGTAGTGTACATCTCTTACATCTCTTTCTCAAATATAACGAAGGCATTTTATTACATTCCTATTGTTGCAATCACATTATGTTAATGCAAAAATGTTTAGATACTATTTTGAACAAAAATGAAACCTGCACCAATGGCATCCTTCGAAAACAGGCTGAACACAAATACAGACTGCACCAAAAATTAACAAAAATTTAGCACCCCCCCCCCCAAAAAAAAACAATTGGAACCTTAGGTTTCCAACTGGAAACTTTTTGAGCGGAAACTTACTCGATCAAAATGTGGGTCAGGCAAATAGAAGTTCTATTATCTTTTAATAATAACACATTATGCCTAGCTAATTGCACTGCTAATGGCAAGTTCGTTACTTGTACATTGATTCCACGCATATCGTTTCCTTGCAATATCTCACGTTTCTGGACGCTTTTTGTACAATCTTGCAGCGTGGAAAGACTGCGATGATGTGAAGAGAGATGGACATACAGAGAGCGGCATTTATGTCATCAACCCAACATCCACCTCTAACAACGCATTCTCAGTTTACTGCGACTTTAAGACAGACCAAAATGCTTGGATAGTGTTTCAACGGAGAGTAGACGGCAGAGAGAGTTTTGAACGGGGCTGGAAAGAGTACGAAGAAGGCTTTGGTTCGTTATACGGAAGCTTCTGGCTTGGTCTGCAGAAGTTATTCTATCTAACAAGACGGACTGCGTTACTGCGAATTGAACTTATGAGCTTGACAAGCAGTGAAAAGAAATTTGCAGAGTACGCCACTTTTGCAGTGAATGACAAGAGCGATTATTACAGGTTATCCGTAGGAAGCTTCAGCGAGAAGAGCACAGTTGCGAATAGTTTAACGTACACAGGAACACACAATTTAAATGGGATGAAATTCTCAACATTCGACAGTGACAATGACGGTTTTCCAGACAAAAATTGTGCCTCACTCTTCAAAGGAGGATGGTGGCACAATATGTGCTTCATTGCTAACCTAAATGGGTTGTATGGTAATGTTAGTGCAGGAAACTATGAGTATGCAAAATATATGACTTGGTATGGGATATGCGAATGCTTCGGGGGTATCACGTTTTCAGAGATGAAGATTAGATACGTTTAGGGCTTGCACATGAGGGTAGCTTACTTTCTGGACAGCACACAAGCCAAATCACCAATGCACAAAGACACATTCACCACGACTCGGTGAATTACTTTGAAGAGATATCTGGCAATCAATAATATGTTTTTGGAGTAGCTGTTTTTGAGTAGCTGTTATTAGATCTATAAGCTATAATCCAAATGCGGGACAGACAAAAAGCACCAAAAAACCTTGTAAAAAACTAAAAAGCAGACGCAAAGCGCTGGGTGCTTGCAGAATAACAAAGACTGGAAGTCATAAATATACATTCTTATTTCGAGCGCATATCTTATTCTCTTCCTTTATAATCTCTGATAAAAGGGAAGATGGAATACACAGGGTTTGTGGTAAAACTCTTCAAAAACAAACAAATAGGGTGCTGGAATAAATGAGGGCGTTTGGAAACAGGGTTGTGCGTAGAAAATCTTACAGTTTTCGATACAAAGTAACCTTTTAAATCATCTATGTGTGTCTAAGAGAATGAGAAATGTTCTTTTTCATTAAAACAAGCTCTGGTAATTTCCTCAATCCTCTGCTCAACATTTCTCACATCGTTTAACGCAGACAAGAAACCCTTAAGCCTCAAAATGAGGCAGAACAGAACACTTGTCTCGTTTCTCTGCTAGAAAATGATGATTCGGTAAATATTCATGTAAAACACCTGCGAAATCTAATGATTGAAATGTTTAAAACAAAGGGAAATATCAACCCTCCTTTTATGAGGGAGATTTTCTGCGAGCGTCATGCTGTTTATAATTTGCGAAATAATAATGAATTCATGGTACCAAGGGTAAGAACATTTATGGACCATTTATGGAATCGAAACTATCAAATATAGAGGGCAGCGTCTTTGGCTCTCTTTACCTCAGTACATAAGGAATGCTCAATCTATTAATGAGTTTAAGAAAGAAACTAAAAGCTGAAATGGCACCGACTGTACATGCAAAATATGTAGGATGTTCGTGCCACAGCTTGGTTTTTTGTAAATCTATCGTTTTAAATAGCTCAGATTTTTATAGTACTACCCACTAAATTCTGTTTTTAATGGAATATTATGTACTTAAAATTTTATGTATTTAATCTCGTATGCATTTGATTGATTTAGTAGTTTTAACAGTTGGCTTGGATAAGCTCATTTCACTGTAAATAGCTATGTAGCGCCAACTTTAAATAAATTGACTATTATCATTATTATTTTTATTATTATCATTATTATTATTATTATTATTACAAATCTGTCATATTTGTAAATCTCTCCATCAGCTCTCTTGGCATCTTCGGCGACTCATGCAGCTCATTCCTTGAAATGTGTCACTCTCTTTCCATCGATGATCAACACAAACGATATCTCATTTCTAAGCTTTCTACGATATCCATTCGTACCACCTATTACTTTTTTTGCTGTAGGAACAAAACATGGACTAACCCAGAGCTACTCCCCTTTTAACGTTTTTTTTTCTTTTCTCTTTACTACGATTGTAATAGTCTTATTTTGTAAAAACAGGCTAGCCAGTTACAAATTACCTTGTAATAGTGAGATTTGTAATTGTAGCTTTAACTGGAATTCAAAATGAAAAGTTTCCATTATTATTCTGTCTATGATTTGTGCCGTGGCTTCAAAAACGGGGTATATGTTTATTGCTTCATTATTGCACACAAGAGAGGTTGAACAATTATCATTATACGCTTACGTTTATCATAAGAGGTTGAACAGTCTAGCGCCAGGTAAATGATTATAGATTAAATGATTGTGAAGTCATACAAAAGGTTTTTAGACCTTTTGGCTATTAACCATGTCTGGACGAGCACCATGATACGCATTTGTGCAAAGTCACTTTAATCTGTCACGAATTGTCTGAGATATAAACCAGCAGCAAGAACGTCAAAACATTCATTAAGAGTTTTTGAACAACTTTAGTCGTAGAGTCATCGTAGCATTGCAAGATGTTCATGGCCTAAAAGAGCCTTATATCTGCGTGGCTTATGGGTTGAATCCAAATCATAACAATCAGGATGAAAATTCTGCCGGGTTTTTTTAAAAACAATATTGTAGATGGGTCCGAGCTTATTGTGTTTGAAATAAATTTAATCACATTCACAAAGCATTCTTTGATGGAAATTTCAAATTTCAAGTAAGCGACTGCGAAACTTCTGAACTTTTCTAAAATTAGCTTTGCAATGACACTAGCAGCTTATATTTTAATTTGTATGACTGATATTAGCGAGTTAAAAATCGCAAAGAAAGGTTCGGTAGTAGAATCTTTCTAAGATCCCATGAAAAATGTCTTTTTTGGTTGGCTATGACTAAACTCACGGCAAAAAATCAGGGATCTTTAAGGAGTACCACAAGAACGACGTAGTTTATGGCTGCAATTAAAGTTAAAAAGCAAAAATGAATCTTTCAGTTGTTTCACGTATGGAATAAGGCTTATATCTGTGAAATTTTAATGCTCCAGATCTTCCTGTGGGCCCCCAGAAAGAGAAAAGAAAGGTGTGAGGGACCTTGAGACGATAAGCTATTTGAGACTATAATAGCTTGGGAAAAAAGCCAAAAAACTATACACATCAAATTAAATTTCCATTCCATTGTCCAAGTGAATCTTACAAAAACATTTTTTGAGCATGCTTCCGTATACTTCGAACCATATAAACCTTTTGAAATAGGAATTAAAAAAAACGACGAGAACCATGACATAAAGAGCCTCATAATTTTCATGCATAGTTATCATTTCATCTTCACCCTACCCATCTACTAAATGCTCTTTTATTAACAAAAGCTCTAAGAAAACATTGTGATGTAAATCGATAATGATTTGACCTCTTACTTGACTACTTTTCATAATCAGTCCTCCTCCTCAGTCTCATAAATGCTCTCTCCGCTATCTTCGTCTTTTTCTTCGTCACTCGTGAAATCCCATTGGGCACCGAGCTCCACGGCCCTCGCTTCAGTAACTTCGATCTGTTTAAAGCAATGAGACGCATACCATTGTGAATAGCAAATATTAAGAATGATCCTTTTGGTTCCCCAAGACTTTATTAATAAAAGCACTTATAAAAAAGCTAGACATAAAATATGCATTAACTGACAACAGATTGAAAATTTGGTAGATAACTGAATCTAAAAATTTTTATTTTGTAATGGAAAACTGCACCTATATCTGTATCTATAGGAAACTATATCTAATGGCATATTTTCAAGATGGCTGCAATATTATCATAGCATGCAAAGGAAGCAGTTTCATTAATATGATTCTTAAATTTCCATTGATGCTTTGCTTGCTCCTAGAAAATTTCTTATGCTATGGATCGATATAGTAGTAGAACTTCTCCCATAAGAATCAAGAAGAGACAAACAGCAAAAGTGCCATATCAAGTAATTTTCGCACGTTCAGCGATAACATATGATTCAAATAATAACTTGATGGTGGATACGACTAATGTCATTTTTGAATAACAAAACTATACTGCAATTTTGTCGAAATTATAATTGTGCTAAGGTTAGTATAATATAATCCTAAGAAAAGTTCTTTGCGATTGAATATAATAATTAAGTAGCAGTGAATGAGGAAAATGTGGCGAATTTCTACATCTAAATAATTTCTATCGATAATGACCTTGAAATTCTGGTACATATCAAAGTCGATGTAAGAGTCCGACCGCACTACCGCTTGATAGTGGTAAATGCCCGGCTTTTCAGGAACAGAGAACCGGAGTGAAACCTGCAGAGTAATAATAAAACATTTACAGCAAAGCAAAATACAACTACATCAAGCATAATTATACGACTTAGAAGAAGAGTAGCCAATTTCAAAAGTTGACGACTGTTTAAAAAACAAACAAAATAAACAAACAATTAAATCTTTCTCCCTGTAAATCAGCCAGATTGCTGAGCAATTAATAAGCCAACTTTTGTGGCATAACGCAAGGTTTGCTTAGGCTAGGGTTACATCAGATTATTCCGCAAAACAAAAACTTCAAACACTCTTTTATCCAGCTAGACGCCAAAAGCACACGACGAATGACCAAGGCAAAGAATTTCATGTTCAGATGTGGAACGGGGATGATAAATAGCGGACCTGGAATAGGCACGACAGATTTATGCATTCCCGGCCTTTTCTACCAATGGTAACAGGACACTGCTGCAACAAAACCAATAAACCCATTGATCAGTCTTAAATACATTCACTGACCTTGTGTTCATCTTTTAGACAGGTGATAAACTGTGGAGGAGTTATTAAAGAAACTGTTTTCCGACTGACGATGTACACCCACCAGTATTCTTGTTTTTCCTGTAAAAGCAAACACATTCCACGTAAAAAAAATTTAGAATTTCAGCTGCATTTTTTCCTAAAGTGCTCATTGCGATTCCGTACAGCTCAGTCCCTTAATGCTCGATGTTTCAACGAGGCTACATTCACTTTAATTACAGAAAACAATATAGCTATAAGACTTTTCATTACCACGGTTTCTATCGGTATCAGTTGTGAACAGTTTAATCCGTTTCAACGACCACAGCTCAAAAAGGGCCTATTTCGTAATAGCATCCATTTTTATACGGCTAGCAATACAATAACAAATCATTTTTAACAGTTATGAGCAAACACTGGGAGGAACCAAGCGTAGCCAATTTAAAAAAGTTCCAAATGGAACAAGTCCGTAGAAACGCAGCTTTAATCGAGCCACATTCTAAGGAATACTTTTGGGTATAGCTTGATCAAATATATAAAAAATATCAAGACTTTCTACAAGGATAAGCTGCGCTTCTAAAGACTGTTGTTAGATACTAGCAAGTGTGTTAGTATTTTTTTATGAATATAGTTTTAAAACTAATCTCAGAGAATTTTGTGCTCCTAGATTAGGTAGACATTAGAATTACATACACGGCATTCTAAGTTCACTTATGTATATCGAAAATGAAAGAAATCTTTGTGAAAAACTGTGGACAAGCATTGCCCTCTTACAGAAGACAGAGCATTAATACAAGAAGACTTTATTTTCAAGTGGTCACAGTCTTAAAATACAAATGTTGAAAGAGAAACAAAAGACTTCCACAGCCTGTCTTTTACTTTATGTAAACCATAAATACCAAGAGCATACCAATGGAAAATACGGCGCATGCACAGGGTAGCTGTCCTTTGATTTAGCTTCCAGTATTGCTTCTGGTCTTTCAATATCGGCCTGAAGAGTATCCCACTCATCATCGTCTAGGCCAACGTCTTTATCGACATCATCATCATCATCTTCATCATTTGCTTCGTTGCCAGAATCTCTGGTTGAATTTCTATCGACCAAATGGGTAATGTTTTGAAAAGATGAAGGTTGTAACTCATGTAACTAACTGTAAACCGCTTTGTCAAAGAATGGTTGATGCCGTATAGGCCAAGCTGTTCACTCTTTTAGCGCATATAACAAGGCGGTTCTAAGTTGCTATTCTAATTTCCACCTTTAATGCGATCATCAAGCAACTGAGCCTGTAGCTTGGTAGTTGTATATAAAGATGAATTGCATTTAGTTACTTGTTTAGTCTACACAGAGAATAGCTTGAAGAGCCTATTTACTGTCTTATATTCTTCTAACATAAGCAAGCATACGTTGAAACTAATAAAAAGCCAGATCACAAAGCCTTTGACTGAAATTCAAAGTTTATAAAAACATAAGCGAAAATCAAAGGACTAAAATACCAAAACCCTAATCCAACGTCGATGAAAATCAAACTGAAATACAGGATCTTGTTAATAATCATCTTCTCTTGCCACTGCACTAATAGCTACCTAGAATTCTTGTATCAAATCTTTCCGACTTTCGAAGATCAAACTTTGAGTTAGAAAACAAGACGCATCTGCTTCCAATGATATCCCCAGCTGCTCTTGTGTAGCATATTTTTATAACCGTGGAGTCTACAAAAATAATTGACCTTACTTCTTCAGTTCCAAAGTACAAAAAAAGACTCACCTTGATTCATCGCCATTATCTTCATTCTCAGAATCAGAATCTTCGTTTAATTCTGCAGCTCCTGAATCAAAATCCGTTTCCTTGTCACCTTTGCTGGATTTCTTTCCATTTTTCTCGTCTTTCTCTTCATTTTTCTACAACGCGAACAAAATAGTATTTTCAAAGAGTAATACAAAGAAATAGGGTTGCATCACAAGTAGCGACAGCAAGCTCATCCATTTACTGACTTTCAATAAAAGGCTGAATTTGGGCTTTTTAACTGCCATGAAAAGACACGAACACCTGTCGGATTTTCTTCGGTGCATCTGAAAAATAACTTCGGGGAATAAATAAGATAATCTTTTATTTATTTGTCTAAAATAAATGAAGGCGGGGAAGACCACTTTTGAACCTTGGACCCCCTTAAAATCCAGACTCGGATTCCTGCCGGAAAAACCGTTGGGAACATCCTCAAGAAGGGGCATATGCAATATTTGGCAGCAGGGAAAAAGGATCCCCGTTGTATAACACGAAGCACTACTCATTCAACAACCAGTATAAAGTCAACAGCGTGACCTTTTTCTGTTCAAGCAGACGTGCTTTTGATAAAGCAAACAAAACTGGATTCATAGAACCAAGCAAATGTCAAACCTTTGCTTCAGCTTCCAGTTTTTCTTTTTCTTTTAATAATTTTTGTTTCTTTTTGGCAGCCTGTTGCTGTTTATTTGGCTGCGTTTTGGGCTTTTTCCCTCCCTTCTTTTGTTTTTTCTGCCAGCCCTTATTGACAACCGTTGACTCCTGAAAATTTAATCAGTTGAATAAAAAAGTAATTCACGATAATTAAATGGATTATAATTAAAAAAGTTGAATACTTGCTCTGGTACAAAGAGGTCGAAGAGTTTTCAGTGAAATAATAGAAAAGGTGTTTTAAAATAAATCAAATGAAAATTTGAATAATTAGCTTAGAATAAAAGAACATTGAACCAATTTTTTGTCAAATGTCCTGTCATATATATCCATTTTGTTAGCGTCAATGAAAATCTCTGCAAAAAATGTTACTTTAAATATATTTTAAAGTTCTTTTCTTTAAAAGGTGTGAATTAAACATTTTGCATAGCATTCTAACAACTGTTTAACAAAGTGAGCAATAAAAGCAGAAATAATTCTGTAGGGAACATATCAATCTTGACATAATTGACAAACCAACCTTGGATTCAGGCTCTTCCTCAACCTTAGGCATCGTTATATCAGACGATGTATCATCTTCGAAGAAATCCTGCAAAAAGAAAAAGATTCTCAGAGAGGGAGCTCGGTGATTTTAAACAAACATACCTCTTTCTGAATGGTTTGTTTGGAAAGTTAATTAGTTAGAAATGTCACTACTTGCAGCAACAACTATGACCTCATCATGTCAATATCAACATTAAACCGTTATTGTTAAAAGAAGCTACTCAGTGGAAAAGAAGTTACTCAATGGTTTAAAATACAATAAGCTATAGGTCAGGTATGTGGAGATTATGATTCACACACCCCTAAGCATTTTCTCTTCAGCTCCACATTGACTGTGACTATTGAGCCTGCAGTGATGACGTCAGCATCTTTCTCGTCCATAACTACAAAAACGAAATTGGCGAAAAAATCAGGACCACATAAATATATACATGCTGAATTTTCCGACTGTTTACATTTTCAGTCAGGCAAATAAAATAAGTATAAACCTGCATGCTTTGGTGCGAAGAGCATAACATTTTTAAGTCGCTACTCAAGTTTTAATCTCAGGACCATCGGCAATAGTTGTGCATATCTACGAGTCGGTCTCGTACTGTCATTAGATCTGTCTGTGTACAGGGCCTTCGCTGATAACAGCACTTTGTGTGTTGAAGAGATCACCCAGTATAAACACGAGACTAGGTCTTAAACATTTCAGGGAGATACATGTCTTGGCGCATTTAATACAATTATTGTTTACCAGTCTGTCATAAAATGCTCGATGTCGTATAGACAAATCTGTACACGCTATACTTGCCTGATGGAACTGATAATCACATTAAGATAGAAGTAGGAGCTTAAAACCATTCTGCCTTGCACAACAAAGCCTTTTTCACAGTAAATTTAAATAAATTAACCTTTTTAGCCACTACCGTTATTCACCCATCATGCACAACTACAATCTTATCCTTCTTTCTTTCTTCCCCCGTTTTATCTATAAATCTCTCTTTTCTCTCGATTCCATTCTTTCCGTCCCCCTTCCTTTCAATTTCGCCTATATAGGTATCTTTCTTAGTTTTGATATACAGTAGAAACCCGCATTAAAGAACCTAGGGTTTTTTTCTGGCAGCCTGGATAGCTTCTTAATTAACAGGCTGCTGTTCTAAATTCCAGTCTAAAAGGTTCTTAACAAGGTTCTTATATACGTACAGGCCTTGCACACATTAAGAATGTTTTCCACCTCAGGAATTCTAATGGACACACTTAAACCAGTTTTCTTTATGTTAAATTTCAACCAATCAAAGGAATTTGTCTTGTTAGATTAGAATGAAACATAGCTACCATAACCTGATTTACTTTAAGCTGGTTTAATTTGCCAGCGCGAATAGGGTTTAAAAATACCACTTTGAAAACTTTTTTCTTATATATATTTAAGAACCTTTCCAAATTTCAGCCTCTTGAAGGTTCTTAATTATAAGATTTCAAAAGATTAAATTTCAGCCTCAAGGTTCTTATAAAAACAGGTTCTTTTATGAGGGTTTTTACTGTATCGACAAAAAGAATGAACAATTTGCAATCTAGCACCTGCAGAATACAAAGAAAGTCAACAAAATAAAAACATTGTCACACAGAAACAATAACAGACACAGACTGAAACACTTTATCTCCTCGAAGGGGATGCATAAACCAGCAAAAAACAACAAACCCTCTACAATGAATACATAATTGCACACAACCCTATGCCTACCTTTGGCGTCTACTATGACTTCTAGGTGTGGATAAGACCAGCATACATTAATTATATCTTGGTACTGTTCGTCAGATAATGTACGAAGAAGCATCCTGGAAGATTGAAATTTAAATATTGATTAATTGAAATAACTTTTAAACTATTTACAAAAACAATTTAAATGAAATATGAAAATTTAATTATTCTTTTAATAGGTTTAATAATATATGTAATCGAATAACAATTGTTACACAGACACAGTTTTGGTGCCATTGAGGGCAGGGGATGGGCCTAAAAAAGGTTAAAAAAAACTTAAAAAAAGATTAAGACAGAAGGTCAAATATTGAGAAAAAGGTCCTTTTAAAAGAAACATTATAGAGAGAAAGACTGGTGCATGGGGCAGAGGATATACCCACACCCTTACAATAAGCTAGATTATATTTATCGGGGCCTTTTTCTCGACACATTCAAGGTTTTACATTTCTAAAATTCTATACTATTCTTATCAGTAAAGAAGATTGATTGATATCTATTTGAATAGTCTGATTCAGTTATTATGCAAAATTGAAACTGATCATAAGGTGCTTTTAATTTTTAATTTAAACTACAGACCTTCTTTCGTCATTTTTCATACCAACAAAATGCCGAATTGTTTTGATATGCCGCTAAAAACAAAAATCATAACATTAGCAAGCCGACACAACAAAAGAAAATAAATTTGAAATTAAAAATGCATAGTTATTCGAACAATCTTGTCAAAGATGTCGAGCTGTCAATCATATGGTTGCAGCCTCAGCAGGTTTCTATTGAACACGATGGGAAAACATCTAGGAAACAGATGACTCACCTTTTTTGTAGTGAAATGTCTTAGATGATCTTGTGTGATGTGCGGCAGCATTAAAAATGGGGACTTGCATTCCCAAACGGCTTGTACAATCATTGCGTGAAATTTCATTAAGTTCTCTAGTGTTTCAAGTCTTGGTGCAACGTTTACTGAAATGATAATCAAGCAATAACACGCAACCTGATAATGACTTCAAGATATTGATCGACAAAAAAAAATAAACAAATAAATTCCCACTTTAGAGTTGATTCATTACTTCTTTATATATTCTGAATACCACACATGATGACGGCAACTTCAAAACACTAGTCCCTAACAGCAAGAGCACATTGAATATATCTTTGAATAAATTGGTATGCACTGAAAGATTCCGATTTGGATTTTAAGTTAGCACTGTTCTACTCAATGTACACCGAATGAAGGGTTAGTGTCGGCAATCAGGAGCTAATTCAACTACTTCTCTGCAGGTATTACTAGTTCGCAAATCTTGTAGTCAAGGCTTATCACATTGCGTATTGCTTCAAATAAATATTTTACGTCATAAAGTTTCGGCAACATTCGAAATACAACAGTCTATATATATTCGTTGAATCATTACCCACTAATAAATTCTCCACTGCCGGTTCATTACAAGTTTTACAAAAATTTATCTTTGTCTGGAGGTCCATTGGTACAAATAACTTTTTACTATTTTCATTTTAGTTATTTCTATACGAGGCTTGAAATCGACTGAAAAAGACTGAAAGTTTCTTAAGTTCTGCTTCTCTTTTGAGGTGAATACTAAATGTAATTATTCCAACGCTTGTACAATCGCAATGTTGACACCATATCACCATATGAGATAGCCGCCCATTTTTGCATCGAGGGTACCCCTATTACTCCATATAATCTATCCATGGACTGGTATAAAACTGAAGCGTAAGAGATAAAAACTAATTCATTTACAGTTACTGGCCTTTTGCTGTTCTTTTCTTCTGGTACATTTCATCCTATCACTTTATACAAACGGACCCCTTAACGATAGCAGTGAAAAAGTATACTGAACAATCTATCCTGTAAGAATATGGTATATGGTTATTACCTCTACCCATTTTGGCCATTGCTGTCAGCTGGTTAACAATGCTTATCATCTCTTTGATCAAATACGGGCATTTCTTTAAGATTAGTTCCAGATCTGAAAATAGCAATAAGACAAAAAAAGCCTGCAGATGTTTTTTTCAAATGGATGAGACATCAATCAATATATTAGTCACTGAAATCATCCTTGACTGTCTATATTTATCGGTCGAATTATTAGACTTCCTCGTAAGTAAAATTCCGCCTGTCCCAAAGGCTTTAATCTTTTACTCTGATTGCTTCTACACAAACGGCTAGTCATATCAATTTACTTCTATAATATGGCATTCAAAACTATACAGACAGATTTACAGCTACTTTTCAAATTGGCACTGCCAAAGCTGACTGAAATCAACGACAAATTGAAGCACATAACGATAAAAGACAGACAAATTACCTTGACTTAAAGTATCTGCCGGTAAATCTAGCCTTGATAAATGTGCGTGCAGTAATGCCCTAGCTTTGACGCTGTATGGGTAACATAAAGGAATTTCTTTATTCTTCTCGTTTAAATTAGGCAGTGAGCCAATTAACTAAAAAAAGAAGAGCAAGTATACTCGTTAATGATTCTGCGATTCAATGAATCAATGAGAACGATTAATGATCAGATCTTTTTAATAGTAATAAATGATTTGATTTTGGTATGATGCAATGATTAAGCGTGTGCATCAATGAACTGAAAAAATATATATTGAGAAAATATTTATCAATCAGACGAGCTGTAACATCACATTCAGGGTGATTGGAAGATAATATCATTATAACATGTGTATACGAAGAGAACGTGGCCTAACGAGGCACATTTGAGATTTGGCCAGAGAATAATTTGATTTCCTTATAATGAAATCAATCAAGATTACTTGTCAAACTTCGCATGAATAATACAAAAGGCACATACCATAGGTATCTCTATATTGTCACTAGGCCTCTCTTGCACTTCATTGTTGTGCCCCTTTTCGAATTCGAAAGAGGCTGCGAGAATCATAATGATACCTGCAAAAAACAGCTACACTCACTTACTTTACCGCTAACATTTAATTTGATAAAGGATATCCGTATTATCCGATTGGATTGACAGTCGGAAAAGCATTTCCAACGAAATTGCCAAAATGAGTTACGTTTAATTTATGAAAAAGCAAACCAAGGCAAGAAGAATTGCCTGCTTGGAAAATTATTGTGAATGCTTCTAAGTCAAGAGAGCATGAGTAATGCAAATCAGCACTTAGAGAAAAAAAGCTTCTAACAACAATGTATCAAAACCTAGCTTTTGATCATTGAATCATTGAAAGGCCAACACCTAGACCGAACAAACGTCAAGTTTTGTAAATGGCTTTCTCTAAACGCGGCAATTGACAATCAAGTTATTTATTGATTGTAAAACACATTAATCACCATCAAGTTCCCAAAAAGCTAAGGCGCACTTGAAGAATTACTTGTATATCTGACGAAAGGTATTTACGTTTTAGAGACATATTTGGAGTCCTGTGTAGAAAATACCAGTAGATTTGCTCAGTGTCCATTAGAACTTCATCAGAGCTATACTTTATTGATCTGTACCACCACGTGCCCTGGAAGATGGAGTAATTATTACATACTATGGGTGCTAAAGACCTATACAGCTAAATGCATTTAAAACAATACGTATTGGGTACATATCATTGACCAATGTGCCGACAACCTCTTCGTCATGCCGACAACTACTCAGTTTCTATCAATCCAACAGAAAAGCAACCAAAATGAGTTGTCTGATCACCGCATTAAGTGTGAAATCAGGAGTCGCAATTTAGATACATCGCGTTTTATACACCAAAGCAAGTATGAATAAATATGAATAAAAGTATCGATTTTTTTTATTTATGAAAATTTATGAAGGGTTTGACTGCAAATTAGTTGTAAAATCGTATAAATAATGCGGAAAATATCAACTAAGAATATGTTTTATTAAGAGACCTTTTAAAAAGAAGGAGGATTAGCAACAATCCCAATTCCACAGCATGGATGCTATCCAAATAATCAAAATATGAAGAATACTTAACTTTAGTATATATCAGTATAAAAAGATATTAATAGATAAGAGAAAGAGCTAAGTATAGAAAAATAAACGATAAATGTTTGAAAAGCTTACAACAGCCACAGGTAGAATCACCATAAATGCCAACCCATAAACAGCAAGAACCTAGAAAAGATTAGCATTTATATTAACATTGAAAAATATCGATACAGGCTGTACTGCATTCTGAAATATTGCTCGAGTCGTGTTTTAATTAAACCTCTTTATCAAGCACCATAGCCTATAATGAAAATACTGCGATGAGACGATACCAGGTCAATTAGTTGATAGACTGACGAATAATTTGAGTTAAAGGGGTTCTTTTACTGTCCTTACACCTTAAGTCTTCGAATAAGCTATCTGCATTCGCAAAATATAACTTAGGTAGGGGGGCTTATTCTAAGAGGGCTTTGAATTTTCCTCCTTTATTTGATGTTGGTCAGTATGCTTAAAAATGGAGATATATATTTGGATAAATTTATTGCTGTCGATGTAATACCACAGTCAACGGGGGCTTTTTTAGCCAAAATTACTTTAGGATGAGAGCCTATTCAAGGGGGGGGGGGGTTCGAAGGGGGGGGATTATTTGGGGACATATGGCATGTGAGCAGGGGAATTGCAACTCATTCCAGGATAGGGGCTCTCCTCAGATGGCCATGGCTCTCCTCAGATGGCCATAGCTAGAACTATCCTTAAAGAAAGACTCCATCTAGATGATTAGGTGCCATTCAAGAGCTGTCTTGTAAACCTTCAACTGAAGGCTTTGTTGATTCAAATGCAACTACGTGTTTGGTCCCCTCTTCAGGCTCTTCTCAAAAGATGAAGGGTAGTTACAGATTGCTTTCCTAAATTGCTCCAAAAAGCAAATTGCTCTCCTGAAAATCGATTTTTCCTTTTTTTCTATTCTTATTTATCTAGAGATAACTCACCTGAAGATTACTAAGAGAGCTGTTTACTGCTCCCTTGCTCAAAATCTTATGCCCACGCCTGGGCTCTTACTCAATGCTTCAAATTCCTTAAGGATTGACTTACCCACATAGAATTTTTCTTATCAACAATCCATGATGGGAGAGCAATACCAAAGGTAGTGGCTGAATAAAAAAGATGTTACCATAATTACAAAAGTGATAAAGATTGCAAAACTAAACAAAGACAACAGTATTTATAATTTCAAATTCAGAATAGGTCGTATATATTGAAAATGAATAATCTAATCTCAAAATATTAATTCAAAATATTAACTCAAAATAATAACAATACTTTAGGAAATGAGTGACAAGACAAAATTGAAAATGCAGAAATATCTGAAATCAAAATAAAAAATGGAATTTTCTGAAACATTTAGAACATTCTGGCAGCTAAAAAATTGAATTGTTTACACTATGAATTAGTGCAAAAGATGAATTCTGAACATTTGGTCCTAACCTTGAGGTCCATCAGGATTGCCATACTCTTCCCAGTTTTTCCTAGCTTCTTCATCTGTTAAACTGCAAGAAGGAGAGAAAACAGTGGCAACCTTAACAAAATTTCAAGACCTAGGACAAGGGGGAGGGCAGAGAAAAAAAAATTGCATTAAAAATACATGCTGAATTAAGGGTTCTAGTCATCAACAAAAATTAAAAAACATACGCTTCATAAGCTTTGGCAATTCTCATGAATTTCACAGAGTCTCCTTCTTCTTTGTCAGGATGGTACTTCAAACTCAGCTTGCGATATTGCTTTTTGATTTCTGATGTAGTAGCTCCCTATAAAATGATGAAATCAGTTCAGTGTTCTTGTGTTAGAAGTGAGCTAATATGTAACATGATCTGGTGTTTTTTGTTAAAGTCTTTAAAAAAACCAGCAAATTTGATAAAGAATTAGTAATCCAAAGCTCATTCATGTCCACTTCAAGGCTGAAGTTTCAAAATGCCTTAAAACAATGAAAATTCAATATGTCAAAAAATGAAACACATAGCATATTTAGTACCCAGACATTAAATTTAATAATCAGATATACCAAACAATGAACTATAAAAAGCCAAAAGTGTTCAGAGCTGAGCCCCCCTCAACCCCCCCAAAAAATCTCTCTGAATTTTAACCTCCATCACACAACTGGTCTCCATACGTTTAATATGATGATCAGACAGACCAAAGAATTAACCTAAAATATAACAAGATAACAAGCCAAAAGTGCCAATCTGATACTCATGCAATCTAACATGCCAATCTGATACTCAAAGTAGTTTCTTATTTTATTGAAGTTGGTTTAACTGCAAATGGTTTACATTTATAAGCAGTCTCTAGCCCTTCAGTCATCTGTACGATAAAAGTTCCTGATAAAAAAAAATTATATATAAAAACAAAAACAAAACAAAATCTGTTTTTAATGTCCAACATTTGCTGATTGTTATGTAAATCGCTTGCAACTTTAGATTGAAACTCATTTGACAAGATGTATGTTCACAAAATTATGCATAAAATTATAATAATAACACTCACAGGATCAATCTCCAACACACTATATGGATTGTATTCTGCATATTCTTTTTCAAACTGGGAAACTTTGAATACACCAGCTATTAGTAGTGCCCATAGAATTATTAAAACTGCTCTCCTGTGAGACGAAGAATATTACCAAACTACAGAACCTTTCAAAAATGATTGACAGATCAGATCATAAAGGGAAAAGGGGCTCTTGAATATAATTTGAACTTGCATGAGTAACACTCCAATTGTAAAAATAAAGAATAGGGTTGTCAGTGAATACACTTTAACATATCAAGCATACTTTGAGAATATTGCTCAGTAAAAAAAAGTGAATGATACATTTGTGCAATCAGCAAAGAAATATAGCTACACAGTCTCTATCAAATGCATTGCGTGAATTGTAGCCCCAAGTCAGAGACAGGCAACCTTTTTTATGTTGGGGCCAAATTCATGTTGTTTTGTACCCAGGAAGGATGGGTCGGACAAGGAAGGGTTGAGCAAAATGAAAAGCATAGCAACAAAGAACTGCAACCCTCTTGCTTCACCCGTAGGTAATCTCTCTAGATTAGATGTTTGCTCCCAGTCACCAGTATTTTGAATAAGAATATAAAGAGACTTGAAATTCTCCAAGCTGTGCTTGCAATTTCAACTGGTCCTGTGCAACTGGTTGAGCGAATGCTGTCTCTTTTTTATTTTACAACTTGCAAATCTACCAGACTACATTTAACAAGGACCAGTTGTTTATAAGTGCTTGTATTGCTGTTTATAAGTAATAGAATTCAAAAAGTTCAATGCCATTTGGTATTGTGTTTTACTAGTATTTTTGCCAAAATCAGGTTTAAAGCTACTAAAAAACAGGTATTGGTGCCTCTGCATGCCTGTTGTTTGGGTTAACATTGCTGTTGATGAGCTTCAACAGTGAGAAAGCTGTTTTAAACTATAATTATTGCTGGAGGTTTGGATGTTTTTCACTTGGGAATGAACTTTGATGCTTCCATAGCTCAAGATACAAAATATTGGGCTATTTAGTACTTGCAGAGCTGTTGTTAATTTTTCTTACATTTGAGTATTTACAAAGGCAAAAATATCTTAACTTGCCAATGTTTAAAAACTATTCACATTCTTTAAATACTATTACCACTTCTTAAAACAAAACAAAAGAGGAACATAATTTTTTTGGAATGTAGCAAAGTTTTGTTAGGTTTGCTGGTTGAATGTGGCTTTTTTGGGAATGCCTAGTTTATATGTTGTGACATGAAAAGGGATTGTTTTGTATTTGACAGCATGGTGTAACGTTTCTCACTTTAATTATTTGTAGCATTAATCATGCTATTCCTTTTGTGTGAACACAACTCCTATTCCATTGCAAGTTTTAGCAGATAATACAATTAAGTTTGTTAACATGTGCTATACAAGGAAACAAAAATATCCTATTCATAACACTAATTTGATAAAATGAAAATAATACTCAGTCATTAATGGAAAATCAAAAGTAATCTTAGAGAATTTGGAAAGGTGAAGTGAGACGCACGTGATTTGCTTTACAATCTTTTTATTTGGCTCCAATCTCTTTAGAAGGTCTCTTTTCTCCATGCATGGTGAGCAATAGCAAGGTTTATCACTTTTCTTTTGTTTGCCTAAGGAAAAAAGTAAATCAAAGTGATTGCAAATTTCATGCTAAAGTTGATAATAAAAAAACCCAAAAAAGTATGGACTTTATCTAGCTTGGGCCATGAACAAATGGCAGTTTACATTCTTTTCAGACCATTTTTAAAGCTTGTAGCCTAAAGCTGGTAGCTTAGCTAACAGGAGTAGTTGAGGACACACCATTCTTTCATTTTAAAAGTGAAATAGCATAGTTAGGTTCCTCTTCTGGTTCCTTAATCTTGTCCATTTTTGGCATTGCCATGTAATGACATTGCTTAATTCACTAATGAACTTGATAGAGATCTAGCACTGAGTTATCAGCATTAACAGTTATATTTAATAGCCCAGTTTACACACTATATGGCTGATACATGCTTGAGGTCAATGTAAACTGTCCTGCATGCTACACCATAACTTAAATAGAAATCAAATGGCCATGCTTTCTATGTCTTGTCAATAGCTTTTACAGTCAATAGTTTGTGCACATTAATTCTTATTTAAACATTTAGAATATACTACGCATTGGGTAATGGTGCTATTGAAATTCAAAATATTACGCTGAGAAGTATATTATGTGTGTAAGACATCGAGAAGTAATGACGTTCAGCCATCATATTCTCTGAGGAGGAAATAAGATACAGTTAAATACAGCAATCTGTTCATGGGTGTGGAAAAACTTCTCTGTTTCTAATAGAGGGTCCTTTGTAGAACATAGACTTAACATAAAAGTAAACTTACTCTGACTGGTCTTGTCTGGCCATAAAAAATAGGTAATTGGTAGGAGAATCATGGCGAAAAAAGACAACAGAAAATAGTAGAACGTTGTCCCTTTATCGTCGTACTCGAATTGCATCGTCATTTTGAATTCTTAATTACACACAAAACCTAACTTTTTGTTTTGCAAACAGCTATGTGTTCTAATCGGTAAAAGTCCACAGGTTGATAACCTCTCACGTTGAGTTCTAACTTAGGCCATACCGTGTTGCTCAATTTGAAGAACAATAGATTCTCCTTCGCATGACTCCCTATTGCGTCGCATCGAAGCCTTGTGTTTGAGTTATCTACTGTTTTCATAACTCTTCTTTTCAAAACTTTTCAGTTAGCAGCACACCACACTTAGTTAAATAGTTGATAGATAAAGTTAACACAAAATGCTAAGATTTCAAAGAGCATAAACAGGCAGAAGTATCGACCTTGCTGAGGATGTTTTCGAAAAGCTGCAATCACTGCCAAAATGACTTGGAACAAGAAGTGAAGATCCTCGGGAAGATCATTAATTTTATTCTCACATTACAAGATCATCAACAAAAAGAAGGGTATGAATAGTTTCATTACCAACGCTAACGCCTATAGATGTTTTTTCTGATCTTTAGATTCAAGTCCGCAAATAAGTGCAAATGGAAGGGGACTTTCTTGTCAAGCCTCCATGGGCACAAAAAACAATTTGGTCAAAATTTTTAACTTAACTTTGCCGTATATTATAACGAAATATCATGCTTAAAAATTCATCTTAAAAACAATTTTTAACAAGCTTACGTATCAAATCATTAAGAACAACCGAATCAAATGCTTCACTGAGATATACAAAACACGATTATAATAAACTTTTCTTAGCTTGAAATGTATATTTAATTATTAGGTAGTTTGATAACCTTTAATGCCAGCGATTTGATTTTCATTAAGGATTTGTAAACACATATAATATTGAGAGCGCTTATGATAAATTGCAAGATCTTCTTCTTATGACCTGTAGGCACAGTATCCTTATAAGACATCTGAAACGATACGTAAGAACATAATTCGAAAGTTATTATACAAACATTTATTGAATCTTTGACACAAACTTTTCCAAGTCTTGTTTACCAATCGAATTCAGTCTTGTGTCGGAAACTACCAAAAGTTTATTTCATTGTACGTCTTGGTTGAGCCCAGATACAATTTTCAAATTTTTTGTGCTGATTTAATAACGATCTAATGTTTGAAAACTTTTAAGGGTTTGACCACAAAAATCAAACCGGTTGAACCTTTTCAACATAATATCTAATTTTAAGTCATAAATCAGCATCAAGGGCATTAGAATCATTAACATTTACTTGTAGGCCCTCCATCTAAATCTGAAGTCCCAAACTTAACACAAAAAAGGATGAAGTAATTTCAAAACAAGCCACTAAACCGAGCCAAAGGTGCCTTCAATTATCCAACGTGAGGTGAGTTTATCTAGCCGGAGGTCAGGCTCATTTCGAGTTGCCTGCACAGGCTATAGTTTATCATGCCTAGCCTTCTACCTGGCACACAAAATTTCACTAAAATCTAAGGTTGTTAACATCAAAATATTTTTTGATACCAAAATTAAATGAAACCAAGCACAAACAAATTTTTATCCGAAAAATGTTTCGGTTGTTTCTAGAGGCCTGACAGGCCATTAGGCCTAGGCCTATGTGCCGTATGTAGCTGTAGCGCCACTTAATCATAGGCATTACAACCGGAATATTAGAAACAAAAATAAAAAAGACACAAAACAGGCTTTTCAATTCGTCATATAAACTAATATCACAATGAACTATTATAATTTGATTTAGTTGAAAACTCGTTCAGGGTCAGTTCGATCATCACCTGGGGCACATGGCATGTCTGCCTCCATCAATCGGTATGCTTGCACCAGTAATGAACGAAGAATCATCAGATGCAAGGAAAGCAATCGTTTTGGCCACTTCTATTGGCTCTCCAACACGTCCTAGCGCATGCGTTGTCTTGGAGTGCTCTAAGAACTGAAAAATAAAATGGTCGTACTTACAATCTATATCTCTTAATGTCAAATTAAAATTAGTGAAAATCAAGTTCTCGGGTAGTAGCCTTAAAATGAATTAAATCAAAAACAAATTATTGTGTGATGAATGCAGTTGAAGGTCAATGACAACGCAAATTGTCGATCGAAGAAGGCTAGCCAAGCGGTATTAAGATTAAAGTCGTGTAGTTGCGTGATAAACACGAGTACAACGACAAAAACGACTGGGACAATCCCATAACTATCAACGTTTATGCCAGAAGTGACAGCAAAATTTCTTAAGCAATGGAACATTCTATTTTCTATTGGTGACAGAATTCGCAATATGGAAATTCCCATAGAAAGATGCAACAGAAGTAAATGAGCTATCCACTTTGGTATAATCTTAAAACTGAGCGGCCAAATGCTACCGGAATCAGTGGAGATTTACTAAAAATATTTACAAATTAACATAAAATTTCATAATCAGTGGGGATAATGTTACCTTGGCATATTCAGCGGCATCCATTCCGCCTCGTTGGTGGATTTCGGTTTTGATAACACCAGGGCTAAATACACGAGCATTACTTTAGTTGTTGCAAGTTTATTTAAAAATTTAAAACGAAGGAAACTCTTAGTTAAATACAATAAGAGAGTTTCAGGATTTACATCATCTATACGATAATGTGTTCAAATTCCATTATGTTTTTAGCTTTCACACAAAGAACTGACCTTTTAATTTCAAAGACGACTTCTACTTATAAAAGTTGAAAATTTAAGACTTGTCACAACCTTGGCATCAAATTCATGTTTAGCAAGAAAATAATTCTGCTTATCGCGACCTTAGAGTCGTTTGTTCTCATATTGAGGAAAATTACAAAGATAACAAGTGGCTTAAGCAATGTGCACAAGTTTGGTTCAGTATCTAGGAACCCGAGTACGTTTTATACCAAACTTGCAAATTCTTTCTTGGCATTGTACTTCTACCGAAACAATAGAAACAGTAGACACAAAGAAGTAGAAGAGAAGATCGTGCACGATGAAGGAATTTCTTAGTTTCCTGAATCACTTACTTTACTGAATTGCACCTGACCTGCTTCGATGCAAGCTCTAGAAGAAAATTGATTATACGTTTATACAAAAAGTAAATTAAAATGAAGGTTGAAGACATTTAATGATATGATAAAAAACCAACTCTCTATTTCAAGAATGGATTTCAGACCATTCTGTGAAGAATAGTCGCAATGGTATCGCTCGATTTTGAAGAAAAACATGCAAACTTGTGCAAAAATCCCTTTAACTTGGAATAATTTTATCATTCTTTACTTTATCAGGCAGCATTTTAACTCATTTTCAGATTGTATTGGATAAGAATATACATATATCAAACAGAAAGCTGTGATGGAGAGTCTTTGGGCTTTTTAACATACTAGATGATAGGCAAATGATTCAATTAACTCGCATGACCAATACTTTTGTAGCAGGACTGATTTATGCCTACCTAATGCTGTACATCTGGTAAACTGGTCGATAGCACTCTTGGTCATACAATAGGCATTGACACCAGCAAACTAAAATTGAACAGATTACTATGGCAATGATTCAATCTTCGTGAAGTAGAGAGGAAGAGAGGATTTTAACAGTAGTTGATTTAGGGCGTTTACGAAAAAATGTGCGAAGATGACTCCATGGCTAGGTTTGCGGACTACAGATCCAATTTTTGGGGTTCGAGTTTTTGACAGGACCAAAACTTCACTTATAGTAAGGAAAATCGCCAGCACTTCTAAGCATAGTAACCACAAGTTGTGGTCACTGGTCACTGGTCACATCGAGCGAGAGGAAGAACCAAGCTCAATACGAATAGCTTCGCAGTGTCCTAAAATCATCTTCGGGTGCTAGGTAGAAACAAAAACAAATGAAATAATACAGAAGCTTTGGTAAATTTTTGACAATTGCTTAATCGACTTTTTACATTTATTCACTAAGCGAAATTGTTTGAAAAGCGAATCTGCTCATCCTTGCCACTAATGTTTTACAATTGACCAAATTTCCTCGAGGACTGGCTCCAAATTTTGAATATAAAGCTCTCATTCTATAGTCTTAGTTGAATTTGCAGCAAAAAAAACTTAAAATACTCACTGCCCTCATCCCATTGACACTGGAAACATTGACAATGCTACCTAAAATGAAAAAAGTGATTTTACTAAGTAACTGTCCATAAACAGCGAACTTTGATCATCTCACCAATAAAAGCAATTTCTTCATTAACTTTATCATTTCCTCCTTACAATTCTCATTCTCTGCACGGACTTAATTTCATATCTGAAAACAAAGTCAAATTATTGCAGCGACCTACACAAAGGGCCCTGAAAGTGTGATACCGTATAGCCTAGGTAACTTGAAGAAAATTCAAATAATACAAAAATTGTATAAAATACAGAGTTAATTATGATAATGAGAGAATGTTAAATAAGAGACCGTTAAAAACGATAAAGGCAATAACTCATCCTCTATTGCTGTTTTAAATACTGACATGTTTGTACCAATCTAAAATGGGGTTTAAGTGACATGCATGAAAATTCCTATGATTGTATCCTCCTGCTATGGAATAACCACAATTTCATGCATGTAACAATGAACGTAACTCACCTTTAGTCTCAATAAGATATGGAACCGCTAGATGTGTTAGATGGAAAACGGATCTGTTTGGAAAACGAAGAAAATATATAAATTCGCTTGTGCCAGATAAAGCTTTATGAACAGCCAATTTAGTTGAAAATATCATTTTATTTCTGGTTATTATTTATGCAAAAATGCCATGTATCTTATTTCTTGTTTCATGGTCATAAAAGATCATAATGTTTTTTATGATAGCCATAAAGGATTAACAGGTCGTTCTATGGTGTGCTACCACTATGGTGTGCTACCACGTTCTAATCTGCCACCACATGATTGAGAACAGCTCATGACTCCCACCAAAACCTGGTGGACCAAAATAGTTAAAAACTAAAAAAATTGTAACTAAGAGTATTTTGATTAACTTTCAAATTTTATTCATGAAAAAAAGATAACATAGATAAAGTAAGAATTCAAAAGGAAATACCAACCGAACATTGATATTCATTATTTTGTCAAACTGTTCCATAGTTGTGTTTTCAACTGTTCCTTTAACAACGATCCCAGCATTGTTTACCTATAATATGAGGTATTGTCAACTTTCAAATACACAGTGAAAAGGGGACAACTCAAACTAACTTCAAACAAGCAGTGAATTAAAAAAATGAAGAAGAAATAAAGTGATACAGTGCCTTGAATTATGCTGGAAATCCAACAGAAGGAATATTTATTGTGTGTGAAAGCTTAAAATCTCAAGTTACTAAAAAATGTCTAAGTTTACTTATGTATCAAGTCTAATCTTACTTGATGCCTTTTTATTCTAAAATAGTGCAGCCAAACAAAAGAACCAAATATTCTGCTAACCATTAACCTATCTGAGTAAAAGTTACTAATTATCCAATGACAAAATACAGAGGCAGACTTACTAATACATTTATGCATTTAAAGTGATCTATTGTCTTCTTTATGATGTCTTTAACATGCTCCTCATCAGTCAAGTCACCTTGTATGCAGAGTGGCTATAAAAACAAAATTACTATTCTCTAACAAGTCAATCATAATTGTTTCCTATAACTAAACAAACACACATTAAACAAGCATTACTTTATGAAGACTGAAAAACTTCTGCTGTTTCTCCATGATTCTTCAGAAAGAAACAAAGAGAGAAAATTTAATGGACAAAGACAAATCAAGCAGAAAATGGAGGGATCAATTATGATGATTTATCTTGATTCAAACCAACAAATTTTCTGAAACACTGTTGTAAGATCTCCCTATTCTTGATGTACAGGAGGACTTTTTTGCAGTGAATACAATTTTTGGGAATCTATTTACACTCTAAACAAAATACAAAGCCTGTGGTTCTTAGCTTCCAAACAAACATACCCTAAATACAACTTACCCTAAATGGACTGGAATTGATCAATCAATTTCTTATGTGATATTTAGTTCCCCATTATGTGTGATAGTACTGCAAACATTATTTGCTGGTTCCATAGCCATTAAACATTTAGTGAAAATAACACTGTTTTGAAGAATAAAATAGACAATGGAGTCCAACATAGGTAGCAAATAAATTACTTCTGAGATATTTTTGTTCTTTTCCAAGCATTCAGACTTTGTTTTGTTTAAAGCCTCTCCATTTCTACCAGTCAAAACAAGTTTTGCACCAAACTCCGCAAACAGAATTGCTGTGGCTTTACCAAGCCCAGAGCTGGCACCTAGGATATAAATGAAACAAAAAAATACTTGCATGGACTTGAATATTACTTTACTTAACCATTCAATGAGAAAGTGTCATCATAGTGATGCTATGAAGAAATGTAATCAAATGGGCTGGGTCATGTAATCGTAAAAAATATTTTCACAGTCAAAACTTAATCATACTTGAACCATCGCATTCAGCAATGTTTACTGTTTGTGAGCCTCAGGCCCTGAAATGAACAAACATTAGGTGCTTGGTTAATTAAGCTCCTCCATTAAATTAGTCGCTTGATCAAGCTTCTAGAATGTTTTTGTCTTTTGATCATCATTCAACATTCATAAGACATAGCCCGGCAAATCAAATGAAAATGAACTGTTACAATGAACTTTAACATACTCAATATAAATGTGCTTTATTTATAAATTTTATGTTTATCTCAAAGGTCATATACATGTTTTTGCTGGATGATCGCAAAACATTGTACCACAACTTTTTCTAAATGCTTTAACAGCCCAGATTATGTTCCCAGGGCTAGTGTAGCTCAAATACTAAGTGCCCATAGTATTCCTAAACATTTGCGATGTGGAGTTGATTTTCAAATGCATTTTTCTGTTGAGATGTGATTAATTCATCTTATTTATATTTTCTGTGTTTTGATATACCAGCTTTGAGTGATCACTCGCATCAATTGATAAGGCCTGCAACACAGAAGCGTGGCAAATGGAAAATATCATATGTGATTGGAACAATAGTCGGGATTTATCAAGCTCCCCCCTCCCACTTTTCTTGCAAACTATAGTTATTAAATCCCCCTTTTGGGTATTAAATAGGTAACCCCACTTTTTGGCCCCCCACTTTAGAATCAAAATCCTGCACACCTGGTAATTTTATATGGTAACTTGAGGTAAAGGGTGTGGCATTTTGAGATTCGGGCGTGACATGGATGTGTCATATTGCTTAGGGCAAATAAGGAATAAAGGTTCCTCAAGGTCGACATATCTTGCATTGGTTTGATAACAAAATAACTAAAATCATCTTCTAGGCACATTCAAAGATTCCAGACTTGGGTTCATGATTGATAGCAATGGGACACACCAATGCCACGCCCAGATCTCAAAATGCCACACCCTTTACCAGGAACATTTTAGGCAGGAACATTTTATAATAAAAGCAGAATTAAATTGAAAAATTACATCCCATTCCCCATTATTGAATGTCACCACAACTGACTTGTGACCCCCGACCGACTTCCTTGCTTTGCTGCATGCCGGGGAGGTTTTGTTGTTGGTTTCATTTTTAAATGGAGAGATCTCAACAAAACATCATAAATCATACCTGTAATAATGGCAACTTTCCCGTCTAAGCTTGACATCTTCTTTCACAAGTCTGCAGACCGTAGAGGATGTCAGAAAGAACAACAACAGTCTTAGCTTAGGTCGGTTGCAGGAAGCCACGTTGTCTCCTCCACAGCACATCGATTGGAGCAAAACAAGAGCTCCAATACCAACGGACCTGACCACGATTTGAAGAAGACATTTGATACCGTAGATCATGGAATATCAATTATAAATTAGGTGCAAACGAAATCAGAAGAACCCCTGGGGAATGGCTTACATCTCATCTTTTTAGTAATTAGATTGAAGCATATGGTGCACCCCAAGGATCATGCTTGATGCCAATTCTGTTCATCATAAACCTGACTGACCTTGAAAACTTTTTAGAGTTCTTTAGGGCAAATAAGTATGCGGATGAATAGCACCGTACATTAACATTCAATAACGTTGAGGGTTTGATTATTATTCCCTAGAATTAAGACAGGCGTGGATCTAAACCGGGTTGACAGGTTTCCAAAAACAGGTAAGATTTCTAGAAATTATATATTATATTTTTTTGCAAATATAGAGAGAAGAATGTTTATCAATATGATATGACTCTTTGTGAAGCAGTAAAGTTATTGACGGTGCTGTTTGTGCCACAGCGCTCGCTGTCAAGGCAGCCAATCAGCGTCGCTAAAGGTATCACCTTTAGTTTTCAAGGTTGCGTAACAGAAAAACATCTTAACCCGGTCACCCATTAATTAAAAGCTGTTTCTAGCCTTCAACCCGGTCAAACTTTCGTATTTTCTGAATAGGTATAGCTTACTCTGAGCTCTGAACTTTAACAAGGGGGACTGAGCCCCCAGAGTCTTATCAAGACACCCCTGAAATCCCTTTGTTGGTTATACAAAATTTTCTTTCAAAATCTGCTATACAGAATTTGCTGATTGATATTAGACGGTCGCAATGGACATTCTTTTTATAGCGAAAAGAGGAGAGTAGGTATTTTTGGGGACTGAGAGACCTAAGGATGCAAGGAAAATTTTCCTTCGCTTTCTATCGTCTTCTCCGCAGTTTAGATATGCCCTCGCAGAGTACGAATGCTTTATGGAGTTAACAAAAAATACACTTTGGGAAAGTATATCTCCGGCGTAAATTAAAGTTATTAATGAAACGCATTCAAATATAACCCGGTCATAATTTTCTCTGGATCCACGCCTGTAAGAAGCATTTCAGAACGAGTGCGGACAAATAAGCTAAGCATAAAAACCCCTGAAGAAACTGATGACATGATTCTAGGTCATCTGAGGAGGGCAAATAAAGAGGCGTTTCCTATAAAAGGATAACTACTCCTAGACTCCTGTCATGATGCCACTGGTTCGAAAACAAAAATTGATTAAGAATTGTGAAAGCTGGCAAGGGGAAAGTACAGTAAGGCATTGCACTTTACGTTTTTCAGCTCATTCACATTACATGTTTATTGTTCCTTTGAAAAGGTCTTATAAATGTCGGAAGTTATTATAGGGAGGATAATACTTTCATGTAACTTATATATGCGATTAATGTTAAAGTGTAGAATAAAAACAAATTGTTTGCACGAGACGAACAATGGAACACACTTCTTCCAAAAGTTTATTGGCAACAAGCATCTTTTAGAAGGGGAAACTCTTGCTCTTAAAACTGTGAGCATTTGAGCCTGGTGCCACTCCATTTCACCGTCAAAATAACACATTGACATCGCAAAAGTAGCTAAGATTTTGAGAAAGACTTTGACAATGTGTAATGGCAGGGTAAAATTATACAATACTTCTAACGGAAGTATTGTTCCAATTCTCCTTACTAAAGAATTCTTGTCGACAGTTCTTGAGGTCACTCTTAAATGTTACAATAGAATCCTGCAGTTATCCAAAATAATTCTGAATTAATTTAACAGGGAAAAACTTTTTGTCAAAGCATTGGAACATATTGATACAAAAGACATAGTAACCCGGAATAGCTTGTAATTTGATGATAATTATACGCTAAAGAAATCTTCAACATATACTAAGAATGTCATGTTGACGAATTTTAATGGGTTTGTCTTTTCCGTGGAAGATTTTGTGCTTAACATGATCGACTCGTTCAGCTTGTTTGCACTGAATTAGATATAGACTCCTTTGCTTGGAATGCTCATTGAGCACAATTTCTTCAACTTCTCTTTCACTACGTTTTCTGCAATCTGAAAACAAAATTGATCAACATTATAATCTTATTCTAGTGTGATTTAATGCAAAAGGTAAAATGGCAGAGGAAAATAAAAATTCAGTGTGAGTTGCAATTTCCAGGAGTAATGACTAATGTGGCACCCCGCCTTACTGTAGCAGCCTAGATATTGTACCCATTCACAGCTGGGTGGACCATTCAAATAAAAAAATCCGAAACGGAACTGGAACCTGGAGCTTTTCATGTAGAATGCAAGTGTGTAAGTCATTACGCCAAGATAATGGTGGGTTAAGATGTGCGAAAATATTTTTCTGGATAAATATTGAAGTTTAATTGTAAACGTAAATTTATCTCATTTAACCTCTAGAGAACTCAACAAAAAATCGGCTTAATCATTTTCAAGCTTAGTATCATTAAATAATCAAAACATTAATTCGAAACATTAATCAAAACGACGAGTTTGACAGTCGTATATAAGAAATAAACAAAATTATAAATAACCAGATAAAAGATTATCTACAAGAAAAACAAGAAATTACCTTTCCGAAATCTATGAAAATGTCCTCCTTTAAAATAGGGGAGAATGACTTGACAGCATTCACATCAAAGGAATGCGCCTCCGTTACCAATATATACAAAATCGCAGATATGGCATGAACCTGACAGTATGTTAACACTGAAAGACAAACATTAACAAAATAAGATCTACGGACAAGCCGCAACGGAATTCAAGAACCCAATGGTCATAAAAGAGAAGAAAGGGAAGAAAAGAGATGGATTCTTTTTGATTCCCGAAAATAAAATTAAAATAAAATACATCATAGATTTGGAGCTTATCAAAGCAATTCAATATGTACTTATGGCAAGAAAATTAGTGCCCAGACAGAGAGGTAAAGATAGTAAGAAAGATAGTAATGTACTATCGCAAGGCTCAAAGGAGTTTTTGGATTGAACAAGACCAGGGCCTCCGACGAAGGGAAGGGGGGGGCCGGGGCGGCCTTGGCCACTTTTTTGCAAAACAATAGAGTTTTTTTCAAAATCTTTTGTTATGGGTGTTAAATTTTTCCTTGGCCCCCCCCCCCCACTTTTCAACCTTTATAGGAGCCCATGAAGACTATATCAAATGTGTATAAAGATAGAATATAATTCCTATTCTCATGTAGGGCTAGGCCCTCGTTCTGTATTTCCTAATGCTGATAAGACCGTATTCCTCTCGTGCTGTTACACACGTCCGTTCTCTACCCTTGGTTCCAAACTCTACCCTTGGTTCCGAACTCTACCCTTATCTAATCTAACACGTTGCTACATACACAAGCGCTGTCAGCAGAATAATAAATTTTAATAACGCGTCCATTTCGCAACATAACCGAGAGATCAAAATACTTTATTATACTAGGGTCAAAATTCCATAACAAAGACTATCAAGATGTGGAAAAGGTTAAAGGTGATACTTCTTGCACTATTGGAGACAGGCTTTATGAAATATTGGAGGTGTGCAGGTTTGTGGATCAGTTTCGAGTGATTTGATAGCGCAAAAAGAGATAGCACTATCAACTTAAAATTAGTTTGAAAAGCATTTTAGAGATAGAATCAAGGATTGTGTGAACTGTTGCTTTCTAGTGGACTGTCACTGAATTTAAGCACTTTTAAATAACCAAGAATGGTGGACAAGAAATTTTGTTACAGATTTATGTGACGTGACTTGGCAATATGGGATTGTTTTGTCTTCCAGTAAAATAATCAGCGTCTATATTTGGGTTAAAAATGTGATTTGATCTGGTCAGAATTAAACGAGGGGTTGAGATTGCGTCAAAACGAAAAAATACAAAGGCATTTGGCGAGCAAAGTCTTCTTGACATTAAGGTGATTCTAAATTTGTATACAGAAAAGCAAAAAACTTGATTTTGTTGGTCACTGGTCGCTGATTGGTCCATAACAAGGACCAATCAGCGACTGATATATAACAAGCTGGGAACGATAGAAAAATAAACAGAAAATAAACCGCTTGAAAGGTATTCGACTTTAATTTCGGATATTTTCCTACAAACTGCTTCTGAAACCTATGCAAGACAATGTCCTGTTGACGTCCTTTTTGAGATATCTGCGCAAATCTCTGTTGGATGACACGTGGATAATAGTGCTCAAAACACATCCGCAGGCAATAGCAATATCTGCGGCATCGGACAGTATGGCGGATGCTAGATTTTTGTTGTTGATAAGAAGGCCAAAGGCCCCCAGAGAAGCTAGAAACCAAGTCAATAAAAACGATAGTGAGATCCCTAGGCAATAGAACACAGCGTGTAGCTCTGCTTTGAGGTTTCTTGCTCTTGAAAGAAGATACCTCTTCTTTGATGGCTTGTGTTCCTTACTCTTCGAACTACGAGTTCGATCAATTGAAGCGTGCTTTTGCTTTTCTTCCAATACGAAATTCGATTCTTGATTTATGGTGGATAGCCGATTTAAGACAGATTCATGATCTGTTTTTGATTCATGTTTCTTGCAAAGGAATGCACCATTTAGTCTTGAAGAAACGTGTTCACGTGGTTGTTGCTCTGCTTTCTTTTCCCTTTGATCAAGCAATACACTCTGTGCTGATCTACGATAACTGTTATCTAATGACTTGATACTTTTTTCAAATTGACTTTCTTTATTATTCCCCGTTACGATGTTATAACATTCACTGTTTTCATTCCTCATTCCAGAATTTGTCTGATCTTTACATCCACTGTCTGACGTGCCAACCAATCTATTTTCTAAGTTGCTCTTTTCTATATCGCTTGTAACTGCCAAGTTACTATCTGGTATCCTCTTACAGACAACTGTTTTGGGACCAACTTTCACAAAATGAGAGGAATCTTCCTGTAGATCAGAAGAATTACTTGGCTCAATATTCGTAAAAATGCCACCAGGCTGATCAACATTTACCTCTCTCTTGATACCCTCAGACAAGCATTCTTTGTCATTAACCACAGAGGTGTTACTTAAAACAGTATCCTTGAATCGTTCATACTGTTTCTGTAATCGTTCATGTGAACTATGTTTTGAGACTGTAACGCTTCCTTCTTGCTGATATTGTTCCCCGATTTTGTCCTCAAGGACAGTTTTGTTAGTGTTGCTTTCTTCGTAACCACCATTATGATTTAGACCAGGCTCAGTGGCGTATTCATTGACAGAAAATGAATGGCCTACGGGAACAGTTGCTGTGAGTTGCCCAATGCTACTTTGTTTGAATGAAAACTCGAATGAAGACTTCGTCTCTTTAATGTTCTTTATCTGCAGTATGACTTGTTTAAACATAATAGCATGTGATGTGGACATAACAATAAAGGAAGAGGTCAAAGAAATAGTTATAACATAGCCATAGAATGCAGGTAGGTATCTCGTGTGCAAACCCAGCACAAGAGTGATTATCATAATTGTCAGTGCGATTAGCCAATTAGCAGTCAGAATTTTACGGAATCTTGTGTCTCTCATGTAAGTATCAATTTGTAGCGGATACATAATAACAAGCAGCCTCGATACAGTTAAGCCAACGACGTTAAGCAATGAGCTCAGATATGAGGCAACTAGAGCAGCAAGTCCAACTTTAAACAGAGTTCGGTAATTTCCCTTTCCATTATCAAAGGCATACAGATCATAGATCACTACCTGGAACAGATCGTTTATGCCGACAAGCAGGTTGGCGATACATAAATGATACACAAAAATGTTAAAGCCTCGTCGTAGTGAAGAGTTCTTTGAAAAAACTGCAATAAGTACGCAGTTTAGCAAAACGGCAATCGCCCCAAAAACACCAAGCAGCAACTTAACGATCAGCGTATGCATTTTTCATGAAAACAAGTTACCAAGTTGGAGGATTGTTTTTCTTTTACGTGCAGGAGAGAACTGTTTTCTTGACGATCGGTGTTTTGAGATGCTTTACTCAAAAACTTACAAGTAGAAAATGTTTTTTTATTGACATGTTAATAACAGCTTCATTTTATATATCAAAGTTAACTTAATATTTTCCACAATCAAGAAAAAGAATATTTATGCTTTCAAGAGGACCATAAATAAAGTCATCCAATCATCTTAGCTAGTTTCCCCCTTTCTTCATGATACATACGAGACAGACTTTCAAAATCGACTGACATCAAAGAAGAACGAGTACGTAGAAACAACTAGTAATGGCCAACACTAGCGAGAATCAACCAATTTCTGGATTTGATTATCATTGTTTCCATTTGCAGTGAAAACTAGTTTTCACGTGCCTGATCGTAAGCCTTCTTGCTGAATTGTTATTCACAGTCTTCTTGAAATAAGCGTCTTCTCCCAACGTGACTATTTCAGTTCGGTGTCTGATCTACGATATACGGTATTGAAGAATTTTTGTAGCTTGTAAAAACCGAACTTGATCTCAGGCTAGGAAAAGATACTTTGAATCAAATGAACCTGCACATAAACCGTTTTGGAGATGTTATGTCTGACCAATTATTATTTCCAGCACAGTCACAGGCAATGCAGCTGTTCTTGTAGTTGGACAAAACCAGAAACAGATTGCTTTGACAGTAACAAAAATCAAAGTTGTTTCTTCACAGACATCCTGTAATCATGATTTCTTGGGTCATTTCAGCCACACAACCTTAAGATGGCAGCAGCAGCTGATCAAACAAGACCATAATACAGAAAATTAGTGTGCTCTTCAAGATGAACACACATTAAAAGGTGACCTGCAGTATCCATGTATTTCAGGAGTCCCACACCATCAAAAAGTGCAAAAGAAACAATATGCAAAAATATTACGAAAGACAGATTAGAGGGAGAGTCATTATTTTGATGCTAAGACATATATTGAAAGGCCTTCAACAAGAAAGTACAACTGTTTGGCTTTTCACTTTAAAAACCTGAATAATTGATCAGAGGCTGTTTACACTGCAGACAGACAAGGTGATTAACACTGTAGACAGACAAGGCAATTAGTGTGACTATTCCCCAATATCTTGCAGCCTTAATTAAAAGAGCAGATTTTCCAGCAGGATCATGCACATTCTATTCAGCAGGATATTGTGTGTTCTAGTATTTACTTAATGTGGTGTTTTCATTCCAAAAAACTTGCTAATCAGAAAATGACAATAGAATCTATGCAGGACAATATTCAAGCGAACAAATTATCCTTAGGTACAAGAATTTAAAAAACGATTCAAGCTTTGAGTTCTTCAATGACTCTAATATTATTAAAGGTAACAGTAATTTTTTGTGATTTTGTTGGTGATTTACAAGAAACAGAATCTTGAACAAATAACTTTAAAAGAGAGTTCCAGAACTGAATCACTTTCTCATATTTTAAAGTTTATAAATATTTGGTTTAGAAACAGCCAAGGGATAGCTAATCAATATCATCAGTACTTCAGAAAATTTTCAAATTATAAAAGAACATTATTGGAATACAACTTTTAGTGTGTTTTAATTAGAAAGCCTTGTTTTAATTAAAAAGCCAAGGACTGTTGCAGGCATAACTGCTGTTATAACCTAAGAAAATGTAAAAACTATCTATTTACACAGCATTTCAGAATTGTGCAGCTGATTAAATGGCTTTCTTTGTCTTAAAATTTAGGCCTAAGAACACTTAAAATCAATGAACAGCAGCCATAACCGTAGAAAGCATTAAATCTTGTTCAATCTTCTCTGCTCCCGATTATATGTTATATCATTGTAAGTTTTGATCTTTTTAACATATGCTATGCTTCAAAATTAATACTTCAAAAAGAAAAAGGCTATCAGCAACGAGCTTTAATAGCCTTTATAAAAAGAATAAATTCTTTAATTATGATATTGAAAAAAATCTCTGAACTACAAAAGCCTATCAAATGTGATGCACACTACACGAAGTAAAAATCCTTTGCTGAAGAAGTTAAAAACATAAAATAGGTAACCTGCTGCAGGAATATCTTTCACCAGGGTTGGTTTGGGTAGCGATGGATAGCAAGTTTCTCCATTGTAAGCATCTGTTTTCAATTGACAGAGGAAATCTGCTTCTTCAACAGGATTTTCCATCTGGACATTACATTGTGACAATGATGACAAAACTATAACATGATCTGGTTTAATAAAGCTGAGAACCTATAACAAGAAAGATCAAACATAAAAATATTTGAAAGCAATCAAAATGAATTTTCTTAAAGATTCTTCAACAATATCATTAATGGTAAAGCTTTTTTAAGGCACTGGGTATTAATTCACTGTTTACTCTCTGAGGATGGCTGTTTTATAAAGAGAGGCACTCAAACCATCTTTCTTTATCCAGGTCTTTAAGAATAGCTTTGGGTTTTGATCTTACAACAGGGAGGTTAGCATGCCCCACATGGGGGTATCCCTCCAGCCCTCCTCTACTGCCACCTAAAAAGCTTCAGCTTTATCAAACTATCAAAACTTGCATAATAAAGCCCTTTTTAAAAACTTTTTTGAAAGGCAGGGGGGGGGGTGTTGTGAGGTTAAAAGGGAAAAATTCTGATACCATATAGATTTGAAATTAATCCTTGGTCAAGCCAACAGGAGAGGTCAATGTCAATCACTGACCCTCTCTGGAATTGGGTATGAAAATATGTATCCGTAGACTCAGGTTGATAGATGAGTGGGAGCTGTGACCCCTGAATGGAAAGAAAGTCATCAGTTTCCAATGGGCAAAGATGATGAGAGGTAGAGGCAAGATTCTCAACACAAACAACCCCATATTTAACCCCAATAGTATTATTAAGGCCTCATAATATCATTATCATTATAACATCATCATTGAATTTGTGACGGTGTATTTTAAGCCATTCCTTGGACAATCCTTATGAAAAGAAACAAAACTTAAAATTACTCTTCTCTTCTCTCCAGAACAATACAAATCCAGCGAAAAACAAGTGTGCTTGGATAATTTTCACTTTACCCATGAATATATCATAAATCCTTGTTACTTTATCATGAGCAGACTTGTCAGAATGATATTTTAGCACAAACTTTCAGTAAAGCCTAACATTATTTTTATGGCAAACAAGTCATCTGATTGACTAAGTTTCCAAAATGAAAGAGGTTTTTGTTCACTGAATGAATTTATCTTCCTTCAAGAAGGCAAGGAAAGATAGATTACTAAGCTGCATTATCAGGATTAAGTGGCTAATAGCCAAAATTTTAGAATCAATGAGCCAAAAGAGAGCCCTGTATGACAAGCAGGGCCATTTGTTTTGGTTGATTAAAAGGTTTCACAAATGTTTTTGCTTCTGGAAAGCCTTTATGGTTTTTGCTAAGAACTTTTGTATGCTGTAAAAGTACCATATTCTATGTGCAAGGTTCCTTTCAAACTTCTTTAACAATTGTGCTATTTGGTCTGTAGAACAGGATGGTTCAAAGTTCCATAAACCAAGCTTGTACAATAGTAAATTAAATACTATATAACAGACCAGTAAACTGTTACTTTCATCTAAGAATTAAAACATTATCGTATTCGAATAAAATCATGTGGAATTTATTCACGTATCCAGTTTATATCATAATATATACAACATTGAACTTATTTGTTGTAACATTATTTTTTAATTTTGAGAAGCAGTATCTATCTGTGTGATGTTACCTTTGAAGCCCATATTGACATATATTTTTGGTCTATTTGCTGCTTCATTTGACATATCATAATACCAGGCTGGTTAGTAAAGCTGTAGAGAAAACATGTTTTATCCCAGAAGGAGTTTTGATGTACGGTATTACCGTATTTGGACGGAGAATATGGTCCTGAAACCAATCCAGTTATTTCAACAAAATCGTCACGGTTAAGAACATATGCATCAGAGAAAGCTGCTGATATATCATCAGTTGTGATTAGAAGCTTTGAAACTTTAGGGAATTCTTCATTCTCTGAGATAGTTTTTTGTTTGAAATCTGGTGATAACCTCACTATGAACTGATCTTCCAACTTAAAATCTTCTTCGTAACTTTGCTCATCTTGCTCTTCTTCAAAATCTAAAGCTCTTACAAATGCATCGTTTAATTCCCATCCTCTGAAAGGGGTAGCCATTGCTTCTAGCTGATTAGTAACTCTTCAACATTGCAATATTATAACGCTACATCTCCCTTTCTAGCCTAGTCGAAAATGCCATCTTTTACCTACCTCGTGCTCGTGCCCGAAATAAACCTCAATATAATACCTGGCCTCGTTGTAATTCATTTCCAACCACGCGACCTTTAAAATGGCGTTGGCCAAAAACGGGAACAAGGAGCATGGAAGCATTGAGGTATATTTCGCGAAAAAACTTGCCAACAACGACAAAAAAGTACGCGACCGTGCTGTCAAACGAATCAGATCATGGCTGTCAGGTAGACCTGGAGATACGTTTACAGATCTTGATATTATGAAACTCTGGAAAGGGCTCTTCTACTGCATGTGGTTTTCAGACAAACCACTCGTCCAAGAGGACCTTGCAGATTCACTCTCAAAATTGATCCATTCAATGAAAGATCTATCAGCTGCATACAAGTTTTTTAACTGCTTTCTCCAGACTATTGGTCGTGAATGGCATGGTATTGATAAATTAAGGCTTGACAAGTTCTACATGCTTGTAAGAAAAGTCGTGAAAGAAGTGTTGGAATATGTACATCAAACAAGATGGAACGAAGACGTCTTGAACAAAATGTGCGAAGCTTTACTTGCAGGGCCTTGCAGTGTAGCAACAAAGTCGTTTCCTGATGGTATTAGGATGTTTGTGGCAGAGGTATTGCTGGATGAGCTACAAATAGTTGTTGGAGAAACTCATCCTCTTGCTGCAAGTTTGAGCAAGCTAATTGATCCTTTTATAGTATTGTCAGCGCAGAATGAGAGTATTATTGTTTTCAAATCAATAGAGGATGAATTATTCAAAAAATTGCTTTCCAAAGAAGAAGGATACAAGCTAAGTTTTGATATTGACTTTGAGACCATTGGCACAAGAATCTTCCAAGAAGCCACCAAAGACAAAGTATCCACTAAAAGAAGGAAGAAGTTGCTTAGATATTCAAATTTTTTCAAAGAAGCCAGCAAACAAAAAGAATTAGATTTAAGTCTTCAAAAACAGGATGCCTCAGATCAAAAGAAAGTAAAGAAGGAAAAGAAGAAAGCAAAGAAGAGAAAACTAGAGGAGAGTGAAAATCAAGGCAAAAAAGGGAAAAAAGGAATGAAGAAGGTAAAGGAAGAAGACCCTGGTTTACAACCAAAGCCTTCAAATGATAAATCTAACAAGTTAAATATTGAAACTACAGATGAGGCTAGCTTGAAAGTCAGTGACGAAGCAGCCAAGGAGGAAAACACAGTTGTGGCGAAGAGTTCAGACACAGATATGGTATCAGGTGATCAGCAGTCAGAAACCCAAGACTGCATTGTTAAAAAGCTAGATTTTGAAAGTACCTTCACACAAGATGAGTCATCAAAAGGTGCACAAATGGATAAAAGTAAGAAAAACCTATCAGCAAAGAAAAAGAAAAAATCAAATCGAAAATCAACCAGTGTTGAAAAAAGTTTAACTGATTCTGAGTTAAATGTTAGCTTAGATCAAGCAAAGGACAAGGCAAAAACTGAAGATCATGGCAGTACCCTCAGTGCAGGTTGTCAAACATCAACAAAAAAAGACCAGTCTGCAAAAACAAGGAAGGCCAAAACTCCCATTTCAAAGAAAATAAGTTCAAGCCCAAAGGGACCAGTGACGCGGTCAAGCACTAAGAAAAAAGTTGTTTTTGAATTATCAAGGAATGCAGTCACTACAATTTCCAAATTGAAAGTTAACCCTGCTAGTGTTTTCACTCCAGAACAAAAGCCAGTAAAAAGTGCATTAAAAACTTCAACACCTCGTAGAAGAGCTTCTGATTTCTTTTGAGTAAGATATTATTAGTTTAATTGTACAGGTACATTAAATTGATAAATAGTGCTTGAATATCAGTATGATTTTATTATTACAATGCATTTTTTTCTGGAATGCTCCTTTAGCATATTGTTCTTATTGCAATGCCACTGTATGGTCATTTATAAAGCTTTTTGATAGTTTTCAAACATATTAAGTTTAATTTTTGATAAATTTTAATAAATAGATTATTCCTTCGGCTTTTAAGTTATCTATTTTATTGAACAAATTCTAAGTCATTTTTCTTTTTCTTTGGGACTATATTTCCGGAATAAGACCCAGCAAAAAGTGGTAGCCACCTGAGGGGGGGGGAGGGGTTGGAGGGGGTGGTTGCCCCAAATATTTTGGAAGACAATTGACTTTTGTTCCAAAACATTGAACATACACAATGTCATCTTATCAAAACAAGAATATCAAAACAAGTTGCTACTACTTCCAGCAAACTGTGATTTAGCCATAAATAAAACACATCAATTCAACAGTATATGATAGCAAAATCCAAATGATTTCCTCTGAACATTTCCTGATTACTTGGAGTAACTAATTACAATTTTATAATCTATACAAATGGAAAGTTTTTGTTAAAATATCTTTAAGTCCAAGATGGGCTGGTTTTGACTTTAAAAGTTGCTTTCTTGTAACAACAGAAGTAAAAACTAATTTTTGGGAAAGTCCTTTTCATCCAGATTGTTTGTCCCACCTCCATACTGTTCCATCGTCACAAGTTGCAATCAACACGCTGGTAAAATAGAGAGAAATTCCAATAAAACAGTTGGATACAGGAAAATTTTAAAATCACTTTAATGCATCTCAGCTGAATATATTGGAGGAGTTAAGGGGTCATTCTCATAATACCTACGCACAAAGTGGGGAGGAGGGGATCTGACGAAAAGAGTACATTGCGTACAGGTAGAAGGAGATGGAAGGGGGATAAGAGAGTTTGAATAAGTACACAAAATGTTTTTAGATACAATTTTTTAAAAAGAACTACATTGATCATCAATTTAAAGGTAGATCCATGGATTTTGGTTCATTTAAAACTTAATCCTCATAATTGCTTTGGGACTGGACTGTGTATGTGTGCAATGAGATCAAATGTTGCATGTGGTGATCCAAATAAAATCATGCTTTGCACAACATTTGCTTGCCGATTAATTTTAAATTGTTTTATCAAAAAAGTAATCTGCTATGACATCCTTCTTCTTAAAAGTCATATGGGCCAATAGTTTTTCAAAGTCCAAAAGTGCCTAAAAATGAAAAGTTTTAAAGGCACTTACCTTGCATCTTTGTTGAAACAGATTTGTCTAATAGTTGTTGTGCACTTTGGATAAGTCAAAGATACACATCTACAAAACAAAGTAGCTTTGATAAAAATATGGACTTATAAAAGAAAAATCACAGATTAACCAAAAAATATCACCTGCCAATGTTTATAGATACAAAACAACAGTTTCCAGCACTTTTGAAAGCAGATGATTGATAATGCTTTGCGCTTTTCTTGAGTTTTTCTCAAGCTAATATGCACCCTGTGCAATTAGCCATAATCTCTTGTATGTTTACAGAAAGTTGAAGAATACCTACTTTGCATTTGCTGGTTGATTAACATCTAGATCCCAAAGGAATATTTTTCCAGTTTGATTGCCAACGGCAAGAAGCTATGCATATAGAAAAAAATTTCAATTAGTAATCACATTGAAAAAAGCAAAAGTTTTGAACAATAGTTCTAAAGCTTTTGGTCCGACACTTCTGCGTATAAAATGTTAGAATATAGATCAAAAATTCTACGCTAGAAAATATTTATACCCAGTTTTGGATCAAATAGACCAACCAGAAATGGGAGCACATGGCTTTAGAGGTTGCCCAGTTAGTTCTCATTTTTCTGATAGGCCTATTTTGATCTACAATTGGGTATATAAGGATCCAAATGTGATAGTAGTGACAGGCTTACTTTTAAATTGAAATCCATTGCAAATTTGATGAACCAAATGTCACACTGGTTGAACTCGAATCTACAAGAATAAAGAAAAAAAATTTGAACTTTGTAAAGTATATATAAATTCTGAAAATGGGAAAACCCAACTTAAAGAGCATCTCAGAAAGTTTAACATAGCTATCATTCCTAATTTTTGCTGTGCTAATTGATTTTGAGAACCTGGTTGTAAATTGAAAGGCTGAATACTTACTACAATACTCAAGCAAATATAAAGGATCAGGGATAAAAGCAAAAATTTGTTGCACAAGAGTGACAAAAACAAACAGGGACTATGAGCAGGAGAACTTGCAGAATTCAAAAACAAGGTTTAATCCCAGAAAGAGTAAATTGCATGAAATTTAGAAGCAAAATGAAGGATTAACATCTATCAAACTGAAGTGCCTTATAATTTCAAAAAAACAGCAAAAAGCAGAAACATAACATCATAAAAAGTACTTTTCATCTGAGGAGAGGGAATAGACATCTAATATGGCCCAAAGGTAAGAAGAAATTTTTATCCAGGTATGAATCCAAGTAACGCGAAAGGAATGATGGGGACATCTGAGAGGGGAAAATACTGTAAATATGGATCTGTTGTATATTTAAAAGAAAATGAGGTTTTCAGATAAAAACAATATAACTGACACTCACTTGTGAAGTACAGAAACCCCAGTTTCTGATGCACCTTGCTAAAAATGAGCATATTAAACAGTTAGCTTAAAGCTGACATAGCTGTTAGCTGAAAGCTCATCAAGTTAAAGCTCATTATCATAGCAATGTAGACTTATAAAAAGTTCTATCTTTGGCAACTTCTCAAGAATTCATGTGCAGTATGGCATTAAAATGATAACAACATTAGTCATGCTTAAATATAAAAAACCATGCTCAATGCTCAGGCTGGCAACAGGAAGCATCATATTAGAGAAAAAAGCTGCCAAAGGTACCTTTTGAAGCAGTTTGTCCATTGGCATTTTTGGTTTCCAGAGTATGACTTTATTATCACAAGACTGTAAAACAAAAAACTTATATTACCTGGTTATAAAGGTAATTTTTTTCCAATTTATAGGCCCAAAGTTTTTTCAGAGCAATAACATGAATATAAAAAACAATCTGTAAATCTTTGTTCACATTTCTGTTATATTTAAAGGTCTCTAGCTTTCTATCTGTTTTGATGCAGACGGGCAAATAAAGCATGCCATTTAAATACAAGTTGCTTTTTAAAGACTTAAATACAAGACCATCAGTTTAAATTGAACTTCAATAATGGAAACTTGAATGATTAGTCTTTAGAAATTGCATGCGCTAAAATTTACATTCAAAGCTCAATGTCAATTATCCTTTGAAAATTCACAGCTTGGATCCAGGATGAATTAGGGAAGCTCCCTGTTGGAACATGCTGCCCCCCTATCTGAAGGTAAATGAAGGTAAAGAATCAAACAGATTGCCAAAAGCCTGGGGTGATATTTAAGCACCAATGCTAGAAGGCCAGGCCCTCTGTATAAAATTTACTGGTACCACCACTCCTGCTGATCAATCCATGGTACTCTTATAAATTATTACATAATGTACCAACTGAGGGCTCAAAAAATTTCTTTATAACTCAAACAATAGAAATCGCTATCACTCCAAGAAACATAGAGCAGACAGATGTCTTTATCGGTTTTGCCAATACCTTTTACTTTTCATTTTCCCAGTCCGAGCTTAAGCCAATTTAACAGGGGGATATAAATTCTTAACAATGCTCCTTTTTGAAGCCATGTTTGAAGCAGCTTCATGTCTTAATGGCATAAATAACTTGACAAGGTTTAAAACTTAACCAGGTTCAAAGCATAGTAGGGCTGAAAGCTTTGATCCCATTTGGCTTTATTACCCGTTGTAAAAGTACCTGTTTGCATCTTTTAATGAAAGCTCTAATAGTAACACTCAAAGCCACAACGTGAAGTCAGGAAAAAATAATCAATGTTGATCAAATTTCACTGATGGTTTAGTCTTGTAGATTGACCTACTGAGTACTGATGGAAAATTCACTTAAAAACTATAATGTTTCTATTTTGTTAATGTTTAAAAGGCAACATATACAAAGATGATAAAAAAGGTGGTGATGAGATCTGACCACCCCCACCCCCAGCCCCCCCCTCCCAAGGGGCAATTAACTTTTTCAAAAGAACAAAAGATTTCTTGGGATTTTCAGAACTTCCCTCAAAGGCGTATAAGATTTCCAGGACGTAATTTTCCATTCAAACCCCTCCCCTGCATGAAAAACATGGTATTGCACACCATGTTAGAGACACATCCAATGGTATCTCTTACAATGATAAAAAGAGACGTAGCTCGAAATTTCAATGACAATATTGTAAACTAACGATTAACTGTGAAGTTTCCAAAAGGCCATTCAATGAATATCAGGACAAACTTTACAGCAGAAATCTAGACATCAAACATATTTTGACCCGTTAACATTAATTGCAATCCATATTTGAAATGATCAGGAAACTACAGCAATACAATATATATTAAAGTTGTCAATTCCCAGGTCTAGCTACCTCAAAAACCTATCAGAGGTTTTGCATAGTTTAATGAAACATTTACGTTTACAGCATTTGTGTGATACACTTAAAAGGTGATTCTAAGGCCTATCTTGTTTCAACGAGCTACCAATAGAAATAGCTATTCACCTGATTACAGAGCTTCCCTTATTGAAAAAAATGCTGACAAGGTTTATTTTATATAAATCTTATCATTATAGGTAAGGGTTAAATTTTCTGTGATGGTGTTCGAAAAGCTTTGGCAAAGTTGTTCGTTTTACGAATAACTTACCTATGTTTCACAATTTTTACCTCCTCCACTTATAACAATAATAATACAACAATGAAACAATACCTTTGAAAGGATAAGGTCGCCATACCATCGAACACAGTCTACGTAATTCCTATGAACATCTCGTGTCGAAAAGGCCGGGTAATGCACATTGAGCGGTAAAAAGCTCCTGAAATCAAGCAATTAGTGTCAAGCAATTAGTGCAACAGTAGTTCTTGAAAAAAAGTTAAAAAATCAACTTTCTACAAAAATATTTTCGTAGGGGTATATGCTTTAAAGGTGTGGGAAATACTTTTAATTCTTCTTCTTTATCCTTAACATTCTCTACTTAATGCTGGAGTCATTGAAAGCAGCAGGAAAACTGAACTTTAGAACTGTTTTAAATGACTGCAGAACTTCTTGTGCCTTGTTTGACTTCAAAGTCAGGAATCAGACTATGAATAATCGCATATAAGGGTAAAAACAATACTTTAGAATAATATATCACCAATACTTGTGCATTTAGAGGGATGGACAACAGTAGAAGCTGAGGGGAAATTTCCAAGTTTTGAAAGCAACTTTCCGTATTTCGTTGTGAAACAGGCAACTACAAAGAATTAGTCTTATGCATAACCCCAAAATATCTACCTGAATAAAACAAACCGTGGCACAAAAAACTAGAAGAAAGGCATTCCGTGGTAGATAGGAAAATTTAGGAAAGTTAACTTGCCTCAAATTGCCTTATACCTTAAATCCAGATGTACCTTAAAACCTCAAATTGCCCCCCCCCCCCTTTCGAATAAGCCCCCTCGAATAAGCCCCAACCCTGAAATTAAAAAACCTTTGAAAAGCCTCCACCTTCGAGTAAGCCCTCACTCGATAATGCCAATTTTAGGGTAATAGTAAGCCCCCATTGGTGCTTCATGGAGCTACAACAGGAGTACACGATTCACAACTCATTCAATCGGCGAAAGAAAAAAGCTTAAGAAATTATACTTTTGCGAAAAGACAATGCAAGAATATCGAAATTTTGATGTTTTCACTTTCACTCATACTTTTGAATGATATCTAAAAAAGAGTTATTTAGGTATATTGAAGATGATTTTAAAAATCGTGAAAAAGCTATAAAACGAGCTAAACATGTAGACACATTGTAGACGATTTTCACAAGTCCCTCTCGAATAACCCCCCCCCCTCCTTTGAATTAGCCCCCATGTAAAATTGCTAAAATTAATAAGACCCATGGGGAGATATTTCCAGGATTTAAGGTAACGGTAAACCCCATTCTTAATCTAGTAGGATATCTAGGGAGTTTCCATGAGAGCTCATAAGTAAGCATTACGTAAATGATCAATTAAAGTGGAAGAATGACACTGTAGCTACCTTGAATCAGCTGTTGGATCATGTTTGAATGAATCATCTATTCGCTATTGGACCAAGAAGAAATGATTAGGAAAAGAGATTAACTGAAAGATATTACTGAAGTTTAAGCATTGCTATAAATTTTGAGAAACATTTACCAGCGGGAAATAAGTCGGCTACAGAGCCTACTGCCAGCAAAGACAAACTACAATTGCGATATTACTGCTTTTTAAAGGAGAAGGAGTGTCATGAAATGTCATGAAGGAATGTCCTTCACGAAAAGAATAGTAAAAAAGAACTGAAAGCGCTGAAAGATGACCTAACTATAGCCTGGTAGACAGTAGACGGGTAGATAGATTCCTAACTAAAAATTATATATATATATAATTAAACCAAACCCAGGAATAGAAAAATACCCTTAGCTAACCCATATGTTTACCATTTTATACTTCTCTGTTTCCAAGGGCCAAATCTTCAAAGAATGATCCATACCACATGATACCAGCTTTGTTCCAAGTATGTCAAGATCCTTAGAAATGCAAGTAAAAGAAACCATGTTTGAAGAAGTGGAGGCGAAAGCGTTGTCTTGTTGCGTCTATACGTTATATTATCCTACTTATAAAAAATATGTCAATGTATTATTTGACTTTTATGAGAAAAACTTGCTGCAGTTGGAAAACTGACGACCACAACAAAAATTTCAAGAATACCATAACTATATCAGCAAAGTTGACATTGTGTTGGTAAGAAGACAAAACCATTTCTTCATTATATTTATAACAGACATCGCAAGAGAACTTGAATTAGAAGATAAAAATCTAACGACTAAGACTAAATTTGCCAATGAACAGATTTCCCCTTGTCATTTACATACCCAGCTTTATTCAAAAATTCATTCAATTAAAGGAAAGCTATGTTGAAACATGAATGAAATACATACAATGCTTAGAACTTCATCCCTATGACCATTGACACCTCCAAGTACACAAACGCATATATCAGTTTTGATATTCCAAATCCTTATCGAATGATCTGGAAGAACCGAAATGCATTAAAAGCAACAAAGAACATTTATAGTTCCTCTTGCAATCTTCTTATAATTTCATGCAATCACCTTTTTCAGTGACTTAGTTAATTATTTATAGTTTTAGCAATCCTAAGTACACAGCAGTTTGATGTAAAGGTATTCCATGTATACAATATTTTGTTATTATCGCTAAGTTGACAGAAGTCTAGAAAGACTGTTTAATAGACAAATTGGAAATAACGTTTGATAGGACATACACAGGAAGATCTTGTGTAAAAAGTTGGAAAACAGAAATATGGTGGTACTGTCATCACCGGGTCACAACAAATGCTGATTGAAACGCTTCGACGTAGCAAAATCCGCTTTAACTCTCGTTTTAACTGGTCATTCTTACGTCATGACTTACGTGCTCCAAATGACATCGTCATTGTAACTTTGTTCTTGTCAAGAGCGCTTTTTGGACTGTTTAGAAAAAGCGTTTTGAATAGTAGTGGGATTCAATAGAATGATTATAATTAAAATTATCTCTAGTAGCATTGGCTCACCTTTACTTGCTGAAAACAACAACAGCGGTTCCACTGGATGAAAGCGAAGCTCGTTTATACTGCTTCCATGGCCTTGATAGTACTAAAATGGCAAATGATAGTGACGGAACTTATGTAAGAGAAATATACCAGAGTGACCTAAATCAACTAGGCCAATGCATAAAGCTCAATGCATAAAGTTTTGACACAATATTATTAAACGTTGATATCATCAGCACAGCAGATGTCATTATTCTCAGCTTTACATGTAAACTGCCTTTTTCAATTTTATGGTAAAGTTTTAAACAGTGCAACTAACATTTGAGTATTGGAAACATAAGTTGACGTTTTGTTCGTATTAGTTAAAGCCTTCTAGATGAGATGAGTAACTTTCTTGTAGAGTTGGATTTCATCTTTGGGTAAGAGGTTAATTTGGGTTTGGGAAAAAATGAAATCGAGCAGTGTAAATACCTTGGTGCTCTGCCTTCTTGCAACACTGAAACAAATGATGCAAAACAAAATTAACGAATGTAGTCGCGATTCAGTGTTTTAATGAAGAAATGTACTGAGTCTGAGATGTCAGAACAAACCCAAATCCTTCAACTGGCATCATAAATCTGTTTTGTTTATTAAACGTGCAAACATTATAGCGTCTTTTATCATTTTCAATACAACTCATACAAAATATTCAACAAATATTTCCTGATAATAGGAAGCCTAAAACATATGAATCTATAAAGAAAGACAGTTTACATTTGAATCTATAAAGAAATACAACAACAGCTTAAACGATATATGGTAAAACAGATTCTTTGTTATATTTATTACCTCACAACATGGATGGCTCCTTTCACACCAGCAAATGCCAAGATCTGATCAGATGTTTCAGTATTATATGACCATGCACTAGTATAATAATTTTCTTCAGGCTAACATTGGGCATTAAGGGAACCAACAATGTTTTTCATGACAATGAAAACGCAAATATATTGTATAAACTAGCAGGTTAACTTTAGCACTGCACAGGCACCACACAGCCATTGGGCTAGCAGGGGCTATAGCCCCCCAACTTATATGCGATAATAGCCTGGAAAAGATTTTACAAGGTCTTCTCTAACACAACTTTGGATAGTTTACTCCTCTGAAGTAGCAGTTCTTCTTGACTGGGAACCTTTGTGTTATTTTATAGGTGTTTTATCTTGTTTAATGATATAATGTATTTTCTAACTTGGCTATCTTGGTGTTTTAATGACCTTTTATAGCTATTGATATCTCTGAACCAGACTGTTTATAAAAAATTCAGTAGAAATGAGCAAGAATTCTCTAAAAGGGGCCTTTCCCGGCATGCTGGAGGGCGTGACCTCGAAAAATGTTCAGATACGCCCATTCCAGCCCCTCCACTCTTAGACTGGTGCACGGTCCCTGGAACTGGAAACAGCATTTCAAATGAACCAAAGACAAACTGGCATAGGAATCTAATCAGCATTTTGCTGCTAAAGACAACAACTTAAAGGATACATCAGAGTCACAGTAATTCTGCAACAGTGTTATTCTTCCAGAGCCTTCTTCACATTTGTAAACTGAAACCTTGAAAGGGATAATGATAAAAGCTGCTGACACACACAAGCATTGTATTTAATTATATGCTAAATATTTGCTCAAACCATTGTCAGCTATTCCAAAAAAACTGCTGATTTAGTGTTTTGTCACATGTCTTTCAAAGTTAACATAATGGCAAATAAAAAATCTAAACAGCAAATGACCTACTGTACAAATCTTTGTCAGTTCTAGGTTTTTGCAATGCTGGGATGCATCTGAACCAGAGGGTTGTAGATTAAATATCTTTTTCATAGTTGGTTGGCTAAAGTGTCAGCTTGCTGGTAGGATTTTTTTGTGAAACAAAGTGTAATAGTGTATCTGTCTTTTCTTCATCAGTAAGTTTACATTCCATACAACATGGTCAGTGAAATCAAGGTGTACTCCTTATATAATTTGAAGGAGAAAAGTGCCAAAAATCATGGTCTTTTTAAATAAACAAAACATTTTTAAGTGTTATAAACAAGTATACTTTAGCAGACAAATAATCCCTTTTAAAAGGTAATTTTTTATTAATACCATCTAGATGCATCTAAGAAGTAACACTTAAAATCTCCATAAATTAAAAAGAGAAAACTCAGAAGAGACTCGTTTCTCTAGTAATTTGAATACTCACCCGATTGCTTCCAACAGTTGCAAACACAAGTGGATCTTTTTCATCATCATTTAATAACTGATAAAACTGTACTCCAAATATTGGTTGCTTGTGATCTTCCTGAAATCAAGAAATTACTTATAATCTTTCACTTACCATTTGAAAATGAAACACACATTTAAATGGGTACATTGTATTTGAAAGAAATGTGATTCACATCACAACAATGCCTCAACTGCCAGGTTCACAACAGTTACTTTTACATATTTTTTGAAAGATCACGCCAGCAGGGCAAATCAATCACAAAAAGATTTGAATGTATAACAAAACAATATCATCTTTTTTCCTACACATCAGGATCAATAAGCATAACACGGTGGAGGCAGTAACTTCTCATTTGCAATTTGCGATCAAAGGGGGTGCTTATTCAATCGGGGGGGGGGGGGGGGGGGCTCATTTATCAAAATGGCTTTATGGAATGTGCTCATTTAGGGGGGGGTGCTCTTTTCAAGTCATAACCAACATCGTGATGGCTTTTATAACCATTATAATTGTAGCAACAAGTTGGTTCTTGCAACCTGTTTATCTTCTATATATCCATGTTTATCTCTATATATCATCACTTTGCCTCCGCAAAGGGCATACGAAACCGTACAAAACAGGCGAAGGAAAAGTGCCTAGAAACTACACTAAAACATGATAGAAATGTAAGAGCAATGGCTCATTGGCCTCGTCAAGGCTTACTCTTGTCAATGGTGGTTTTGTTTCGGACAACAGAGCTCATTCCCCCGAAAATTGGGATGCAAAAAGGGAGGTAAATTGAGGGGTTTTAGTTAGACTATCTTAGTTCTCTTATTTTATATATCATAATGAAGAGATCAAGCAAGAATATGCAATAATAACCTTTAAATAGTTTGTGCATTTATAGGAAGCTTTGGTTTTCTGATATTGCTGTGAACCAAACACTCTTTTTCTTCTCTTTCTCTTCCCATATCCATCAGATTTTTGCTTCTTTTTTGATGCTTGTGAAGATGATATAGTGTTTGATGAGTCACTTTCATCCCCACTTTCATCTAAAATAAAACCCATTAGAATGAAAATTTGATAACATATTCCTAGGTAAAAGTGATTCACTCTAACTTTTAAGTTTTTTAGACATTGTTCCAAATTGCAGAAAAATTATGCAATTTTAAGAAAGAATCTCCCGAACAAGCTGAGATGATCAGCTCTCAAGGCTTGTGACACGACAGTAGAAAGGAGAAAGCCCTTTCTCTTCTTGTTTCTTTCTCAATCCTTCACTCTGGCGGTTTCCATTCCATCCAAGCCTTAAGGCTGAAATATACTATGCATATAAAATGGATTCGATTAAATATACGGCCCATATAAATGAAAAAATGTCTCCCTTTGCACTCATCCATTAAATTGAATCAGTATTTTAAAGCGTCCCCTCATTCCATTATGGACTCTGATGAGAAATGTGCTGCTGCTTCTGCTATTATTGCAAATGTTTTTCAAAAACAAAAGCGTATGCACAAAAAAATAAATAGGCAAAATAGATCTGTTAAGCTCTTGTTGACTGAAGAATTGAGCTGGGAGTTGATAACACGCTTTTGCAAGAATTATGTCTGGAAAAATATGACCAATGCCAAAAGTTTTTGAGACTGACTTGCAAAAATATTGATGAGCTTTTGCAGCTTGTCGAAATTGATAATCAACACAAGGCTGCGAGAGGCAATACTAGCAAAGATAAAATTATCAGCAAGGCTTGTTAATTTTGTTTGCCTTGCATCTCGGTTGCGATACAGCGACAGTCTTGTGTTCCAAAGACAGCTTTCCTCTCTCCATATATTTATAAACTCTTTGCCTTTTTTAATTCTTTGAATCTTTGCAGGCATTTATAAGAGTTTCAGAAAGCTGGGTGATCAAAAAATAACATGGCTGATTGAGTGAAGCTCTTGGAGTGCAGTGTGCACCATTAAAGACATGTCCAACTTTTTCAAAGGAAGTTTCACTTTGTTGAAACAGCTATTTTGACATCCAATTTTGAGTTAACACTGTTAATTTGCCAGTGATCCATTTTATCGAATCAATGCAAATGCATAGTGTATTTCAGCCTTTATCCAGGGCCTCTGACGAGAGGGGGGCAATGCCTCCCCCACTCTTTTTTGCAAAACATAACATAACATAACATAACATAACATAACATAACATAACATAACATAACATAACATAACATAACATAACATAACATAACATAACATAACATAACATAACATAACATATAAATCTAATGTTGTAAGTGCTTCTGCGCTTGTTCATTAATTAAAAATACTATTGTTTCATTAGTGTAGATTAGAGGTGGCTCAAGAGCAGGGGGAGGGGGGGTATAGGGGATCGATTGTGATCTTTGTTCAAATTTTTTTTATGATTGTTGAATTTTCCCTTGCCCCTCTCCCAACTTTGAAACCTGCGTCGGAACTCAAGTTATCTCAGGCTAAAAACTTTTTCCTGGAGTTTGAGGCTATTATAAAAAATCATCTAGAAAAAAGGCCTAAGATCAAACAATATAAAACTTACTCATTTCATTTTCAGTGTTAACCTGTGGGCTGTTGAGGTCCTCTGATTCAGTCTGCATCGACGATGTGTCTTCATCAAGCTCCAGTTTAAAAGTGGTATCTCCGCTTTGGTTTGTTTCAAACGACATTTTGAAATTTTCACCTACTTTCTGCCATTAAAAAGCGCGCGTGGATTCTCTTTCACCAAAACAAATCCGTCTGAGGCGAAATCCAGCGCAGCGACATCTATTTCCAACCAGCAACCAGTGCCAGCAACAGAGTCATCAACAATAATTAATACCGGGGCAGGGGACCAATGCCCCCAGAAATATCCCAATCTTATTGCAGAAGCTATTCAATATGGACTTCTGTGGATCCGATATGCAAATTTTTAACCATTTATGTTTTCATAGCCAATGGCGGATTGGCTCAGAATTTTTAACCGGCCATGAAGAGCTGAGGGGGCCCAGGTGGGTGTGGTCTGGGAAATGGGGATACCTTCTAGTAGAAAACTAAGTTAAAAATAATAAGAAAACTAACCTCAGATCCATAAAGGATGGTAAGTTTAAAATGAAAGAATATCTGAGGTGTGAGGAATCCTCATCAATCCTCTAAGAGCAAGAACAGAAAAGTTCAAGTCTAGTTTCTATCCCGATTGCCTGGCTGAATGGAATGAACTAGATCAGGAGATTAGACTTGCACCATCGGCTACTTCCTTTAAAAAAAAGTTGATCTCCAAAATCCGTCCTTCTGCTAGCTCTGTTTTTGGGATTCATGACCCAATAGGTTTATCCTATCTCACTCAAATTAGAGTGGGTCTTAGCAAATTAAGCTTTCATAAATTCAAGCACAATTTTAGGGATTCCATAAACCCAATGTGCCCTAACAACGATGGTATCGAGACTACGGAACACTTTTTGTTGCTCTGCCCCGCCTTTAAATTTGAACGACGAAATCTTCTCGCTAGAGTCTTTGAATTAGTACAATCATTAGGATATAACGATCTTTCAAATGAGGTTTTGATAGAACTTTTATTATATGGCGATAAAGACCTCCCAAACAACCTCAACAGAAATATAATCGAATTAACTCTCCAATATATTCACACAACTGGTAGATTCAAATAAGGTCACTGTTACCTTGCCACCAAGTCTCTTTTCATATAGTTTTGTATGCCTACTTATGCAGTATTTCCCGTTTATGTATATGTTGTATTTTACTATGTATGTATTATTATAATCTAGTTTATATATATGTAGTATTATTAGTTATATTCATATACATGTCATATCCCAGGGGGCAGTCATGTTATATTGCTCCTCCTGGGTTCTGTCCTTGTAATGTAGTTTAGTAGTTTGTACGTACTGTTTTAGGTAATTTGTTGTGTAAGTTTTTATACCGAATATATATATAAAAAAAAAAAATCCTCATCCCTACTGAAACTTAAACTTAAGTTGGCAGACCTGAAAGGAAACTACAAAGAAAAATATGCTGATTCTTTTTTAAGAAGGTGTGGTTCACATAAGGAATACATTAAACTCTTATTGGATTGTCCAAATTTCGATTAAAAACCTGAAATGGAAAAGACTTGTTTAGCGACAAATAAAGCCAAAGTTCAGAAAAAATCAATAAAACACTACAAATATTTCTTAAACCAAGGGATTGAATTTACTCAAAATTGTGATTTGCTTATACGTAGCATCAAGCTTTTGTTGTACCCAGTTGCGGGGTAACTGCTTCAAAATGGGGATTCAACTTTGTTATTATCATTATCAAATATTCTATGGTAACAGCTGGGCCCAGCTTGCAGATATTTTCATCAAATTAATTTTTTATACAGCTCTACAAAAATCTCATGCAAAACTCATATCTTATTTATGATTCCATAGCTAAATCACAACAAGAGACCCTTTGCCAAATTACGTCACACGACTTCTGAAAGAGAGGCCAAAAATCGAAAACGAGAAAGTGGTTGTTCCAATTTCTTTCGGCAGTCTATAGTTGAGTAAATCTCGTTGCACGCAAACCAAATAAATCGTTTTATATTGAAGTTCTCACTGGTCTAAGGTTATCAAATACGTTTTCATGGCGGAAAGTGCTGGGAAGAAGAAAAAGAAATCTCTCGGGCGTCAATGTGCGGCGTACGGATGTTACAATACATTCTACAAAACCGACGGAACCCCAAGTGGCCTACATTTTTTTCGATTTCCGCAGAAAAATCCAGAGAAATCTCGCTGGTGTAATTTAATTAAAAGAGTCGACGGACTTGATGGTTTTAAAGTAACCACATCTACATTTCTCTGTGAGAAGCATTTTTCCGACGCAGATATTAAAAGGAATCCAAACAAGCGACGTTTGGTATCTGGTGCAAAGCCATCTTTAAATCTGTATTCTAGCAGTGTTGCAACAGCTCAAACCAAGCCTAGGAAGCCTCCTCTTTGCCGTTCATTGGGATTGGGCCTTGGGACTTCTTTTGCTTTGAATGAGTCTTCTGAAGATGATGATAATGATCATGAGTTTGCTATGGCTGGTCATGATTGCGAAGAAGAATTAATTGTTTCTGGTGTTTGCTCCATGTCAACCCAAACAGAATTTTCATTTGTCAACTCTCCTGTTTATCTTCCTAAAGAAGCAGAAACTGATGAAACTGATGGCCAGATGTGCAATGAAATAATGAAAGTTTTTTTGGATTCAAAAAATTTAAAATCAAGAGCAGATAATTTAATGGCTGAAATTCAATCCCTAAATAATAAGGTAACAAAGTTGGAGTCTAAGTTGGCAGACATGAAAAAATCTCTTTTCTCTATTGAGAAGTTGAAAGAAGATAATTCAGCTGTGAAATTTTATACTGGTTATCCTAACTTTTCTTCTTTGCTGGCATGTTTTGAATATTTTGAGCCCAAGTTAAACCAGATGCATTACTGGCATGGAAACTCTTCTGGAAATTCTCAGAAATCTGATCGTGGCAAATCCAAACGTGGCCGCAAACGTTCTCTTACACATCTTGAAGAGTTCATCCTTGTTTTAATGAGACTAAAAGTTGGTTTGTTTGTTACTGATTTGGCTGATCGATTCGGAGTTTCAACTGCTTGTGTTTCTCGGATCTTTACTACTTGGATATGTTTCCTTTATCATGAATTGCCCATCTTATTTCCCTTTCCATCTCAAGAACTTGTTCGCCAACAAATGCCTGCACAGTTCAAAGATTTCCCTAACACAAGGATAATCATTGACTGCACAGAAATTTTTATAGAAGTTCCATCTATTATGAAATCACAATCACAGACATGGTCTGAATATAAGCATCATAACACTTGGAAAGTTCTTGTTGGCATTTCACCTGCTGGATGCATCACATTTGTTTCCAAACTGTGGTCTGGTAAAGTATCTGATAAAGAAATCACAAAGAAATCAGGTGTCTTGGCTTTATTGGAGAATGGAGATAATATAATGGCAGATCGTGGCTTTGACATCAAAGACATTCTACCTCCTGGTGTTAGCCTCAATATCCCACCATTTAAGGGGACAAGAGCACAGCTCACTGCACAGGAAGTTGAAGATACAGCATGCATTGCATCTGTGCGAATTCATGTTGAAAGGGCCATTGGTCGAGTCAAGAATTACCATATACTTGATGGTGTTTTACCTTTGTCTTTATCTCCTGTGGCTGATCAGATATTCACTGTTTGTTGTTTATTGACAAACTTTTTACCTTTTTTAGTTAATCCAAAAGATAAATGAATATGAAATAAAAGGAATTGTAACCTAAAGAAAACACTATTATCATGTCAATATAAAACATTTTTTATATAAATTAATTATTAAAAGCCAATAACCACCTTCTACAGGTATACATAATATGATGACATATGCATATATAAAGACATGGGTTTATATACATAAAATAAATTGATAATCAAAGAGGTTTTTGTGTTGTACATGAAAAATGAACAAGAAAAATGAAGTCACAATGTAACATGTCTTTATATATGCATATATTATATTTTGGTAAATTTGATAAATGCATTTTGCTTTTTTCAACTCAAGCTCACAAGGAAAGAAACTTCTGATTGACATAGTCTGTTATTTGAGATGGTTGGGATTTGAATTGACAAGAGCAGAATGCATTTTTCTAGTCAAAACAAAACTCTTACAGTTATACTTATTTTTATATATATACTTCACTTTTTTGTAATTATATAATATGATTTGTACCATTTGTGTTACTAATATCTTTATTACTTTAATGGTATTATTCTTTCTTGTATTTTCATTTAAAAAGGAATTATTCATTACTAATGAAAATTTGTCCAACCACCATGCAAATACAGTTTCAATCCTTGCTTTATGCGCTTTGTAAATAATTCCGGGAGAACTGCTCTACAATAAAAGAACTCTAAGCGTGGTAACATGTAGCTTGTCACAAAATCTACATCAAACCAAATGGTCTCAACAAATAAAGGCTCGCTGTTGCCAAACCAAACAACAAAATCTATTGTTTTCAACCCTGAACAGAACATTTGGCCTTGAATTTGGAAATAATAAGGATGTTGCCGCTTCAGCTTTATATTGCCACCAACATTCTGCAAAAAGAACTTTTTCCCCAAAACAGCTTCTTTCAAGGTACAATTAAATTTTGAAAAAGGGCATTTTATCTCCAGCCCCCACTTCTCATTCTTGTGTGTGACAATGCCATCTAGAGATGCACCAAGGTACAGACAGCTAGATGATAGAATTAAGCCAACATCAGAGACATGAGCATTGATACCTTTTTCTTTGAGGAATATGGTATAGAGTTCTCTAGCATGCCTTTCATATTTGTTACCATGCCTGGTTGCAGATGTAGAAAATGGTTTATAAAACATGGCTTTCAACTTTGAAGATGGCTCTATAGTGTTAACTGCAGCAAGATAAAAATTGGAAGATGTAATTCGGTACATGCGTTCCCTTTTCCACTGCTCATTTGATGATTGTCCACGTGTTCTCTTTTCAATGTTATCAATTTCTTCAGAGTTAAGGGATAGGTTCTTGCAGTGGATTTCCATCATTTGTTTAAAGGAAGGACTTGATATGTCATAGCATTCATTAAAGGCTATAGATTCATTCGAGGAAAGTATTTGCAAATTTGAAGATAAGGTTGCTATGTCCATTGCAGGAGAAGAAGGAGGTTGATAAAAGCCAAAGAAAGCACTGTTAGGGACACATTTTGCCAATTTCAATTTTAAAACTTCCAATTTCTGTTCATCAAGAACTTTATCAGCGGGTGCCCTTGGATCAAATGATTTGTAAGAGGGGTTGTTTAACCTTGCACCATCTTTCCCAAACTTTATTTTCTTAATAACAACATCCTCTATGGGAGCTGCAGCAAAAGAAGCAAGGGAAGAGGAATTCGGAACATTCCAAGCAGAAAGCCGTGATGTGCAAGATACAGGAGACGGAAACTCTTGTAAGCCACGTCTATTGAAATCTTCCAAGGCAAAAAGAATACCACCAACATGGTTGCAGTTGCCAAAACCACCAAGACCAATGCCAGCAGGACAAGAACATGCAGCAGCACAAACATCACCAGACACACTTGACAGCTTTACCATTACTTTATAAAGGTTTTTCTTCATTGATGCTTTGACACGTACATCAAAATATGTAAACATGGCATCTTTTGCAACATCCACCTTTCTAATAAATCCTTCATAGAAGAATTGAAAGGCTTTCAACTTCTTGTATGAAGTGCTTTTTAAAAGAACATGTTTGAACTTTGACGTCCTGATGACCAAGTACTCATAAAGTTGCAGGAAAATGAATACCGGCGTACCGCGAAGATCGGATGACCACGGCAGATGTTTAGTCTGCTGGTGCAAAGACTCGTAGGTGAAATCGTTTTCATTGCAATACAAAAAAGACTCATCTGGTAGCTCATCAGTTTGTTCTTCAGACTTTTTTGCACGGCAGAAGATAGCGTAGGCTCTCAGAACAAGATCAGCTTTGATGCCCCCTGTCTTCTCTTTGTACCGCTGCAATATCCTTTTTAATTCGGCCACAGTGAGCGTAGCCAAATCTTCAAAGCATTCAACATCCTTTCCTTTAGGCAGCAAATCCTTGAACGCATCCATAAATACTTCTTAAACTATAATCAAACACTCAGAAACGGAATGAAAAGATCTTTCGTAACTGATGGTGATAGGCCGAAGCGTTTGGAACAACCACTTTCTCGTTTTCGTTTTCTTGCCTCTCTTTCAGAAGTCACGTGACGAAATTTGGCAAAGGGTCTATTGGCTTGCTGTCAGTATTTCAGACTTAATGTGTGCTTACATAGGATATTTTTACAAAACCTTTAGGTCAATTAATCAATTCGACAACCATTTCAATCAAATGCTACCAGAAGTCGCATTTCTTTCCTTTGCATTATAAGAAACCATTGATCAGTCCTGTCCCCTTTTTGCAACAACTTTGACTTCCTTTCTGAGAATCACTTTCGACTCAAAGTTTCTTCGTCCATTATGTGCAATTTTGCTGATTCTTGTCATTTTCTTGACATCTTTTTTATGTCAATTTTTCATTCCATGAGGCAATACCTTACCCGTTCGTGTTTCATGCTAAACGGTCAAGCGCAAGAAAAAACTAGATTATTTTATTCGGTAGACGAATCTTTAAGAAGATGCAGCAGTCCCGGTTGAAGTATCATTCGCATGACTTTAGTAAAATAAATAGTTAACGTCGGAGTTTGCTTTAAAATTAACTACGGGATCACAGCTCTTTATTTTATTGCTAGCTTCGACCCTCATCGCAGGCATAATTTTAAGTGAAGTCTACAATTAATGCTGTGGATATAAAACTGAACCTGGATCTACGAAAAATCAAAATTCCAGAAAATCCATCTCATTCAAAATTCCAAATCCTTTTTTACCTTCCATAACTTACACAAGTCATACTTTTCTAATTTTCTAATTTTTACAAAATTTTCCCCCATTATTTGATTCATGTTAGCTATGGTAAATAGCAAAGCATTTCATAATTGTTATTGACACAAGCATACAGTATACTACCCCCCAATGAGACCATATTTTAGAAAAGTGGGGGGCTAGTCCGTCACTGCTCAAAACACCCTAATTCATACACTTTGCAGCATCAAATTACGACAGTTTAATAAAAAGGCTTGCCTTCAGGCACATTGCATAAGGAAATTTTACATTCTGTTTCAAAAAGTATTATGGTGGGTGACAGTTTGTTTGGAAATAACTATTGTCATACTTATGTTAATTCTGAATACAGTGGAAGCCTGCATATGGCCACTCCGTTAATACGACCACCTCGTTAATACGGCCACCGCGTTATTTCGGTCACATTTGTTTGGCCCGGAAAAACGGTCATACAAAGTCTCATTAAAAAAACCCCGTTAATGCGGCCTCCCGTTAATACGGCCAGCGGCCACATTTTGCAATCCCAAACAGCAAGATTCTTTATAATTCCACCCCGTTAAAACGGCCATTTGTATTTAGCAAAATGTAATAAAATCACAATAATCTTGTTCATTTTACAAAAGAACTTTTCATTATCAAAGTCACTTGCTTTCAGGTGTGATTGCCCCGACTTAAAGTGATTGGCCGGAACGCAGAACGAGCCAGTCAAAAGTCACCGATCTTTTTGCAAAATCATGAACATAATTTGGTGACTAAGGCCCAAGAACCTAGGGCTTCCGTTTCGTTTTGTTTGTGGATTAGTTATTTAACATTTTTTATAACTTTGCCTACATTTCCAGATGTCTACTAAATAGAACAGTTCCTTAGGATGTTATTTTTAATTTCTACCCCTTAAACTCCAAAATTTGACCCTTCCTCGTTAATACGGCCACCCCGCTAATACGGTCAATTTTTGGTGGCCCGTTGGTGGCCGTATTAACGGGGTTCCACTGTATATAGTTCGACATATCTACTTGAGGTTCTTATTAGCGAATAATATACTTGTGCAGGGGTTTGCAACCTTTTTTGAGACTTGGCCAGATTCTTTAAACCTTTTTTTTAAGCGGGCCAAATGTTAAAACCTTTAATAACCTGAAAACTTTCAATTACACTACAATTATGAACCTCTCTTTAACTTAGATAAATTGCAACGATTGATAAGACTTGTGAACAATTTCTAGGCGCTTCAGAACTTGAAAATGGCTTTGAAAAAAGCAAACGTTTCACAACATACTACTAAAAGCAATAGATAAGACTGTTACAACCGTACGTTCAAACGGGAATCTTGCAAATAGCCAACCAAAATTAAAAAGGATGATGTGATTTAGGGTTTGGAGAAATCATACTAGAAAAGAAATACACAATTATCCACCATTCAAAGTTTACGTTAAATATACGTAAACACCAATTTATCCAATATAGCCCCCCCCCCCCCAGCACACTAGCAGATGAGACATGAACTTATAAGGACAACCGTGATCCCTTCTCAACTGCTATAAGTGCGCTGAGTAATATTCATTCGTGCTGCATTTGTTAACTTTCGTCCATTCTCTCAAAGATTCTACTGTCTTGTCATTAAGCAGGATGAATTTGTGACAACAGATAGTGAGCCAATGATTCCCAAGTTTGATAAAGATGTTAGATTATCTAATTTTGAATCGATAAATTTCATTTAATATCTGCGACTCCTCGGAAAATCATCCTTGCCAATGAAAAAGAGTTTCAATACAAAATTTTTAATTTCGCGGGCCACAAAGATTTCCTTACCGGGCCGGATTCTGGCTCGCGGTCCGTAGGTTGCCTACCCGTGTCGTCAGCCAATAATCGAAATTCAAGGGTGTTTGAGGAGTAGTAAATGTCATTTATCTAAAGTGAGGGCAGCATTAGTGCTGGCAGGCTACCTTGTGGGACACCATGACTTATAGTCAATTGATTTGCATTTACCCCAATAACGGAAACTTATACTATAATGTACTAATTTATCAAGCAACAACAGAAAGCATTTAATCGTTTGGTCGAATATCCGTTTGACTACATGGCAGTTTTTCAAACGATATCACTACTCTTATTTTTTCAAAACTCTTAGGTGTTATCGTGATCGAAACATTTCACCTTTGTGTTTTACACCTCAAGGCCCGTTGGAAAGACGGATCATATATCAATACTTTACCGGTGAGGAATTTACCAATACTTTAACGACCTCTAAACAAATAAGTAACAGCACATCTTCGCAAAAATCTCTATAATCATATGTTGTTTCATTAAAGTTGAACCATATAGTGTCTATATCTTTGGTCGAAAGCATTCCCATAATTTAGTTTGAATTTTATTGAGTTTTTAATTGTAGAGCCTCTTGCTAGTGTCAAAATATGCCTCGGCCAAAATTTTGAAACATTTTATTTTGGAAGAACGTATTTATAAATTGAAAGAGTGCATATCAATACAACTTGCATAATATCAATTTAAAACTAATATTAATATGTCTTCAAGTTTAGTCAATTCTGACATTTAAGAGAATGATGCTTTGGCAAATTTTATAGCTTCGCTTTTAAGCATATCTAGTATAAGTTTGCTCCATAAAGAATGGTATTTAGGGAGATAAACTAAACAGGGACCACGGTAAAGAGTTTTGGTTGCCTTGTAAAAGCCAGTTACATTTACAAACGGTTTCTTTTTAATTCTTCAAGTATATGGAAATAAAAGCAATTTTCTTACAAACACATTTCTCACAGTTGGTTACCTACATGTCAATATTTGGCGAATAAAGAATAAGATAGAGACTTTTTGCTACCAATAGATGTCATCGTATTTCTGAGAAGGGGAGGTCATTTTTGTGAAGGAAACATAAATAAAAATAGAGGATCGATAAAAGGTAAGTATTTAGCTGAAAAATTCACCACTGAGAGAAACAACAATAGTTCTAAAGGTAAAGCAGAACGAATAGCACGTATAAATGTTCTGGAATCCTTACAACCTTTACAGTTGACAAGGGCCCTGGTGTTAATGGCGTCATTTGAGGATCTTCTTTATGACGACGTTTTTACTTTTTCTTCCGTCAAAGAAGCAGCAGATAGCTTCCTTGTTGATAAAGAGTTTTTCCAAAATGCATTGCTGTATTAGTCATCGTCCAGTTCTTCTTCGTCACTGAAATAGGAACTTTTCTTGAACTTCTTTTTAGGTACAGTCTTTTCTTCTTCTGTCCCTGTCGTTTCAGGCAGGCCTGCAGCCCGCCTTTCTTGTCTCTGCTTTTCTTCTTCTACTAGAGCATTCATTTCAATAGTGAAGCTCAAACTTGACGTGTGAAGATCCTCTGGCTGATTATCATCATCTTCCGCATCTTCCTCTTCTTGCTCATCCAAATCATCACTATTTAGATAAAATAATTAACTTACCATTTTTGTTAATAGTTGACTGATCTTCTTGTCATTTATAAATTTATTTATAACTGGTGAAGGCGATCTTATAGCTCTTGTTGTTTGATAAAACGTCGCAAGGTACTCTTATCATGCTTGGGAGCTACATACTACAGAAATCATTCTTTACTTAAATTATTTTGGGTATGCATAACTTCACATATATAAAATCGTAACAAATGGGAAAACATTTCATATTCATGCTAAAAAGGTCCATGTAAAATATAAAGAAGCAAAATCCGAACTTTTAAGCATGATTCATCTCAATTTCCGTCATCGATTGAGAAACTCTTAAAATAAACAGAGAATTGAGTCTACATCAAATAGGTAAACACGCTAATAGGTAAACATCATATAAGAAAAGCGAGTCTACATCATATTTTCGAGGAGTTAACCTTTTCTTATTTTTTCTTTTCTTCACTTTCTTTGGTGGTGGCTCTCGTTCTCCAAGCATATTCTTGGGGCAAGCGTAGCTCAAATGGCCACATTCCTGAATCAAAAGAATTCCAAATTTTACATGAATTATTAAATACTAGCAGGTTAAGACGCTAGACATTAAAATTGGTGCAAAAAAGGGTAGCAAAAAGAGGTTACGACACAATAAGGCCAGCTCCAAATAATTAACTTTGTCCAACTAATTGTTCCCTTGGTTTTTAAATTAAAAAGCGTCCCGGAGTAGAGGGTGGAGCTTGAAAATATTAGGCAAATTTGAGCTATTTTTTGGATTTCAAACGTTGCATGTTATCTTGTTGGGGGCATCAAACATGCAAATTTGAATTTGAATATCAGACGTAGAGTGAATGGGAAAATCGTTAGGCTTTATGTTACAAATAAATAAATAGCAACATATACTAATAAACAAAGTCAAGCACAGGCTTGATCAAATCCAGGTTGATCAAATCCAAGTTATGAAAACTTTAGGGTCAACATAGGGTTATTGGCAGAGCGTTCGAATAACAAAAAACCTTCTTCTGTACATTTAAATGATCATCCTCCTCCTTTTTCTCTTTTTTAAAAATGTTTCGATTTTTATATCGTTATAATGATTGACATGTCATAGATAACTATTGACTATGTGATCGGTCCAGTTACATTTGGACCAGGGGGGGGGGGAGGCGGTTTCTGGTAAGGTCTGAGCCTTCCAAGGATAAAGAAAAATCTTACCCCACATTCAAAGCAGCGAGTTTTATCTGGATATTCTTTTTTCCTGATGTAATCAGCAGCTTTTCCATTATCTTTGGCGATTGTACATTTTATTGTTCTACCAAACAACTGGAAATTAATTTGCAAGGGATGTAAAATTTGGAACCAGAACTCAATTCATGCACAATTTTAACTTTTGTAAACTATTTAGCTACTCATCAGGGGCGGTTATATCTTACTTTTGAACCCAAAACTTGAACTTTCTCAGTAGCTGGGCCAGCTTCTTTTTCTAAAGAACTCAAATAAACTGTGTTATACTAGCAAACAAAAACTTTCAGAGCAACATTTGAGCTTCTAAAACCATGAAAATTTGTTGCCTGACATTATGCTGAAATCTTTACATTTAAATGCAGGACATGGTTTATTTATAATAACCATGAGGCAGCCTTGTTGCTTGGTTTAAAAGTGATGTTTCTTTAGCTTGTAGTACTGTAGCAGCAAGCAGTTCAAGCTCGGGTAACATGCTTTAAAAGGTAACATAATAAGCACCTTAGATGAGTAAAGTAACATAACACATGCTGTATATTTCCAGTAACACTAGAATGACCAAAAGGCAAGTGGGGCAGGCAGTAAAAGGACATTTAAAAAAGTTTCCAGCTTCTACTTATTCTTTTGAAACTGGCATTTTATTTTGATGTTCTGAATTTTGTCATAAAATTTTTTTTACAAGCTATGACAAATTTTTTTAAGAACAAGGCACTACAGGCAGGATTTCATACAAAGTTCTGTGATAATTATAAAAGGCTGATGGCAAGGGCCCTGTGCTCCCTTTCCCTGGAATGCAGCATCTTTTTTAATATTTTTGCTTTTCTTTTCTAATCAAAACTGAGGTTGAAATTATAGCTGAAAAGAGAGATTTAAAATGGAAAGAAGACTTCTTCAAAATCGATTCAAACTTTGGGACCTGTTTACAGACTGAAAACTATTACAGACTTAGAGGATAATGTAATGTACTAAATCGAGGCTGTATATTGCAACCTCATTCTGTTATAAGTGCTATAAGTGAAGCATATTGCGTTTATTACTCTTTGCATAGTCTACCAAGACTATGACTTTTCAGATAATTTACATAAAGATTCAAAATTTCAAATTAAAAAAATATATATCATATCACATTACATACCTGCTTCTTATTGACAGATTTACAAGCATTAATAGCAGCTGGTCTGTCTATATACTGTATAAAGGCAACACCTTTGCTCTCTCTAGTTACTTTGTCTCTCAAAATTGTAACTCTAAAAACAGAAAATAGCTTTTTAACAAGGAGCAGCATTTGTACTGAATAATATGTTGCTAGTACCTAGAAGTGATTAAAGAAATATTTCTAGATAAAGAAAGCATTTAACAAATATGTCTGCATTTTGCTTAAATTTTCAATAGAAGCAAAGAATACGTAATTTACAGTAACAATATAATAACATATGGATGTATTTAGTGATTATATCTTTAAAAATATAAAAGAAATCAAGATGGAATTCAAACTGAATTAAGATAGTTCGACGGTATCCTTGCAGAGATTCAAAATGCAAAATAACTGATATCAACAAGACACTATTTGTGAAGAGAAAACCTTGGTTTTTTGCAATGGGTTGCTATTAAACTTAATATCTTGAAGATTATTAAGGAACGGTTGTCCCAATTCTTAAAAACATATTCCATACTTGACCACTTTCCCAAACTTCTCAAATACCTACAAAAGAAGAAACAGACAGATCTATATTTAGAAAAAAAACACCACTCTGCATATAGGGGGAGGGAGCAATTCAATATTCAAGTAAATTGTTATAATGTATTTAGGTTCTGCTGTAGTGACTTTACTTAGGCCTGTTTACATCAATTTTTCCTTCTCATTCATTCCATCATTTTCCCACATTCTCACATCGCAGCACAGGCATCCTCTATGTCACTCTCATATCATGCATTCGCTAATCCCTATTGTTTACTTAATCTTTACCACGCTATTCAATTTACTGATCACCTTTACTCACCCTTCCTTTCCTTCGGTTTTCTCAAATCGTTGTTCATGTTAATTTTAGATATTCATTTCTGTATGTTAATTTGTAAGTAAGTTCACATCAGAGTTACACAGGCAACACACTGTCTCTCTCACTGGCTCTGTGTTCTCTGCATGTAAAATAAGATGCGATGCAAGTTGGAAATGACACGATAGTCGATGGATGGTTTTGTTAGTGAACGAATCGCACACAACAATGCTCAATTCTCGTTTCATTAAACTGCCAACATGAATCTAATCATAACAGCAGGATCAAAGATTATTTTCACTTAACTGAACATGCGCTGAAGAATCAACCTTTCCAAGTACATTGTGAATTCCCAATACCCCACAGGTCCTCAGAGCACCCATAATCTAGCATCCACTAACATGCTAAATCTTTAGATGAAATGCTTACCCCTTGCATTGGGAGCCATGGACTTTTTTGGATAGCTTGCATAAGAAGACTTAATATATGTAGGCTCATGCACAGAAGATGCAAAAACTCACAACGATCCCAACTTACATAATTCTAGGACAAGATAGGGACCTGCTGGAGCAACTGAATAATGATAAACATAAGGCCTGATGGTTCTTCCCATTCTAACTGAATTAATTCTGCTCTCTTAATTTTGAACATGACTACATAATCATCATTAAGCTTTGGTTCCTAAAAAATCCAAGTACCATTGCCTAAATTATCCAAGTGTATATATGGGTTTTTAAAGAAAGGCTGTAAATTTAAATTTAGCAGGAAAATATGCTGCATGTTGGGTTTCATTATAAATACCATCCTATGCAAAAGTGAATCATGGAAATGTTACAAACTATCATATTGCTCAGCTATAAGAATATTGATTCAATAAATTTTATATGTTGAAACTAAATTTACAAACCTTATGTATATCATTGTTTGTGAGGGAAAAGGGAAGATTTCCAACATACACAGTACTTTTACTTGGGGCTAAGCCTCCACTCATCCTTATCTCTCAAATCTTGCCAATTGTTTGTTGCATTTCACAATATGCATGACTTAGTCTGAAGAAAAAGAGAAAACTGGGTTAAATAAAATCAAATAAGTTAAACAAGACATAGAATTGATGGCCTAAATAGAGCAATTAGCAGACCACCAATCACCAATCACCAAACTCCTTATTCACTCTTTGTTAGTTTTCAAAGAAATTTCTAGCTTTATCTTCTTTCATTCCATTCAAGAGATCAGCCTCTTTGTTAGTTTTCAAAGAAATTTCTTGCTTTATCTCCATTCAAGAGATCAGCCCTATACAAAGCATTTTGTTGCTTTAACCTTGAAATTATTGGTGACAATATCCAACATTAACATACATTATATCACTTATATATAAAAAGAGTTCAGGCTTTCCTGGGACTAAATTAGCACAAGTGTGGCATTTTGCACCCCTAGACTTTTATAGGAGTGTGATGGAGTGCTATTGGTATTTTGTCATATTTTATCTACAAAGGCTTAATAACATTGCATAGCAATAAAAAAGCCATTAGTTGTTTCTTCAGTTCTCCCACAACTTTAACAATAAATATATCTGGTGGCATAACAATAAGAAAAGCTTATGAATAATCATGAAATTCAGCAACAAAGCAATAGGACAATGAAAATCCAATGTTATTGTTGAGAATACAATATTTATTTTTGTAATGAACAAAAACAATGGCACATTATAGTTCTTTTTACACAAAGTGCGCACATGCATTGTTTATATCACACAACAGATTTATTAACAAAGACTTGTTTACGCACATTCGCACGTTTTTGCTGTTGGTAGTTGTTGATTTAAAAACGGTGAATTTTTTTGATATTATGATATGGAACTCATTACCAAACGTCTTCTATTAAAATGATCTCAGGGGAATAATTCTTAACAGTAATAAGATAAAATTTTCAAAATAAATTTAATTCAACAAATTTATATTGAAAATTGTATCTCATTACATTGGATTCTCATCTTTATAATGAATTTCTTTTCTATTATCAGTCATTGCAAGATTCACAGAATCTGGTGTACAGCCTATCCTGTGGTTCTTTCTTCTTACAGAACTTTTGAATATTGCCTGGGATCTTAACTAACTCTAAATCAATGGTGAATATATTTTAGATGCAGTTTTCAGCACTCTCTCCTCTTGCTGCAAACCATGGCAGGCCTTTGTAAAAATCCTTGAAAAATCTTTAAATATTTTTGCACCCACTTGTTGTGATAAAAAACGGCACAATTTGATAATGGCACAATTTGAAAACAGCACAAAATGTTTCAGTGCAAACTCTTGAAACAGAATAATTCTATTGCAGATTTCCCTCTCTTTAAATCCAGTTTGCTATCGTTCTGTCATCAACCAAACAAGGTAGAATCATTAGAAAATACAATAGAAATAAAATAATATTAGGTAGCGCAATTAATTTCATGCAATTGTGAACATTATCTCTATCTTAAGGAGGGGATGGTTTGCCCCTTCTGTCTGGTTCTATATTCTCATTCCCCTTGATATGATATACATTTGTGTGGGGAGAGGGGAGGGGGACTATGCTAAAACCAAGGGAAAGACTGTTTTTGTATGGTTTCAAGTTCATTTTGGAAATTGTCAAGCCCCGCGCTGCTTCTGTGATCCCTGAAAGCAGACACAAAATCTTCCAATAATAGCCTTTGCGTGATCGATAATAAACTGGCGTAGGAGAAATCTGGGCTCCTGGCCCCCCTCCTGCCCCCTCTCCAATCAGGCTAAATCTATCGAAATTTAGGCCCAATCGGGCAATTCTGAGATGAGGCAACAATATTCGGGAAAAACCCATACTTAGCCCCCCTGAATGAACATATAAATATGAAATACCTATTCAGTATCTTGCATCAGTCTCAATGATTCCTTTAAATTTGACTAACACGTTACAAATCGTCACTCGGACTTCCAAGATGCAAGGAAAACATAACACTCACACTTTGCAGGCAGGCAGCTTACCGGAAGTGCTCGAAAACTCCCATGATGCACTTCAAGACAACAAAGCCCTGAACGGCAATTTGTCCTTACTCGAAAGAAACTTTTCAACAACAGCAGAAGCGCTAGCTTTTATCCAAAGGAAAATTTTGTACCGAGCTTTAGCTGGTAAAAAATGAAGTTTGTTCTTGTTTTTCAAGCCATATTGGCTACTTACATGATTCTTTGTGATGCAAGGCATGGCTTGGATCATCACGGGAGGCATCACGAAGACTTCAGACACTTTCAGCATGGCTGGAAGATCGACTTGAAGAAAATGGAAACTCCAAAGAACGAGACAATTTCAATAGATGTCACAAGGAAGAGCTCTAGTAGTGAAGGGAATGAAAAGAGTACAATGAAGGTCGCTATATATGCTTTAATTTGGCTAGATTTAAATCTTTCCATTTTAGAATGACGCATGGAAAGATTTCATGCGTCATCTGTTTCTGTTATTGCTTCCGTGCAAAGTCCTCAATGACCAGAAAGTGAAAGAACCGCGTTTCATGATGGAAGTAACTTAAGTAGTTTTTTAAAGTGTTATCTAGGTTATCTAGTTAAAATTACGATGTTATCTAGGTTTTGCACCAATAAAGGGGAAGCATGACGGTTGTTTTGTAACGCATCTCAAGAAACTAAATTCGCCAAATAAACTGATTGGTGCTTAATTCAGAATAGAAATCAAATATAGCAATATCATGCATTCTGCAGGCCCTTAATTCTGTAGCCTAAGCAATTTGTGTTGTTATGCAAACGAAAGTGCAAAATGTAGCGAGAGCCCTCACGGCAGGTGAACAGCTCTGTTCCCAAATCAATGCTATTTAGCATATCATAAATGATTCACAAGTGTTTCTCAGTTGCCAATAGATAATTCAATTATATAGTACCAATTCAGTTTTATCATATATAATAGCTAAAGTTACCCATAGTTTTTTTAAATTCTCTGTAATAATTGTATTTTTGGGAAATTTCCTGTAATAAAAGGAAAAGTTTTGAATGCTACTATATTTTGATGGTACAAAATTTAGATCAAATGGCTTTGAAAAAAGAAAACATTGAGTAAACTAAAGCTTTTCCTATGAGACTCTTCAGATAATAAAATGCCAGAACTCAGGTTGAAAACTCTATGCTAGGAAATATAGTTGTGGACTAAGATAGGCCAATCAGAAACACGAGCACAAGCCTGTGAAGGAAGTACTATGTACTTTTGAATGATGCTAGCTTTGGCACTTACATTGATAAAATTCATGTGAACACTATTCAATTTTTCAAATGTAATTAAAAGGTAAGAATTAAATCTTTAAAATATTTTAGTTTAAGAATAATGGTCTTTTCTGTGGCAGTTTGCTTTATACAGTTCTGGTATGTGCAGGTCATTTTAATTTGTACATATCTATGATTTTTGGATTTTATTTAAAACCTGCTTGATGCAGTGCTGGTAATATTAGGCGTGCAGTTGCACGTGCACGCCTAAAACTCCCAACGCGTGCTTTCCATCGCACACGCAGTTCCACGTATTGAATTACTATTCTTTTTCTCATTTGTTTCTTTTAATTTCTTGTTTATTTTCTCTAAAGTAATTTTTAATTTCTTTGTGTGGGTTATATTGATGGCATTCCTGAAGGCATTTTAACTCTTTACCTCGTTCCATTAGGCTCAGTTTTGATTGCTCTGTTTTTGTGTGTCTCCGTTCTCACTCTCAGTTCTTTTTGTATTTATTTTTTTGAACGTATTTTCTCAGGCCATTCTGTCTTGGTCAAAACAATAGCGTGGCTGTTTCCATTACTCCATATTTGTCCGTTCATATACTTTGCTCGAGCTCTTTTTTACACTGAGATTGAATGACTCAGTTTTTGAATGCTTCTTGTCTTCGCTGTTAACTACGCGTATTCAAATGATTCTGTTTCGAATGACTCCACTTTGAACAACATTTTTGAATAACTTTTGTTTGGTATCCAATGACACCATTTTTGAGCGTATTAAAGAAACTCAAAATCTAAAACAGATTCACTTGAATCCGTTTTCATACAGAAACAGAGTAATGGCAACAGGACCTGAAAACAGTATCCTTTTTGTTAAATTATTTTGTTGACTAGAATTGTGGACTAGAATTGCTGACTCATGATTAATTTATAATTATCTCAGTTGGCTATCATGTGACCAGTTTGCAAATCAGGTTTAGAAATCAATTCCAAATCAATTTTCTCTTGACTCATTTCCTTTGAAATTTTGAATAATAGTAAGTGAAGCTCATTGAAGAGCCACAAATGTTTATCAACTTTGATCTTGAATAATTCTTGAACACTTTTCTTTTCTTTTTCAAGGCGTATAAATTTTTTCTACACTTTCAGGTAGAAATTTTTATTTAACCTTGGTTATATTTTTCATTTAGGTAAGCTTGAGGGTTCATATTGTTAAAGGTGGAGTTCACATAAATGGGCAAAAGATTGACCACTCCGTTGTCACATCTGTTCACATTCGCACAATTGTTGGTAAGAAGTTTCAGTATTTGCCCTACACTTCTCTGCCCATATGGCCAAAACTTGATGAAATAATACAATTTGCCAATTTATTTTAAAATATAATCTTGAGTATTCAATTTTTGACTTGCCTGGTTGGGTTTCTAGGTTTTTACCTCTTTATTGCTGATTAGCACTCTAACAAAAGCTTCAGCTTAAAACATGACATACCTGTTCAACACAGTATCCCTTGGATTTCTAAGAGCACAGCAAGATTGCCAAAAAATATTTTATGAAAATTATGTAAAAGAAGTTTAACTAAATTATCAAACTACAGTTGTTTGTGGTGTGTACTCTTAATAGATATTGCCTCTATCTTAGGCTCTTTTGGGACACAAATTGTATGGGATATGTTTAATAGAAAGCTTGAAGAATAGTAGCATTCGTGCAGACTCGTCTGGTTTTCCCAGTGATAAATCTAGTTGATTGGAAATTTAGTTGATTGGAAAATGCAGTGTTTCTCTCCCAGTAGAGTCTATGAATCAGTGAGAAAAACTGTGACCGAGGGCACAGGTTCTGGGAACCATTCCTGATTGGTAGAAATTTTTCCCATTGTTATTGTGAAATGAAAATGGCAAAAGAAAAGCCTGCATGAGGAAGATTAGTGGCATTTGGAGCCAGAAATATGTCCAAAAGGACTTTAGTTAAGCTTCCTGCTTCCTTGGAATTGCTTCATTTGATCATTTGATCAAAGAAATCTCTTTCAAGTTTTTTCTAAAGTCCTGTTAGAATGCTCTGAACATTTCACTGAACATCGCTCAACATTTGTATAGTGATGTTTAGTGACGTTTAGTGATGTTGAAAAAGGGTGTTAAAACGCCCTCAACAATTCGACTCAACATTCGTTGAGCGATGAGTTTCTGACTCTCAGAGATCCAAGACAAGGGAATCCGCTGATTAGGTATGGTGTTTTGGAAGATGAACTTTGGTTACTCTTTCGCTTTAACAGTAGCTGCCTGATGATATCCTAAGGTCAGGAATTTGGTCTTGCAACTTGCTATGAATTGCTATCTCATCCGATTTGCTTTCACTGCCAACTGTTTCTAAGCGTTGGTCATGGTGTGCTATTGCGATTTATAAAATTCAACTTCTCTCAACCTCCTGGTCTGATCTGAGATCTTGACGCCTTGAAGCCTTTCTTTGGCGCGCAAAATCAAAGTCTAGTGCGCTTGCGCTGACTGAACATTGTTGTATGGGGTGTTGAAACGCTCTCAACATCTCTCAACAGCACCTTTAACAATAGAAATGTTGAGTTGACACGCTGAACATTTTTGAATCTGTTCAAACTCCACTAAACATCACTGAACACCACTCAACACCACTCAACCTTGTAGTGATTTCAATATTGTAAAAAAGGCCATATTTGCACTCATTCATCGATCATGCCAGCACCACGATTTTTCCTTACAGCATCACATACCAGAAAGACATTCCCTTCACAATTGTACACATGTTCACACATCTATGTCATGCTGATTTCTTTCCAAGTCTAGATCATTCCTTCCTAATGGCATCATCATTACATCATCACAACACATCATTACTCAGCACATTTATTTTGTATATAAGTATGTTAATTTGTATGTTAGTTCAGTTCAGTTCACATCAGAAGTACACAGGCAACACACTGTCTCTCTCACTGGCTCCGTGTTCTCTGCACGTTAAATAAGATTCGTCAAAGCGTACACCAACGATGGAAAGTCACAGCATATGATAGGAACCATTGCAATTCTTGCCACATAATAACGTTCCTATAACCTCACTGAGCAGGGTGTTAAAATGCTCTCACCATTTGCACTCTACAAATGTTGAGCAATGTTCAGTGAAATGTTGAGAGCGTTTCAATGAGGCTTAGGGATTGCCAAGACATTCATTACAGTGCCCCAACAGCCCAACATTAGAGTCTTTCCAAACAACTTCAATATCCAGTCTTGTTGATTTCTGTTCTCAGTATTATTACAAGGTTTCCCAAACCTGTAGTGTATGGAGCTTGCAAGCCAAGGGAAACTCACGATGCGACTTACAAATGAAAATAAGGCACAGGCTCCCTTTACCCTAGCCACAGGAAGACATTGAATTATTTGTAGCATTCAGTTCATGAAGCAAACACGTATAAAGTCAAAATTGCCATCTTAGATTAAAACTTACAAAGTATTTACAATCAGGCAAACTTACTTGATAGCTAAACATATGACAGCATTTTCCATAGCAATCAGTAGGCCTTCCTTTTTGCCGCCATGCATGGCAGTTCACACTTCAAGAAGGTGTGCTTTCATCCCCTCAAGTCGATTATGGTAATAGCTTTGTTGTTTGAAGGAAATAGTTTTTCCATATGGATTTGTCTTGTCAAAGTAATACATCTTTTGTTCGACTGCTAACATTGAAAACCACTGTCAACACAAATAGCAGTGTGATGAAAAAATTAACCACGCATCCAAACTTTTCCTTCCCAAAACTTGCTTGCGCCTTTAGCAATGCGTCACGCATGGATGATCGTTTTAGAATGCTAACATCAGTGGACACAGTTTCTGTTGCTGATTCGTAGACTCTATTGGGAGAAAAACCCTAAATTTTCCATTCAACTAAATTCATCTCTGCGAAAACCAGTCAAGTCTGCGCCCAAGCTAGAAGGACAGTGGAAAATCCTAGTTATATATTTCTGAAAACCATTTTGTCACGTTTAAGTCCATTATCCATTGTGTGTATTTTTCAAATCAAATGCAGCACACCACAAATAATCTGGACACTTTCCCCTAGAAGTCAAGCCACAAGGCTTTTTATTCCCCTATAGACTTTAGCCTAGTTTTTTTAAAAAAAATAGGAACCTAGAACTCTTGTGAATTTGGCTTGTTGTCAGAAACAAGAAAGTTTTCAAAATACATTCTTATAAATGCAAGACCAGACCAATGGCACCAAAGGCTAATAGGATCACTTTGAATTTCAATCTGTAGCTAATCGTTGTTCATAAGTTTTTCTGGCTCTTTTTTATTTTTAAAGTTTAAAAGATACTCCATGAACAGATTGTTTATAACAGTCAACAGCAGTTGACCATTGAGTAATCCCTTTAATGTACTCATAGTGTACTCATGGTATATATGTAAATTCTTATGCAGAGGAAGTCTTTTCTGATGGCAAAGTGACAAGGAAGCCAGCAATGATCCAAGTTCGAGCAATCGTTTCGGAATCAACCAATGCCAATGGAGTTAAGATCTTTTCATTCCAAGAAGAGATTGTTGAAGTTGAAGATGATGAAGTTGATCAAATAGAAGTGAAAGAAATTGTTCTTGAATTAGGTGATAATATTAACGAAAGCAAGAGAACCCTGAATATTGTTAAAATCTCCGAAAGCAATATTCACAAGCATGCAAGAAACAAAGACAAACATCTTTGGGCCTGCAGAGGTGAATTTTCTTAGATGTTCATTTCCATCTTTTTATGTCTCCTAGCTATTGGTTTTTCAGGTAATTTGTTTTATCACTTATGAAAGTATGTGGAATATCAGTATGATAAAAATATTTATAAAGATATGTGTCATTTTAATTGTAATAAGAATAATATAGACTTATGAAAAATGCTATTCCTTAACTTTCAGAAAATCATAACTGGTGAAAATGAAAACTATGAGAACCTTATGTTTTATATACATATATATTTTGGACTATATAGAGGTTTCATTGTCAGTGTATTCGTTTGATAACATATCCAGCATACTTTGAATTATGTTGTAAAAATCATATGTCTTCTAGGGCGTTTGCCTAAGGTGCCATTTCATATTTCAAGAGAGGAAATGAAAAGATGGAAACATAGGCATCCTAGACCACCAATGTTTGAGACTGGACAGAACAAAGATGAGGACAAGTGGAGTGGAAGAGATGGTGATGATGATGATGATGATGATGATGACAAAGACAATAAGGGCAAGGTTAATACATGTTTTGTAATCATTTTGTAATCTTGTTTATCCTACAATTGTGTTATGAACTCAAACTTTGAATTTTCTTCAGAATTTCAGGCTTGTTGTGTGACAATCACAGAAAAGTCACATGATCTTGTTCAGTGCAGCTTTTAGAGGAGGCCTGGCAATTTGAGGAGAGCCACACCTCTTACTTCCCCCCATATTCTCCTAAAATGCTGGAGGGGAGCTACACATACTTTTTTATCTACAAACAGCTCATCAAGAAACTACTAGGAGAGCTGTCTACAGGCCTGGCCGTTTGAGGCGAGCTATGAATTGCTCTCCTAAACAGAACATGAAGGTAGAATTCCCCCCCTAAAATTTCCATTCATTTGCCTATTCCGAGAACCTGAAAACGTACAAGGGTTAATTGGTTTATTTTTGTAACAGTGATTTCTCCCGTCATTGCATTTTTTGCAATCAACTTTTTGCTTGTTGGGCGGTTTTTGTTATGATAGGCAAAAACTTTGATCTATTTGGAAAAGGGTAGTTGACCGAAAGGTACGTTTGTAGCGATTAGAACCTTTCAATCTTAAGAAAACAGGAATAATTTTGGAAGGAAAGTCGAAGAAATTGGTAGGAAGTGTAGATTGGGGATATAATAAGACAGCAGGTCCCTTCCAGCAATAGAAACAAAACTATCCTTCAAAGAGAACAAGGTACTCCCTCTTGCAGATCAAAAACGACAACCAAAACATGGAATTCCACTATCCAGCAACATTTACTGAAAAACCCAGATTTGGTGAAAAACTATAACGGCAACATGTTTTGCATTATTGGCAAAGCCTGATCATTGTTCCATCTAGCAGTTTGTGAATCTATCTACTATATAAACATGATCAAACGCTTTTGTGTAGACATAAGTGAGTTCATTTTCACCTTAGGACTCCGTTGGTAACATTTTCAATAGGAAAGCGGCACTGATTGGATAACTTTAACAGTCATGTGCTCCCGTTTTCTGATTGGCCTATTTCGATCGAAACTGCGTAGAGTTTTCCATTTATGTTCTGACGTTTTATTCTCTGAAGAGTGCTAGACGTATAACTTAAGTTTGTTTCAAAATTTGTTTTTCAAAGCCATTTTCAAATTCTTTGCAACAAAAAGATTGTTTTGCAAGATAATTGTTTTGTGTTGTGCCAGGTTTACATAAAACTGAAAGAGTCTGTTCTTTTGAATACTTCAAGTAAAGGGGGTGCCTTAGTCACGGTTAAAGCAAATACAAATTGAAAGTTAAGTAAAACAGCATACTCCTGACTGAGGCTATTAAAGGCAACCGACAGATACTAAAGGGGGTTATTAAGTCATCTGTTGATTGTCTTTAAAGTACATTCTATGTGTTACTGATTTAGCTCGCCTCAGCAAATGAGGGGAGCAATTCACAGCTCACATATAAAAATTCAAACAGCGGGGTCCGTTGTCTACTGCTCCCTGCTATACGTCTTTTGACCAGGCTGGTTGTAGAGGGCTGGTTTTATAGCAGTCTGTGTTAACAGACCAGTAAATTGAAATATTCATAACAGACAAGTTACCTTGTTTTTTAAATAAAAAAATTGGTTGCTTTAATGAGGATTTGATTAATGAGGATTGCCTTTTCTTCCTTATTGTTTTTTAGAATAAGACAATTAGAATTGATCAACATGAGATTTTGTATTTCTTGCTTTTTGTTTTCTATGCCTTTCCTGGCACTTACTTTTTAATCTAACTTTGTTATTGCATTAAATTCTATTTGTTTTGCCTAGCATGGACATGGCAAACGTCACCATCACCGTCATCATCATGGCCCAAAACGCTGGATGCGTCACTTTTGCAACTGGTTCCACAAACTTCCAGTTGCAACACGTGCTGCATTCTGTCTTTCTGTCATCTTGTTTGGCATCCTAATTTTTGCATCATGCTGGGCATGTTGTTGCAGGAAGCCAAGATCTAAGCCATCAGATGCAAAGTATGAGCTTGATGACACCGTGAGTGTTAATGAAGCAGCTGAGGCTGAGCCTCTGCCATGCAAAAAGAAGCAACTTGATGAGCAGCCACTTCTTTTATAAACACCCCTTGTGGAAAAAGAACAGATTTAAAAACAGTTCTGTACAATGGGTTGTTATTAGTATACTGCTTTCTTTTATTATTAGCATTACTCTAGACTTTTTTGTAGTGTTTCAGGTAAGGCAATGTTTGATCACTGGCAGGTAGACATATGGTAGCAGTTCATTTGGTAAACCAATCATCTTGATGATGCAATCCCTACTGTTATCTTATTTTGCAGGCTAGTCTTATTATTGTAATTAAAAGGCACAAAAAGCACTAAATTTCAGCTTTTAATGAAAGTAAACAAAGGATCACAATTTGCTGATATCCTTCAATGGTTGGAAAAAGGAGCATTTGCAGTTTTGATAATTTTTAAATGTGAGCACTTGGGGTTTCTGATGTGGAGGTAGATTTTCTGAGGACAAGAACATTTTGTGTGTTCATAAGTAGGCCTGTCATTGACAACCCTTTGGGAGATTTCATTGTCAAGTTTGTCCAAAGTCCAACAGGCTTGACTGATCGCCTAAACTTACCTTTATACCAGTGGCCATTTAGTTGCATTTTGTAATATCAGAAATGACATCATATTTCTGTTTTTTTTATTATGACATCTAGTCATTTTATGACAACAGATTTCCTGCTGCTTAAAGATAATGCACTAGAGGGAATGTGAAGGCTCTCTTTGTTCAGCTTACAATGACACCTGACACACTCCTATCTGACAGGCCTTTCATTGAGAGGCCTGTATTAGAAATTCCAGCTGCTCTTAATCCTGCCGATCTATTGTTATAATTTTTATGCATATCTGAATGTTTGTGCCTGCTTTTACACAACTGTACAGCAAGGCCAGATCATTTAAAGATTTTGTTGTAATTATAGCTCCAACACAAACCCAGTCTGTTTCTATTATCAGTTTCTGATCTGCTTCACTGATTTATCTGTCAAAAGAAAGCTCAAATTATGGGTATTTATATCTTGAGCATTTAATACACAGTGGGGATACATCCCCATGTTACTAGTTAGGTAGAGCTATTGTGTATGCAAGTAATGTGGTTCTAGGGGGGTGTAGATTAGTATTGCCAATCAAGATATCTTGTCGTTTAGTCCAAGACATTCAAAAAAATTTATGTTTTTCATCAGTATTGTAGGAAGGGGGCATACAACTTTAATTGTGTGTAGGCTGTCACTAAACCAGTTTATCAGTTATGTGCCATCTTTACAAAATGTTTAATGGTCAATGTTTTGCATCATATATTTATTATTTTATGTTAAAACATCATCAATGTTAAAACATCTCCAAATTTGAATATTTTTAACAAAAATTTGAAAACCTATTTCTTTAAAATTGCTTTTAGTTTAAACAGACTTCATAGCATTAACATTCATTTTAGCCGTTTTAAGATTTTTAACAAATAAAGGACTATTTAATTATCTAAATTTTAAGCCTATTGTTTTAATAAGATGACATCATATTTGTCCATTGTTACCTTTACCTCAACAATATACCTTTTCTTTAATTTTACGTGGCCACTCAACTTGCCCCTTCAGGTGCCCAGCCATACCATAAAGCCCCAATTCGGACAAAACTCATTTTACTGGGCAATCTATTATATACCCTTTTAAAGAAACCTAATATATTTCAGGAATAGGACCATCTGTGATTTGCTATTATGTTGACAACATACAATAATTTTCAGATTTCTAACTTATAGCCAAAGTTGTTTAAAAATAGCTCAATTGTTGACAAATTCAGGGACAACTGCTGAAATGAGATCACAAGTGGTATAAATTTATTGCTCAATCTTTTTGCCTGCTCAACAATACTCAATTTCCATCTCGGCAAGTTACAAACAGTTTTGTTTAAAAGAAATGAGTATTGACAAGAGGAAAATTATCAACTATTATCATATCATTTATCATTTTGAGAAAGAGTGAATTATGACCTTTATCTGTACAGTATGTCAAAAAATATGAAAAAGTAATAGACGTAAAACAGACTGATTTGAAGTCAACCCAGGTAATTATCAATTAATTGAAATGTGTTTCAGAATAACAATGTGATGTGCATTATAAAGGTGTTTAATTCGCTAATAACATGATATCACGCGAGCAGTATCGATACAACGAATCAAGAGTTTCAAACATATTTGAAAGGTAAGCCATGAATTTTTCGAAACTGGCTAGCGACAAAACCTAAGTTTGCAAAATATGGTGCCTCTTGACCGATAATTGGCTTGCTATACCATTCTTCTACTTGCCGTACGATTTTTTCGTTGCCAGGCTCGCCTTCAAGGTACAAATAAATAATAGATGGGAGCTCGAAGCTGATATCTCCTGGTAAGGTATATCGCTGAACCTGATCGATCGCGATCACTTTATCGCCGTGGATAATGTCAAATTTAAGGCCTTCACTTTCTTTGAATAAAGATTCCATCTTGGAAAAACCTGAAGCGATGGTTGCTTTGCCACAGAGAAAAACTGCAGGATCCTCGAATGTTGCATTTTCAACAAAGAAATTCATTCTTTCTTTGCTGTAATCCAAGCTGTACAAGCGCCGGACAGCGTCGACTAGGCCCTCCCTTGACTTGCGTGTAGTTAAAGGAATTGCTTCTGATGACATTGCTTCTATTGGTACTTTGCTTTTCCCAAATTTGAGGTGGTATAAAAGCAAGCCTTGGCTTCCGACCCATGATAAACTAACAGCTGCACATGTAAGCTTCAAGAATCTTTTCAAGAAAACGGACATTTTGAAGCACCAATCACTCTGGATAGTGATAGTTGACGTAATGTAGAGATTGATAGTGATTCCCAGCAGTTGAACCAACAGCAACAGCAACACTTCACAACGGGATAACGAAATATTAAAATCATAGAAATGGCCAGAATGGTGACGGACGGACAGGGTACCAAAATGTCGAATTTATCCTTAACTCAAAAGCCTTACGGCAAATTCGTACCAGTGGCGTGCTGGCAGGGGGACAAAGGGGCAATTGTCCCTCTGCCGATCAAATATCAGGGGCGCCAAAATGAATCCTCACGCCATAGGGGCTCCCTAGCCAAATAGCTACCAAACGAGGACAATTTACATAAAAGAACACAGCAATAGGTACTAATGGCGGACACTGTATAACAATCCACGATAAATCGCTTCGAAGAGAACAAGAATCAGCTTGCAACATACCACTTTTTTTTGCTTACTACTTTGATGGCACCCTAACAACAATTCAATTAAGGATCAATTTCATAAGAACTATTGGGAGGAAAACAAAGAGTTTTGATGATGAAAGAGTTTTTGATTTTACTGAATGCTAAAAATTGGTAGGAAGGAAAAAGCTGAGAATATGTCCCAATCTGAAGAAAAATAATGTGCATAAGCTAAAACATTAAAGAACGACAAACTAGATAAGGTTGATTAAAACAAGTCAAATAGCTTTCATTCAAATAGAGTATTTATTTTCAGAAGAAAGCTTGCGTTATTGAAAAATTTGCTTTCAAAAAGTGCTTTTCTAGCAAACCTGGAAGCATCAAAATCAAAGAAGTGGTTTCCCTGTTGGCGGCAACCATGTACCGCCATGGTGTTGTGGTAGTTGTATATCCTGGGCTTGTTCCCGATACACAGATCTAAAGGGCTGGAAGGGCTGACAATAATATGTATATAGATGTGTTGAATCGACACAATGTGATTGAGAGATTATTGCAGAGGATGGTTTTCAATCCGGCAAATTCGTAGAAAAACCAAACAGGCCTACATCGCAACGGCGTTGGGGCCATAATTAGAATAAAGCTTATAGGTATTGTCTAGGATTTTCAAAGAGTTTACATTTTCCATACATTTTCCGACCATCCCTGGAACGTCTTCTTTGCAATTTTTTGCCGCCAACGATGGCGACCGCCTTCACTAAACTCCTGAACGATCTTAACGCCCCCTCTCTACCCCCAACCTCTCTCTCAATAGTGACTTTCCTGATTATCATTGTTGTGCAGTTTGATGATACAGCCGCTACAACGATACTCAAAAATACTGAGAAAAAATGCATAGTATATAGTTGTAGAAATAGCAATGTTGAAACAAGAACGAAAATAAGAACACCCGGGACTCAAAATATTCAAGAAAATGAGAACAAAAAGGCTCCACAAGATGTTAGGTTTTTATAAAAAAAGAAAACAAAACAGCTGTATTTTGCGTTAGGGCTCCCGTCTCCTTTTTATAGCATAACATCCCCGGAAAATATGTGTATAGGAGTCTGCAGAATATGTCGAGGCAAAATTTTGCAAAATCAATAGCAAAACTAGAAATTGGCTAGTTTTTGGCATTAATAAGCACGCCTTTTGCGAGCAAATCTGATTCTACCTATTATATTGGGTAGAAGCGGTGTTTTTGGCAGTAATTTAATAGAAATACCTCGCGCGTGTACAGGTCATAGTCTGCACACTGGACTACACCCTTTATAATTTCGATACATATTCCCAGTTTACAAAATTAAATTGCTAAATGATGCAAATTATTCTATTTATGAAAAGTACAGTAGTGTAGTGCACCAAATCATGGTTGGTAGAATAAGGTAGAATAAGGTAGAATCAGCTGCAAAGGACATAATTTTAGTGCTCGGGCTGCTCGGGCTGCTCGGGCTGCTCGGGCTGCTCGGGCTGCTCGGGCTGCTCGGGCTGCTCGGGCTGCTCGGGCCATATATTCTCAACGACTGTTATCTAGATGAACTTAACTAGACAACGAATCCATCATTTTTATTTTTCTAAGCGATATTCTATTCTTTTAGAAACTACTTAAAATGCATTTTTGAATGTACGATACAGAACTATTTTGTTTTGTTCAACAAAGTTTCTTCGGATCCGTGCTTATCTTCATATTTCGTAATTGAAAGTGGTACAGTATTGAAGTGGTACATTATTGAAATTGTGGTATAAAAAAGGAATAAAGACATGTTTTGAGCATTGGTATATGTCAAGAGTACATTCGCACAAGGTGCCTGAACACTTTTCAGAAATTGTTATATAAGACGATATGGTAGATGTGTTGAAACATTAATGCAAGTTTGAGATGAATTATAAAAAAACCGGTCGGGGAGCAGGCTGTGAAAGAAGAGGGTTAAGCCTTAGGTAGACATCTTGTACAGTGCATCTCCGCACTTTAAGACCCAAGAAAACGAATTCTGGTATCCAAATGTCATTCACTAAGACAAAACAAATTCTTAACTCAATACTTTATAAAACACTAAAAATATATAAAAAATTGATTATGTTTGAATTTCCGACAATTTCCAAAATTCATATTTATATGTATATAAATATATATATATATATACGTATACTGGATATTTTTCGACATATGGAGAAACAGCCGCCTCACACCATCAGGTAAGTTTTGTGAATCTACGAAGCGTTAAAAGCAAAATCTTTAAGCAGTCAAACAGATTTTTCGCAAAAATTCCAACTTCGTAATTTTGAATTTCTTTGAATTACTGATTTGATTAAATCAAATTTTTTTTAAAAAATTGCGATGCTCCATTTGATAGTAGCGTATATTCTCTAGTTTAAGCTTGCTTCAAATTGGTCTCCATGGTCAATTCCAAATTTGATTTTGTCATCAGCAATGAAAGCCCATCCCATTCTGAAAGTTGAAAAGGAGAATCCAATATCACCTTTATTGCTGATGCAAATGATACCACCTCTCCCGTCTGTCTCATTTCCAAGGTATTTTATTGCTTTCTCTGCTGCTGTTTGTGCATCATCACCGTTCTCCATGTAGTAAACTGCCTAAAATGCACCAAACCAAATCTGTCACTTTTTTATAAGTTATGACATATAAACTGACGCAAATATGAAATAATATTGCAAATAATTAAAGAATTCGATACAACGACAACAAGAAAATCTAGTGGGGAAACGATAGCAAATTTTCGTATAATTTAGTGCTACTTGGAGATTGAACGTCAACAGCATAATTCAGGTATCAATGAAAGAATTCTAATTGATATGTCTAACGCAAGACATGTCATTGATAGTATATCCTAGAGGATTCTAGAGATTAAAATTACTGTTTAACGGTCTGTCATAAAGTACTTAATGCGGTATGGGCAGTTATGTACACGCTTTGGCGTATAGAACAGGACGGTTGTAAGCCGCTACCACGATTATCTTATGTTTTAATATAAGATATTGGGAATTTTAGAATGATAACAAATTTAAATATAATGGTCTGTTGCAAGCTAATAGCAGTATTGTTATTAGTGTGGCATGTAGATAGGATGATGGAGATGTTTTGAATGATTTTATGATGTGAGATAAATGGGACTAACAAAAAGGTATCAGCTAGCTCAAGATCTTTTATAGACAATTACGCAAAAATAAAATGTTTTGCTACATTTTTAAAGTGAAGAACATACGAATCACACTTAAATGCTCAATATTTATCTAACATTTCTACGACCTATTTTCAATAAAATGACACCATCTGAGCAAAACTATACTCTTTCGTCGTGTTTTCTTGAGTTCGCTTATTTGTGAATCACAGAGTTGCCTTCAAGAGAATTGCAAGTTTTTATATTCTTCAAACTCGAGCTATAACGTTTTGAAAAGAATGCACTTTCCTTGAGCCAAACCAGGGTCGTAACTGCGATTTTTGGCTTTTCTGTAGAAAAATATATAGAAAAGGAAAACAAAATTTAAATCTTACTTGTCTGCAGATGGTAGTTTTGGTTATTGATTCTCCGTGGCCAGTGGAAGAAGCACCACCAAATCGATTCGCATAACCACCGCAACCAGTTAGGGGGGTATCACCAACACGGCCAACCCATTTACCGGGGATTCCTCCTAAACAAACGTAAGTGGAGAGCTAATCATTTAAGAATAATGGAAAAACTGTGAATAGAATAAAAGAACAAATTGAACCGAATAGACGTGGGAAAGAATAAAAATGTGATTTTGCAGAAGGCTTCATAATACAAAAGTTAGGAAATTACTCCCTCTTCTCAAGTCTTGACTATAGAGCAACATTTTTGTGAATAAGTTTTAAATTTTGGCGTGAAAGGCACATGGAAAAACAAAATATTTTGGACGTATTTAGCAGCGAGTTAATGGACGCCTTATTTATAGATTCGTTAAGGATTCTAGCTACTTGTCAAAAGAAAATTTGTTTTCTTTAGCTGGCATTGGTCGTGATTGGAAGTAAATAAACTTAAATAATGGAGAAACTTAGGTAACTGCATAACTCATCTTGCAAGGTGCAACGGTTTTTCGTAATTTGGCCTTCATCTTAATAGCAGCAATAGAGTTCTTCATCGCCTCCTCTCCGCATCGAGGCTCGCCGTGCATGCACAGCTCATTACGCTCTGACTAGAGATTTATTTCTATTCTATTGGCTATTCCAACTCGTTCATGACAGCAATACATCAAAAAAAGACTATATCAACCCCCACACGCCCATTCCCATCAGTTTTTTACAGGAAAGACTGAGGGCAATGCAAAAGTGAATTTGGGAAGGGCTGAGAGGGTGCACAGCGACATCGATGCTACGAGGAGGCTCGAAGAACTCAAATCGGAGTTCGCCGAGTCTCCTCCAATAAAGATTTCTTAAGTGATGACGTCAAAATTCATCACTTAAGGGATCAAAAATTTTGAATTTTGATTCCATAACCTGAAAGACCATAGTGAAAGAAATCTAAATATGCAGAATCAGTTGTTACAAATTGGCAGAGATATGGCCAGATGAGCACAGGCTCTTGTTCCATCAAACCTCTGTAATTTGGTCTCTGTTCATAACTTCATGAACAAAGCCAAAGTAACATTGATCCGTTAGCAAATTCCAAATCTCTTACCCGGTTTTTGAGTCTTTTTCCAAATTTTGCATATTTTGAAGTATTTCACAGAGCTCTTTTTTGTTGTGGTAAAATTTCAAAATTCCAAAAATAGGTTTTTGTGACCCCACACATTAGAACTCAATTAGAACCTTTAATAAAGCGAAGAAAGATAAAATGCATTGATTCTCAGCGATTGTTTTCTCGTGTTATGTCGACTGTCAACAACATTACTGTTTGTATGGAGAGGATAACAAAGTAATTTTTCATAACTCTTTTGATATTCAAACTTATAATCAGTACCACGACAAAAAAGACATCTAGTTCTTTTAGCTTGAATCCATTCGACAATTCCTTGTTACATTTTAGTAGAATCCATTCGACAATTCCTTGTTACATTTACGAAATCAGTACATCGTGAAAATCCGATGTCCAGTAAAAAATTAGACAGTCCAGTAAAAAATTCACAAATCCGTTAATTAGACACATCCATTAGATAAACGTTTCGACTCTAGCTAGAGTCAATTTCATCATCATCTAGAGTCATCTGCTCTTCGTATGAAAATTTCCATAATGAACTCTCTAAGATTAAAACCATCCTTAGTGACAACAGTTTTCTAAAAAAATATTTATTGACGCCCATCCGTCTACTGAAATGTAACAAGAAATTGTCAAATGGATTCAAGTTGAAAGGACTTTGTCTTTTTTCACCGTGGTACTGGTTATAAGTTTCATCATCAAACTGCGCTTCCCAAAGTTTGAATCTTTAATATTCAACGAGAGTAACTAAAATTTACTCTAGACATCTCATATCTCTCTATACCTGTGGATGTAGCACAAGCTATTCTTCCACTTCCATCAATTGCAACCGCACCAACAGTATCATGGCCAACACTCCCATTTTTGGGGTCTATATCTTCTGCTCTTGCCATCTTGCTTGCTATTTCTTCTAATTCTTGCATATCCTTTGAGTGGATTATGTTATTGAAATATGTCTTAACATTATGGTGAAACTTGACCCTGGCATCCAATTTTGCTTTCAAAACACTTTCTTCAACAATCAATTCAGTAGGGTCTGATAAAACTGGATGTCCCACTTTTTTGGCAAATTTACTTGCACCCTGTCCGACTAGCATGCAATGAGGCGTGTTCTCAAGAATCTTCTTGGATAACTGTACAGGATTGGCGATATCAGTGACAGCTCCAACAGCACCTATATATAAAAAAGTCTGTTTTTTACAATACATACATGAAAGCGATGTATCAAGGTTTATACGGGTATGTGGGAGCGGACGTACACCATTGATAATTCAACCTATTTTCAACACTTATTGATGTGACGAGAAGAGTTTGACAAAAAGGGAGAATCTAGCACAGTAAACACTATGCTACATCATCCCTTTTTATCTAACGATAGATACGCAGTTTAGCTGTACTTATATAAAAGTGCAGTTCGGGACAACTAGTCATATTTTTAACAGCCAAAACCCAAGACAACTAGACATATTAAATCCATAGACAGACAAAATTGTAGCACTATAGCATCAAAGGTGATGAAAGAATAACTGCTATATAACAGTCTATCTATAGATTTAATTCATGCTTTGAAGGAACATCTTAAGGATTAAACTTGTATAATAATCATATAACTTATAAATGACATTGTCTATTTTTAACGCATTTTTATTACTTAGTTGTAACTTCCCCTTCTAAGTGTTTTCCAATGTTTTTTTAATTTTAGACAGGGCTTCTCTTTATACGAGCATGGGTTTAGCTGATTGAATTACCCTGTATAAATAATGTATCATTATTATTATTATTATTAATAGTCAATTGAAAAACCTTTTTCAATTGACTATGGTGTGTTCCAGATTGTTCTCAGAATCTCTTTTCATGGCCACGGTATCCATGCGACGTTGGTTTGATGCACAAATAACCAATCAGAACGTAGAGCCACCACAGCGTACTCTGCCTCAGCGAGTTGCTGTGAATTTTGTTCTGGTGTTAAACGTCTAAAGTCAGTTTCGATGATATAAAGATTAGGCCCTTTTCATGTTCACCCTCAATAACTAATGACAGATGCTAAAAAGAGAGAGGAAGACGCTATCAGGGCGAGGCTTTCAATTAGCCAATCACGGAGGGGACAGACTACTTCAAGTACTCCATGTAAAGTAGAAAAAGAGGTAGATGCTACCCAACCTATAGGAATGTAGCAATAGGCTTTTTTTTTCATATTTTCACTTACCAACTCTCAGTGTCTCACCATCCATAATAAATGCATCCATTTCAACAGTTCCTTCTTCTGTGAGGCAAGAACCATGGCCAGCATCAAAGGCAGGATTGTCCTCGAGTGACGTCACAGCTGCACAGACAGCATCAAGCGCAGAACCACCCTAATCGAACAAATATTTTGGCTTCACAATAAGATTATATTGATTAGCTACATATTTTGTAAATATTCTACAAAAAGTTAAACATATAACAACACACAAACAAATTAACCAAAATACAAGAGAAAAGATCATGCAAGTGAGCTATTAAAAACAAACCGAATAGTAGCTAATGCATAGAGGAAAGGAAACAAGCAAACAAGCAAACAAGCAAACAAGCAAACATGCAAACAAGGAAACAAGGAAACAAGGAAACATCAAACATGCAAACAAGCAAACAAGTCTTTGCATTCAAGGAAACAACAAGGCAAACACACGAGGGAGTAAGCAAACATCAAGTGATCAAGAACAGAGGCAATCAAGCAAGCACACAAGGAAACAAGGGAGTAAATAAGCACATAATCAAGCACAGAGATATATAAGGACAAAAGTAAGCAAATGCATAAGCAAGCCATGAAGCACATAAGCACTTGGGCAATAAGGACTTAAGCAAGTAAGCAAGTAAGCAAGCAAAGGCACATGCAATCAAGCAAGCACACATACAAGCTAGCATGTTATCTAGTATTCAAGTATATAGGCATTCAAGGAAACCAGCCCAAGGAAATAAGCAAACAAAAACACAAGCAAGCAAGCAAGAATTTCCATGCAGTGTTTTAGCACCAAAACCCAGGAGAACAGGTTGACAATTCAAGCCTGCATTCTAAAAACACATTGAAAAATTTAATCCTGCCTCTCTAATAACACTACCTTGCAATGAATTGAGATGTTTAATCCTGCAGCAGGAATACAAAAGAGAATACGGTAAGCAAAATATCAAGCCTTCTGAAACCGAGCATTCAAAAATGTCGACTTCATCCCTCGGAGTACCAACAGCCTATAATTTTGGGAAAAGGCTCTCACATGGCCCATGATTAATGCACATTAAATCCTTGTTTTCAGAGCTGTCTTGGCTGGAAGAGACATGGTGTGAATTTTGGTTTGATGCAAAGTATTTCATGGCCAATGAATAAAATGGAAATTTTGGTTTTTTGTCAAGTTTACTTATTTCAGCATCAGTGAAAATTGGGAAGGGGGGGGGGCTAAATTGAGAGGGGGGCTAATTAAATTTTTCCTTCTGGAAAGGGGGGTAAATAAGAGGGAGGGCTTAATTAAGAGGGGGACTAAAAAGGAAATTTATGGTAGAAGTCCAGTGGCGGATCCAGACTACCGCCATTACCGCTCGAGCGGTAGTCAGATTATTCAAAAAATTATAGAAACAAGGATCATTTTCATGTTTATCCTACTACTTTAATTAAACCATATTTAATTATTGAAAATATTTGATCGCGCTGCAAACCAAGCCTTTCTTCCTAGGAACATGCCTGAAATTTCCACAGAGACAGAAATATTTTTTAGTCCTTATCGCTATGGAAATTGCGTGCCAATTGCCGAGCCACATGTTCGCAAATAGAAGGCTAGCATGGGGGGATGATGAAATCATGGCTTGCTAACTAGGGGGGTTGTGTCGGTGTAGAGCGGATTTGAGCTGCACTGAGCGGTAGTCAGCCTGCCTAAACCAATCAAATCATCAGAAATCACTGCCAACCTGGGGGGATGCATCCAAATTTTGTTGACAACCAATGAACAACCGAGTTGACTACCGCTCAGATGGGGGGTTGAATAGTACTGCCGCTCAGCACGGCTCAAACGTTACAGAAAGATGGGGGGATGCCTACATATTCTGCAAGTGGGCAAACTGTAACTTCAAAGCCGATGTGACCAATTATTTTGTACAATACACAACTATTCGTAGGAATAAATTTTAAAAGAATATTAAGACTCAAATATTCTAAAATTTAAGAAGGCATCAGGATTAAAAGTCAGGCCCACAATATTCGCCAAAAGTATGAATCTTTGTTTAACAAAAGTTGCTCTCAATAATTGCAAATTTTATCTAGCTTTTTAAACTTATAATTTCCAACAGGTCTGATTTTCATAAGTAATTGTGCGACTAAATGCGAGTTTTAGGCGACACTTCAAAATTATGCCAAATGTATCTTTTTTCTAATTCGATGGTGTTCCTCGGCTAAATGCCGTAAATTTTTTTAGAATATCCATTCTCAAAATATTGAATAAGATTATTTATTTCTTCTCAAGCTTGTTGTAAGGTACCCTGGGTACCAGAGCCGCAAAAATTAAAATTTTAATTTTTGCGGCTCTGGTACCCAGGGTAGTTGTAAGGATACATGAAATTTCAGTAAAGCACCGCTTGTCTCTTGAAAATGGTCTACATAAGAAATTATAGAAAGCAATAATCATTTTAGAAAACCGGGTGTGACCAAGAAATGGGTGTGGTCTAAAGGGTGTGGTCAACCCTCTATCTCATTTCGGCGGTAGTCAGATTTTTGGCTGGATCCGCCACTGAAGTCAACAACCATAGAAACAGCTGCAGGCGTCAAAAGTTCTGAAAACTGTCTTGAAGGATGGCTAGTGACAAAAAACTTTACCAGCTATAGATGGAGCCCACTATTTCAGCTGATGGCATTACATTTTCATTTACTTGTTCTGTAAATTTGAGTACATACCCCTTTAAGAACTGCGTATCCTGCCTTAGCAGCAACTTGTGTACCAGACTTGGATCTTTCAACAAAAATATCTGCAATATTACTTGCACCTCCATGAACAATTATGCATGGTTTCATGCCTTTGCTATTTTTCAAAACCTTGAAATTAGGAAAAAATTAGCTATGAGCAAGCCCTGTACAAGGGAGCAAAAGATTTGCAGATATCCATATACTGAAGCTTAATACCCCTTTACTTCTCTTCATTTTGCAACTCCTGCAAACCTTTACTATCCTGGTTTTTACTAGCCTCCAATTGTCCTCGAAGGAAAAGTTGCTAAATACTTTAACCACTAAATACTTTTTCTTTGAGGAAGAGTGGAGCCTGGGGGAGGGGTTAGCTCCCATTATGGCCTAACAGGTGGGCCCAGTCAGGGTCAAAGCTGAAATGTTGAAAAATTACCCTCAAATGGTAGTTTTGTTGACAATAACCTTCAAATGGTAGCATAAGGACGGATCTGATATTATGTCCTTGGTAGCATCCATTTCTTTGTGCAAGCCTGGTCCTTCTTTGACAAATTTCTTTTCTACTGACTGTTGTTGATTTGAGAAAGAAGATAAAATCTTGTTCATTGTTCATAATAAATGGCAAGCTAAACTTAGCCCTTGTGTTATTATCAAAACTGAGCCATTTGGTGGCCATTTGGTGGCCATTTGGTGAGACCCTCAAATTGACTGGACCCCCCTGTCAAGCCTTAATGGGAGTACCCCCCCCCCCTCCCTGGGGAGTGAAGGGTGCATGAAGTTTAGCCAATTTCTAATTAGCCGGAACAACTAAGGAATAGACTATTCTTAAATTGATTATTTTTCTAAGCACAGCAATGTTGCACAAGGAGGTAAGAGGGTCAAAAGGAGGAAAGGGAGAAGCTGCATCCCTTTGCCCCTGACCAGAGGGGGGCAGAAGGGGGTACTCCCATGTGTTTTGGTGCCCTGTTTTTGATTACTTTTTATATGGTTGGATATATAAAGATAACAGCGTAAAGAATACACAACTTGTATCTGAACATAACATGAAGAGGTAGTTGAGAACAATGCAAATACTAAAAGTAAATCTATTGCAGTGCAAGCATGAGGGGTCAAAATCCGATTAACAGGGAATTCTTAACAGGGAGATAATAATGAGTTCTTAACAGGGAATTCTTTTTAGGATTTTCTATGGGACAGGTTGGAGTGCAAAAAAGATATTCCGCAAACAAAAAGATATTCTGTCACTTCCATAGTCATATGCCCACTTGGAAAAATTAAACTAACCTTTCAAGTTTAACACACTGATCACTGTAAACTTTTGATGTCGAACGATGCAAAGTTGCAATCAATTACAGAACTGTTGTCACGTGGACACAACAAACAACAACAATTTTAAGATGCACATGGGTACGGTGTTCGACTGACTGCCATCCAGTGACTGAGATGTTCCTCACCAGAAGATCTAATTTGTTGAGGTAAGTTACGAAAGAATACTTCATTAAACGATTTAAACAGTTCTAGTTAATTTCTTCTCAAGAAGTCAAACCATGTAATTCTAATAAGGGAATTTAGAATTCAGCGAATAGGAGCTTGGCAAGGGTGCCGTCCTAAAACAACATTCAACATTTTCAACATTTCATTACCAGTATATTTTAGATAATTACAAGTGATACGATAGTGCTAACATAAACGATTAAAAGATTTAAAAAGCATATTTTACATAAAATTGTCAGCAAGGAAAAATGAAATACTGAAGGACACTGTTAAAAGTTAGGAAGGAGGCTGCCCACGAGGCCATACGCTCATCACACCCAATGTACTTGCAATTGTGTTAAAGATTCTCTTTTGTGTGTAGGAATCATTCAAACTATTCAATGACAATCCGACTGATAAGAAACTCATTCATAAGAAACCTACATTATAATAGAGGGTTGCCAACACAGAATTCGTCCAACCAAATATGAACTAACTTTTTAGAGGGGGCATGAGCCCCCTCAGAATCTCTCTGAATTTTATCAAGGGGGGCTGATCCCGGCCCCATGGCACCACTGGAGCTTGGTATCTTCCAAACCTTCAAGTCAGTATGCATTCTAGGATTTTTACTTGCCATAAATTGTAGCCAGTTTTTCCTAATTGCTTGCAAAATTGAAGATGTGCACAAATTTTCAAATCACCTGAACTTGAAAAATATGTGCCAAAAATTCCCAAAGTACAGGATGAATCACAGTACATTTTTTTATAAGAACCAGTAAATTTGTGTTCAGGCTGGTTGTTCTTAATTTTTTCGAAAATCAGAGGCTGGATTGTTCTTAATTTGTTCTTAAGTTTATAGGTTATAAGCAGTGTAATTGCTAGCTTACGGCTCTAGGGAGGAGGTGTTCAGGCCTCTTTTGCCAACAAAGTGTGGAGACAACCTTCATTTGCTGCCATGTTTGAATATTCCTTGAAAAAGCACCCAAACATGGCGAAAAATCTTTGTTTTTGAAATATTTTACAGTAAGCTCAGCCTCAGCTTGTTTTTATTTTGTTTTCAACTTTTGAGCAAATTTTGAAGCTCTTGCTGTTATAAAACTGTTTGTATAAAAAAATAATGCATTATGTAATATCAAAATGCAGTAATCTTTGAGTTTGAAAATTTTAGGATCACATTAAACCAATGTTTTATTGGTTGTGTAGGTTTAATTGCATCCATAAACTTGAGATTACTACTCAACACATTTGAACACGAAATGTGAAGATTATATCAGGAAGTGTCAGACACTATATCTAAAAATAATGCAGGCACAATAAAAGTTTATAACATGTCATATGGAGATATTACATAGAATATCCATGTTACATATTTCACAAATGTACAGCTTGGCCACTGAGATTTTATACAAAGAAACCATAAACTCACAAGTCTATATTATTAAATATCTTGTTTTTTATTTCAAAAACGTTCAAAGCTTTCCCATTGAGATATTATAGAAAGTGACCATAAAATCACTAGAATATATATTATCTATTAAATGTTAATATAAGAAATTTAATTGTTTTGATAGCCTCAGAATATTCTGGGTAATCCCGGTCAAAATTTCTGGGCAGCATTTTTTTAAAAAGTCCAAATACTTTTCAAAGAGCAAAATTTTTAAATTCTATCAACCAGAAATGGCAATGCTCCATTTGATAGAGACTTCCTCTATATTTCCTCCTCTAAGCTTGTTTCAAATTTGTCTCCATGGTCAATTCCAAATTTGATTTTGTCATTAGCAATAAAAGCCCATCCCATTCTGAAAGTTGAAAAGGAGAATCCAATATCACCTTTATTGCTGATGCAAATGATACCACCCCTCCCATCGGTCTCATTTCCAAGGTATTTTATTGCTTTCTCTGCTGCTGTTTGTGCATCATCCCCATTCTCCATGTAGTAAACTGCCTAAAACGCACCAAATGGGCAATGTTTCTTTTTTCATATCAATGTCATGCATAGTTTTAATTACTTTATTGAGTAAATTACCAAGTTAAGTTAAAGAGTCCAAGAAAGAAAAAGTCTCTGCCTAAATAATTAATGATATTTTTTTATGATTTGGACAGATTCCACTGTCTCTTATAAATACGCCTTGTAAAGTCTGCTTTTGTAGGCTAAAGAGTTTGCTTTTAGACTCCAATTTAGTAACATAGAGCCAAATTTGATGTCAAGAGGGACCTTATAATGTTTTTATCTGTGATTTAGTGGAAACTTCACAAAATTCACAAAAATTCAGAAAAATAACAAACTTTGTACACTTTGAGATGAGATTAATATGTCTACAATGACCAAGGAGTTGTTAAACATTTATTTCCATTAAATTTCCACTTAGTTGTTCATACCATTTTACATAATTTTCATCTATATGTCATAAAAGCTCTATTAAGCCCCCAGGAGGCTTAATCATTTTTTCAGTCCTGGAGGGGGGCTTAAAAGAAAGGGGGCTTATTAGAGAGAGGGGGCTTATTAAAAATTTGAGGTAAAAAATGTTTTAAAAATGCCCTAGTCTATTTAGTGACCTCTTAGGTGCACAAGTAAGTCTTTACATGAGCTGTATTTAATGCACATGATCTAATTATCATCACACCTGTTAAGAGACCCACTAAATGCATATGTTTTCATTGTTTGACAACAAGGCTAAAGAAAGAGGGAGGGCTTAATAGAGAGTGGGGGCTTGTTTTAAGTTTTTGCTTGATAAGGAGGGGTTTAATAGAGCTTTTAAGTTATTTACTAATTTCCAAAGTCTAAGTTGGCCCTTAGACCTTACAAACTAAAAGTGGCTGTGGTTTGAACTGTTCAGTTTGAGCTTTTTGTATTTGTATTACACCTGCTAAAAAGTTCACTCTAAGATGCCAAAGTAGAAATCACAGTAAGCCCAACATATTCTAGTTCCTGCCTTAATGCTTCTTTTGCTTTCAAATTCATTCTGTGTCAGTGCCAGATTGAAAAACAAACTTTTTCCAGTGTGTTTGACATCCTTAATGTGCAGGTTGAGTAGCAACTGGGACCAACTAAACCACTCTCCTTATTTTCCTTTTTTTTCAGTTTTTCATTTAGAATTCTTGATTACTGTGTTTTACTATGTATATAACACATATCTTGTATAAAACACACTATTCATTCCATGTTAAAAGTTTAAGTTGTATAGGATGGGGGTGATGCTATACTTAGTTAATGATGGTATTTCTTGTTGACATGTTGAAAAAGTTAATGGTCAGGATAGTGATTGTGATGTTGCTTGTAGTTTGGTGGTTTTCTGATGTTTTTGTCTGATGCATTGTTTTATTTTACAAGTTTTTTCATTTTACATTCATATGAATGGACTAGCTCTAAATATCATAGGATTTTGTCTACCAATTTCAATAATCCTATCGCTTTAACAAAGAAATGATTTAAAAATTAATATTACTATGTATAAGCAGGGTCGGCACCACTGACTGATCCCAAACTGGAAGGGCCAACAATGTAAAGAAAGTTTCCACTTACCCCCTCTAGCCCAAATGTGGCAAACATTTTGCTAATGCCTTTTTACTTGTGGACCTTGTTTAAATGTATTTGTTGTAATCTAAGGGTTTATCTTAATAGATAATTTGAGCCAATTTTTATCTTTAATTCAGCTAAAAAGTGGGGAAGCCATGGCCCCCTGACCCTCCTTGTGATTTTCGCCCTGATACGATGCACCCTTGAGCAAAGCCAATACTAGTAAGAAAAAGGCCAATCTTTTATAGTGCAAAATACAGAACCCACAACCCACAAGACAAGTTTATCCTGCTTTTTATAAGTATTCTTAGCTTACCTGAAATTTGTCGAAATTTTTGGATAAACCAGTCCTTATTTGAATTTGGAAAAATATACTTAATCAAAAAACCTTGCAAACTATAAAAGAATGTAAAATGTAAAAAAGAAGGTAAACAACCAATCACTTTAATTGTTGAATGTGGCTTGAAGTAATTACTTAGTATCATATGAAAGATTGGCACCATTTCATTGAAAGAAAAAGGCAGTTTAGTTCTGAAAATTTGTTACAAAATAAGTCAAGTTTAAAATCAATGCCTGACCTGTCTACATATGGTTGTCTTGGTCAGAGATTCTCCATGGCCAGTAGATGCAGCCCCACCGAATTTGTTTGCATATCCCCCACAACCTGTCAGTGGGCTATCACCAATACGGCCAACCCATTTACCAGGTATGCCACCTAGACAAAAAATGATTTTTTTGAGCTTGGATATGATTGAATTCAAGATATTCCATGTCATTTTTCTCCATGCTGTTTCTTTTCATGTTAATATTGCTATCAAGAACTGTTTATTGCAGGTTTCAGAAGAGTCAGTTCATTTTCAGCCTCTTTGTTTGCTTTTAACTGACCATCAAACTGGGTTATTTGTCAACATCTGTGAGTCCTACAACCCTGTTTTAATTGAATTTGTTCTTTTAAATCATCAAAATTTAAAGTTTACTGTTAAGTTAAATAGAACGCAATAACAAATATAATATGGAAGCTAAGACATGAAAAAACTCCTAAAAGCTTTATAATCAAATATCATTTATAACATTTTGAAGAAAAGCAGTCAATAGAAATTCTCCTATGACATTTTGAAAAGGATACAAAACTAAAAAATGTTTTGTTTATTGCTGTTTGACCAAATCAATGTAATACCAGCATACCTGTGGATGTAGCACAAGCCATTCTTCCACTTCCATCAATTGCAACTGCACCAACAGTATCATGGCCAACACTCCCATTTTTGGGGTCTACATCTTCTGCTCTTGCCATCTTGCTTGCTATTTCTTCTAATTCTTGCATATCCTTTGAGTGGATTATGTTATTGAAATATGTTTTCACACTTTGTTCAAAGCTAAATCTGCCAGCTAACTTTGCTTTCAAAACACTTTCTGCAACAATCAATTCAGCTGGGTCTGATAAAACTGGATGTCCCACTTTTTTGGCAAATTTACTTGCACCATGTCCCACTAGCATACAATGAGGTGTGTTTTCAAGAATCTTCTTAGATAATTGTACAGGATTGGCAATATCAGTGACAGCTCCAACAGCACCTACAAGGGTTAATGCTCTGCCCTTAATATCCATTCCATGTTTCAACCTAACGTACAGGCTGTACATTTGTTATCTAATAGAAAATATTAATGCACAGAATATATTGTTATGATACATGTCCAGGTTTAATTTTGGGAAATTTGCATCAGCCGATAGAAAAAGACCTGGTTTTGATATCCAGCCAATACCTCAGCAACTTGTTTATCATTTTATTTTTCATGGCTAGATGAGGTTGAATCAGAGGAAAGAATGGATTGTGTTTCTAGGAGATATCTGGATATGATTTTTGTAAACTTTAATGAAAATATTCAATGCTGATCAGGAAGTACAGAAGGCTTTTGGAGATAATGGTTTCCATAAAAGAACTTGGCTTAATGAATCCTCCAAAACAGTAGTGGCTTAGTGGATTCACAAAGGATGCCTCTATGTGAATCCTTCAAAACAGTAGTCATCCGTGCTAAGTTTGCGACCTTACTTAGTAAGTTAAGACATGCTTGCAGGTATTAAGCAGGATTGATAAGATAGTAGATTGGATGTCTAATCCTTCTCATTCTTTCTTTTCTGTTTAGAGCAGTTATAAGAATAGTTCTTCCTGCTACCTAAAATTTTCCTTGTATCTTTTTAGCAAAAGTTTCTTAGAAATGAAATTTAGGGGTGAAATTATATATGGTGTTGTCGTAGTGCAGGAAATTCTTTAATTTAAAACAATGTTGTCAGTTTATGCATTAAAGCGAACACTGGATAACCTTCCTCTGGCTCACAGCCGCAGTTCAAAATATCAGCTTTGCATTACCTGCTTTCTGTAGTATCTTCCTTCTAAAATTTAGAAACTAGCATTCATTCAAAAGATCTTCTCCTGTTGGTATTGCAATTAGATATACAACAATTCTTTCTGCATTGTTTTTTCACATTAATCTAAACACAATAACTCAGAACTTATGCACCAAAAGTCACACGATTCCTGAACAGTAAAATTCTGCCTTTGTTTCTGCTGCTTTCCAGATTATTGATTTTTCTGAACATTCCATGATTCTCTTGACCCTTGGCATCACTTTCTTTAGAGCTGGCACAGGCAAAAAGCTTCTCTAATTTGATTAGATGTTGTTTTATTGTTTTGCACAACTGAAAAGAGCTCAAGTCCCCTTTTAGGCAAGATACAGCATTTTCCATCAAAATAAATGTATTAGATTTAGTGGCTAGAGTTCATAATGTAGAAATAGAGTAGATATAGAAAAATATTGAAACCAAATTAAAAACTGAAACAAAAAAAACCTATTCTCAATGTGTCACCATCCATGATTAATGCATCCATTTCAACAGTCTCGTCTTCTGTGAGGCAAGAGCCATGACCTGCATTAAAAACTGGATTGTCTTCTAGTGATGTTACAGCTGCGCAGACTGCATCTAGTGCAGAACCTCCCTAGCAAAGATAATATTAGTTGGTTTTACACAATGGCATTTATGTAACCTTGAATAAACAGTTTCTCTGTCTCTCACAAATAGGTCCTAAGAAGGTGCCGACAACCCATCCCCATTTTCCAAGGGAATTATCCTCCTCTAAGAAAACCTAAGCTCCAAGTTTGTTGTGAAAAATTTATTTATTTATGTTTTTTATCTTCATCTGTATATTTTTCTCAACATAGTTTTCTTTATATTTCAATCATAAAAAGCTGCCTATTGTTGCTTTTCTGTTGCAAGCCATTTATAATGTAGGACAATGTTTATTGTTTCAAAATTGCAGTTAGGTCTTCCTTAGCAAATTCTTTATTCTTAAATAATATTTTCCAAGAAACATGCTTTGCTGACATAACTAAAGGGCATTAATGCAGCAGTTGTCTGCATTTTTATTTTACTTGTCAAACATGAAACTGATTTGCCTAGTAAATATGAACATTAGAATTATATACTTCTCTGAGAACAGCATATCCTGTCTTAGCAGCATTCCTTGTCCCAAGTTTGCATTTTTCAACAAAAATATCTGCAATATTACTTGCACCTCCATGAACGATTATGCATGGTTTCATTTTTCTGGCTCAAAAAATCTTTAACAACTGAAAAATTAAAAATTGCAAGCAAGGCTCAGCCCAACAAATCCCTGTTTCTTGTCACACACATATCAAGCAAGTTTCCTAATAAACCATTTTCCAAGACCTTTAATGTTAGATGGGGGCCTATTGTACAGTAGGTTTGTGGCTTCAAAAATAACAATTTTTCAAAACTCAAGATCATTCCATCCTGGCAAATGGACCAGAATATTCAAGGCTCACACAACAGTGAAAGGAAGCTGGAACTGCACACAAGTAATTGTAACCACAAATTAAAACACGCTTAAAAGACTGGCCCTCGGGCACAGTGACCAATGAGACCATGCCTATTTCCTTAATTCTTTGGTTTATAACAGATATATTTTCCTTTGGAAAATCTAATAAATTATGTCCTACCCCTGCCTAATGCACTTTTAACCAATTTTAGCAGAAATATGTGGAGAATGTTTTGACAAAAGTAGGGGGTAATTACCCCCTCCCCCAAAACACTCTTTAGGTGCCACCACTGCTAAGATATATTCTTGAAGTGGTTACTGAAATATTTACTAGTATTTTTTTTAAAGATTAACTCAAGCCAACACACCTGACAACACTCGTCAAAAAGCCTCATGGACGTTACCAAAAAAAGGCCAACAACTCATAGACATAGGATACTTGAAACTACAACAACCTTTGCCCCAATAGTGTTTTAAAGTGTGACGTCACTAAAACCTATTTTTTGAATTTTTGAATGTTAAAGGCATTGAGTCATGATAAAATGGATTGGGTATACCCTAAGTGCCAAAATCCGCTGAGTCATGATTTTCATGAATGCCATGCTTTTGGTTGACCTGGAACTGGTCACATGAACTCACCTCGTACTGATTGACAAAACAATTTCCATCAATAGTAAGTTGTCAACAACGGATGCAAGTATCACATGAAAGAGCAGCGATCACGCCGGAACCAAAGAAACTCCTATAGAGAAAGCCTATTTACCATGACTCAATAATGCCTTTAACCACATAACATAAAAGATCAATCACCATGGAATTCTTCCAACTATGCGAAATGAGTGAAATATGTCTAAAATCGGTCGAGGTATGGCCAATGAAAGATTTGAAGTTTGCTAACGAATTACTGTGAACAGAGACCAAATACACTCTTTTTTTTATAAGAACAATTTTATAAAAACACGAGCCTCAAAACTGGTCAAAAGTTAAGAACAAATTAAGAACAAGCTGAGGCTGGGCTTCTGCAAAATGCAGTTTTGAAAGACGTTTTTTCTCAAAATCGAGGATTTTTAGCGATGTGTTGGTGCTTTTTCGGTGAATACTCAAATTTGTCAGCAAATTAAGGCTGTCTCACTCACTTTGTTGGCAAATGAGGCCTGAACACCTCCTTAGAGCGAAAAAGCTAGCAATAGCACTGCTTACACCTAGTTTAAGAACAAATTAAGAACAATCCAGCCTCAGATTTTCGAAAAAGTTAAGAACAGTCAGCCTGAACTTAAATTTACTGGTTCTTATAAAAAAAAGAGTGTACAGAGATTTGATGGGGATAGAGCCAATACACACGTGGCCATATCTCAGCCAATTCGTTACACAATTGACTGATTTTGCACATTTAGATGTATTTCTTGATGCTGTTTCGGGCCATGGGATCTAAATCCAGAGAATTTTAAACATTTTATTTTTATAACGTCATAACTTTAGAACTCTTACCAATCTGAGGGGCAAGCCGGGGGTAGCCTGCATCCAGTTGCATTGAATCGCTGACAATGTACCATAGAGACCCACAGGCCCGTACATACTTGGGGGGGGGGGGTGGCAGCGGGAGGGGTTTTGCGCTTATAAGTGGTTGTGGAAGATACGGCATCATGCAACACCTCCCTCAAATCACAAATATCTAGTAACGATCCTCCCCCTTTGTCTACGATTCATGCTTTCGCGAATAGAATTTTAGTGCACAGGAAGATCGCGCAACAAAACGTGATTTTCATGGGTACGAAAAGGGTACCTATGTATGTCTACAAAGTACCTTATTTATATGATTCACAGATATTCTAAAATTAAGCTTGAAACGTTGATAGTTTTGAATTTATTGATGGTTTTATCTCTACTTCTTCATATAAAGCATAATAAGGATAAATCTAAGCTTGGATGAGACTCAAGGCACGCTAACTTACAAACCTTTAAATTTGCTTGCACCAGACTACTGGAGAAAATTATTTGCAATATGTTCGGATGATAGAAAACGGTTTCTGCGTTCATCAGAAACTGATCTCAAGATACCGCTGCTAAAAACGGTAAATGGCCAAAAGGCTTTTCTTATCGCGGCCCAAAACTGTGGAACAGTCTAGAAAGAGCTACTAAATTGGCCCCCTCCCTGAAAACCTTCAAAGAACAGCTATAGCCGGGGACAACTTTTATTTCATCTTTACATTCCCTTTTTATAGCCTTAGTTTTATATAATATTGTAAATTAGGTTAGGTTAGTAAATTTCTTTTGTTATTAATATTAGTGCTTATTTTAGTCTTTTAAACAGATCAGGTTGAAAAACATATATATGTATGAACCTTTAACCTGTATAAATATTATATAATGAAAAAAATGAAGACTTGTCGAGTATTCACGAATTCACAAGAAGTAGATGCTTATGCCTCGAAAAATCAATTAAAGTTTCACACGAGAAGCTAATTTCAAGAAATCGTTTAAAAAATTGTTGATTCAAGAAATCAAGGACAAACATTAGGGTTGTTTTGAAGTCAGGAACATCACGGGACGTTGGAAATTCATTATGAAAGCTTGATATATAGCCTGTGAAATAGTTCACATTTTAGTTTGTTCGAGATGCTTCGGCCTCAGAGCGTTACTTGAAAGCATGTGCAGGTTGCGAATGCCGTACAACTAAAAAAAATTTTCACCTTAGTTAGGAACTTCCCGTAAAAGGTCCCCTCTCTATTAAGCCCCCTCCTTATCAAGCAGAAGTTTAAGATAAGCCCCCCCTCTCTTAAGCCGTCGAAGTCAAACCAAGAAAACATTTGCGTTGAGTGAGTCTCTTGACGGGCTAGAGAACGATAAGATTGTGTACATTAAACACGGCCCATGTAAATATCTACTTGTGTGCCTCAGAAGTACCGTAGTTACTCGAGTGAGCTCCGCGGCGCTTTTCTAATTTCCGGTACTTTTGATGCGGCGCTTATATGGGGGCGGCGCTTTTTAAAAACCTTGTCATTTTATTACAAGTTTGAGAATATCCTTTAAGGTTCATAAAATTTCAATGTCACTGTCGTCTTCACTGTCGTAGACCAACTGAATGACTCTGCCAAGTGCCAACCTTCGTTGGATATGACTCTGCCAACGACAAAAAGACGCTTGTTGGTCATGTTCCGGTGGAATTGTCACGCTTCATGAAGAATTTCCTCGAAGCCAACACAGAAAATAAACTGGTCGCACAAGTTACATGAAAAAGAAAGAGAAATTGGCCTTGTTGTTCCAGCAAAGTTCTCTGCTTTCACGACACATGTGTTAAATAAGAAAGCTTTAAAATATTCTCACTTTGGACTAAGTGTGTTTTGATACAAGAAAATAAATTCCCGAGGTTGATTTAAGATTTACAGTTTTTTCCTGTTTGATTCTAACGATTCTAACAGTTTTTCAGTTAAGCGCCGCATATTCAAAAAAGATAACTGTGGCGCTCATTCGGGAGCGGCACTCTTTGACTTTATTTGTCTCAAATGCGGCGCTCATTCGGGGCGGCGCTCGTACGGGGCTCACTCGAGTAAATGCGGTAAGCCGAAATTTGTTTAGAAGATGTCCCAGGCAGAGTCGATGCCAATGGGGGGCAGGGGAGTGCGCATGGGCCCCCTATAAGGCTGTTTGTCGGAAAATCTGAATTTTTACATAACATTATTGATAAGCTTTTGTCTCTAATAAGCCACCCTCTCCTTTAGCCCCCCCCTCTAGGACTGAAAAATTAAATAGGCCCCCGGGGGCTTAATAGAGCTTTTGCGGTATGTCAGCTTTACGTGGAAGTTTGATTTTGCTATGTTGATATGAATCTAAACACGTTAGACGTGTTCTATATTTAGTCGTTTTTCGATATTCTCAATCCTTAGTAACTATTCACATTGTAACCAGTGCAAACCAATTTTGATAACTTTACTTATAGTTTGTAATTTCTTCATAGTTTCTTTGTTCATTTAAGGTTGTCTTGATGACATATTTGCAATACTAATGCAGAAGTTTGTTTGGTGAGAAAGGAAACATGGCCTCTTTGAGCAGAGGAGTGAGGCTGCCACCAATGCCTCGTATCGCAGATATCATTAGGCTCTATGGCTTGACGGCTAAAAAGCAGTTGAGTCAGAACTTTATTTTGGACCTCAATGTTACAGGTAATTCGCATCATCCTCATCTTAAAGGCTCTTGCGCAACCGGCATGCTTAGCGGCAGTGTTCTCGAGAAATTGACTGTGTTTTGTATTTTCATACTGTACGATATTAGGCCAGTTGTTTGAATTATAGTCACACTGCGTGCTGTTTACGCAAGAGCCTTTAAAGAACACAATCAATGCCAGGCTATTTAGGACTGCACCTTGTGAATTATTTTCATTGTGTGTTAAAGAGTTGAATACGGCAATAGCTGTAGGAGAGTCCCCCGTATGATCTGTGCGCGGCGATGCAGCGTGGTAAGGCGACCAGTTCATTTCATAGCTGCCCTTTGCGTCCCCGTTATCCCCTTGGATACCGTATTGTTGATCTTGATTGGTGGACAGGAGACTAGCCTCTATATCTTGAACCCTAAAACCCAAGACTTCAGCACTGCAGTCTTCCATGTATTAATTCTTTTTCTTCTTATTGATCAATTCCTTAGTAGTATTTATTGCATTTAGATTTGAGTATTTATTGTAAATAGTTGATGTGAATTAGTTTTATTTATAAAAACTGTGTAAATTGTGAAAACCAACTTTAAAGAATTTCACGATTATTTTTTTAAACCCGTTATCATTTCATTTTGCAAAAACATAACACTTACAAACCTCACTATCTCAAGGTAGTTTGTATAAGGCACATTTACATTGAAAAACCTATTTGAAAGTGCAAAGAAAGAAAAAAAGATATTTGATAGTCATAAATATAGTCATAAAAAGATGGTCATAAATATAAGCATGATGATATAATTATGGTGCTTTAGACAGCGAACGGAACATGCTTTCGATTAACATTGTATAAAACCGGCTCAGTTTGTTGTTTTACCATACGCTTAAGACTACTCCAGCCCGTACAGCACTGTATTTTTAAAAAAAATAATATTACCTAAAAGTATGATTTTCATTCGAGAATATTTGTATGTGCTTCAAATTTATAGAATTTATTCTATTTCCCCATATCAAGAGAAAATTGCAAGGAAAGCAAACCTCTTTGACACTTATGTTTGCGAAGTTGGGTCTGGACCTGGCTCAATTACAAGATCGATTTTGCAAGAAGGAGTTCGGCATGTAGCAGCCGTTGAAATAGACCAAAGATTCATGCCAGTGCTAGAGGTAACTTTTTTTCTACATTGATAGCCTGCTTGGAGGATGGATTATTTGCATTCACATTCAAACTAACCTTTATGCTGTTGTAAGCCGTGTTTATTAAATGATAAAACATCGTATTAAAAACGTAGGTTAAAAACAGTAGTGTTCATCAAATTGATAATTTTTATATAAAGATTGGAACACCAGCGTGTGGCTGTATCTTGTCGTGTGGTTCTATACACCAAGCGTGTACAGCTCTGCCTATACGACACCGTGCACCATATGACGGTTGGAGTAACTTTCAGCAAAAGTAGTAGATAGATGGAAAAATAAACCATAGAGAAAATATTAACTTCCTTTGTCAGAGCCGGCTTGTTTTTCTATTCATGTTGAATATTTGATGAGTTTGTTTTTGAATTTATGTACTATACAAATGTCTTCAGAGCGTGTGAAAAACGATATTTAACATTGAATTTGAACAAATATCAACAATCAAGTATATTAATACTTGATCATGGTTTGTGGTTTATTCATCATGGTTCTAATTCATGGTTCTGTCATCAAACAGGTTTAAGATGTTGTAAGACAGCTAGATTTGACTGATTTTGAGGATTTGATTTAACTTGTTATTTAATTGTGCCGCTTCTTCAAGTTTAAGTATCTTTTTCATTTTTTTTCTATGTTTCTCGTTTAGCAACTTGCTGATTGCGCTGATGGCTACATGTCAGTCCACAATGAAGATATAAGGAAGTTCAATATTGCAAAGGCATTGTCAAAAGCAAATGCAGTCCCTTGGGAGTCGGAAGGTATGTATTTCTCGGAGGCATATTTTATAGTATAGCTATGCCATGTGCAATGTGAACCATATCTTCCATCTGTAAACCATATCTTCAATCTGTATGTGTTTTTAATCTATAAAGTAACGGTTACAAAAAATCATTGACATACCAAGAAAAGTCCTTTCTTTATTTCTACGAGAGTTGGTTTTAGGGCTTTTGTACCTTTGATTTCCTAGTAAGGGAAAGTGTTCAGATTTTTGCAAGAAACGGGATGGGCACACGAGTGTGGCTAGATTTGGTTCCTAATGGAGATGATTTTAATGTTGCAACTGCTGGTTGTTTACTTGTTTGTAGTTAGTTTATCGGCATTATTCGGAATAATTATGAATTCAAAGTCCTACACGCTACTGTTTTGTAGAAAATTTCATTTACCATTTTAACAAAATATTTTCTTGATGAACTTTTTTTAAACTCCTGTTTTACAAATTTGATTGCTTTGTAGGAGACCGTAAAGAGACTACAATTCAACCTAACTGAATTGTCGACTTTATGTCTCTTAAAATATTACCAAAAAAATTTAAGAACAAAAGAATGAAGACTTCGAGTTTTTATACTTTGAATGTAGCAGCAACAGGCAGGAGACATATTCGTTTGACATAAAGTTTTAGAAGAATGACAATTTATAGGAAAATGAAACTTTAAAAGAATGGGATGAACCTCCGAAAATCAACGAAGCTTTTAGGTTGCCATTGAATATAAAACCTGGTCAATTTCCTCGTATATATAAATTACAAATTAATTCTTCAATCATGTTCTGTTCTCGTGAATTTTTTTTGTTTATCGTCAACTTTTATAGATAACAATATTGACAGTTTTCAGCACCTTTCCTTGTGGAATTTTTTGTTTGTCACATTATACCTGGGTAACAGAGCATCAGTGAATAAGATGATCGAACAGTGGTCCCCTCTCGTCTTAATACTCAGGGTCATTCCATCTCAAATCAACAGCATTCCATACATCTTGACACCCATAGTCTTAGAATTGGCTGATTTTTTGCAGAAAAGTAGCAATTGTTAAGAAGAACTCACATACCAAATTTTTTTCCAAAATTTCATTTCCTTTCTGAGTTATGACCAATTTAATTTTTCTAAAATTGTACTAAAAATAGAAGCCGGCGGCCATCTTGGATATTTTGAAAAAGCACAACACATATAAAATGTTTAATAGAATTGGTAATACTTGGCAAAATTGTCTACAAATTTAACATTTAATAATTTGACACATGTGAAATATAAGAAAACATTTAAGTTTGATGAAGTATCAATTTCTCCACCCTGAAAAATAACCCCAAACCCCCCACCCAAAATTTTCCTGATTTACATATTGCGAGATCCATGTCTTAGAAAACCTTTTGTATCTTTGGTAGGACCTATCCTATGAGCATGAAATTTGGAGTGAAAACAGTTCAAAGTATGTAGAACAAAATATTAGAAAATCTGGATGGTACTCTCTCTTATATTGAAATTATTGTATGTTGAATTGTGATATCAGCTGTCAAGCTGTCAACAGCCGATAATGCAACAGGCCTGATAGATGTCTTTGATTTAACATCAATTCATACTAACAACTACCAGTTTATAAGAAAATATACTTTTAGATCAAAAGTTTTGATATTGTTTCTTGCTTTTTTATTTCATCATGAACTTTTACCACATCGGATCTATGTAATTTGTAGCTTCTTCCAGTTGTTGTTATGGGAGCTTTGACAATGTATAGGATATGAGGCTTTGGTACAAAGCATATATCTTCCTTTTGTGGCCATGTAAATGACATAGAGGGAAAGGCTGGGTGCATAAACTTCACTTCCACATCATCATAAATTTCATCAACAGAAATTGTGAAGCCAAGCCAAAAATGCTGATCATATCGACAAATAATGAAGTCTGAGCATTTAACCAGCACATTTTCACCCACTTTGTCAATTTCTGACCCTCCAACAATATCATACTTGATTGTATAGTCATTCTCACTTGAAACACGCTTAGCACCAATAACTGTTTCAGTGAGTGGGACAAAATGATGGAAGCTCCGAGTTCCAGGCAAGGTTGAAGCTTTCTGGTACCTTTTATCAAGCTTACATCTAAGTAGCTCAATCTCCTCTTTACAAACAAAGATGCTGGCAACTCCTTTAATTTCTTTCACACAGAATTCATGTACTTGCCTTGCTGTTAGAATTTGACCTTCCTGTGGTCTCTGTAGACTTGCCCTTGTAACCAGTCGCTTAATTGTTCCTCCAATTCCATCACATGGTGATTTTCCATGGCTGGTAGCAAAAAACGACCACGTACATGAAACTGAGAAGTCATGATGGTGTAGGCAAACGTTCAGAAAGTTTTTATAATTTTTATATTGACCACTACATCCATCACTAAAGTAGTGCACCAACTTCATTTCTGGATTTAGTTTTTCTTTTAAAAATGATATTGTGACTGACATAACTTTGTAAACGAAGCTGGTGTCATGGTCTAAATCATCTGAAACGATGCAGAGTGATTTGTCACAAAGAATGTTGTTCCTTTTATAATAAATGACAACTGGATGCAAACTACATGTTTGTTGATGCCAATGATAGCTCTGAATTTCATCTTGGATGACAAACTTTAGATTTTCGGCAAAGTCTAACAATATTATACAGTCATCTTGTTGAAGTTCTTCTTTACATTTCTTGAGATGCTGGGCCTGTGCTTTGGCAATATATGAGTGTGCAGTTAATGCATCTATCTTACTTGCTAAAAGAAATATGAAATCTTCTGTTGGGAGGTTTTGGATAATAAGTTCTGACCTGTCTACTGTTGTCCATTGACTAAAAGTTATATTCCCTTCAACACTATCACCATCATCATCATCACTATCATCCGTTAAAAGCTTTTCTTTCAGGAATTCTTTTAAGTTGTTGACCCCTGGACAGTCAGGACAGCGATGGACCATGCAGTCTTTGCTATTTTTGTCGCAAACAATTTGCTCAATCAAGTCATGATAGGAATTATTTAAATCAACTGCATTAAGCATCAATTTAACATTCTGGTGAATAGCGCAGACGCAGACAGAATGAGTTCCAGAGCTTCCAACCAGAATACACCATTTTGGTCTCAAAGAGCAAAATTTAGAAAAGCCAATTTTCTTGCCAGGATACCTTCCTTTAAATTCAGTGTATAGCTCCCTTAGATTGCACAACAGGAGTCTTTTTTGCACGTGAAAGTTTCGTCTAACACTGACAAAATCCTTCTTCCCTGGCATTTGACGGCTGAATTCATCATCACAAAAAAATTCTAAAACAAGGTTTTCTGTTTCTTTTGAAAACGATTTCCCCATCTTCTTATCAGGAAGCTCCATAATACCTTTTTCCACTGCAAGCTTTTTGGCTTTCTTAGCCATATACTGTGAAACATTGAAGAATTCTTGAGTTTGTTTCAAGGACCAAGATGGAGGAACCATAGTTAAGATTTGAATCTTTCTGTCCCTGTTTGAAATCTGAAGCTTTTCTTTCATCAGAAACAATAGTTCATCCAAGTCCCTTGCTTTTGTGGTTAACTCTTTAAAGTTATCTGGTTGACTTTCTTTATCATCAAGCTTGTCAGATGGAATGCTCATTACCATAGCCACCTGCTGTTTTATAGTACTTTCCTCTTTCTCAAGTTTTTTTTTCACCTGATCAAATTTCCTTTTTCCATGTGAAATTTTTGAGTGTGTGGCAACACTATGCAGCTTCAAAGGGCTCACATCCATGCTCTCTAAACTTTTGTCTAGGTTTACCCTCATGTCTTCCATCTGAGCCTCATTATCAGGTATATAATTATCCTCAATATCAGAGTCCCTCTTATCATCAACACATTTTAGTTTATCATTCAATCTTATTCTACACTTTGGGCAAAGCTTTTGTCCAGGAATAACTGTCTCTCCAATGCTACTGAACTGCTTTGCAGTTGCGAGGGTTATTTCCCTTAGAGAGCTCTTGCTCCCTTTTTTGCCATGAACAAGAAAAGGATCACAGCACTTTTTCTGATACAGGTGTGAGTATTTCACCAAATATACTTGCTCATGATGAAAACAGACATCACCATCAGAACCAATATCCACACCAACTCGCAATTTTAGAATCTCCTTTTCTTCTGCTTGCAACACACTAAAAGATTTGGTACCTTTGAATTTTGTGTACACCTCCAAGTCACATTCCTCTGATAAGATTTTACCAATTGTACAACTCATTTTCCTGCCTTTACTAAAAGCTAACTTTGAAAATAACTGATAAGGGTTCATTTCTTGCCTTAATATACCTGCTGAATTATGCCACCCACGCAATGATGTCATTATCAAAATTTAGTCAACACCCACATGCCAGGATCAAAGTTCAAAATGATGTAATTGTTTTGTAAACATTGCCACATAGCAACACAAAGGCTAGATGATGAGTCAGGGTAATTAATCACACAAACTTTTGAAATAGAAGCTGACATCATTGCTTAAAGAAATTCAACTCAAGTATTTTTAGGTATTATGGCTTTAAGAAGCAGCAAATTAAATAAGTCTGATATGGAAAAAGTTCAGGATGAAATAAAAAAGCAAGAAACAATATCAAAACTTTGGATCTAAAAGTATATTTTCTTATAAACTGGTAGTTGTTAGTATGAATTGATGTTAAATCAAAGACATCTATCAGGCCTGTTGCATTATCGGCTGTTGACAGCTTGACAGCTGATATCACAATTCAACATACAATAATTTCAATATAAGAGAGAGTACCATCCAGATTTTCTAATATTTTGTTCTACATACTTTGAACTGTTTTCACTCCAAATTTCATGCTCATAGGATAGGTCCTACCAAAGATACAAAAGGTTTTCTAAGGCATGGATCTCGCAATATGTAAATCAGGAAAATTTTGGGTGGGGGGTTTGGGGTTAGTTTTCAGGGTGGAGAAATTGATACTTCATCAAAATTCAATGTTTTATTATATTTCACATAAGTCAAAGTATTAAATGTTAAATTTGTAGACAATTTCGCCAAGTATCACCAATTCTATTAAACATTTTCTAAGTGTTGTGCTTTTTTAAAATATCCAAGATGGCTGCCGGCTTCTATTTTAAGAACAATTTTAGAAAAATTAAATTGGTCATAACTCAGAAACGAAGTAAAATTTTTGAAAAAACTTTGGTAGATTAGTTCTTCTCAACAACTGCTACTTTCCTGCAAAAAATCAGCCAATTCTAAGATTATGGGTGTCAGGCCCTTGTTGACTTGACATGGAATGACCCACCAACTCTTTCACCGACCCACTCTTTCAATGACGCTCTGGCACCCAGGGTAGTCACCGGATTACTTCCCAGTCAAATTTTTGACAAGAAAATTTATACATGAAAGATTTTGATCTTTCAGATTTATGGAGAAGTGAATTTCTTTATTTCTTAGAGTTACCTGGCGTTCGACTTGTGGGCAACCTGCCATTCTCAGTCTCCATCCCGCTACTTCTGCAGTGGCTAGAGGCGATACCAGAAAGAAAAGGACCGTTTACATTTGGTAGAGTGCCAATGACCCTTGTTTTTCAAAAAGAAGTGGCAGAAGTAAGATTCGCTTTGCTATGTCGCTTTGCTTATCTTTTGTGTTTCGTAATTTCAGCTAGGCTTTTCGGCCGATAAATATCTTCCTGGATGTTGTTGCTTTGATATAAGATTGTTAAATAGCCATTGTTGTATTTCAATGTATTGCCATATTTTCCCTTAGTGCGAAGTTGAGTTGAGTTATTTTTTAGAGTAAAGCAGTTTTTGACCCAATTGAAAGCGGTTAATACTGCTTAGCCCTACAACGCCAAAGCTGTGTTGAGATTAAGAATTTGAATTCATTCCTCTTTAAAATCATTATGTTGCTAGTATTCGAGCTTTTTTTCCCTCTATCTGTAGAAACATTCTCTGAATAGTTCTCGACTCCATTAACACAGGTAAAGAACATTTCCGTTCTTGTCAACCCAGCCATGCTAATTACACAAATATCAACTTTGTCAGGATATTAATCAATTTTGGCCAAATATTTTGCAACTTCTATTTCGCCAAATTAAAACAATTTCTCGACAACTACAAAAGAAATTTTAAACCGTTATAGTTTTATCGATATTGAAGACTTCAAGCATATTCATGAAATCCCCAAACCATTTCTGATTATGATTCTTATAGAATCTGGCCGCTATTGGTGCTACAATGCTGCAGTCTCGATTATCAGTTATGACACAAAACCTTTGCAGTGTTCAGCGTGCAATGGTAATGCCACGATCAATGTTTGTGCCTGAGCCAAAGGTAAATACCTTATCTGATGCAGCTTATTCAATCAATATTGCATTCAAGTTTAGAATGATAATAATAATAATAAATTCTTTGTTTAAGGTTGGCGTAGCTGATAGCACAAGGCTAATTAATGCTAACCATAATTTATACAACAGCATGAATAACTAAAACGAATTAATATCATAGAGTAATGAATTGCTATCGTGTGATTCGAGAGTGTTTTCATAAATCAACACCAAAGATGCCTTGATAATTGTATTGTTTGAAGAGTAAGGCATCAGAAAAAATCTTCTCATAACATAGCACATGAATCTGTCCGTATTCTCTTGATTTCATGATTTTTGATTGAACTTCTAATAATTCTCTTGATTTCATGATGTACACTTATTTTCTTATAAGAAACAAAGGTCGATGGTGAGTTTTCCAGTTTCTTTATGTTCTGAAAATATCAATACTCAATGTTTCATAAGAGTTTCTTAATTATGATGTCATGAATGATGTTATGAAATGTTCGTGACCTTTTTAACGTCAAGAGATTCGCTTCCGTTCTGAATCGCTTCCGTTCTGAGCTGATGTGGGAATTATATTTTTATCCCTTCTGTCTTAATTTTCTAGGCCAACAGGGCAATCATGTTCTTGGATTTTACAAAATTTCGTTGTTCTCAGTTTTATCACGATTTTATAATTTTTCAATTTTTTGCGTCGAGTACTGAAATTTCTTAGTTTTTTCTGACTGCCCAGTACTCGTTTCTTATAGCCAGTTTCTTATAAAAAAATGAGTGTAGCACATGAACTCGTATTCGAGATCCGGAGCAATCGTCAGATTGTTTTATCGTAGGTAGTCAGGCCTACCAGGTGAGTTAGGGTCTTCCAACACACATAATGATGCATGAGATACATGGAGGTGCCATGCTATTGTATTTTAATTGAGACATTCAACCACAAAACAACAATAATCAACCTGGATACATATATGAATACATACATGTCTGCAAGTAGCACTAAAGATTTAAAAAACAATGAATGTCGGATTCGAATTTAACGATATTTAGCATAATTTCTACTAATAGCTAATAAGATAATAAATTAGTTAAGATATGATTGGTATTATGCTAAATTGCGTTAGGGTATTATTTTACCAAAGTTTACAATATAGTTCCTTAATAGGTTTACGAAAGGGTTTTTCCTGAGCATCTTAAAACGCACGTTTATTTCGTTTAAGCATGTATTTTATTGTACAGCCTTCCTTTATGATATATGCTGTTTTTGTTGCAAAGGTTGATGCTTGGCTGGTGAATATTGTACCGCACAAGGAAGCAAAAATCAAGGCTCCATTCAAAATTGTCGAACAGGTTGTCAAAGCAGTATATCAACACAGGAGAAAGTATATTCGTACACCTTTGAGGTAAGATTTTGTCTGAATTTTTTATGATCTTGATGTCTGAATTCAAAATTGTATTTTAGGCAGGGTGATAAAACATCTGTAGCTAGGTCTCGGAAAAATTCCTCTTGCCTGTCATCTACCCAGTTGTTGACATAAGGATAATAGTCAGAATTAGAATTCAAAAAGATATTCAAGTTTCTAATAAGTGTGGGCTTATTTTGACATCTGTAGAAACCGATTAAAAATAACAAAACCTCGCATGTTTGTTTAAGACAAACATGTCAGTGATACTGTACACTTTTTCCTTTCTGTGACACTTTATAGTCTCAACGTTTCCAGTTATCTAGTTACAAGGCAAACTTGCTAATTGCGTGTCTGCCCTTTTAATACAAAAAGGCTTTTAATTTTTAACCTTATGTCAACTCAAGCGTCATACATTATGTTGCCAGTGTTTGAGACATGAAAAGAGATCTTGACCACTCGAACTGCCATTTGCAATGATCCAAAGTTGTTTTAGGGGGAAATTTAGATCGGAGGTTTCAAATTATTCAATTTATTTTATTTCAATTTGTGTTTCAGATTCTTAGATAGACTGTTTCCAATCCCACGCTTCTGCAAAATGCAATTTTGAACAACGTTTTGAACAACGTCAAATGAAGGTCGTCTCACTCACTTTGTTGGCAAATGAGGCCTGTACACCACCCTAGAGCGAATAAGCTAGCACTCGCACTACTTACACCCTCTTAATTTAAGAACAAATTAAGAACAATCCAGCTTCAGATTTTGAAATACTTAAGAACAGTCAGCCTGAACTTAAATTTACTGGTACTTATAAAAAAAGAGTGCAATATTTCGTTCCGGTATACAGTGAATGTGAAGTTGTTATGAGGTGTCTACTATCAACAGATGTCCCTCAATGGACAGTTTGCTGTAGTTTATTTGACTAATTTTCTCTTGTTATTTATTTGTCTTAGGTTATTATTTCCAGAAGCAGAGAAACTAGCAGACGATTTAACAGAGTTGTCGGGTGTGACTGCGACGAAGCGCGCCCATCAGCTTACAATGGAAGATTTCGACGCATTATGTCAAACGTTTTTAGAGCTTTGTAATAAACATGGATTAAGTAATTTCCCGTTGAAAGTTCACCGACCAAGTCCTATTGTTCATTCTTCTGTTGCTAATGCTTAGTAGCATATCCATGAATTAATTAATTAGATTACCTGACGGATTCAATATCACCTGCGCATGAGAATGTGCCTTATAAGAAAATCCAGATTGAGCTATTGCTATTATGTAAGTTGATGAAGCAGAATGTTTAGTTGGTTGTTATATTTTATATAAGTTTGTGCGTGATATTAAAGCTATGACGTTTCAATCACAGAACACTAGAAATCGATGTTTAGTAGAATAGAATCAGAGGTAAATAAATTCAATCAATCTTTCGCTACCTCTGCAGTAGGTTGGTGTATATGGGTCTCAGAGATGGATACTTTCACTTAACTTTTCGCTACCTCTGTAATGTGCTAGTGCAAATAAATATAGATCGTATAGCTTGGTTCTAAAATATACTTCTTGCAAGCAACTTGTCAATTTTTTACGAAGAGCAATGATAAATGCCCCTTTACAGAATTGCAAGTGTTGTAGTATCGATTCTTTTGGATGTGTGTGAAAGTAAGACAGCTCCAATACCCAATATAGTTTGTACAATATGATATGTATATATATATTTTGTAGAGAACCGTTTGTAGTGGCTTATTCTTTCAGAACTGCAGTATGTTGGACTTCTTTCTAGCAACAAACTAGTCGTATATAAGAAGTCCCACTCATGTTTAAAAGAGCTAGAGCCTCGAGGATGAGCCTTTTAATGACCAATGACAAATACCTAATATGTCAAAAATCGTTTGATCATGCATCCATCCTACACTGGCTATTTTAAAAGTTTACATATGTTTTGTAACGTTGTATTTGTAAGATTTGATCATCAGATAAAAAATACATTTAACAAAATAGATGAATGAGAAATGAACCCTGCTATCAGTAGCCTGAGTCACAGACCAAAAACTTCACGGAAGTTTTAGGTCTGTGACGCAGGCTATGCTATCAGTAGAAACCGGCTTTGAAACTGAGACAAGACCTGTTAATGAGGGCCAGTTGCGATGCTAGAAGAGCCCATGGTCTTGGTGCTTGACCCAGCGCATTTGCAAAAAAAACTGAATGCAAAGCAATTTTTGTATAAAATGATGATAAATAAGCCATTTGTTTATGATTTTTTATGTATAAAAAACAAGTCATTACAACGACAATTAATCCATAGCTAAATTACTTTGTAAACTGCACAGTTGTGAGTAAGAATCACTTTGAGATTTTAAGTGTAATAGTCTTGCTGCAATCTTTTGTCGGTGCTGTAAACTTAGAAGAACTTTCGTATTTTATTTGCAAGACCTATATACTTGATGCTCTATTTTGTTTCCTTTGCAAAAATGACCTACCCGTACAGTTAATTGGACTAAATTTCTTGAATGCTGTTGCCGCCAATAAATACACTTGTAAAAATATCATACTGTATCGATTCATTGCTAAAGACAAAGATAGATTTGTGCAGCCTACTGTAAATTAATTGTTTTTTCACTTCCTATCAGCCAAACAGTGATTTTGCAAACATATAAGGTCTATAACGGATAGTTTTGAGAAACTGCTAGACTAGATCCCAATAGTACTAGGTACAAGCCCTTATTGATCTTAGCTTGACATTTTACCTTAACCATTCAGGTGTATTTAGTGCCATCGGAACGAAATTAATATTGGGGGGGGGGGGGCTGACATTTTTTTTCTTCTCATTCAGTACACTGTTATAAAAGAAACATAGTACAGTTTGACAATTATTGGGGGGGGGGGGCTCCAGCCCCCGAGCCCTCCGGTTCCGCCGGGCCTGGTATTTAATCATTCGTAAGAGCATTCGAGAGAGCAGTACCTTCCTCGCAACACGTGCCTATGAAATGAAATTTGACAAGTTTAGATAAAGGCACACTTTTTATAAGCAAAATTTGCTGATTTCAATTATATATGTTGAGGTGAATTTTTTCTTGCGGAACCGTCTAAAAATTTAGGTTGAATATTCCGTTTTCACGTTTTCGACTGTGACAAAGCACCGTTATCTGTGATGTCACGAAGTTCGCAAACACGGAAGCAGTTTCTGGTGGTTCTCGGTAAAAAGACGTTTTCTGGTGGTTAAATGGGCGTGGCTTAAATTTGTTTGGTTTGTCCCCCCCAGAGCTTAGTGGCTGGCGCCGCCATTGGATGCAATCAAACCGTCTTTATAGGTCTGGAGCAAAGAACCCCAGTCTACAAATAGAAAAAGGGATAATTTTCAGTTATGTTCTATCTCCTACCTTTTGTACCGCATCAAACTGTCCCATGTTGTAAAGTTTCGTTCTACTATACCTACTTTCAGGATAGATATTGTAATAACGCCGTTAGGGGCTTGGGGCAAAGAGCCTCTGTCTGAAAAAAGCTAAAGAGGGCAATTTTCAGTTCACTTGGGCAGTTTCCTATCTTTTTCAGCGTATCAAACCACCCCTATTTGCAAAATTTCATGCTGGTTGCACATTTTGCCGAATTGTTTGACTAACAGAACAACCCTGACTAAGCGGTATGGTGTGTTTACTGTGAAGACGGAACCAACTGCAAACCTTGTGACGTCACTGATTCTTATGCTTTGTCACTCGCACACATTGTTTTTAAACCCCAAAATCAAACTTTCCCGTGCATATTTTCGAGTTAATTTTCGCTTTGTATTGCAACAACATGTAGAAGTTTTAATTTCTTACAAAAAAACTGTATGTAAAATTTCATTTCATAGGCACTTTAGAAGATGTCCAGTAAACGAAATCGAGGCAGCTTTTGGCGGGAAAACGTATTTTCTGCTTGATTATATCACGTGGGCGTTTATCAAAACGGAATGCCAGCGTTGGATGGAAGAAGGCATTCCAGTCTACTAGGCGGAGATATCATTTGAAATTATCCATCAAAGTCACAATTATGGACATATAAATTGTTCAAGTCCTCCCTTCATCGTGCTACAAACTAAAACATCCAGGTCAAAATAGAGATTCTGAATTCCTGGTAAAGAATGTTGATAATATTTTGGAATGTTTATATCCTATGTAAGTATTTCCTGCCTGTCCTACTAGAACTCAAAATTTCACGCAAAACTAATTTATTATTAAAGCAACTGTGATATTTATTTGATATTCCTACTCTCTTCATTTCTTCTGGTTTATGATGGATTTCTAAATACAAATGACATTTCTTAATGAAATAGTAATCCACCACTTGAAAAAGAAGAACTTGCTGTCTTACATTCTACGTATTCCAACCTTTAAGATAATGCCGACATGCCACAATAAAAACAATTCATGTCTGGGAAATGGATATCTGTTAAAATTCATTAAACATTGATTTGGAGATTGGAATTAAAAAAATTTAAATGTAAATATTTTTTAAACAAAGAGGTTCACAAAAGTTTTCTGATGGTTTGCAAAAATATTGTGGCTATCATTTAATATTATTGTTTTTGTAATTTTGTTGTGATAGTTTTCAGTTGTCATGTAAAAAACAACAATTTATTGATATAATTTCTTAAATGATTTTAAAGAAGAGTAAGTGATAACTCTCTAAATAATTGTCTACTGATAAATTTATTCCAAATTTGTTTCAATCAATAATACATAATTCCAATCATTGCTTTGAGCAAAACAAAATGTATTACCTGGTAAAGAAAGCAACAAATGCTGTCGGGTAAAATTCTTGATTTGTTTCTATAAATGCATTAAATGCAATAATTCGTAATGCAAGCAGCTACCCAGTGATGCCATTGAGGGGGCTCAGGAAGGCACAGCCCACCTTGTTAAAATTCAAACAGATTGTGGGTGGGGCTCAGCCCCCCATTGACAAGTTAGTCCATATTTAGTTGGACAAATTCTTTTCCATGAATGAGTAATTTCAGTTTGTCTCTGTTATTGAATAGTTTGAATCATTTCTAGACACAACAGTCTTAAACACAAATGCAAGTACTTTGGATGTGGTACGGTGTGGTCATGGTTGTGGCCTTTGAATTTGCCTAAAGCACAGCCCCCCTTCCTATTTTTACAGGATGGAACCCCTGCAGCTACCTGGTTTTTTTTCATGGAAGAATATTAAGGAAGAAATGCTGAATGGGAGGGGGGCAATTTTCAGCAACAGGAAAGGATTGGTTCTTAAAACAAGCAGATAAACAGAGGGGGCAGGGGGCCAGTGGCAGCCTATGTTTTGAAATTTGTTGGGTTTACAGATACAGGTAGCAGGTGACAGTTGACAAGAAGGCATCAGCATCTAATTTTTTAGCACCATACAATTCATGGGAGGTGGGTCGACTTCTAAGTTAAGCCTTAAGGAAACTTTCAACTGCCTAATCTTCAAGAAAAGGATAATCTATTATTATGGAAATATAAAATTTGGTTTAAAACAAAAGTTTAATTAAAATGATAATTTTTTACACAGTACAGTGGAATTTTCAACCAGCTGATAGATGCAAGTTATGCGACTAGATTCAAAGGTGATTTCATAAATACGCATGTTTAGAATTCATGTTACATCACTCTGTTAATATATAGCTTCTTTTATTCTATATTTTGATATGAAGGAAAAATCTATCAAGACTTTGTAGTTTTTCCTTTGAAGTCCTCTTATTATATTTAGTAGGAATTGGACCATTATATACTTGTTGGAAAATAAACCAATTTTGTATTAATATCTAGGGTGTGCAAGAAAGCTCTACAATTGTTTTAAAGTGCCTATGCAGCAAAATTTACCATTCCAATATTTTAAAAGAAATCTATAGAATCCTTTGCCCTTGTTCTTATACAAAAAACAGAATTCCGATAAGTTAAATGGTTCTTTTTTTAATGAGTGTCAAAGCATGCACATTTTGCAGTTGCATTGCAGAATTTTATTTTCCGCTGTGACGTCACAGTGATGAGTCGGGGTGAAAGCATTTAGTCAGGCCTGTTAAATCACTTATTGGGTCAAATTGTGCAAATTGTGATACTAGCATGAAACTTTGCAATAAGGGGCAGTTTGATACGCTCCAAAAGATAGGATATGAATCCCGACTGAAAATTGCCCCCTTGTTCTATTTTCAGAGTGCAAGATATGAATAGGAACTATATCACATCCGTTTATGACCAAAGGTACAATTAGGGGGATTGACCGGAGTACCCCAGTCTAAAAATAGATCTTATGGGCAAGATGTAATTTGGGTCTATATCTCATCTTTTTCAGCGTATCAAACTTAGAGTTTTGTGAATTTTTTGTGCTTGTATCACAATTTGCACAATTCTTTTGCTTTTCTTCCCCACTAAAATATATTCTGTACAACCGCAGTTTCCTGATTGCTGTCGACCAGACTCATCACTTTGACGTCATAAACTGCCCTTGGTTTTCGCAAGTACTACCTAATTTCAAAATCTGATTAAATACATTTCACTGGTCAAATCATGACAATTTTGGTGTCAAACGTATCAGAAAAGATGGGAAAAAAGCAGGACATAAAATTTCGCTGCATAGACACTTTAAGGCATTTAATTTTTCTCTAAATTTTCGACATGCAGTGCCGAAACTTTCATACAAATCATGAGAAAAACTATCATTTTCCCCACCCTTTGAGAGCTTGTTCCTTTGCTAAACAGCTTTCTATGAACGTACTTTCCGTCAATTGAAATTTTAAATGAATTTTATTTTTCTCTAACTAATGTTTGGCATTGTTAGGTCATGCTAATTTAAAGCGAATCAGGAAAAGATGATGGGGTGTAAATAACATAACAGGCATTCACATCACATACGGTGAGTTGAACTACTCAAGTTATTCAAGCTTATTGATAACCCGATTAAGACGAATCATCTAATCAGATTTTAAGTATTATTTTAAACGAATATCGTGCTATGTTCTATACGTCTTGAGAAAATGTCATTATAGCCTCATCCAATTTTCTTTTTTCACTATCCACGAGCTATTTCACCTGGTCCGCGAGTCTTTTCCAAACAGGAGAGATTAAGTTTTAGCTGAAAGACTCTGCGAGTTCACCGCTAATTATGTGAGCAAAGTTTCCATTGTTCTTTGATTTGTCTGTGTGAGTTGCTGGTCAAAACAGTCAATTCAGCTCTTCTAAAAGAACCCCGGGTGTGTCTTTTTTCTCAACGAACTTCTTAATCAAATTCCTCTTAAACCAGCTTTTTGGTGAATTCTTTTGCAATTCTTGATTCCCATCTATTATCAAGGAACTCCTCTCTTTTTCATCATTGTTTTCAGTTGACAGTAAACTTCCATTTGAAGAAGAACCACTTTTGTCTTTTGATTTTTTCGCCGCAGAGCGATCTGAACCAGCGACACAATTTCCCTCATTAGTTATTAAGTTGTGTCTGTCTGCAGTGATGCTGGCGTTATATTCCATTGTATTTTTCGTCGAATCCCTCCCGCCCAACATGTCTCTAGCAGAACGCCTAAAATCTTTGCTATTCCAGTAAAAAATTATTGCAGAAATGATCGCATTGATATTAACCAACACTTTGAGAAAGAAATGCAGATACTGTTCACGGTACAGTTTGTAGCCAATGGAAAAACAACTAACGCAGAGCCATTCCAGCAAATAGTAAACACATGCAGGGCCTACGCAAATGAAATAACTTCCAATGATCAGAGACACTTTCTTTGTTGCGCGGATCCTGCAAATAGCTTTTACTTTCTCTTTTCGGCTTACGCCCTTTTCTCGCAAAGATCTTCTCAACTTTCGCGCATGCTGATAGGCGATACGAATCGTAATTATGTAACCAACAAGGAGCAACGGTAAGGGGATAATGTTCATAACGATGTGCATCGACACGCTCCAAGTTTTCGTTGGCACGTAATGACAAGCTCTGTTTTGCTTTTTTGAAAACAGCGGCACCGAATCAAACGCAATTACGAACATCCAAGTTGCGAAGAGGATTATTTTTATTCGAAAAGTAGTAACAATCTCGTAATAACGCAAGGAGTACGCAAGAGCTATAAGGCGATCCACGTTGCTGGCAAGAAGACTCATAATCGATGCATGGGCGCAAACGAAAAATGAGAAGCGATAAATGTCGCAAATGATCGCTTGCTCATAGTCCCCGAAAGCGTTAATTTTTTTCAACGCGTACGCCGGAAGCGTGAGTGTACCTTGAAGAACGTTTGCGATAAGGAGACTGAGTAGCGGGAAATCGACAGGAGGCTTGTTCTTGCGCTTTTTGATGAATACCATAATGGCAACGAGGTTGAGCGTAAGGATTATAGCTGCTAGGGTAAATAGGCCTACTGCCGTAGGAATCGGTTGCTCGATGAACGGATCGTAGGGTTTAAGTGGAGGCGTCGAGTTTTGTGATTCCTGAAATAAAAAAGTACCGCTCGTAAAAAACGACAAATACTTATTATTCGGTTCGGTAGCATCCGTATTCTTTGTATGTTGATATAATCTTAGAGTTATACCAATTTTTCTGATATATAGTATTGGTTGGAAGTTAAAAAAGATCACAAGTATACTTTCACTTAATATTGAGCTATGAACAGCGTGTAAATTGAGTTACTGTTTAAATAGGGACCATAGCGAATATGATAAGTGATTCTGATGCTTAGGTGATTGGGTAAAAGGATGATTGAGCTGAAAGTGCTACAATTGACGAACATAAAAATTATCAAGAGGATTAAATGAGTAAGTGACTTCAAATGAATAAGTAAATCAAAAAGCAAATTAAAGTACACACAAGGCACCAATAAGGTTTTTAGTTGTAGTAATGATTTTATCCTAGACGTAGATTGATCAAGTCAGTTACAAAAGCTCGCATCCTTAGTCCACCTAATCAAGTTGCAAGTGGCTCCAAGTTTGCATTCAGAAGTGTAACGTATTCATGGTGGCACGTTCAGAAGTGTAACGTATTCATGGTTGGTGATTAAAGAAATCATAGCTATTCGATGTCCTATTAATTAAGGGTACTTTGACAAATGTTTTATAAAAATAGGTCTGGTCATGTCCCGTCATAAAAATATAGATGAAAAATAGGATAGATGTATTTGAAGGGCCAATGCTGGATTCGCAACTGTTTGTCACGCCAATAAGATGATATGAAACAGCAGCGTGAACGAATATATTATTAATTAAACTCTTCGTCTATAGTTTCCATATTTTGCTAGCTGGAGAAGACAAAATAGAAAATCAACGCTTGTACAACATTGTGACAAATGATTCCGTGAAAGTGCTAAAATTGCGGCATAAGGATTACACTAGAAAAGAAGCCTGTATATTCTCAGTGGCTGATTGTTGTTAGAATTTGTTTTCTTTATTCATGTCGGAAGGTTCAATGAAGAATATCGTTTGGTTACCAGTATTATTTGGGAATGAATCAAATTTTTTCTACACTAGCAACCTGACGAATATTGTCAATAATGTTGACACAAAATATATTCACGGTCACTATTGTCGACCATATTTAAAAGGCAAAGCTACCATCAAATAGTAGCAGTGGCCTGATGTGGTTTACCTGCGTAATTATTTGCGTATGGTACAAGTAATTGCTTTAAAACTGTTGAGGACTTACTTGTGGCATGGCTGCTCGGCTCGTTTATCGTACTTGACTTGTCAACCAGTAAGGCAAAAGCTGTTTAAACAAAAATAGAGAGATATTAATTAGCCAAATATATTTCTCTCAGTATTCAAGCGTAATGGTAGTCATGGAGATAATCTAGCCTATGTGGCTACTAGCATTTGATCCACCTCAAATGCGACTCATTGAGAAATAACTATTTTGGCCAAAAGCACCCCTTCGATAAAAGTGTAGACATGACCAGGAGGGATACATTGGACAGGGGGTACAGTGATGTTAAGACTTCAAACATTAATACATCAAAATTAAGTTCGTTAATCCAAGCTGGCATCGTCCGCACCCAGTGTCACCCTTTGGTTTCAACCATGTGACCACGAAAGAATACTTGCTGGATTTTAAGTAGATTTCGACATTTTTTGAGGACATCTGTGTTCAGATCTACGATTTTAACAAACAGACCCCAAATTCAAAATTTGTTATGTATCTGGTCCGATATGTTTTGCAAATTAGTAAGAGCCCATTAAAGTTAGATCACAGCAACTGATGTAGACTGTTGTTTATAATAATAAAATCATTGTAGTCTTGTATTATTGCACCCGACCGTATTATTGCAAAGCCACTGATAATTATTTTTCTGAAAAGGGGAGGCTTTCCAGTCTAAAAGGCGTTACAGGCAATTTTCCCGGGGAAAACGTCTGAGACACCCACAAGCTAGGCTCGCTCCACTCACATTTGCTCCCTTAATGTTGTCACCTTGGCCACGCTTCTTGAGGATATCATACCGGAGGTTGAAGATGGATAATATCGATAAATTGTTGTGCTGTGAGGCTGTGTCCCCGAGCAACTACAACTTAACCCGCAGCACAACGAACTGTTATTTTGCTGTTTCTGAACTCTTTATAATTGTAAACCTGAAGTTTTTAACACAATAGTAACAAGCTTTCTTTAATTTCCATTAAGTTAAGTTTGAAACGTTGGAGTTGTCATTACAAGAAGTTATATACGGGGCTTCAATGGTTTTGGTCAGGTTAAGTCCGTTTCAGTCGTATCTTGGGTAACTCGGTTTTTAACTAAGTTTGATTGACTTTCAGTTTCTATTGGATTTGCCTACTTTATTCAATGTCAAAAATTCGTACGTTGTTCCGGAAAAGTTGGACCATGTCCTTACATGGTCCGACTGTAACGGGATTCAACTGTATTGTATTGCACCCTTTTTTATGAGAACCAGTAAACTCAAGTTCAGGCTGAGTGTTCTTAATTTTTTTATAAATCTGAGGCTTAATTGTTCTTAATATGTTCTTAAATTAATAGGGTGTAAGCAGTGCAATTGCTAGCTTTTTGGCTCTAGGGAGGTGTCCTGGCCTCTTTTGCCAGCACATTGACTGAGATAACCTTCATTTGCCTACAAGTTTGAAAATTCAGCGAAAAAGCACCCACACATGGCAAAAAATATTTGTTATTGAGATAAAACATTGCTTAAAATTACATTTTACAGTAGTTCAGTCTCAGCTTGTTCTTAATCTATTCTTAACTTTTGACCAGTTTTGAGGCTCGTATTCTAATACATCTTTTCTTATAGGAAGCAGAGTGTATTTTCCTAAAATCAACTTTTTGCGAAGTTAGCTTCTAGATTATTACAGAGACCGCAAAAAGAAGCCGTAATGGTAACTGTACTAGTTACGTGTGTTGCCTCTATGGAAACATCCTTCACAGGGATTAAGCTGCACTCAAATTTCCATTTAAATAATACGTCCTTAGCATTTAGTTGTTAAGAAATTTTCACGAAAGAAGTCGATTTAATCAAGCAAACTTTCTTATTTAAAAAGGTATGTTTATGTTTTTACTTCAATCCTTCATCTGATAGAATACGCCACAAAGTGATCTCTCTAAAAGGTAAATAAACCTCACAGTAATTCGAGTGAATCGAGCTTCATTATTTATAAAGCAATGCCTAACCAAATGTAGGTCTTGCAGAAGCGGAGTTTTAAGTTTATATATAAACATTTCTTAAATAAACATTTATCATCAAATATGGTTTTGCAATGTGAAAATGCAAACTGTGATAAAGAATTTTCCAATACAATAAAAAGCTATTTTGTCGACAATAGACTAGCGTCTCCTCTTTTCAAGAAGACATGCTTGGGCCTTCCTAGCTGAATATGAGACAGGGAATCTTCCATTTACCATTTACCTGGGAGGGAAATGGGAAGGGGGAGGGGAGGTAGGGTTGTTGGTTGACAAAAAAACGCCAATACACTCTTTTTACTGTCAGAAAACGCCCCTTTACCAACAAGGAAAGCCAATTTTACACCTAGCAAACGCCCATGACTAACTTTTGGCTACGCAAAGGAATTTACTACGCAAAAAACATTACCCCTCCCCAACATTTTCTCGTAGAATTTAGACGAACTGCGAAACTAATCCTGCTAAGAACTGGGGGGACGTGTCCCCCACTCCCCCTAGCGCTGCTATTTCTACAGTCACCAAAGTTGTCTGTAGAAGTCAGAAGTAATGGAGCTGTTTCGTTCCCCCCTCTCACTCTTAGCATACCCCGCATCTGTTTCGAAGTATTCATGAAACTTGTTATAAAAACAACTACCAGCCATCCCGAAAAAACTTTCTGTACTCGAAGCAAATCCACGAAGAAAAATTAACGTTGAAAAAATTCAGAACTCCGAAGTTTCCTTATTTTCCATCAATATGATTGACTTGTTATCATAAAACTACAGACGCAGACATTAAAAATTTATTTATCATGCAAATCCTTCACAAGAGACTCGAAAACTTATCTTCCGTAACGAAATAAAATACTAAAACATGGAACACCATTCTAAGCATGAAAAATTAAATAGCGGACCGCAAATGGTAAAATTTAATGAAACTCTTAGTGATTGCGGAAAATTGCTTTACTCAATATCGACCTTTGAATATTATAGAAATGAGTTTGAAAAAATGAATTTAAACATGAATGAATTCTACATGAATTAAACCAATGAACCCCCCCTCTCCAAAATTTCAAACTAACGGTCACTGTCAGTCACTTCAAAGGAATTCTTTCAATAATAATAAGCCATTCAAATATTTTCTCAACCTCGGTATAAATGCTAAATATTTCAATCTCATCAAAATCGTACAAATTCGTATCTTTGTTGCTGCCCTAAACAGAAATGAGAGACCATGGACGATCAGGTTTCAATCATGACCATCATAAATCGTGGTGCTTCTGCTACTTGGAATTCACGTTATTCTTAAGCAATACAAAAAACAATCTTGAATATATTTATTCAAATGAAATATCGTCGGACTGTTACCATAGAGGTTCCTGTTTCTCGTTCTCAGCCTTTTTCCGTTCTTGCGCTCTCAATCCGCCCGGAAACCAGCAATGTCTCTTATCATTTATCAGTAACATAATAACACATGGTTTGAATAAGTCGGATTCTTCTCCAGTACTCCTCCGCAGCATCCAAGCGATAACCATTGCTGCCTCTTCAATAGCAGGTTATTTATGTAAATTCAAGGCAGTGCAATTTTTTCAGCAACCTTTTCAGTATGCAAACAACTGCAGAGTTCAGAATTGATTACGTTGATTTTTGCATTGCTTTGGCATACTCACTAATAAAACTCCAGGCAAACTCGTAGAGGTAACGGTTTGCTGCCACTTAAAAATACACCGCAAAATGGCTTCAAATCTGCTTGATATGCAGGTGCAATGTCTTAGGACAATGTTTCTTATTTTATCAAACAGACTTTTCTCATTTTAAAAACCCGATGTCATAGTATTTGTTGCTTGAAACAAACTATCAATGCCTTCATGGGCGTTATCTAGCTTTGGTGTTTTGGTGTTAGCGACTCAATTCAGCTGCTGAGCAAAAACCACACATTTTTTGCTCGATTTGGAAGGCATCATGGACGTGAAAGTGAAAAGTTGAGTTTAATACACTGTAACTTGTTAAAAACATTTATTTTGTACATGCCAGGTGCTTTGGATCTCTTCAGTTTAAGTGTTCGAATTACTTTCAAAAATTAGCTTCTTGTGATATTCTTGATGTGTAAACGCGCGGATAAAGAGGAAAACAGGAATGGCCTCGCCAAAAATTGAACACAGGTGCAGCAAAAGTGCCAGGGCTGAACTAAAATTCTTAAAATCTTCACCGTGGTTCCTTCTTCCTGTTTTATTGGAGAGCTAGGGAGGGTCGAGAGCAAATAGAACTCTTTTTTTAAGCTTATACAGAAATTACAGGTTGTAAAGTCAGGGCCTTCCGGACTTAATGCCATTCTCTTCTGACAGCGGGCATAAGATTGCTGCCACCGTAGAGCAGGATGGCGGCAGTCTTATGCCCGTCGCATTTTTTAAACTTTTTTTTAAAAATGCAAAATATCAAGAAATGAACCACCAGTAAAGCCTCTTTTTATTTGGCTTTAGCCCCCCAAATTTTTTAGATTCTAATCTTTTCTCAACGCTCTATGGTATCTGGACTGGTGGTAACTTGGCATTGCCACTTATTGCTAGATGTTGTTGATTTCACATTGGTTTCAAGTTTAAAACGATATGGTAAATTTTCGACTTTAGAAGCACTTCAAGCAGCTGCTCAAAAATCCATCCTTAACAGAAGGGGTGGAAATAATTCTTGCCAACGATTAGGCAAATATGTCCCGTTTCTCGTCATTTTATTTTACTTCTTCGTTTTTTAATACTTAGCTCGTCAGCATTTGGTATAAAAGAAACCCTTTTCATTCAGTCATTCAGTGAAACATTCAGCGAAAAATCTAAAAAACTGAGTACTTACCCTATGCTTGATTTCTCATTAAAAAATTGTGTTATCCGAAAGAACAACGTAACTTAGTCTGATAGGCTCTTTCAGTAATTTTGATGCTGTGGTTTGGTTCTAGAACGTATCATCAAAGCCAAAACAACAGTAATACTTGAGTATACTGGATGTCTTTGCACTGGGGATATCACAGTTCATATTAATGTTGAGGTGTGTAAGTAATTTGCCTTGTTAAATCACCCATTGACGAATAATTCGAGGCATAACTACGCCTTTTTCTAAGACAAAACACTCTTAAAGGAGACAAATTGTTATAATAAATGGGAGCTATTATCAACAGCGTCAAATTTGCAACAGAGCTAAATGCATTAATAAAATACGTAATTAAGACCGCGTATTGTGTACAAAGGGTGCAAATACATTGCGAAATGTCAATGTAAGGCGTTTGCTCAAAGTCAACTAGAGGGCGCATGTTGGAATTTTCATAGACACATTTGGCACTTTGGTGCCTAAAATGTCAATCCGCAATGTCAATCCGCAATTTTACATTCCATTCTAGAATGCTTTATATTGAGGATGTTTATGGTTTAATTGCTTTAAGTTTAGGTTATCAGGCACCGCGGAGAAACGGGAAGGGGGGGGAAGGGGGGGGGGGGGGGGTTTAGGTGGGTTGGTTTATGGCCCTTGCCAAAAATGCAAAAAATTACCAATGAATCACCAGTGAAACCACTTTTTATTCGGTTCCAGCCGCCCACTTTCTTTAGACCCCCCCCCCACTTTTCTCAACGCTCGGCGGTGCCTGGTTATATTAGTACTTTGTTTTGAATTTACACGACATGTGTCCAGGTACCTTGGAAGAATTTCAAAGATGAAGGGCACAGGTAGAAAGAAGCCATTTATTTCAAAAAAGGGCATTTTTCCAAATCTACCATAAAGGCTGTTGAAAAAAGGGTATTTTTGAATATGTGAAACTCCCAAATAAAAAGGGAAATTCCAGCAAGTGAATATTCCAAGATTTTGGGACACGCGCCTCTGGTACGCCCCTAGGTCCTACGTGTGACAAGAACTAACTCTGAGAATAATATTTGCGAACTCAAATTAAGCGAAAGCAGCTTGAGGTAAACTCTTTCTGATTCTGAGTGGCATGGAAAAATAGCTTTCCTTTGGATGGGCGATATACGAACCACAAAAATTCTAATGGCAACTACATACTGTTAAGGCACTTTGTCTCCTTGCAGACAAACAAAAATGTTATTATAGGTTTGTGTAAATGGCAAAAAGGGTGATTTCAGATTTTAGATTGAGGCCTATCGTAAGTTTGATGGTGCTCATTTTAACAGTTAATATAACGTAATCCAGAAATATTACCTTCTATGCATAGACGAGGAAAACATGTAAAAGGTGGGGGGAAGGGTACAAGTAGGCGAAAAAGGGCACCTCCGTGACCTGCAAATAGGTATAGCTAGTTCTGAAAATTGGTGGCACATAGCCTTCTGCACCCCACCCCCCGGCTCCTACGTCTATATGCCTCTTTGGGACTTGTCTTCTGCATCAAGAGTCCATGACTAAACTTAGCACAGAATAGAGATCTCAGTCTTATCTCAAACCCGGAAATTATCCGATTCGTATAACAAATTTCTCAAATTTGTATAATAATAACAAATTTCTCAAAATTCGGGCTGAAAATGCCGGACATTTCTTTCAGACAAACATGCAAATTTTCATATCAAAAAGAAGCGCCAAAAGTGTTTTTTAACCCCCGTGCGTGGTGCTCCAAGACAAAACAGATAGTTTAAAAAAATGTTTCGTATGCTTATATTTTGCTCCAGGGATTCAGCGATTCCCTTGAAAGATTGCCTTCACACCCCCCCCCCCGCACCGTAAATTCATCTGTTTTTAAGGAGCCTTCTGAGGCTGGAGTGTTTTTAATTTGTTCTTAACTTCAACCAGCTTTTAGGCTTGTGTTCAAATATTTCCTATAAAAAAGAGTGTAGTGGTCTACCAAACAGTTTATAGTGTGGAGTTGTAGAAAAATTATTGTTGAAATAAGAACAACTTAATAACAACTGAGCAAGAACATCGAGCCTCGAGTAAAAGTTATCTGGTTCTTATCAACGATTTAGAAGCGCCCAAGGCGCTAGATGTCTAACTTGGCATAATTGCCCATGGAGCTGGTGGGGCAAAATCACTCAAGCGAAAATACGGGCAAAAAGACGATCACGCATAAGGGCTCAGTATGGGAAATTGCAAGGAGGACGAAGGAAAACCAATATTTTCGAAAATCGGCTTAAATTTGAAAGCTCAGCTATACTGTATCAGCTTGCCATATTCATTTCGAAGGTTTTAAGCTATAAATTGTTTTAATAAATAGGGTTTTAATATTCTTTACAAAATTTTCTTGCTGCGGGCGTTCGTAAAGGCATTGGCCCAGGCAATGTATACGTTGTCAATGTAATGGGGCGGACACGGCCACTCCACTTTTTTGCGAAGCAAATCGTTTTAATGGTGCAGTAAAAGGGGAAGGAAGCCTTTACCCACTGCTTTAGCTAGCCTTAACCCCCCCATTTTAAAATTCGTAGAGTGGGCCATGAGTGCTACGTATAAAAAGGTTTCCGCCGAAGAGACAGAGAGACAGAGACATATGATGAACGTCCACCTCAAGATGATAATCAAACGTCAAGTGTCCTTTTTATATAACTTACAATGCCTCTTAATGTTTGTCAATTTTAGGCTGAGGCCCTCGCTGAGGGCACCGCCTTCCTTTCTGCTCTCACTTTGAGGAGTAATACAATAGCTGGGACCCGCATGAGCACAAACAGGAAGTGAAAAAAATCTACCTGGAAAAGCAACCTTCTATGATAGCTTTGAAATGAATATGGCAAGCTGATACAGTATAGCTGAACTTTCAATTTTATGCCGATTTTTCGAAAATATTGGTTTTCCTTCGTCCTCCTTGCAATTTCCCGTACTGAGCCCTTAAGCCACGGTCAAACGCATCCAACATTTCATCCAACATGCAGAAAACCAATGTTGGATGAAATGTTGGATGCGTTTGACCACCCGCTTAAAAATAACAACGAACTTTCTAGTTTTTTGGGAATAAATGTTGGATGAAATGTTGGATGCGTTTGACCGGGGCTTTATGCAGGATCGTCGTTTTGCCAGTATTTCCGCTAGAGTGATTTTGCCTCAGCTGAAAACAGCAAGTTAGACAGCATTGGTTCTTATGTAAAAAGTGTAGTTCACAATAAAAGCAGTGCTGCAAATATCTAGACCTGACAAAGATCAATATGACAAATGCCGCCCATCCAAAAATACCATAATCAACCCAGTTTTGTATTCTTCATCAACGTCTTGCTGAGTCTTAGAGTGGATCAAAATATAGGGCAAAATAAATTAGCATGGATGTGTTAACAGTAATGACGGGGAAGAAACACACAGGCGTCCTGACAATGAAATACTGAACTGAAGTCAAATTGAAGAAATTTCTTGATGCAATGCAACGGGTTTGGCCGGTTAGCAACGAAGGCTTCTTACAGCATGTAAAACCTTTGCAAAATCTGCCCGTCCCCCTGTTTTACTTGACATACAGAATGTTCTATATGTGTATCAAACAATGCATGAACCTACCAACAGTACTTGTTGAATCCAGCCTTCAACTATGCTGTGTCCGTGAACTTGCAAAATCGTAGACAAAAACCCTCACGGCATTACCAAATCCTGAGCATCTGTTTTGAAAACGTAATAGCATTATCTCTCAGCATTAAAGATTTAATGACCATAACTGAAGCAGCATCGGCAGAAAAGAATAGTAATCGGTTTGAGTACACAATACCATCGCAGTTTGTTTTTTGCCTCTGACAACCACTGGCTTTTGTTGTGTATTCGTGACGTCAAAGCGGAAGTTTGGATTGACCAGGACAAGAAATGATTGGGAAACAATACAACGTTTCATCTGTGGGGTATTTTTTTATACTATGACAAGAAATGAAAGAATATTTTTGTTTATTCAAGATTGTTTACGATGCTCAATTTGATTTGCGTTGATTACGAGACTCAATTTTGAATATAATCAGGTGCAAAGTTGAAAGTTCTTTGACCTGCCGGAGCAGATGAAAAATTACGCAGGGTTGGAATAGCCTGAAAAGTACTTTGTGTAAATGAAGATAATGACATTTCTCTCTGAACTTCTTGGGATTAGGAATTGGAAATAGATGAAAGGCATTAAGAAGACCCTCTGGATGGTATTCTTGTATTTAGTATTATGATATATTTATATCATGAATAAAAATTTGCAAAAATATATGTTTCGTGCAAATAGAAAATAAGATAAACAGATATTTTTTTAATCCATGCTTATCTTTAAGAGCACTTGGCCCTGTCATCTTTGCGTTTCTTAATTTTCCCATAATTTCTGCCTGGCGTGTTGCTTCTTTGTTTCATATTTTTGTAATCGAATTTCCTTAGCGTAGTAGTTTGTCTGTCTGATAAAGTAATCTAAGCCTCTGTCCAGATTTTCGCTAATCGCTTTCTGTTGTTCAATTGATATTATTTTATTTGTTAGTTTTTGTTTCCAATTTCAATTTATTTTTCAGTTGCTACTTTATTTCTTGAGTTTTGTTGAATTTCAGCCTGCCTTGATTCATATGTTGCTCTTATTTACTTTTTGGGCAAATTTCTGCATGATTTTTCTTATAAGGGTTGTTCTTTTAAAAACGTGTAGTCAAATATTCCTGCCCTGCGTGCGTTCGATTGTGAAATGGTCGTGCAATGTAACGTCACAGAAAAGGGACATATCGTAGTGTTATGTAAATTGATATTTGCTTTTTATGTGGCATGCTACGAGGTTTTTGTGGAAAATAAGAAAGACCGTTGATTTCCACTAGGCGATTTTCGCGGCGAATCGCCGATGAAGGCATCGAGGCATGCGCAGTTTTGATTTTGCATTTGATTTGCAAGAAAACAATCTTGGAACATTCTCCATGCGTGCAGTTATGAAAATGGGCGCCTTAAAGTTAAGTTTTGGGGGAAGTCATTATATAATTTCGCAGTGAATTCGCAGTCTCGTGGAAATCAAAAGACAATTTCGATGCGAAATTCGCCTCGTGGAAATCAGCCTTTAAACCTGGTTCACACATGTCAAGCAAGAGCTGAAGCAAGCGTAGTAGGCATGCGCAGTTAAAACTTTTTGAATGAAGCAAGGAATGAAGTAAGCCGTTCAAACACGCGCAAGCAAATTTATAAAATCTGATGTAAAAGTATAGTTTTCCCTGATTGCCTTCAGGCGAATCATACATAAACAACGAGGTGGTCTATGATATAACCTTATAAAAGTCCGTAGAAAACGGGATCTGATCCAGCTCGCAAGGAAATACACTCGTAAACCACAGTGTAATCCGGGTCAAGTCACTTGAAGCTTCAAGATCAGTAAGCCTATTTATATAAACACAGCCGTACATTGGATACATGGATGTGCCATGCGATACTGTAAACGAGACATGTGACCACAACCGCAAAGCAATTATAATCGGCTTAACAGGTCAAGAGATTTTCAGGCCTCAAAATAAAAGTTCTGAAAAAGAAATTATGGAAACCTTCGTTTACATGGGATATTTTCCATTTTCAAAATTTCTGTTTGTTTCAAATTTGTTGTCATTGTGTGCCTTAAAAGTTCAGCTACTTGAATGCGAAAAAATCGAAAAAGGGATGTTTTCATCCAGAAAACGTTCACCGTAACCTTAATTTGCTTGTTTCAATTTCAATTACGGCCAGTTTCAATTTAAACGAAAGTGTTCGATAATCCGGGTCGACAGAACAGTTTCCACTTGCCTGTTGACCGCTCTCGACCGACATCGATTGTCAGGCTGCGAGTATGTTTGGTATGGAAGTTTGTAATCACATTTTGCTGCATGCTCTGCTTCATCCAAAAAGTTTTTACTGCGCATGCCTACTTCGCTTGCTTCAGCTTTTGCTTCACACTTATGAACCAGGCTTAAAAAGTAGCTAGGAGGTTTTCTTTTATGTGGTCACCTTTCTAATTGAGAAAAAAGTGCACCCATTTAAATGCGGCCAAAAAACTATTTACGCCTATTATTTACATTTTTTATTTGTTAGAGCTTAATGAAAAATAAGATGGATAGCAATGGAAAGCAACACCCTCATCTATGAGTAGCCGTCTTCAACTTTTTAACAGAAAATTTTTCTAGAAAAAGATTTTTGGTCAAAAGACTAGACATTGGCCAAAATTTGAAAAAAAGTTGAGATTTTTCAAATGAAACTTTTCATCTAGAATTCCAATTAAAACTACAATTACAAATCTCACTATAACATAGGTGATTTGTATCTGGCGAGCCTGTTTCCACAAAATAAAACTAATACAATCGTAGTAATGAAGAAAAACGTTAAAATGAGATATATAGCGTTTCTGTTGATGATAAATTGGCAAAGAGTCGCAAATGTCGATGGAAAAACTACAGGAGTTACCAAAAAGCAAGTGAACTGATGAAAATTTTGACAAAAGAAACTGATTTAAACTGACGTTTTAAGTCAGGTATGAGGGTGGCAAATTTATCTGACTTTCTGTTTGTATTGCAGTTGAGATTTGTTTCTAAGCTTATTGTTAGATTTAAAACGTACTGACATTTTCCCTTGGTTTTGAGAAGTGAGTCAGGACGCAGTTGGTCTCCAGTTATGATAGAAGGGGAAAGAAAGCCTAGCTAATTCACGTAGAGAAAAGATCCATTGCTGTGAAAAAAGTGGCTAGAAAATTTAATGCAGAATTATGGCGCCACGTGTAGCGGCCTTGGTCGAGGTACAATTTTCATCCAGCACACAACGTGCAGATAACAATAATAATAATTTTTTTAAACATCTCACTTTTATTGAATATATTTTAAATTTACAACTATACGACTATACGACTAGCTTTTACAAGCATCTTATAAATGTCTTATCTGCAACACTATTACTAACAATATTTAGATTTTGTAGTATTTTACTTTCGTAATGCGAGACAAAAAGAAGTTCAAAGTTAATCATGAACAAACGCGTCTTGGCGTTGCGATGCTCAACAGTTATATTAATAATAACAAGAATAATAATAATAATAATAGTAATAATAATAATCTTATTCGCTGTCAATCCTGCTTAAACCTGAACCGTTATTTCATTTCTAATAGCGATTCTGCCATCGGGCAACACCTATTAGACGACCCCCCTCTGTATTAAAAGTTCAAGTGACCCCCCTGGGTCCAATACCAGGGGAGCATCATTGATCAACATGATGAATAGGAATGACCCAATGATTGAACCTTGAGGCACCCCATATGTCATTAGTTCAGTTTAAAGTGGTATTTATTTATCGCGAGTTTTCAATTCCAGCAAGCCTTTTTTTACTGAAATACATTCAAATCCAGTACAGGAAAAAACAAATGATAACAAAAGAACTTCAAGGCATCTGATCGTGTAAAAGGGGCATTCGATTCGACAAATCTGAAGCAAAACTAGATTCGACATAATCGAATTCGACAAAATCTGACCGTGTAAGAGCGGCAGGTTCTATCAAATCTTTTTCAAGCCTTTTTAACCCTCTAAGTTCACACTGCTCCGGATTCCAATGAAAACGGATAAAAAAGTATCCGTTTTCACCTTGCATTCACACTGCTCCACCTTAAAAACGGAGACTTTTGAAAACGCACTTTGAAAACGGAGACTTTTGAAAACGGAGACTTTCGAAAACGTAATTCGCAGTGTGAACGCCGAAAACGGATACTTTAGAAACTGATAACAACAACAACACCACAGCAAGATGTTTAGACCGCGCCAATTTGAACAACTTTTCTTAACATGGCTGATTCACTCGAAGTTATTACACTACTTGGAGGAATATTAGTGGCAGTGACTTGATTGAAAAGTTTATTAGCAAGGTCTGTAAACCAGTTCGTGGCGTTTTCCTTTTTATCCGGAGCGGAGCAATGTGAACGCTTCATCTTTTTCACACCGTTGTCAAATGTACCCAGAGCAGTGTAAATAGGTAAAACAGATCGATATGAAAACAGATAAAAACGAATACGGAGCAATGTGAACATAGCCTAAGCAGTGTCGTCTAGATGAATTTATGGTAAGAAAGAGTGGTAAGTTTTTGATAAGTATGCCGGGCATGTTTTGTTGACCACAAAGTTATCGTCTGTGACGCACGAAAATCACTCTCTTCGCACTGTGCTCGTAACTGTATTAAAATACAACATGAATCCAGAGGCGGACTGGCTGGTCGGGCTTTTCGGGCGATCGCCCGAAGGGCCGGTCGGTTTAAGGGCCGGCTGATAAAAGCGCAAACAAATAAATTAGCTTAAAAAGTGAATGCGAGGCAAAAAGGTATACCCATGCGTTGATTTGTTTGCATTGAATTTTCAGAGACTTTGTAGGAAAGAATAAATATACACGCGAGTACTCCAAAACCATCAAAATTATGAATTCATTATTGTCACCGCAGCCAAACACACTTTTTCAGGAAACATTTATATTTTCTCTTGACGGTATTTCCTTTTTAGCGACATGCTATACTGTAACACCCCTGTTTCAATGCGATACATAAGATTTTAATCTGCCCTGATGTCTTTTTACTAAGCTTTTGCTTGAAGCTGGTCATGTTTTTGCCTAAGCACAAGCTATTGCTAAATGTAATAAATTTAAAAGTCCAAAAATTAGAGTTCACTAAGCGATTTGCTCTGTGATGTGAAGCAATGGAGAGGACTTACGTAGAACAAGGGAAGAGCAAGAAGACTTCAGCCAAAGGTGGTACACAGAAATTTCACGAGGAAAAGCTGCGAGACTTAAAACAGGATTCAGCTACGATACAAAGCTTTTTTTATCAAGCAAAAGCCACAAACGTCACAAAAAACAGCAGGGTCTCGCTCTTGCTCCTTTCAATAAACTCATACAAGTTATGGTAAGTTTATTAGGCCTATACTATCATAAGTCAAATGCATCCCCCGCCCAACAGGGGTACGGTGCTACACGACAAAATTTCAACAGGGGTGCCCATGTTTTATTTTTGGGGTCAGAAATTGACAAATCGATATTTTTGGGCTGCTGAAAATCATTTTAGTTTTCCGGAGGATTAGAAAATTATTTGACACAAGTGGAGTGTGAGCGCAGCCAAACCTGGAGTCCCTCATGTTAATGTTCTTAGAAAAAAACCTGTTAGATGACATCCAGAACGATTACATTATCAACATATAAGTTACTGTATTTAGAAACAAAGTCCAACCAATGAGTTAAAGTTTTTGTTTTTTTACTACTTAGTCAGCAAACGACATATTCAACATGTTCTGTTGACCATGTTCTGTTAACCAGAATTCATCCATGCACAAAATTAATTAATTTAAAAACTTGTTTTCCTTACAGACTAACATTTACTTGCATTTTTCGAGGAGTTTTCTATTTGCTATTTTTGTGGGCCTGTTTTATCAAAATTTGCCCGGGCCAAAAAAATTAGCCAGTCCGCCCCTGCATGAATCGCATGAAAGATGCTATCCCTCTTGCAAATACTATACACCTTCGTATGAGTTTCATCAGGACATCAAATTTATTGAAGTTTATTTCCTCTCAATGGTTTTAAGATCGATCAAAATAAAGAGAAATAACCAGTTACCTGTAGAGCTGTAAATACATTCTGTCGAACGGTTTGCTTCCCCTCGCGAAACGTTATAATCAACAAGATAGATGGCGGAGGGCCTTTTAAGCCTATAGGAAGACAATGGAGCATTTGTGGGAAAGCAGTTACCTGTTCTTATCGAGGGAATACGGAAATCCTTTTTACTAATGAAAGTTATACTATTGTTAAAAAAAGTCAGGGCAAAGAATAGAAATTTCTATTCTGTGGTCAGGGAGTAACTCACATCATACTACGAGTGACTAAAATATTCCAGGGGGTAACAGGCTACTACGACAGGTCAGTTTAAAGCTCTCTGATTACGGGCGCGGCAATATGGCAAATTCTGGAACATATCTACACTTGGTACATGAGCCTAAAAATTTGAAAGAGGAGGAGGATTTTAGTTTCCTAGGTTTATGTACCCAAGATAGCATGTATCAGGCAAGGATCCGGCAGACCATTAAAGCTAGCAGAGATCGTTTCTTTTGCATAACTTCTAGGCAAATCCTTTAGTTACCTAGCTGGCGTAACCTTTTTTAACATACTCTTTGAACGTTGTTGCAAATTTTATAAAAAAAGTGTTGCGGGCTGAGCATTTAAAAAGTTATTAACATAACCCTCGGGATATTAAGTAATAGCGTACACACTTTTTTACAAGGATACTTAATTTTTTGCCAAGCCTCAATATTCTTAAAAATTTTCGATTTTCAGCCTAAGATTATTCTTGAATTATTCTTGCCCAATACAAGGTGCAAATTCGCCTTAAGATCAGAAAAAAATTATTAAATCTTTTTTGATGTGTTGCTTCATCATAATTGTGACAAATGTTTTGCTTTGGGAGAAAACTCAGATTGGGGAAAAATGTTATTCTTGATGAAATTGAGCCAGGCATTATTCTTAAATTATTCTTAAATTTTAGCAATTTTGAGCCTCAATATTCTTATTCTTATAAAAAAAGTGTGTAGTAGGCTAGGCGCATTTGGGTGATCTTCCACCGCATTTCAAAAAATTTCTTTACGCATTTCCAAGCGCGTTCCCCGCGCACTACAAGTAACTGAAGACTCGGCGGGCCAGAAGCTCGAGTGTTAAAAACATAAGAACATCGAAACCAGGGGCACCGGAACAATTCAGTAAAAGGGCATTTGAAATATAATTCCATGCCTCTACTTATTCTTAATAAGAAACTAAGCTCACGATTAGTAATCAATTACTTATTTTTTTTCTTGATTTTATGTTGAAAACGATTTTTTAAGGTTTTACTCAAATACCAAGTGCCAAAGAGCTAAATTTAGAAACACAAAACGAAACGTTACAGAGCGGAACTTTAACTCCTGGATTCCAAGGAACGGAACATAAACTTTCTGATTCGGAAGTAGATTAAACATCCTCTTTCAAAACACTTAAATGTGCACTAAAAATAATTTTTTTTGAATATTTTATCAATCAGAGTTTTTTACTTTGTTTTAAGTACTGTTATTATACTAAGCATATATTTTGAAAATTATATTTGAATGTAATTGTAATATGATTTAATTTGTAAGGTTTCTATGCACAGCTCCCTGAAAATTAGTTTCTTTTGACTTGACAGGGCAACGTTGATTAAAAAAATTATTGAAATGAAAAAGTTAAAGAAAGTAAAATGAAACATATGATAGCATAAAGCAGAACACTTTATCGGTTGCAAAGAGTGCTTCTTGCTATCAACTGCGGCAGTGGAACTAGAAATAGGTACCCAATCGTCTATGGGGTGGATGCAGTATTAAAAATATAATAATGTCCATCTAATCTTCAAATTGAAGGTTTCCTGCTTAAAAATTGGGGGTGGGGGTGGGGGTTTTGGTAGGGGTGGATGCAGATGCAGGTACAAGGTACACCATGTATTAAAAATATAGCAAAATAGTGAAATTTCTCTAACAACAATTGATTCTCAAAATTTTTAGTAACGTTTGTTGTGTTCCCTTCGAATCATCCGTTGCTTCTTTGGTATAGTAGCCTGTGCTCCAGACCCCTAACTTGAAAGTAGGGTTAGCGTGACAGGCTATGTTATAGTACACTCTCCTAATAACACAGCATAAGTAACATTACAAGGATAACCACATTTCAATTTTTGAGCCGTTGCTCTGCTTACATGCAGTGCCGATGTAACACGATGCAAATAAACGAAAGTGGTCTACTTCAAGTATCTTTGCCAATCAAAATATTTCGAAAATTTGATCACGTCAATACCCCCGTGGTCTTTAAGTTTTGTGGTAAAGGTGCGTCTTTAAAAAAATTCGTTGCCACGCGTTAGGTCTAATGGTTGGAATTTCTCCATACGTAAAACCAACGTATCTACGCACTAGTAGCTTAGTTACATTGTTGGATATCATTAGATTTCCTTTTGACTGCGGTTAAAAGATCTTTAACAACGTCTTCGTGGTGCCGCTCATCCCTGCAACGGAATCATGTCGGGTTTTAAGCTTCAGTTCAGACTGGTTCACTAAGGGGGCCCCCCATATTTTTGCGTGTTGCGTTATTGGCCATATTGTCGTGCGTGAAATCGTGAAATCTCGAAAGCGTGATTTCATGAATTAAGATTCCTACGTAAAGCGTGAAACACGAGTTTTCCTTGCGTTATGTCGTGAAAAGGTTTTAACTATCCGTGAATTCGTGAATGAAATTTTGAATGATAATTTTAAAAATTGCCGCAATCTCAACTTAATATTCAAAGTTTGAAAGTATTGTTGTAGTCCTTCAAACGGGCAAAAGCTGGTATTACATCTATTGTTTGCTTGAGCGTGAAAATCCAATTTTACAGTGCGTGAATGCGTGAATCACAACCACTATGAGGGGGGCGGGGGCACTAAGATTAGTTACACGCATTTTTCACAAGAAGCCGTTTGTAAGAAAACGAGTCGTAAGCCTGTTTTCCACTATCTGAGCATGCCTAGCCTGCGCACGGCTCGACCGGTTTCCCCAAAGATGAATTTAGAGCATGCGTAGTATAATCCTTTCGAATTTTGCAGCGAAGAAATCCAGTTCGCAGAGAGTAAAAATTCATATTATGTCTTTTTCGCGTACAACTTTTTCTTTTTGTTCACACATACACAGATATTAGAAACCTTTTTTCCTTTTTCCAAAGGACCTTTTTTCCTAGTTTTTATCAACAATTGATGGCATTCATCGGATGCCCTGGGTTCTTTCGCAAACATAATGCCCTAGGTTCTAGAGAGTCAAGGGGTTGCAGAGAAGATCTTGTCGGGGGAGTGCGGAGAAGAAAAGGAAGAGAGACGGGAGAAATATCTCTCTTTCTTTTCATCCAACGCTTCAAAAAGAAATCCTTCGCCGAAACCCCTTTACAATGCTCTGCAACTCTGGGTACATACATAACAACTTCGCGACGGTATCTGTGCCATAAATATCAAGTTGCAGAGTCGATGGAGCGATCCAGGTGCAAAGGGGGCAGGGTTCTTGACAAATGAATTTGATAAATGATTCTCATATTCTAGTAACTTATTCATAACTGATGTTTTGATTTCGATCCGCTGCAAGCACCTCGACACTGGGCCAGTTTCTGGCACAATAGTATTGCCTATGTTGATTTTAACGGGCTTTAGGTCTTCTAAGTTCTTCCAAGTTCTTCCAGGGGCTGCATTATAGAACGTCTTCTGTGAAGGAGAAATTTAAAACGCCTTATGTGAAGGAGCAAACATGAAAAGAGAAAATAAACGAACAACTGAAACAGGAAATGTTTGCTCCTTCACAGAAGGCGTTCTACAGTGAAGCCCTAGCTAGTCCTCGGAAGAAATCAGAACGAAGACTTGTAGCAAGTCAAACATTGGTTAAATAACGTCATCATCTAAAGCAATAGAAAAATTGAATTAAAAGATATTAAAATTACATAAAATATCATTGATGATAAGTTAAGGCCAAAGTCATGTCGCGTTATTTCCTATTATATCATGTTAAATCAATCATGTCATGTCATGTCATGTAATGTCATGTCATGTCATGTCATGTCATGTCATGTCATGTCATGTCATGTCATGTCATGTCATGTCATGTCATGTCATGTCATGTCATGTCATGTCATGTCATGTCATGTCATGTCATGTCATATAATGTCATAGAATGTCATATGTCATGCTACTCTACTTTTCTCTTGTTGAAATGCAGACAGGTTTTAAAAAAACAGATGCGTGATAATTTCTTATATTGAAATGAGATATGTTCTAAAAATGGAATTAAATGCATTAATGTTTATAGATTGCTAATATTTTCGATTTTTGATTTCCAATTGTCAATTGTTTCCATTCCTACTTTGCAATTATGGTTATGCTGATTTCATGTCCAGGAGGTAGATCTTTTTGGTGATTCAAGGTAACATAATTGCCAGAGTCGCGCCAAGTAGCCGACCCGGCTGGCACAACATCAACGTTAAACCCATTTGGGTAATGCAGGTTTTTATTGAGATAAATAACACTTTCCGTGCTTTTGCAACTTGCAGATACAATGTAGCTCATGGTGAATTTCTGCGTCTCCTTCTCAAACTTGAACCCTTTGGTAATACCTGCAACTGCCTGTGGGTATGTGCGGCTTGTGTTTTGTATATAAATGTGATGCGGTTTTGGTGCCCCTTCAGGACATCCCTTGTCATTCTCAGAGCAGCCTGCTGGCTGATAATCTAGCGGCCGATAGTCCCAACCCGTCCATGATTGCATATGTTCATCACAGATATCGAAAAGCTCAAACATGTCTGCGACGCCCTTGGCACTGTTACTGACAACTAACAGCTCTGTCGCAAAACCTGCGCATTTCAGCCGTTTTAGGTCCTGTGCGCGAACCTCGAACTGGAACTTCTTGTTGAAATCAGGAGGCTCGTAGTAATGGTAGCTTAGAACACTTCGGTTTTGGTAGGCTGAGCCCCCAGGTACTGTTTTAAAACCAGCTGCGAAAAAATCCCATGTCACTCCCTCAAAGAAAACATTGTGATGTTTATCGAAGTTTCGAATCGCCTTGTGGAGCTTTTCGTATGCAGGAGCAAGGTTCTTCTCGTCCGCAACACCAGGCACCATTAATGATGGGTCACTGCAAAGAAAAAAGTTAAGGTTGAGCTGGACCAGCAACTAAGGAGTGGTTAAATGCACAGGACGTATATAAAAAAAGGCTTAAACCAGGGGACAGGGCAATGAAAAAGTAGCCAACAGTTGGGGATCGTTTGTAAGAATATCCCTGAGAATGTTTATGACTTTCTTATTGGTTGTTAAGACCAGACATCGCTGAACTAACTAACTAACTAACTAACTAACTAACTAACTAACTAACTAAATAACTAAAGAACTAACTAAGGAGTTAGTTAAGGCTTGATATGAATAATTAAGTAAGTAGCTAGCTAACTAGCTGCCTAATGAACTATCTTGCTAACTAATAAACTGTCCAGGCATTTACTTATTTGTCCTAAACATTTAATGATACTTTTAATAACAGAATAACTGATAACTTCATTCAATACAAAATACTTTAATAGGTCTTAAGCAGTGACACATTTACCCGAGGCATACAATGGTGCAATTGTGTTTTAAGCAGTGCTTCTTCTACCCAGGACCTACAATGGTACAACTAGTAAGTTACATGGGGCAACTAACGCATGGAATCTTGCGCTGCAACTAGATGGTGCAGTGCCTAACAGGGAGTCTGGCCGAGTTCTCAGGTGTCCGAAGAAGAAAATAGCTTAGCCTGAGGCTAAGGTGGCTAGGGGGCGGATAATGGCATTCAAATACAAAATTGAAAGCAATAAAACAGATTGTGGTCAGGAGGGAAAAGCAAAGACCAAAAGGTGCGGGAGATGTGCTTGTCCAAAATGATGAATTCAGAGCGTACATTTTTTATACGACCATTTATGAATGTTTTGATATTATTAAAAGTGCCCTTATATTAAAAGTGACAATACAGATTTCCCATACTAAACAAAGCTTTCATGCAAGCGACGAAAAAGATAATGAATGATAGATTGATATGTTCTTAATAGTGGTTAATTTGCAATTACAGATTTATCAATTACATATTAAGATATAAGATACAAATTTCAAAATAATTTAAAGTACTGCTCATTAGGCGCATGTAAAAGCCACACTTGAGTATACGTCACACTTCTTCTTCATCTTGTGTCAATGATAAAAAAATAAAACAACTGCACCATTATATTTCAGGAGTAGTCCAAAATACAAGGAAATAGGACATCTTTATGTTTACATCATTGGAGGGCGTTCTTATCATAGGAAATCTGTTGCGGCCGAAATGACGTATGGAGCCTGTCCTTTTTAAATGTTTGCGAATAAACAAAAGCACTTTGTAGCAAATGTGATTATATGAGAAGTCTAATAGAATTACATGTGCAAGTTACGAGAGACAGAAAACTATGAAATCTTTTAAAAAAAATTCAGGGTGCAATATTGACTGCTCACCTGTCAGTGTAAATCTTATAAAAGGTGACGACATATAATCGTTAAATGTTTGGTTTAAACAGTATTTGCAGTCTACTATTGTAAAATCTTTTTGCTGGAATCGGTGTGTTTGTTTTCCTAATTACAAGAATTTCAAATTGATGTACAACATTTGGAGTTCACGTTCAGGGTGTTTCGTCTAGTTAACAGTTATGTTTAATTTGACGAAATTTCAAATTGTAAAAAAAACAAAAGATTTTCATCCACTGATGCAAAAAGCACGGGACATAAAATGAAGTATAGTTCTCTGTTTGTGATTCACGAGGCAAAAAATACGTTAAATGTTGTTGAAGTGAAACACCAGCTGTAGATTTGCAAAAATTGGACTGGACAAATCTGTTGTAAGGTGTGATTAGAAATTTTTATGCAACGGATATTGCAATGATAAATACAGCACTGCTCACCAGTCACACGGCAATAAAAATCTGGAAAATGGTACTGCTTTTATTAGTCATAATTGTCTTTCACATAATCCTTTTCATACCCGCTTTACTTTGCCACAGAGAAGTGTTTTATAATCAGCAGCAGTAAAGATGATTGAGTCTATAAAATGAGTGAACTCAGGTAATCATTCCATTATTTCCATTATTTCCACTGAAAATAAAAACAATCAAGTTTTCCTTGACGAAGCTGCAGCTGTAGTGCGCAAAAAACTAGCTGCTGCCATTTGAAGATTCTCGAAGTCTCGAAAACGTGACAAATGTTGCTAGGGCGTTCTTTGCAGAGGGTAAGGGATGAATCATTTGGTGATTTCAGAGAAATGGTTCATTAAAATAACTGAATGGTGAGATTGTAGAGGCAGCTCACCCCCTTGCGAAATGTTTAAAGAAAGTATCTTGCCTTGAAAACATTTCTCCAACCCTACCTGGCTTAACCAAAGAGTACAAACTGTTCAAAGATTTTCAAGGATGTAAGGTTTCGAGCTGTAAGGTTCTAATTTAGTGTCTTAGGCAGGCTGATAGTCATCTGAGCATAACAAAAGATTTTTTAATTTCAGTTTCAGTGAATGACGTTAGCGAAGCTTTTTTCACAGTGTATCGATATCAGCCTATCGTTAGGTTACCTATGTCCTTTTATTCCCTTAGACCTTTTATTGGATTTACGGAGTAATGTTGATTTCCTTGTGTTGATAAGGCGCAAGATCTAAGAAAGCGCAATTTACTTATATAAGATTGGAGAAAGTTTTGCTTTAAAAATCTGGAGAACATTCTATGTAGAAATGAGTCATGCAAAATTGCATGTTAAGGTATTCATTTTCTCAGTTTTGCCAAGTCCAATATTACTCAAGGTTGGCTTTTTTTTGACCAGTCTAAAATAGACAGACTTTGGATGTGAATTGTTTGTTTTCTTTTTGCACTTCTTTGTCATCGCCTTCAAAGAATAAGGAATTGAAGGACTGCACTCAATGTAGATTTTTGTTTTTGTTTTCATAGAGGTTTTCACAATAGGCATTTTACTATAGGCAGAGAAAGGATCTCATGATCTTTCCGCCAAATTCTGATTCCCCTCTAATTTGTACTGCTTGCTATCGGTCCGTAACATTTAGGTAAAAATGCCATGTTTTCAGCACAAAATGTTCAAAAATTGAAAACCTCTAAAATATAACCAACAATGACATATTGGTGAATTTCTGAAAAATCTGAAAAACTATATCTATAGATCGGTACTGTAAACATTTCAAAACAGTACATAATCTAACAATCCCTTGGTTCGCAATTTTTGGGGTTAGGCATAAAAGACCAATACCCATGATGCCCCTTTTCTTGGATATTTGAAGCTGCATTGTCTACTGATCATGATCTTGGCGTATGATGTTGGTGTTGCAGAAATATGAATGGACTTCAAATGAACAAGCGATTTTTACCCTTACTGGCAAACAGTCGTGAATTTTTGATTTAATTTCTCTTAACTATTTCACTAGCTAACTGCTTCTGGTTTAGCGAGTGAGTCAGAAAATTCAACTATCCTGCTTTTGCACGCCCGCACTTTATTGTCATCAATAATCTTTGAATCTTTGAAATTTCTCTAAACAAAGTCAATAGTTGCCCAGAATAGTCGTAAAAATTTCAATTATTATTAAACTGAATGCCCAATCTATTTGCAAATATTTATTCCCTTTTTATTTCTTTTAAAAAATGTAGGATAACATTTAGTCCCAAAGTTACAGTGGACAAAATGTAGTTGCTCCTAAGGACCTTTTATACATAGTAGGAAAGAAGGGAAGGAGGGAAGGTGGGAAGGAGAGAAGGAGGGAAGGAGGGAAGGAGGGAAGGAGGGAAGGAGGGAAGGAGGGGAGGAGGGGAGGAGGGGAGGAGAGAGATGTTGGACCTTACATGCATTCTTTTTGTTGGATTTGTAGGACTTGAAGTTGGATTTGAAGGACTTAGATGTTGGACTTGAAGTAGGGAGATGTTGGACTTGACCCGTTATAAGGTAAGTGTCTTATCTGCTGTCCTCAAGATATTTCAGCATATCTGCACGAATGCTGATCTACCCGTGTACCTAAAAGCTCTAATTCTACATCACCAACTTACCGGAAAACGTCCCCTGCAAATGGTTCATTTATTAGCTCGTAACCAATAACGCTGCTGTAATCCTTGAAACCCTGTGCTGTTTTCCCCCAGAATTCCGCCCATGCATCAAGCAGTCCATCGGTGTTGTTGTACAAACTTTGAAATGCAGCTGCAGATGCTTCGGTGAAATAATAGTCGCTCCAAGTGTGTTTTGCACAGTCCTTTGAAGATGGGTATCCGGTTTCTGGGTCAATTGGGTATTTGTCTTCCAGTGGGAAGGGAAAGTTTTGAGCATTGCCTGCAATTATTAGAAAGAAATCAACTATAATAATATCAAGAGTAGCTACTCTACGTCAAATAGTACTACCTCAATCAGCAAATCTGTTAAAATGTTATCCAGTTGGTCTATGTCATATCCTGCCTCGATCTGAGCAGGTGACGTCATGTAAGTAAGAGGTCTCGAATCCAGTTGCAACATGAACAAAACATATTGCTAGTTTTAGCTGCTCAACAAAATTTTAGAAGGTTTTTCAAGGCTTTTGCCTTATAACGGAAATCTATCTACAATCACTGCCAAAAGTCTTGGAACACTAACATCAGTTTCCAAAGGCAAATTCAGCCACCCCCTCTCCCCCTTGGAACAGTGTAAAATAGCTATAAAAAAACAAAAGGGGGATGAAAGAAGTACGCTTTTTCTTGTGGTTAGTAAGGTATTTTTCTAAACATTCAGCATTGGTCTGGGGGAAAGGGGTACAGAAGTAGTTGTATTCGGGAAAACAAATGCACCATAAATAAGCGCAGTGCAAAGTGTTGGGTGTTCTAAGTAATTTTGGTAGCGATTGCAACTTCATCGCTGATAGATGCCAATGTTTGTAGACTGCTTTAATGATTTTATCAGCTGATTGTAGAAAAATCAAGACCCTATGTTCTCGCTCACTGTTTGCATTAATCATTGTAGTCTCTGATAACTGTGAACCTTTCAAACTTTGTTATTTAAGTTTCAGTTTGGCTTTACTAAATCCAGCTCTAAAAGCTCAAAATGCTTTGAAAATAGAAAAGTATTTTTTTGCCATTGAGAAAACGCTCATCGGTAATTTTATAAAGAAATATAATGAAGTTAGCAGTAGTGGAAAGACTCCAATTCAAACTTTTCTAGATAAGAAATGCAAGGAGTTGTAATTTCGAGGAAGGCAGATAAAAAACGAAGAAACTAAAGCATGACACCAAGACCCCGCCTTGTCTTCATTATTTTTCTGAGTGAAGTGTTTGGCTAATCGAAGTATTATATCCGAGCTCATAATAACTATTGTTCGAAGGAGAGTTGAAAACATGTTTGCTTCTCGTTTGGAGGAATTGCGAAAGATAGAAAGCCAAAGTTTAAATTATTTACCCTCCCTTTTGCTTATCTCCTGCAATGATCAGCACCAAAACGGAATGACAGTTTTAATCTTCGATTTTGCTCACCTTCTTTTTAAATATTGACAAGGATAAGAAGCTTTTTAGAACCACCAAATAACATTTCCCTGTTTTCAGTTTACTTTAACGTAATGCCAAGGATTATTTTGAGTTATTATAACCGTTTTAAATCTCTGTCGGGCACTTTGACATGATTTAAGCAAAAAACATGAAATTTTTATAGATTACTGAACACCGCACGCCCATTTAACTGCCGAAAGATTTTGTATATGGAAAACATATTGTTTTTTGCAGTTTCCTGAAAACCTGTTTAACTGTTATTTTAGCTAGGTATGTATTTTAGATTGAAAACCTCCACGACACACACAGCACTAGAGCCTGGGTCACAAGTTTGATGGAATTGCGAAGCCCTAGGCATTATTTCTGCAGCCTAATAATGTCATTATTACTTATACTCTTTCAGTATGATTCATTTGATTGGTATTATATGATCAATAATATTTTTTTTTTGATTGATATTACAGAGCATAAGTTCAGAAATAGCAAATTATTTGAGAATGCTAGTTAATAAATTGTATGTCTTTTAGACCTTCACTCTTTCCTTCATAAACAAAAAACTTTAATTTCTATATTGAGACCAAATTTTTTGTTGAAAAGAAGCACGATGTTAGAATTTTTGGAATGCTTTGGTTGTTTTTATGGCTGTTCTTATATGAGTATCGATGCACTATGCTATAAACTATTTCTAAGACCAGTAGATAGAATTTTATTTCTTTACAATTTTAGTAGCAGGGTACCCTGGGTAGTAGCAGGGTTCAGCTGATAAAATCTGCCCTTTTTTGTTAAAACGAGAAAATATTTTCATATTGCTTTTTTTCTGATTTTTCATCTGATGCTTTGGTATTTTTTCACACTGTTACAGTGCCGTCGGTATGAAATTCATATTAGGGGAGGGTTCTGCCCATTGTCTTGCTTCCCATTCAGCAGACTGTTATAAGGAAATATACTACAGTTTGACAATTATTGTGAGTCTGCAGCCCCCCCCCCCTCCCCGCCCCCTCTTCTGAAAGCCCTGTGTTATTATCTGTTATCATTCTTTCGGCAAATCGAGCATCGTTTTTGTTATAAAGCCTCTTCTTATAAATAAGGGAGTATAGATGAAAGTGGATAATTTCCAGCAGTTTTTATGACACTCATGGCGCAGTAGCTGTCAATCACATCAAAGGGACCGTTAAAAATCACATTTTTTACTTGCCTGAATTAACAGCCCAGTCTGGAAAGCCCTCTACGCAAAACTTCCTTGACATGACATCTTGATGCATATCTAGCAGTGTGTATATTCCATACTTTGCGGCAGTTGACACAATTTTCTGCATCACTTCCATGTACGTTGCATTGTACTGGCCCCTTTGAGGAACATAGCCAGGCAGCATCCAACCTGAAAATAAAAACCTCTTTACACTGAATTTATCGAACCGTCTTACGATTGTATATTTTTCCGATGATTTCTTTCCCTAGAATGAGGGGCAACATAAGTAAATCAACTTGGGAGAGTGACACCCGTTATATTGTTCCAGGGGAATTTCGGAACATTTAAAAAACGTGCGACGCTTTACTTCTATTGTAGTCAGTGGTGAAGATAGAGGGGCCAGGAGGGGCGAATAACCTCCCTGTAAAGATAAACAGTTATTTTGTCAGAAAATTTCTAATCTTGTCGGAAATCAATATAAGTGTAATATTTTTGGAGAAGATATTTTAAAGCTGAGTAGAAAGATTTCTTCCGTTGTTCTGAATTAGATTGGCAATTGCTTTCAATGAGTTTTTGTACTTGAAAATGTCTTTTTAGAGGAGGAGACTTAGAGGATAAGACTTAGAGGAGGAGACTTAGAGGATAAGACTTAAGCCCCTGTTTTATTTCAGTTCTATTGTCGTTATGTTATGTTAAAATTCATGAAAAATTGAAGCAATCTTAATTTCTTGCCCCTCCTATAGAGTCCTCATCTAAACCACAACTTATTGTAAATATTTAGATTTATAGAGATGATAAGATGATTATGATAGTTTTTCTATGTATCCATCACCATTTGGAGGTGGGGGGGGGTATGGCCCCCTCCTTTTTTGCAGAACAATAGAGTCTGCTTTTAAGGGTTTATATTTCTTGCAATAACTCTTGTTATGGGTCTTTAAACTGCTCTTGGCCCCACTACTTTTCAACTTGGGTGGGTGCCCCTGAAAAGTAATACCGACAAGATGACACTTGAAGTGTAGGTTACCGATTTCTACCAAAAGCACGCTCATATCTCCCTATGATTACGCTTATCACATGTGAAAAGTTTTGCAGACGTGTATCATCCCAAAGCTTGAGCATATTCAAATTACTACCAAAGACGCCAATGTAGTGGGGGGGGGGTGTCTCTAGACAAATTGGCAAACTCTTGCGGTAGTTTACTATAACATGGGCTCCGACAAAGGTTGAAAGTGGGGGGCCAAGGAAAATTTAACACCCATAGCAAAAGATTTTGAAAAAAACTGTTTTTGCTTTTGCAAAAAAGTGGGAGGTCCAAGGCCGCCCGGCCCCCCCCCCTTCGTCGGAGGCCCTGTATAACCTCGATAACATACTTCAGCCAATAAACAAAGGGAGGGCTACAGCCTTCAAGCCCCCCGGGTTCTGGCGCTGGCGTCCCTGACTACTGAATGCTTGTCCCCGAGCCTGAGATAGTTTTCCAGGAAGATCAACCAGAAACTGTTGATTTTCAACTTTGAACTGTTAAGCATTAGGAAATGCCGGAGCATTAGCTATAATCAGAACACAAACAAAAATAATAATAAGATGAAATGAGGCAGATACAGTAATAAGTAATAAAGAAACACCGCTGTGTCTAAGCATTAAGGCCCTGTAGTACCGCTACCTACCGAGTCTAACAGCATTTAGCCCCAAGCTTTGCAACAGTTTCATATCAACCTCAGAAAAGGTGCCATGGTCGTGGCCTGTTGTCTTTGGGTGGTATGGTGGCCCTTTAACGACGACATTTGTACCGTGGAAAAACCGTTCTCGGCCAAGAGAATCAACAAACTGTTGCGTTTCCGGGTTGACGTTGATAAGAAGATTTGCATCTAGAATTGTTTCTGTGTATGGGAATGCAGATGTACAGGCGGCGAGTACAAGACAAGAAAGAAGTATTTTCAGAGCCATGCTGCAAATCTCCAATGCTGCTTGGATGATTTGATGCTGATCATATGACCATATATTCACAAGACAACCTGATGCACTTCCGCTATTGGATTACAGGGTGGTTCTTTTCGCTACATCCAGCTATTCCTATCAGCCCCTCACACCACTAACCCTAATGATGACGCCCCAGGGGACTGGACGTTCTTTTCTTTGTGCATTTAATTTCAATCAGTTTGAACATTACTAAAGGAATTATTCATCACATTTTCCCTGTCAAAAACGATTGAAGATAATACATGGTACAATCACTGCCAAAATTACTTGGAACACCTAACACTTTGCGCTGTGCTTTTCTATTTTTCATTTGTTTTCTTGAATACTACCACTTCTGCCCCCCTTTCCCCCCAAAACAATGTTGAAAGTATAGAGAAATATCAAACAATCCACAAGAAAAAGCGTACTCCATAACCCCTTTCTTTTTTCTATAGTAAATCAACATTGTTCCTAGGGGGAGAGGGGGATGGCTCCTTTGAAAATCTACGTTAGTGTTCCAAGAGTTTTGGCAGTGATTGTACATGAAAAGGTTTCTCCAAGTCCTTTTTAAGTGCATGGTCACAATTTTTTCTAGGAGCTATGCCCCTTTTCCAGATAAATGCAGACCTCTGTGAAATTTTCAGGCTTCGTGGAATCTCAATTTCAATGAAAAAGAAGCCTAGAGAAAAAGTTCAATCTCCCAGAGACCAATTGACGCACGAAAGGCCGCTGATAGGTTTCAGAGCTTCATACAATTAGCTTAAAATGCATTTCAGAATATTTCTTGCAGTCATTTCTTGGAAGCTTTAAAACGTTTTACTATTTGCAAGCATACTTTTGCTACATTTGATTAATTCCATTCTAAAATGGAATTCATTATTTTATGTGGCCCCGTAGTCCTCGAGGCCCTGGGGCAAGTATCCTGGGTACCAGATTTTATAGAATGACTCAGACACCCAGGGTATGTAGCAATTTGTTCCCCTTCTGCCCCCTCTCTCAGCAGCCCTGGACGTATACTGCATTTTCTTCGTGTTCATTAAGTTGCCAAAATTATCTATAGTTCATCCTTTCCCCTGTTTGTATCACTGGCACTGCGCAGGAAAAGATCCCAGTGTCACCAACACTGCTTTTAGCGACATCTGAACCACAAATGTGAAATATCTCTTCCCGAAATAGTTTTTTAAGTTGAAATTCTTATTGAATTAGTTGAATTTCTAACTCGAAATAGTTCTTAGAAAGTTGAAATTCAGAGCAGGGGGGGGGGGCAAATGCAAGTTTTTTAAGGGTGTGTTCTTTGAAGGGACCGAGTTTTCGCCACGACAGACCGATTTTTGCAAAATAGATATTGTGGGGGTCGCTATTGCATTCCCCTTGATATTTGCGCATCAAACGCCTCGCATAGTTGGAAATAAGATAAAGCATGTGCATATGGCGAAAAAGTCAATGTTGTCGCTGGCAGCTAATTTTTTTAAAAACGTAAAAAAGAAGCAAAAATATATCAAAAGACGAGAATAAATAAACATAACTACAACTGACAGTAAGTTGCATTCCAACAAAAGCATTAGGGGCGTCCATTTAAAAACTCATCAAATTTGTGATAATCAAGTGATAATCAGCGAAATCTTGAAATAATTCTTCCCTGAATGCAGAGACCGTCCTCTTTAACAGTTTGTAGTGATGCATTTATGGTATTCTAATGTATGGAAACCCCCAAAACGTGAACACATTGGTATTTTTTTTCAAACTTTTCGATTTTAGGCCGGGAAAAAGTTATAATCAGCGAAATTTTGAAATAATTCTTCCCTGAATGCGGAGACTGTCCTCTTTAATATTTTATAGTGATGCATTTATGGTTTTCTAATGTACGGAAACCCCCAAAAGGCGAACGAACCGGTCTTTTTTTATTCTGTTTCCACTTTTCGATTTCAGGCCGGGCAAAAGTGATAATTAACGAACTGTTGTTAGTCCGTAGTGCAGACTTCCGCTTTTTCTGCATGCTGCTGTCTGGTCTGTCTTCCGCACTGGGTCCGCGGAAGTGAATATTTATGATGTGGTTTGAGAATTTTGGCATACTTTGTTATTTGACCATATTTTTTCATATTTCGCAGTATTTCGCAGAATTTCATTCCTTTTCGTTTCGTTTCGTTGATTATATAATAAGCCCGTGCCTATATATACTTAATTATGACCAGTTTCAATATCCAATTAAAAAATTAAACACCAAAGCAGGCAGAAGAGAAATTTTGTCGTTAACTTCTTTAATCTCTGTGCTCGCCATTAACATAATTTAGTGATGCAAATATATTTACAAACTATATAAAATGACTTCCTGGAACTAGAACCAAATAATGCAAACAAGAACTTCCACTGTAATTCCGAAGAATACTTTGTAAATTCTATGAAGTGCAGAAGTATGTGAAATATTTAAAGAAAGAGAGAAGGATTCTATTTGACTTGGCGAGAATAGGCACGTAAGCATCGTGCTCGGTTGGAGATTACCCGTAGCCGGAAACGACAAACGCATTCAAACATTTGACAAAGATACTAAAATTCAGTGACTGCAACACAACAAGATGGAATCGAGCAAAGCATTGGCACTTGGTCCTGGAGCATGCATCATTTTCATTCTCCTGGTTTGTCTTTTGGCAGATTTAGCCTATTTACATTTGAAGGTTTTTCAACTAGAAGACAAACTCACAACAAAGGAGCCAATTGTGCAGTCGACGGCTTCAGAACGGGCTCAACTTTGGCTCAAAATTCAGGCTGAATTTGAAAGACAGCATGCTGTACAGATGAAAGAGGTTGATCTAGTTGTGAGAAAACGATCAAAACGAGAAGTCAGACATTTTCAACAGTTCAATTCTGAGGCCTTTTTAACTTTTTTTCTTCGAAAAGCGCTCGCAGCTGACACCAATATGAGGTGTCGAAATGCTACATTTACTTGCCGGAAAGGAGACAAAGGTGAGAGAGGTCCTGCTGGGGAACGAGGTATTAAGGGAAAACCTGGTCCAATAGGAATTAAAGGTGGGAAAGGCGAGAGAGGAATCGCAGGACCTGTTGGACCCATTGGTCACAAGGGACAAAAAGGTGACCGCGGGGAAGCTGGAAAATCGGTCACAAAGGCAAGGATCATTTCAAGGTTTCCGAGGATAACTAAACGTCCAGAATTGGAAAATGTATCGTTAACCTGTGAAGCTGAGGGTAACCCGAAGCCAAAGATATCATGGAAGTTTCAAGGCAAAAAGGATGATGCAAGGTACTCTTACCCAAGCAGTCACACACTTCATATTGTTGCCATTACAGAGAAAGATGCAGGCAAAATTCAATGTATTGCGAGCAATATATTTGGAAATGATATTGCTGAAACTTTACTTGATGTTCACACGAGACCAAAAGTTTTTCTGTCTTCAGAGAAAGTTATAGGGAAAACAGGTGTATCTTTAAAAGTAGATTGCCGAGTCAGTGGTAATCCGGTACCAAAAATCATTTGGAAGAAAGCACATGGCCGCAACAACGCGGAAACAATTTTGTCACAGAATGGCTCGACAGCTACACTCGAGTTCAAAGAACCAACATGGAAAGATGCAGGCTTCTATAGCTGCTTAGGCCTCAATATGCTGGGAGTGGATAAGGGAAATTTGTTGGTAGAGATTGCCGAGAAAACCGACTGCAGTGTGCTGAAGAGAAGGGGTCAAGACAAAGATGGAATTTACTGGATTAATCCAGATTGGGGAAATCAATTCAAGGTTTACTGCGATATGACAACTGCTGGAGGTGGATGGACCGTAATCCAGCGACGATTTGACGGATCCGAAGATTTTTTCAGGGATTGGAGCGGTTACAAATTAGGGTTTGGAAAGTTAGACCGCGAATTTTGGCTGGGAAATGATAAAATTCATCGTTTGACAAAACGGACAGATATGAAGTTAAGATTCGAACTACAGGCTAAGGACGGTGATAAAGCTTTTGCAGAATACCACACATTTATGATCGATGAGGAGAAAAGCAAATACATGGCGCATGTTAGTGGCTACCGCGGGACAGCAGGTGACTCTTTCAGCCGGGTAAATAAAATGCATTTCTCAACGAGAGACCGAGATTACGATACTGCTGGCCATAGTTGTGCAATTTCTTATCATGGTGCTTGGTGGTACGGTGCATGCCATGCCTCAAATCTGAATGGTAAATACTTAAATGGGTCACATTCTTCTTATGCAGACGGCATCAACTGGCATACCTTCAAAGGCCATTATGATTCTCTAGTCAAAACTGAAATGAAAATCAAAGCAAATCCTTAATAGCAGTGACAGTGAAAATTGTTGTTTTGTTGTCCAGTTGACCATTTTATTTACACCAGCAATATGTTAGTTGATTCATAATCAACTTCTTTATTTTCTTTTCTAAGTCTATTTTGCGGAAGTCGGATCGGCGCAAAGAGGTAGAAGTTTCACCTTTCCTCGTTGCTTCTTATGATATGTCAATACACCCTTTCTTTCTTATAAGAACAATTGTATAATAACATGAGCCTCAAATTGGTCAGAAGTTAAGAACAAATTAAGAACAAGCTGGGACTGACTAAAGGTGATACTGTAAAATGTGACTTTGAATAATAACGTGAAGCCCTCCAAAAAAATTTGATCTAAAAAGTTTTTTGCCAATGAGCCCTGAATACCTCCCTAGAGCGCATTAACTAACAATTGCACTGCTTACACTGTAAAAAGATAAGGACAAATTCTGAACAACCCAGCCTTGAATTTTCGAAAAAATTAAGAACAGCAAGCCTGAACTTTAATTTACTGGTTCTTATAAAAGAGAGTGACAAACAGCAACGACAGGCTAGATCTTCTTTACAAGTAAAATTGATCTGAAATGAGTTCATTTAAAGTTTCAAGAGGACAGGCAAGGCTGATATTGGTTAGAAAAGTTAGAAAATGGCTTCATAAGACTTCATAAGCAAAGGCCAGTTTTAACGATTTAGATGAGGGTCTGACATTCATTAACTCAGCACTTTTGTCTTGCACGTAGCAAACCTTAATAATTATATCCATCGACCGTTTGCGTTGAATTTCTTAGCAAGCTACATAAATATTGTAACATCTTGGAAAAATGTGCTCGATACTCCTGTTCCAATTTTTTTCCACCGCACTTTTTAATATATTGCTATCAGCAGCTACCAGAACATCATTACAAAAAACATGAATAATTTTCAGATGATAAAATCAAGAATTTCAATGATTTATATCGCAACGTCAATGATAATTCAAGAATGTAGAATTAAACTACCGAAAATGAATATTGTACATTTTGTTTTCAAAATGAATCGGGCATTTCACTGGTAACGCTTGTGGCTAACTCTTGTGGCTGAGAGACGGTTGCATCGTCTTACGAGTTGCGTGGTGTAAGTTGAACGGACGCTTTGTGTTTTTCGTATCCGAAGAAACCAACACCGAGAACAGATGATAAACCGAAGATGCCCAGAATAACGAAGAGCGTTATAAGTGGGTCATTTTTTGTCGTGTTAGCCGAACCTAAAAAAAAGACAAAAGCAAATGAGATGGTTTCGGAAAGTCCTAATCGAAATGAGCAATGCTTTTGACTTTGTTGATTAAAATATCTTTCTAAAATTACGCTTGCACTTAATAACGTTTAAATTTTTTAATGATCGATCCATTACTTTATTCTATTGGGTCTATAACTGTCAAGAAAGCTATATTCACCAGTTGATTGATACCTAGGCCCCGTGAGCACTCGAAGTCCACATTTCAGGGAATGTATTTGTGAAAATGACCAATATCTAACTTCTGTTTGCTAATGACAAATAGCTTATTGACGAAGGAGCAAGCATGATATTCTGTGCTACGAGTGAAACATGTCATATGATATTTCCACACCCAGCTGTAGTTGCGTGTTGAGGGGGGGGGGGGGTGAGTTTACTCTCCTCCGCTGAGGCTATTTGGTCTCCGCAGCCTCACAATTTTTCAATCCCCATCTCCTTCCCCAATAGCCTCTGTGGATGAGAGTACGGGGAGTTGGTAATGCTGGCTGAGACGAAAATGGTTTGTTTATTTGTACGTGAATGGGCTTGTGAGTCGCGATAAAGGGAAGTTTACTAAAAGGATTTCAGTTGATTCTGATTGGTGAATAGTAGAAAGGTAGCGTTTATTTTGAGGTGTGCCAAGCATGTGCAAACTATGAGAAGCAACAGTAGATTCACAGGGAAATAAAATGAAGTAAACAGGAGGAAAATGCAGGGAAGCGACTGTGGGGTACACAGGCCTATTTTCAGCAACTAATGATAAAATTTTTCAATAGACAGAAAAGATCTCTGCTGATGGCAGTCTTGTCTACAACGTACTCGGTTTTTTGACATCTGTGTTGTCTTCGCTCCCTTCAAGTTTTCCAACTACTGGTGCTTCAAAAGCTGCAAATGTCCCTGTTCTGGTGCAATGGCATACAACATATGTTTCATTGCCGATGGTTGTCAGTTCTTGTTCGGCTGTGCAGCTATCATTCTTCCAAGTAGAGCTGAAGTCATCCCAATATCGGCACTAAGAAAAGTAGACTAGTCTTACTACTCTCAAGACAATTGCAATACATCAATCAAGAATTAAAAAGGTTCATCTAATCCCTTTCATTAGCTACAAGTATTTGGTTCGCTAGGGGCACTTTTTCTGTATAATAATTTACTGTTTGTGAAGGTAAATTATATCAACCCCTAAAAGTCTAGGAAAGCATTTCGTTTAGATGTAGAAAGATTTGTGAAAGGAGAGTTAACCCTACAGTCATGCTATCGATCTTTCCACAGTGTCCTAATCATCAATTGCTTGCCCAATAATTGTATTCTGGACTCGAATTACCTGATGGGCCTATTAAAAGACTCAGTAGAATCTGCCCAAAACACTATCTCTAAACCATGTGTACTTTACCTCTGTCTGACGACTGCTGTTGTATTTTGATTCATCAATCGGGACCATGATTGTGATCGGTGAAGTAAGGTGCTGTTCATGGATCGCAGCGTTAGTTTCTGGATTGAACAGTTCGACTTGCAGTGTATTAGATACCATTGTGTTGTTCTTCTGGCTTTGTTCGTCAGAAAAAATGTCGTTTGGATATTGGACAGAGCCAACACATACTCCTGTGTACAAGAAAAATATCCATGTGATTGTGCGAAATTCTTAATACCTTGAGATGAAGAATTTCTTTGAAGGGAGTAGAATTTACAAGTGTTGATCCATTTAAGCATTTCAAGGTAGAAGTTGGAGTTCTTACTAGAACGAAGAAGGAAAATTGATACTAGAGAAAGCATGTCTGCAAAGAAATCTGAAATCTGAAAAGAATAAATTATTTCATGACGCAATCAATAGCATTTACTAAACAGTAAAGGTGAAGTCAATGTGATAAACAAGATAACAGGAGAAAATCGTTTCGACTGTTTACAATAAAATACTTAATGCTTGCCAGGGAGTAACACTTTAATGTTTTCGGCATCTGTGATCCACGAGGGCTTTCTTTATTAAAGTGTTGAGCAAACTAAATTTCCCACAAATTCAATCATAATTTTAGTGACACAGGCGACCCACTATGTCCGATCAACGATGATCTCGGGAATACAGAGCACTTCATATTGTTGTGCAGTTCTTTTAAAGAACAAAGCCGTGACCTCTTCACTGGTGTCATTCTGCAGTTTCGAATTTGCTAACGTTCCAAAGCCTGTCCTTTCACAGATTCTTTTGTAAGGTGACAAAAAATTATCATTTGAAGTTAATTAAATTCATTTTGGAATCTACTATCCTGTAATTTCAAGAACGGAATGCTTCGTGTGATAAAATAGTCAGTTTTATTAAATATCCCAAAATCTTGTACCTAACCCAGTTATTTGTTATTTTCAGTTTTTAAAACGTTTTATTTTGTACCTGTAAATATTCTATTTTTTTTTCTCTTTGTTGAAATTTTTTATGTATAATTTTTTATTTTATGTAGTGTTCGTAGTTGTAAGTCTAGTTGCATGTAATGGCCATTGGGTTGCCATTGTCCTTTGCTCCCCATGGTATCGTACCTGTAGTATCGTAGAGTAATCAGAAAGTATAGTGGAATGTAATTTGTATTGTACCAAAATTGAATCGGTTAATTTGTACAACGTTTGATCCTTCTGGCTAGACGATCTTAAAGTTATCCGGAAACATCTAAACGGCCTATCCAGATAAGCTGTGTTATGGATTCATAGCGAGCCGGCGATTTTCACACAATGAGGCTAACATTTTAGCACCAAGCTTCACTTTTCATAACAGAGCTCGTTTCATCGATAGCATATTACTATCTGTTGTTGATCAGAGCACTTCAATGATCCAGCAAAGCAGATTAATTCATAAAAAAGCATCATGTAAACGCAGCCACAGAAAGAGTGACCTTTTCGAGAAACGATTTTAGATTTTCTGTCTCAGCTCAACTCGACATGCTTTTTTCATTATTGTTCTACGCTCTTGAATAGTATTTTACTCTCAGGCTACAATAGCTTGCAAACTAAGAGTTGCACTTACTGGCATTGGGAGGGAGCTTGGACACTTGATTGATGAAAACAAAATAAATATAACTCTACATAGGAATTTTATGAGATCAACCCAGGACCGTCCCATTGGGTTTTATTACCAACATTATCCATTATTCTTTTTCTCAATGCCCTTGGTTGCTTTAAGAGAAATCCCAAAAACCCCAGCCCACGCGAGGATATTCGCGAGTTGAATGTTCCATAAAAGGGATCTTGAGGGCGGGCAAAAGAGCCTTAAGCACATCGTAGGACTTTTTTCTAGTACAAATTAACAAACCGTTGCATGTATATTCTTGTGTGCATTCCCAGGAGCTATATTTCGAGGCCAAATCACCTCCAAGATTGATCATACCATTCTTCTCGCAGTCATCGCATTCAACCGAGATGTTTTGCTTGCCCCCGTCAGCCATATCGTACTTGTAGCTTTGTAACGTAGACAAATTTGACTTTGCTAGCGATGCGTTGTCACCAAACTCTGAATCCGAGCACATAGATTGCAAGAGATAAGGTGTCAAACCAGTGTACTTCCTTTTCATCGACATCGTCACGTTATCATGCGCAGTTACATTGATGATGTTATCGTAGGTTTCAACAATTTTCTCAACCTGTATGGAATAATTGCAGCTCATGCCTAGATATCTTGACTTAGCTAGATAAAGTTTCATAATGAGATGGAAAGGCAAATGCTAATGTGTGCTTGTTCAAACGGTGAAACGTTGAAAGATTTGTTTTAGCTTTAGCCTATTAGTCAAAGACAGCAAAACCAATTAAATACACTATGTTTCTACTCCTATTTTTACAATAAAAATCTTGAGACACTCTCTGTCATTTCCGGACGTAAAGGTACTGTCAGTATTTTCCTGCAGTTTATTTGTACTGTTGTTCATTATTGACTCTCTATTTTGTCATGATCATATCACGATTAAACACCCTGCAGGACAGTTGGGAGTGAACTCCCTCGAACTTTCTCTCATCATTCACTATTACCGTCAGTGAGCACTAATATTGCTCCGCTCTCTGTGCCTTTTTGAGATACAATTTATGTAAATGAACTGCTTTTGGAAAAGGCTGTGAACAAGAGTTGCATAAAAGCTATATATAATTTACCTCTTCGGGGGATTTTGCGAAATCTTCTTCAACGTCTTCTGACGGAACTAGAACTGGCGCTTGCATTGAAGATATTGTTGGTGCTACTGGAACCAAATGATCTGGCTTTATCTGCCCTTTTATGATGGAAGCTAGCGAGTCTGCAATGTTATCTCGAAGCAAGCTGTCGAAAAATTTTCCATCCTTTGTCACGTCTGACATAAGAGTTAAAATCATGTTCTGAGTTTCAGAATCAACAATAGTTTTCAGGATGTTGATGATTCCAGCTGTCGCATTTTCTTTGAATTTGATAATATTTCGATGAATTTCAGTAGAGATGTTGAAAGCAATTCTTCCATCTAAAAAGCAAAAAAGAAGTTTGTTCTCCAGCTACTCATATAATATTGAGAATTTATTGGAGCACTTTCATAATTCTACCCATGAACATGAGGACCTTAGAACTGCGCAGGCTCAATTTATATAAGCAAATGTCAATGATTTATATCTTCATATGACTATTATCATTTCTATTCTCACTCGAACCCTAAGTGCAATTACGGCTACAAGTTTTGTGTCTTAAAACAGTGTTGCATTGTTATTGACAGACCGTATTTGGACAAAAATTCATATTAACAAGGTTAATGATAAACCATTCTTTTTCACATTAACGGAAAGATTTTCTGACAATGGACTTCCACTAAACTGTACTCAATACCTGTTGAACTAGCTTCGTTCAGTACATTGACTGTTGACGTGACCTGTCCTATCACTGATGATAGGTCATTCGCTTTGAATGCATCCACGATGTTGTCAGCAAAGTGCGACACGGCATTTTTGTCTATAACAGTCAGAGGTGTGACAACTACAGTGTGATATGCACGAGTTTTTGCTCTCCAAGCATCAGTAACGTCGACAAATAATGTTAAATTGAAATTATTCTTAGCTTCACCAGCCGGCAGCACTACAGTCATTTCGGTTTCTTGACTGACGCCTCCAAGAAAAGCGTCTTCACCATTTGCTTTAATGTAACCAAATTTGAAAGAAAGCGGAAGGTCCAATGGGTCGTCAGTCCAGCCTTCAATCGCTTGCAGGTTGAATAATGTCTGCAGAGCAACACCTATTGGTGGGATTTCAGGCGATTAGAATCATTTCTACTCTACTATTTTCTATAATTTATTACAACACAATAAGATAAGATAAGATACCACGTGTGGTGCAAAAGGCAATGACTCTCCCATTTTTATCCAATAAAGACGTGCTACGTGCTACTAGACAATAGCTAATACGATTGGGTTTTGGTAAATGCAAGAAGATGTGGTACTAAGTATCTCGCTTGATCACGAGAGGTTTGCAGAAGAATCCAAAGGCGTTCTGTTGCCTAAGAGAACGATAACCTCAATGAGCTTTCTACCATTTTAGTAGGCCAATGGCACTGATTGGGCAAACTCAAAAGTCATGTTATTGCGTTTTGATTGGCCTATTTAGATACACAAGTGGCTATATATTTTTCCTAGCTTAGTAATTTGATCTATGTTCTCACGTTTTATACTCTAAAGAGTGTCAGACGAAAAGCTTAAGTATGACTGAAAATGTTTGCATTTTTTGACAGCCATTATGGTTTTTGTACCATTAAGATATTGTATGTTAAATTTTCTGAGTCTACCTTGTGAGATGTCTGATGTTAATGATCCGAGGGTCGGTGGACCATTAACGACGATTATATTTTTTGCATAGCCGATGCCTTGTGAATTCTGTGCAGTTAATCTAAGTTTATAAGATGCTCCTTCGACAAGAACTCCCTTGTTTATTACAAGAACAGACCACGATATTCCTGTCCGTTTGATTTTTTGACGAATGGACGACTTTGCTACTCCAGGTTCTGTCAGGTTTATGTAATTGAAGCCTAGAAAAGCAATAACTGATTTAGAAGATTTGGCAAGAAAATATGATCAAACAATTTTGAGTTGTCATGACTTGAATTTGAACTTAAAACAATGAGACTGAAATACCTTTTAGGGCAATTCAATATTCTTGCTTGTTAGCTATAGAAAATTCTGTAATATCTCATTTATTATACTGATTACAAGTATAATTCACTTCTATACGATTTGAGTACATGTTTCATTCTTATAGTAGAAAAGCAAATAAAAAATTTCGACAGTTATATAAACAACATACCATCATCATCTAAGCAATCCCACCATACGTCTACACCACCTGATGTTACACTCTGAACAAACCCTTTTACAATTACCCTTTCATCCGAATTGACCTTGCTGTGTCTTTGTGGCCGTATCTTTACGACTGGTGGTGAACCTGGCATGATTACTATTCTTATTTCTTTTGACACCGATCTTGTTCCTTTGGAGTACGTAAAAAAAAACGAGTACCTGAAAAAAACGTGGTCAAATAACTTCACTTATTTAATGTAAATGACTTTCTGACGTTTTATACTCTGAAGAGTGTCAGACGAAAAGCTTTAGTATACACAAATGTTTGCTTTTTTCAAAGCCATTTTTAATTTTTGTAACACCAAGAGATTGTTTGTTAATGACTTAAACAGCATTATTTCTCATCTTTTTTAAATCAATTAAAAGGCTACGAAGGAAGAGCTGTTGGTGCTTGAGGTCTCGTAATCAATCAGTATTATTACATTCGTTGTTTGCTAAATCATGGAAATTGCAGCAGGCGACCACATTATAAGTTATGTTCTGTTTGCAGAAATGCAGTATATTTTTGTCAAACCCAGTTACTCTTTAATGAGATAAAAAAAGACGATCACCAAGCAAATAAACACTGAAAAAGTTATTTCGTATAATATTTTGGTTGATGCTAACAAAGAAACATATAAACTTGCGTAACTGAAGTTTCAAGATACGGGACAAGCTTTCAAAGAAGGTTTTATTATGCAACTCTGAGCTTTACGATTCGTGCCACAAAGTTTCCAATGAACATCTATGTTTCTACATTGAACATTGATACAACTTTTATCCATCATGCCATTTAGTGGGTTTTAAACTGATAATAGTACCTACGTTTCGTTTGATGACAGTGTTCCTCTCTCGATTTTGACTTTCTTTGCTGCAGCTAATATAAGGCGTACCATTCTGCTCGAGTCATTTACATGGGGAACTAAACATGGACTTGCTTGCTGGTCATAGCATTCCCAGTTGAAGGATTCAGTCGCTGTCGAATCTCTGTCTGGATCGTATGAAGGGGAAGCGTCCAAAGTAAAGCTAGAGTCAGAGCCTGTTGAGAAAATTTTGAATAGTTTTTGTATGAATGACGGCATTTTCACCAGGTCTTTATATCTTCGCAAACATTGCGTTTATCCTTCTATGTAAATCATACGAACTGCTCATACTTTCAGACGAGGAAGATTGTGAATTTTTTCCGAAAATAAACATCTAGCAAATAACGTTCCCTAACAATTTTCGCCTGTCCTGCATCTAATTAACTAGCAGGAATTTAGGATATCAAATAGTTTCTCTATAGGTTACAGCACTGTTTCTGCAAAATGACGCAAGATTGAAATTGCTTTAACACGGAAATATGAATGTCCTAAAAGTTTTGTTACAAACCTACAACACGGTACCGTCCACCTCTGAATCTAGCAACAAGGTCTGCACTTTCGACTGAAACTTCAACGGAAGCACTTGAAAAGACAAACGGATCATTGGCAAGGCTAGCTGTTAAGGTAAAAGCATAAGAACCACCGCCTAAGAGACTGCCTCGTGGTACAAAAAGCCGTGGGCTACTTCTGGATCGTTTATCAAGCTTTACCTCTGGTGATGACACCTCCCATCGGTAAATCAAGAGTTCTTTTGAGCTCTGACAACTGGAGTGCCGTACAGCACCGCGAAGTACAAGGTTCTTGTTTGATCTGACTTTTCTTTGTAACCCTGATGTGGTGAATATATTTAACAGTTAAGAGATAATCTAAACAATGCTATACAGTCTTACAGTCTTCTGTGATTGCTGGAACCTTTACCAAGGAACTCTTTGACCTCTAAGATTAAGGCTTTTATTCCAGCTCAAACCATTACTTCCAAGGGCCTCCCATTGTCTAACAGGATCTTTATGCTTCTCTATTCTAAACTTCTCCACCGAACCAAAAATGTTTTCTGGAAAAAATGTTTTTCTACGTACGTTTAGTGGTACCTGCTACTGGGATATGTTCGTTGATTAAGTTGTAACTGTAAACAAATTATTTGAATAAGAAGCACTTTCAGTGAACTTTCTTGCAGTCTTAAACTACAAAACAATAAATACAATACTAAACTACGCGAGAGAATATGCTGCCAATAAACAAGGGTCATCGACTCATTGAGACATTTCACAATTTAAAAAAGGCCACAAATATGAACAAATTAACATACATTAAAGACTGCATTGAGATCAGTTAAGATGTAGGATTTTTTTTGAAAACATTAAAGATAGAGGCTGATTGTAATATACTAAATATCTTTGTGCTCAGTAGAAGGAGCATTGAATAATCATAATGATTACTGTTTACCAACAGATATCAGCAATTCTTACCTCCCAGAATTTTTACTGTTGGCGCCTTGGTGCTTGTTCTCTGGACGATGAATTTATTAATGTTACTGGTTTGTCCTAGAAAGTTGCTGGCAATAACGGAGAACTCATAGCCAAGGTACCTCTCAGAGGTGCTTGGTTTTACATTCTGAGGTCCTATGTAAATAACATGGCTGTGTAGTGGTAGACTACTTAGGTGTGTTCTTATGGCTAGAAGATCCGCTGTTTCGTTATCTGTAACAAGATTCATGTCAACTTCATCTGAAAAAGATACATTCCATGAGAAGCTCAGTTTCCTTCCTCCAGCGTTGCCCGAGGCTTCTGCTTTGAGACGGGCAGAACCACAAATTCCGATTTGAGAAGGCCCCGTTATATGCACCATTAATGGGTTCAAACTTGCCTCCGTTTGCACAATAATTGCGCTGTTCGTTGTATCAGAAATCATTTCCTTATGCTGCGAAATAGCTCCACTATTAAAGACCAAAGAATCCCCAGGCACCAGACTTGCTGACAGCCCTAGCCGAACTGCCAGTTGGTTTAAAGATCTTTTATAGCAGGAAGCTTTTCTTCCTAGCTTTGCTACCACATCACTTGTGAATATATACTCACAGCCTTTACTCATAAGATGTATCTTAGTGTCGAAGTTGATCAGTATTGTCTTAAGGTTTTTGCTCAGTGTTGCCGTAACTGGTCTTGGTGCAGCAGCATAAACATCCAAGTTCTTCCAAGCATGAGCCGGAAGACTCTTTAATGACGTCATATCACCATCTTCTGTTGACCCAACAACTGTGATTTGTAGATTCATCGACCTTGGAATCACAGGCAGTGTGCATATTGATTCCCTATCACTGAGCACATTTGCTTTGATCAGTAGTGATCGAGACTCGGACAGTATTGCGCAATGAAGCTCATCTGAAAATGACAAGAGAAAATGAGATTTAAATGATAGGCAAGGGTCGGCAGGCATCAATTTCCTAGGGATGCTTCTATGGACATGCTGTGTGACTGAAGGGGACAGGGGTGCAATTGCATTCCAACACCCTTGCCGGTCCGCAACAGACATTACCCTCTTTCTTTAAAAAACCATATTTTTGCCATGGCTCGGTGTTCTTTTTTTTGTCTATTTTGCGGCTCGAGTATTTTAATAATTACTCTGATTTCAACATAAATTTTTATATAACTACATGATTTAAATTGTTTCTAACGCAACTGATTAAACATTTTTCATGACCTTTTTACAAGCGTGACTGATCAGCATCATATGTACTAATTTTTAACGTACATCCGTCAAAAGATCCCCCAGCTTCAAGACATTTCTCTATAAAATTGTACTAGAATCTAAAAGTTTCATTAAATTATTATCAAACATCATGCAGAAACATGCATATTGCAAATTATATATTTTATGATATATCATTTGGTCATTACTCTGTAGTATACAGTTGATATCCGCTATCTCGACTGCCGGCTATCTCGAACATTCGCTATTTCGAACTAATTTCTGTTTCCCTTGGTTTTGCTATAGGGTTAAGTATAGAAAAACCGTTCGCTATCTCGACTGCTCGCTATTCAGAATATTCGTTATGTCGAACCGTTTTCTGTTTCCCCTCGACAAAAAGTGTTCGCTATCTCGAACTTTTTTGTTTTTGGTTATGTGAGAAAATTAAAAATACGAGAAAAGAATCTGTTTAAACGGCAGATGACAGTTAACAGATTAAAAAAACAGTGTTATAATACAATTTAAATGTTCAAATCAATGGATAAAGGGGTAATCCGAAGTTTAAAGGCAAACTACCGAATAGTTTTGGTGCAGAAATACATCAGAGCAATTGATCAACAAAAGTCTCTACAAAAAATTAGCTTTTGGATGCAATGGACATATTAGCCGCATCGTGGTCTATGGTATCTGAAACGACAATCGTTAACTGCTTTGCCAAAGCTGGCCTTCCTTCCAAAAATCAAGCAGCATCAGAGGAAGATGATCATTTTAAAGACTTGGTGATGAGTTGACGAAACTGCGAAATAGAGATAAAAAAAATTGCTCCAGCCAACACAAGTGCAGAGGAAGTTATTGACTGCGACGACCAAGTCTTAGCAACAGCAGCATTGCCAACTGAAGATGAAAACATAGCTGAGCTAATTGGTGAAGAAGTTGTTGAAGTTGAGGACAGCCAAGAAGACAGCCAAGAAGACAGCCAAGAAGACAGCCAAGAAGACAGCCAAGAAGACAGCCAAGAAGACAACCAAGAAGACAGCCAAGAAGACAGCCAAGAAGACAGCCAAGAAGACAGCTAAGAAGACAGCCAAGAAGACAGCCAAGAAGACAGCCAAGAAGACAGCCAAGAAGACAGCCAAGAGGAAAGCCAATAAAGCAACGACAACACTTTGACAAAGCCAAAAACGGACGAGATAAGAGATGCGATGGAGGTGATATCAAGATATTGCCTATTCTCAGAGAATGGAGAAGTGCTCTGTGAGCATTTCGTTAAAATGAATGGTGTTATAGAGAAGGAACTGGTTAGAAAGAGAAAACAAATGACATTAGATGCTTATTTTTCTTAATGATTTAGTTTGCCTTGTAATTTTGTATTAGTGATTACATATCTTTTATTGCTGCCTGTTAAACCTTCGAAATTTGAAAAAAATTGGATTTTTTGGGGTCATCCGATAATTCGAACATTCGCTATCTCGAACCATTTTTCGTTTCCCTTCAGAGTTCGAGATAGCGGATGTCAACTGTATCTTTAAGAAAAAGGCAAAAATACCAGTTCCACTGAAATACCTGTTTGTAGGAACCCAGTTCCATTGACTGTGACGTTGTTTTCTTTCCCTCTTAAAATTCTTACTGGGCTCACTCCATACAGACTAACAGCCGAGTAGAACTTGAATACTTGAGACATGCTTCGTGAACTTCAGCAGAGTTATCAAAGGAACATCTCAGCCTGTATATACCGCTAGTTGTCGCCGGAGTTTTGATGGTGAAGCTTGCCTTGTTAGCTGCTCAAGCAAAACAATTTCACTAGTTTAGATGTTGCGTGTATTTGGGGCAGGCATTAATTTAAGGAATTTTCATCACTGCACAAAACAGCGTAAAACACAGATTTTCGGGCCAATAGGGTGTGGCAAAGGGTGTGGCTAGGTTTTGACTGGACCTCTTTTGGACGGACCAACAATGTTTACATTGTTTTCAGGGACATTTTCAGTGTAACTTGGTCTAACTACAGCTACCACTTATTATGTATATATCTTGCCAGAACAGATTAAACCTGGCCAAAAGAAAACAGAGTAGCAAACCTAATAACAGGTAATTTTTTCTTCATTTCCACCCTATGGAGTCAATATAGTATTTATTTGTGAATGGTGGAAATGGTGGTATTGTATTTCATACAAAAGAAGAGAAGCAGGCCGCCATTTGAGGGTGGTAGTGACACTGGGTCTTTTTGGCCATGCAATGCAAGAAATCCAAAGTTGTCGGAGGCCCTAGGATTATCCGACAGAGGAAGCTTACCTGCGAGCGGAGCGAGCAGAAAATTTTATGACCACACCCCTCAGATTATCTCAAAATATATTTCAGAATATTTCTAGCAGTTATTTTCTTGCAATCATTTTAAACATTTTGTTTTTTTTCAAGGCATGCTTTTATTACATTTGATCAATTCCAGTCTTAAAATTTACATAATTACTTTATAAGACCCCACAGACCTCGGCTTATTCCTTGGAATCTTGGCAATAACAGGATTTATTGCACTATTCTCTTTATCTATTTCTTTTCTAGTATTATTTCTATTTTCTTAAAAACACTTTTTACATTATGAAGTGGGTTTGTGATTAACTGTATATTATTTTTATTGTTAAAGCTGGCTTTAGTTGAGTTTCACGTTTAAATGAGGTTGATTCTATTACCTCATTTGACTCTTGATTATAGTTTGTATTCATTTGTCTTTATTCTAAAAACATCCAGATCAGTAGTATTTGGAGAATTTCAAAAGTGAAGTAATTCATCACTGCACATTTTTCAATTCATCACTGCACATTTTCGATTCATCACTGCACAAATTGGTCATCACTGCACCTTAAATTAATCCTTGATTTGGGGACATTATATACAGGCCTGCCAAACGCTGTTCCGGGACCTGGGGCACAAAAAGATTGAGCCCGTGGTGATGTCATCAAATCTGTGATTGCCATTACTGTTGCTATTTTAAGTAACGTTGTTATAACTTTCTAATGTCTCTTTCATCTTTGGGCCTAGGGCCATCTGCCCCCTCTCGGCAGGCCAGATCATAGAAAGAAAAGTATCGATCGGATGTTTACAGACAAAAGGCATTTGCTTAATTGCTTAATGAAAACAGTTTTGTAATACAACTGGTGGCATCAAGGGTACCCTGGGTACCAGACTCACTATATATAAAAATAATAGTGAGTCTGGTACCCAGGGTACATCAAGGGCAACAGCACATATTTCTCTAATTTTGTTCTAGGAAAATTCTGTGAAGCATCGATCTAAAGCAATATTGGAATCTACTAAGTCGTAAGGATGAATTATTATTTGACTCATGTTGTGCTATCAATAAGAAAATATGCCAACTTACATATATTTGCAGGTGCAGCAGAAAAATTTCTTCCATTACCCTCAAACCAACAATTTGCAAGTTTGTATGCAACAAATCCTGCACCAGTAATTTCCAACCTCCTACCGCCTGTTGTAGGTGCGTTCCTGGGCTTGAATCCTGATATATTAGTGCAATTTGAATTGAAGAAGGGATCCTTTGGGTTTAAGCAGAATCCACAGTTGTCCAGTATTTTGCCACTGTTGGAAATACCGTCACATCCATTGCAAGTTGTTCCATCCCCATTACACACACCGCATACGTCCATACCAGCACTTCTGTTCAGAGAAGACGTACCCCCATAACATTGCCCACATTTGTTCAATCTAGCTCGGCCGAAACAGACCCCCATGCAATCTTTAAAGCTTTTTCTAGAGCCCCCGCTTGTTTTCCTTTGACAGATATTGCAGTCATCAATTTCAGCCATCCCGCATGTTCCCGCACAATCCCGCATAGAGTCTTTAGCTAGTCCAGTGCTACCGCCTGTACACTGTCCACAGCTATCGTAGCGAGCACCTAATAAAATTCACGACAGAAAAACAATGAAGACAGAAACAACCCCGAATTGTTGGCATTCATACTGTCTTTCTATTCGGCTATAGGAAATTATTCGACTTGGCGATTTGAAATAAATGTAATAAGTTCAAATGGAAAAGGATTGAAATTTAAAAAGGTATTTTAATGATCTATTTACCTAAGATCAAAAACAACCATAGATAGATTCTTATTTTCGTGTTTATATTCTCAGTTTATTCTTTGCAAAACGTTTGCAAATTCTGGCTGATCGTGCTAAATGATTCCAGGAATGAATGAAACACCGAAACTTTAAGGCTGTAGAGTATTTCTGCTGTTTGTTGCAATCCTTAAGTAGCCTGCTGGCTTTCGGCCTCATAATATAAGCTTTTATGTTAGAAACTTGATTAAGATGGAGATTGACACCAATAATGAAAGTATTTTAAGCGACAAACATTAGATCTCAAGTTTATTATATTCACGTAATCGAATCGATATATGTCTCTTCTTGAGGGGGATGCACAGCATAAAACAAAAGCTACATGTACCCTTATGTAGTAGACAATAGAATTGTTGATACATTTCACATTAAACTCACCCGAATAAGGTCTGTCATCGCAGCCCACGCATGCCCTACCGTCACCTCCACATACATTGCATTTATCCACCTTCGCAAGCGATCCTGGAATACCATTACATCCCCTTTTCAGCATAAATCCAAACAGCTCAGTACTATAGGAGGACGAGCTTCGAAGATCCTCTTTCATGACAATTTCAAATCCTACAATATATTGAAATCGTCTATTTGAGTTGTTGCAACAAGTGCAATAAAATACTTTATAAGAGATACTTTTAGTAATCGCAGTAATCTTCCTTTAATGCTGCAACAATTTTAGTTGACGGATTCATAAGTATGTGTATTTTGGGAATATGCAGATTGTGTTTATACCGTAAAGCCTCGAATTAGCCCCCTGGAGGCTTACTTAAATTTTGATAATTTTGGATGGGGGGCTACTCGAGGGGAGGGGGACTTATACGGAGAGGGGGGCTTGTCAAATTATAGTAGACATTATAAAAACATTATTAGATTACCTCGTACATTTTGGTAGAAATTTCTTAATAAACATTTAACTAATTGTTACCAAAAGTATAAGCCTTTGTAGTGATTCAATAAAACGCCAAAGGCAACCTCAGATGGAGAAAATCAGCAAATCGAAAGGGGGCCAACTCGAGAATATAAGATAACAGTGGGGGCTGATTCGAGGGGGCAGGTTTTATTGACAATTTGTAGTTCAAGGGTGGGGGCTTACTCGGGGGAGGGGCTTTTTTCGAGGGGAGGGGCAAATTCAAGGAATTACGGTATGTGGCCGCAAAAAGTCACCTTTATCCTAGGTATACTGCAAAAATCTACGAATTAAAATCAAGAGAAAGATGCACATTGATGGCTAGTTTTTTATCACTAGAATACGTCGATTGTGTCGTCTGAGTTTTCTTTTCCTTATTCAGCTACAAAAAATTTTGCATTTGATGATTGTTAAGAGGGTATTGCATCATTGACGATTATCTCATAGGAATTATTGCAAGAAGGGCTTTTTTTCTTCCAAAACAATTTTCATCTGCCTATAGATAGCACGGCTATTTACCCAAGAAGGTAAAACAGCTTTCCAACTCATATATTGCATTTTATCAGGAATTCATCCAAAATAATTCATAACCCCAATTTAGGTACCGTAATGCCTCGAACAATTTAGGCTCCAGGATGGGCGCTTATTTGAGGGGGCGCTTAATCGAGGGGGCGCTTATTTAAAAAGTAGATTTGGATGAAATTGTGTTGTTCATTAATCTTTCTTGTTGAATTGCTTTCCAATTATGTTTTCGTTGAAAATTCGAGTTAGCGCCCATTTCTGAAGGTTGAAGAAAGGAATGTTGAAGGTTGAGGGGCGGCTCTTATTTGAGGGGGGCGCTTGTTTGAGGCACTACGGAATGCTGCATAACATAACCTACCGTTACTTTTATCATCTGTCATGTCCCAAAACATGAAATGCAGCCAAGCACCCTTCATTGCATTCAAGTGAGACCACACAGCTGCCTTATCGTGGAGGACGAGCTTCAGCTGATCGTCAGGCTTCAGACGCAAAATATCAAGACTACCTGCTGTTTCTGTATGTTGCAATTGTTTACGCTGCTTGAATTCTTGCCAGGAAGTATTGCCCAAGTTGTAGTACCACATTCCAATTCTACTATAAGATGCAGAGAGTACTGCAATACCGACGGATGGATTATCAACATCCGTTACATACTTTTGTAATGATGATATCAAGAACCCTTCATTTGCCACAGCTGTGGTGTTGTAGGCAATAACTGGAAGAAACAACGCTTTTGTGAGTGCAATTGGCTGATCATTCACCGATTGTACTTTGATGGTAATGTTGAGAGGAACAGCTCTTTCTTCAAGATGCTGAAGATTGCAGTAGCATACGTTGAAGTGCAGCCATGCAACTCCATGCCAATGCGTATTAGGTACAAAGTAAACCTCGCTGTTAGACAAGGTCAGTTCAGAGCCTATTCTCAAATCAAGAGCACCACTAGAAAGCTCTTCTCCGCGAACTTTAGCTTTCCATGCTCCACTTCCGCTCATTGATATTACCTTTGCAACAGGGCGATGATTATCAAATGTCATTTTATACTTGTAGAATAAGTCTAACTCTGGTTTAGGAATGTAAGGGTACAATGTTGAGGATACGTCGTGGTCTTCTATTTTAATTCTAAATTCAAAGAAATCTTGCAGATGCAAGGGATATTTCGCTAGAATGTCGTATCTGGTATCTTCAGGAAACATAAGCGACGGGAGTTCCTTTTTCAGCGTCAATGGCTCAGTTCTACCTATAGGCCTTATCAATAAAGCAGCCATCTTAGGGCTTGAGTATATGAGCGAGGTATTAACAATGGCACCTTCGGCGAGGTTGAATCCATTTGGTAAGAAACCACGTAACTGCATATCTGTCACATTATAATATTGTAAAACTCGTATGCCGTATGCGTTGTCATTGTTTGATTCAAAAGTTAAATATGTCGATGAAGAGACAACAAGCCCTCCTGAAGTGCAAGATAGGTTAGCAGAACGACCGTTGGAGAAGTGAACTATCCAGTCTCCATGCTGGTTCACCATTCGTGGTTTTGTCACTATGGTTGTTTCGTTGATGAATCCAGACAGGGAAAAAACAGAGCTTCGCAAGTCAGTCATGTCTACATGGCCAATCACGGGGTACATGTCTTCTGGTGGCACTTGCAGGATTGGTTGGCATTTCAGATACCTCGGCATGCATGTGTATCGCATCGCGCACAGCTCCTGCCATGGAGGACAGTCTTGTGAACAGCGGACACTCTGTTGAAAACAAGAGCCAAAACTTTTTCTCTTAGCTTTTGATATATCATTGAAAATGCTTGCTAAGGTCGGTTCATGCATATTAAAGTGCAATTACTTTAGCATAATCCAAAGTATATAAGCATTGCTTTTTATGTTTGCTTAGTAGCTGTGATATTCAGGTAACTTGGTGTATCCCAACATGTCTAACATAAAAACAGCTTTATATAATCTGATACATAGAAAGGAAAAGTAATTAAATGAAACTTATTAGACGTTACATGCATAAGTTCTATTGAAAAAACAAAAATGCTACTCGTCCTTAAACTGCATAACGGTTAAAGAGTACATGCAACAACCTGACAGTGACATGTACGACGGCTTTACATTGACTGCACGATGGGGAATGACTCGAGTTTTGTTAAGAAAGGTAATTGATACTTACATGGTATATTTTCTCCATTGCCTCCTTCGCTTTCAAACTTGGTTGAAATGCTTTTGTGTTTAGCCAGTGTTGTGGAAATACGACTTTTGGCATAGTGGTGGATCCCCTGTCAAGTACCGTATTAAGATACGCACATCGTGACTGCAGGAGCAAAAATTAGTAGTCTTACACAACGGAAGCAATACAAAGAAAAACATTGAATATTCATGAATGTATTGGGTATCTACATCATGCCATAATTGTCTTTGCCGTTCAGGATAGTATTCAGTTTTCTTTGCAAGTGTGAGCTGTGAAATACAGTTTTATTTCACGAAGATGTAATAAAAGGAAAGTCCAATTTTGTTCATGATCTGAGCAATTCATCAAATGCTTTGATACAGAGCTCTAACTTTTCTTGTTTTAACAACTAATATTGAGCAGAAACGCCTTGCAGACGTTTTCTAATCAAAAGTTATTTACCACGAACTTTGAGCGGTCCAATTCTACACACCAATGCGTCCTATCCTACAGATAGATCGTATTTACAGGAGAAAAATACCTCGAAGCTAGAATATTGATTGCCTGTATCTTCGCTTCCACATCCAGTCAATGCTGCGATTGCAAAAGTCAAGGTGACAATTTCTTGTCCCTTCTGTGAGTATGTAATTGTTGAGTTGTAATTCACCAAGCATTCACGATACAAAGATAGCAAATCCTCTGGCTATAATGAAAAGAACTAAATTTTTAACTTTCTAAATTCTGAAACTTCATAACAACATAATGACAGAATCTAACAATACTGAGTTATAAAAAAATTTCTTCAAACTTCGATCGCCAGATTAAAACCAATAACTTTTTGCCGAGTAGAAGGCCTTAAACATTTTCCAGCTTTGATGACTTTTTAGGCATTATGAACGCCTGCTTTCAAGATCAAATTTATCTACCAGTTCAAATTTTCTAAAAAAGGCCTACAGGATATCACAGCCTTAAGCTGATCTTACAGAGGCCGCACGGCACCTCAAGTGTCAGTCCTGCATGGCAATAGGTTAGGAAAGTTGCATGGCAAATTTTTTGCTATGGATAATTTGTAGGCCCATAAATGCATTAAATGCCCCCCTCACTCGGCGCAGATCATGGTCCTTTCACAGCAGCTCCTCTGTTTGAGGCGGAATTTCCACTTACTACATTTCCATCGTCCACAGCCATATAGCTAATTTTTTTGTCAAAATTGCAATTCGTTTCTATAAATTTTGGTCAAAAATAAGTAATTATTTCACAGTGTCATCTCGATTTTTTTAAGTAAATATCAAAGCCTATTTACAAACCTTGCAAAACGATTCGCCGTTGAACTGAAACCTTTGTTCGCAGTTCAGTACAGAGGTAGTGAGAGAGGAAATGACTTTCCCCAACTGGATTGCGTTACAAATGTCACACGTTCTCTGACTTCCGAATCCTTGCTCACAAGGACTAGTGCAGTTCAGGAACGTTATCTAAAACCAGATTAATAGAATTTCGCTAAAGCAAAATCTTTTCAACATTGAAATCTCAATTTTCAACTGATGGATTTGCATCACTGTTGCTTCAAATCATCTGGTATTATGCGGTACCTAACATGATCTAATTTTAATCTACTTCGATTTGGCAGCTAAGACGAAAAGTGATATTGATTTTCTAGTGGCATCTTTTTATTGTGAGGAGTTACTGTAGTGTGTATATTAACAACATGCAACTGGCTATTGAGAGACTCTTTTTAGAGACACTCCCAAATTGATATTCAAGTTGGAAAACCTCGCATTATGAGTACTTTTGCCCAGATTGGTATCAACAGATGGAATAGGTTGCTATATCTAACATTATATTTCCTAACACCAAGAAACTAGCAAAATTCTTTGGCGCAGCATGAAATACTACTATTCGTCAGTTTGAAAAAGATCGGGTTGGCGAAGATCTGGCAGATTGTCTAAATCGGTTCCTGAGTTGTGACGAGGCCGACAAGTTGCTGCCGAAGCGGATGCAAAAATACAGTGAAACCTCCTTTAACGGACACCACAACCAGGGCCGTCGCGAGGCAAGCTTTGTAGGGAGGGGGGTGTAGACTAAAAATTCACCTGATTTAAAAAATGTTTGCCTGAAATTATTTATTTGCTGTCACATACCTCTGCAATACATTTTGTCAATCTAACTCTTTATATAGTAAGCAACTTTCTTTTTTATTGTATAAAAAGGGACTTTCCTATTAGTTTTGTCAAATCTCTATATCGGAACGGGTAAAGGATATAGTTAGGAGGAAATTTTCGAATTTTGATGCTTCTAGTTCCCTGGAAAATGCAATCATTTAAGCACATTTCACTAAAGCAATCTTTCTAATGCTATCGAAAATTTTTTTTGCAAACAAATTGAACAGCAGATAAAAACAACTGGTACAATTTGGTCTTGAAAAATACCATGTTGTCAGTTACTTCTAAAGCTAGGTAACAAAAAGCACTGGTAGTCAATTTAGATCCCGCTTTCCGTCTTAGCATGCCTTTTGAATGTTAGGGGAAATGCACACAAGACACAATTTTACCAAAAAAGGGCCTGGATTTTTAGATTTGGAGACAACAAGAAATGTTCAAATCTCCAAATTATTAGTTTGTTTACATTTATTCATATTCAACCAACGTAGCAACTCGCTTTGCTTGATCCTTTATTGATTTTATGACATGACGGTCTCTTAAATAACTAAAGCGTTTCTTCCACCGATCAGATTTTGCCTGAAATTTCCTATTGAGATACTATTAGGGGGTGTTTCACCCTCACACCCCCCGTTCGCGACGCCCCTGACCTCAACACATCGGACACCTCTCAACAGTGGATATGGAGGCTCCACTGTATATCATGAAGAGCGGCGGATACAAGTTTTTCATTGGCCCAGAATTTTCATCTTTGTTTTAAACAACCCTAGACCACTTTATTTAGCATTGGTAAGTAATTATAATACATAGTAAAATTGACGGCTCTCTACTTCTCTTCGAAAAGACATGCTTCCTTGAATAAAACTCTGGCAAGTGACGATTTTAAACTATTCGAAATATCAAGTATGATGATACTTACATTAACTGAACTTGCTAAACTAGATAAAGTGAAAAGATTCTTATGGAAATTCATCAACGACAGGACGCTCTTTTCAACTTCTCCTCCAGCGAACTTGTTTACAATAAATCGACAGTCAGATGCTTCGGAGCCTGCATCTTGTATTGCGTGAAATAAAGTCTTGAGGGCTGGCAGCCATTTTACCAAACATTCCAGGCTACCGGGATTCTGACAAACCTTAAATGACAAATTTTTTATTATGAGTCTCTATCTTGATATATTTTTCTTTATATACTCAAAATTGTGGTAGAGGTTTATCGATGTAAAATTTCCTTTCATCTTTACCGTTCCTATTGAAAAACTAAGATCATCATCATTATTATAACAGGAATTCCTCTAAGAAACAAATGACAAAAAGAATGTGTATGTATCTCTTCTACTACTGACATGAACCCAACGGGCAGTTATACTTGTGCTTTACATGATCTCCATAAAAACTTAGGCCCCGTCTACACGAATATGTTGCGAAAATTGCGTTGAAAACGGATAAAAGGTTTTTCGCCTACACGCACGTTTTCACATTATCCATTATTTACAAACTGAAAGTTTGTTCCCTTGGAATACTCCTGGCATTATTAACTTACGTTAAAATAAACTCTCGCTATTTCGAATTTGTTCCTATTTAGTAACTTATTGCAAACCAACTTAGAAATATATATGAACTACCAGTAGTACGATTTTGTCGCTACTTATTAATTTGCTTTGCTTGTCAGTTGAACCAAAATGCAATAAAAGAGATGAATGCTGTTTTTTTGGAACAGACATATGACCATACCTCTACCTCAATGCAGTGAGGGCATCCTAAAATGTACTTCAACTTGAAATAGACTGAATTTATAGAACCACGAGAAACGAATTTGCATCTTCCCTAGAAAAAATTGTAGATAGTTGAATCATAAAACTAGTTAAAATTCACCACCTCCAAAAAGGCATCCTGAAACTTTCAATAACATGAAAATTTTCCACGTTGATGTTTCATTTGTACTACAAGTTAGACACAGGAAAGCTATGGATGCTACTTTTTTCGCAACAGTTTACAATTCAGAATGTTGTAAGCTTATCAAACTCTGATGATATTTTTTCTCGATACTTGGCTTAGTCTGGCGCTAAATGAAGGTTGAAAATCAGCGGATTTTTCAAACAACTGCATCTAAAGATTTGGAGATTGTATTTATTCTCCTTGCCTCAGGCCCTTTATTCATTCTGTTTTTTAACCCAGTTTTTTAGCTTTGCTGGTAATGATCAAGCAGTAACGTAACAGGGTGACTCTTAATACCTTTTGATTTTAAGAATGAATGTTAAATCTTCATATGTAAATTGGATTTCTTTCGAAACTATTTTTAGTGGTATGAAGAAGCTATTAGCCTACTTTCTAAGAACATTCAGACCAATTGGGAGTGGATAACACCTCTTAAATACTGGCAGCAGTTAAGTCTGCATGTATAGCCAAGCACTGTTTTCTAGATTTGCTTCATATGTATGCTTAATTGAGTAGGTCGAATGGGTTCAATAAGCGGCCTTACGTGAGAAAATCGACAGTCAAGAGATTTTTGGATGACCAACTTGAGCATTCGGACAGAACCAAAGTAGTGCTCCGAAGCCAAGTACAGATCCTGCAGCCTGCACCCATGAGTGGTGTTTTGAAATACACCAGATGGTGTGTTTCCCTCCATATTTGCATTACTCTTTAAGCCATGAAACAGAAACGAGAAAATGGGATTTTCTTAATGCAAAGATACAAAATCACACAAAAAAGAGTGAAATTTGACTACTAATTACATTACAGAATAAACATTGTAAATACTCTAATCTTTATTACGACTATTTAATGCCGAAATAGAGCAGAAAAGCTTTCATTCCTTTAGTCGAAATTGTAGAGTTTATTGCATTTAAGTTGAAAATGAAATTTTACCTAAACCTGATCATCAACATACATATTGAAAGTTCCATATCTATCTACAACAGCACATTTTCCAGGCAATATAGATATATAAGTTTATGACATTTATTATTCTTAATATTATAGAGCTAAAGAATATTTTAATTTTGTACTTTTATATAGACATTGAGCCATGTGCGAGTACAACTGATGTACGAAAAACGTTGAATCGCATTGTTAAACCAACCTAAAAATGACAATTCAAGTATTGGAAGGCTAAGCACAAATTGAGTTATCAGAACCTTACTAATGGAAACATATGCCTTACCTCAGGGCAGGCTTTACAACCAAATAGGTACATAGCTGCATCATATGCCACCATTGTCTTTGAAGCATAAAACTTGTCAGCAAATGATTGACACTTTGGCTGTGCAAGAAAGAAAGTTGTTACAGAAGCATTCAATTGTTTTGTTCGAAAAAAAGATGCATAATTGAGTTATTCTCATTTTGTTTAGCTAAATTCTAGCTTCTTTGAATTCTAGCAACAGATGTCATTCGTATTGTCCTAAGAAGGCAAAAACGTTCGTTTTGAAGCCTATTTTCAATAATATTCGAAATTAGCTGTAAATGTTTCTATTTAAATTACGATTGCTGTCAAACTCAGATCTAAACCGAGATGATGTTATGGTATTGAAAGAAACATGCATTGTTTGTAAATTTGTAACAGTATATTATGCACATAGGTAGAGGCACATCAAAATAACCAAATTGCTTTCTTGCACTTCTATCGTGGATAATTTTGCAAAACTTTATCGCAAATTGGCATTAAAATAAAACTGAACGAGATTCATTAAGAAAACCTCTCCATTTCAATGCCAGTTAGGCAACTGAAAAATACGTTTTATTTGTCAATTTAGTAATAGATGATGCAAAGAGCTTTAGGCAGTGAGCAATTGACAAAGAATCTAGTAATTAAAAATGTGTCTTATATACTTTGTGCTCTAAGGTTGATTTCGACATTCCCAGTCGATCCGTGATTGCTAAGAGATTGCTGAAGACATTCATTTTCATCAGCATCACCTTGTCCATGAATGCATCATGTGAGATATTCTGCGGTGTAAGCTGTGGCTGGAAAATTGTCGAATAAAATGAAAAATCAAATCAATCGAATAATGTGGTTAAAACTTTTATTCATACACTAAAGGACGTGAGAACCGGGAAACAACCCAGGAAACTGTGCTCCTCTAATTATTCTGCAATAGAGGTAAAGTGCTAATTTTCAGCTCACCAAGGTAGCTTTCTTGCCAATGTATGCACCCCCCCCCCCCACAGTTTCAAAATACCTCCTGCGTCTATGTATCAAAGAGTGTAATTCTTGGCAGTATGAAAGCAACGAAAATCAACTCAAAGAGTGGAGTAGCCGTTAAAATGTATATGTAACGTCACTTACAGATGTGAATGTGCCAGCTTCTTCTAATGTGCAATTGAAAAGATTCCTTGCTGTATAAAGCAAGATGTTGACCCTTTCAATGATTGGGTAATGCTTTTGGGTTGGACAAGACACGTGTGCCTTTGGCGGCAAATCAGGGAAATCTTTGTCTTCATCCTGAAAATATTAGTAGCGCATACATGTGCAATGGAAAAAATCTCCGTTTTCATTTTATAAAATTAGAGAATGAAAGGTGTTCCCAAGAAGACTGAGGAAATATATGTCTTTATCCTTAAAGAATATGTTTTAAACGTGTATAGGCAGTAAAAAAAGTATTCTAACAGATGGAATCTTGTCGTGATCGGTCTCGTACGTAGCCTCACATGAACAATCCAGTTGCCAGATAATATCGCAAAGAGATAAAATCATCCTTCGATGCTGAAAATCATCTTTCTCCTATTTTGAATGACAGCAATTTTTAAACAGGAAACCTCTCTCCCCCCACTCCAACAGAAAATGATTGCAAGTTTCGCCTATAGTCCCTACCAATAAAGAATCACTTACATGACCGTTTATTTTCCCCTTCGTTCTGTCTGACTTGTCAATAAATTAATTATCCAGTTCTATAGTTTTTAAATAATTGTTTTAACCTTAGTCATAGATTTTCTAATGATTATATTTTAGGTGGCTTAGGTGCTGTTTTCGCAAATGAAAAGGCAATCTGCTATCACAAAAAAGGCATTCCTTGTAATAGCCTAGCAACTTGGATTTGGCTTTAATTAATAGAGTTCATGGATTTTAATCAAGGTGTTTCAACAAAATAAACATAGGCATTAGGACAGTGGCGGGCACTTTTGGGGGGCGAGAGGGGATGACTGCCCCCCCCCCAAAACTTTAGAGGACAATGATATTTTGTTCTATAACAATGGGAAATGTGACGTTATCTTATAAAAACAATAGGCTTACCCTTACCCCCCCCCATATTTGACCAAGTGTCCGCCCCTGCATTAAGAGAAGCCAACAGATTAAATCAATCGCTTTACCCTGGAATAACGTTTTCTAGAAATTATTGTTTCTCTTTCGCATTCATTCTTAACAAGGAAATTTACTACAAGTAGGATTTACTTACAGTTTGAAGAGAGGCGTTTCCGTGTGAATTATTCCCAAAAAAGATTGCTTTTCCTAGCATTGACAACAATTTCAATTTGCGAGGCTCTATTTTACCATCGTTTCCCCAAGTATTATTTGCCACCTACAACAGAAAGTTATTCACAATAACATTTTAGCTTTTTACCATTTTTATACTGCCGACAATCTTGAGCAAAAATAACATGACTGTATCTTTTCTATGGCTTCTAAGAACACTTTCTATTTTGATTTTTTAAGACCATTACGCAATGAAGTTTGTTTCAGATACATGAAGATGTAGGTCACTATGTGGCCTCAATTGTTGTTTTTTATTGCACCAAGGATGTTCAAGTGAAAAGCAGTCTCTTATGCGTTTTTATAGGTTCAATGGAACTTAAATAACTATTTTTTATCTTTATATAAATATGTTTACGCGAACAGGTTTAATTGTAAGATAACATACTGGAAATGGTTTTCTATATTCCACTTTGCTTTGACAGTGTTTTTAATTTTCTATGAAATGTTTTTGACAATGTCTACGAATGCTGTAATTATTTTCAGATCTGTTGTCAAACAAGGGCCCTGGGATCGAGTTTTGGGAAATGGCGCGAATGATGTCTCACGTCAGCTCGAGAAATTCCATTGGACCACGTAGAGAAGAAAAGTCCTGGATTATATTATTTTCTGAATGGATCCAGAAATTATCTTTGCAATCTGATACCTCTTTTAGCCGGGCTTTGAAACTTAGAATGAATCAAGAAAGCGGTGAACGTAAGTTTCTTTAGTATTCCCCTTTTTGCGTATTGTACTATTTTTTTAGCAAATAGAAAAGTAAAGTAAAGACAACCAGAAGGTGATTGCCCTCGATGAACTAATAGAAATGCAAAGTATGGAAGCTTTAAATGAAAGGAGATGCAACTTTTTGCTCAAGAATAGCATTTCAAAAATATCCGTTTTAAGTTTTTTTCTTAAAATGACGCGAATCTATCGACCTTGGTTATCTGCCAATTAAGATAATTTCAGAAATACCCGGAAATTAGACATTCGTTTAAAAATAAATGAAGTACATCCATCTATGTGAAATGTATGCTTCTTTCATCGCAATCGCTATAATCAGAAGGTGTAGTACCAGAATATTTTTTTCTGTTTGACAAACTAAAAAGCTATTTGGTCATAGATTAAAGTGCCAAACGAAAAGGTAAAAGTTGAAGCTTTCAATGTACTGAAGGTTTTGAAATTATTTCACGCTGCGAAACTGGCTAAGACATTCTTTTACAGGTCACTGACAGCCGTGTTTGTTTCTAAACTGCGTGTTTTTGTGTTTTTTGCGTTGTTTAGAAGATGTTTATGCCTGTTTGATTGCTATCATTATGTGGGGAAATGTCAAACAAGAATTTGCCAATGTACGGGTATTCTTGCACTGAGGATTGTCTGATTTTTGGAATGCATATTTTATTTAATAAATTATATCCATCAGTAAGATTTATAGAGTCATCCATGTGTCCGTAAAGAAGAGCGACTAGTGGGAATTTTATTATTTTATCAGAATTTTTCACAACCAGTCAAAATGACTACATTTTTGTTCAGAATTTTTCACAACCAGTCAAAATTACTACTTTTTTGTTCAGTATTTTTCACAGCGACAAAGAGCTTGGTGCCCTGATTGAGTATACCTAGATACAAATTAAAATTTTTCTATTTTGCGTAGACTCAGACATAAAAATTAGCACTGACAAAATCCTTCAGGCTCTTCAGATATACATTTCAAAAGATCAGGTAATTTGTTTTACAAAGTTTCTTGTAAAGGCTGCGATACTTCTTAGTTGTCTTGACGGCCTAAATTCCTGGCGTCGCCCTGATTGGGTATGTTTTTCGTATGTAAATATTAGCACGCACGAATAAAAAATCGAAAAGAAAATAAGTGATTTAACACTTGCAAACACCTTTAAACACATCCTTGCATGCCAATGCTTCATTGAATTTTTTTTATCCGCCGATCTGGCGCATGCAAGATTGTCGCTTTCGCAAGAGTCAAAACAAGGGGAAAATTAACGGCTTTGACAAAGTGCAGTATTTTAGCCAAAAATTGTATTCAAAATGTATCAAATTTGCTCTAGAGTATTTTTGTTTAAAGATATTTGACAATCTGAAATTTACAAGTTTGGTTTTGAGAATTAATGCGAAAAAACTACCGAAATGAAACAGCCGTTTTAATGTACCCAATCAGGGCGAACTTAGGCCAAGTCAGTCAGCTTTATTTCACTCCTCTCTGTGGCAAAACAAATTGAAAACTGAGCGATTTATGCAAAGATCCTTATTCCTCGTGCATGATATGTGCCTATAATTGCTAGGTTAGCAGCTATAATATGCTCTTCCCTTTAAAAATAATCATGAGAAAAAGAGTAGCGAAAATATCCTACGCAAAATGGCAGACACATACTTCTTCGTTTCAGATGAGTCATTTTCTTGTCCAATTATTCGTTCATCGATTTATCAATTGAACCCAAAATGTTTTCTTAACTTTGATAAATGGCGTATACACATGATTTCGCGCTTTTTTGGTCGCAGCTTAGCCGTCCCAATCTCTCAATTTTTTCGCAATAGTTGAAGCGATGTAAATGTCACGTTTCAAGGTACATACTCAATCAGTGCGACGCGACCCTATTTTCAGCATACAGATTTTGAAACATGTGAAACTCAAGATTTTCAAAAATAACTTGCAATTGACTATTTCCATTCATCGTGAAAAAACAAAACTTACGGTTAAATACTTTGAGCAGTTTGGGTTATTGCAATCCGTAGAATCGTCGCAACCTAGATATGCAATTGAACAAAATTTACACTTTCTGTGTAAGTGAAAAGCACAAGAAATTTGCTAACATAAGCTGATTTTAGTGATCTATTACGAAATCTATTTTCTCTGTCTTAAATGTATCCACATGTCCATATTTGTGGCCTTTTAGAGCACGGGTCCAAAGCGGGAGGGGGGAATGTGAAGGAATAGAAGATAGAAGATAGAAGTAAAGTGGAAGTGGAATTGAAAAGAGGGGTGTTCGGGCGGGACCTTAAAGCAAATTCGCAATTGACGGATTACCATGCAATGAGATAATCTGGTCAAAAAATGTTTCAGGCACGTATGTGGAAATTCATAGAGAAAAAGAGGGTTTGTCAAGCAAAGTTTAAAAAATATGGTAAAAACAACAATTAAAAACATCTTAACAAGCCAATCCTTGAATCAAATTGATGGGTGAGTCGGTTACCTGAAATTTCCTGCGGTGCTTTCTGTCGTCCGAATACAAATGCCACGATGCCTCTCATTCTATTTCTAATGCAAGGAGGCATAGAAAGATCTTGGACGATATTTTCCGCACCAAATTTTTCCATCAACCAAGAGTCTGTACCGTTAACCAAGCCAATGTCGATTGCCTCAATTAAGAAACTCGAGGTTTTCGCATCGCAAATTGCTTCTCTAAAGCACTCATGACACTGTTCTTGTTCATCTACAAAATATCGCAAAATAGCATTTTGAATTAATTAGTAATATTTTGAAAACTTAATGCGTGAAATGTTTAAAGAACCTGGGCGTAATCATCGCAACCAAAAATCAAAATAGGTAGGCCTATGTTTGTTTTTCAAAGTTCACAGTATCTCGTAGCGGAAAATTATTTGCTACAATGAGAATATTTTAACAACCAAAGTCATTTTTGTTCAGAGGAAAAGAACTGTAGGGGTGCTGGATTATATTATTACATTCTAAGCATTCTAGAAACTTTTGTAGGCCTATTTTAATAGTTTCGGTTCATGTTTCATTTCTTTCAGGTTGTAAAAGTAGAAGTTCAAATTGTATTTCTTCCTTGTTTCTGATATGTTTCTTTATAAATTTGTGATAGATTTATATTTCTTAAGACAAATTTTAGCCAAAAATGCCAAAAATTGTTAATGCAAAATAAAAGGCTAAGTCATAAAGGTAATTGGGGTATTTGCTCTTAGCTTTCTCTTCAAAGGATAGAAATGATAGACTTTAACTCTTCCTCTTGATATTGTTTGCTTTACTACTTCGGCAAGAAGGATAGGTAGTTAATTTTGACGCAGATTAATTAGAGGCAAAATCAGAAACCTTTTGAAATTGGAATTGCAAACTAGCTCGACCGGTACCTACAGGTTTTGCTAGATCTTTAGAAACGCTTCTAGATCTTACAGATCATGCTCGCCTTTCGCGCTACTGCACACCACAGCTTGTTCATCGTTTATCGTCTCATCTCTCTTCCTAAGAGCCAATGAGAGAACGTAGGCCGTGTTGCGTGTGGCCAAGTTCAATGTTATCCCGTGAATACTAGCAGTTATTTGACTGTGCTCTCAAGAAAAAAACCAACTGAAACATAAACAGTTATTGTTTAGGTAAGTCACGAACACTTCAAAGTATAACACTGACCTGCTATCATGCACCTAAAAAGAGGAAATTGAAGCAAAAATATCAGGATGTAAACCAGGGGCTTGTAATAAGCTAGGCTTATCTTCTTCATGTTTTCTTCCGCCGAATTGTAGAAGTCTCTTTCTCTCAGTCACTTTCACTTGAAAACGGCCCGTGACTTGATTTATATTCCCATAACTTTGTTGGTAAAAAATAAATATTTTTTAGCTATGGCTGTGAGTTCATTCGGAGCTGAACTTCAATAAAAAGTATTTGCGATAGCGTCATTTTCGAACGTGACATTCTTTCTTACGTGGTTCGAATATAATCTTCCATTTTGTTGAAATTCTGAAGTCTTCTCTTTCGGAGCATAGCGGACAAATCTCGATTGGTTGTTCGCGAGGTCCCCTTCTTGGGAATCCTCCAGGCAATACACCAATCACGTTGCGAGAATCAACTTCAGAAGGCCAAATTTCAGCATTTTAACCACTCCTCGTTTGAAAAACCCGGTGTAAAATTTGCTAGCATATTTTGGTTATTTGGAAATAAGATGCTTTTGCATTTGCCACTGGACTAGAATTTAATCAATGGCGACAGCACGTAGCTCTTCAACGGAAAGTGGCGGGACAATATCACGTGCTATCGCTTCTTTTTATACTGGTTGCCTTCTTTGACCTCGTGGTGTGGCCCTCATGGTACAAGTTTTTCCGAATTTCCCCATTTTATTTTAACCATGGAAACATTTGTTTACAAAATTTTTTTGAATTATGGCGTCATTTAAATTTCCCGCCATCCCATAGAGCACATGATATTGTCCCGCCACTTTCCGTTGAAGAGTTACGTGCTGTCGCCATTGATTAAATTCTAGATTAAATTCAAAAATTGGAATAATTTGTGTTTATATTGGCAAGAAAACAGAAATTTCAATAAAGAGGGCGGATAATGTCAAGGGAGTGGTAAATACAACTTGCACTGTAATTGAATAGCGATATTTCTTCAACCTAAAATGCTAAAATTTGGCCTTCTGAAGTTGATTCTCGCAACGTGATTGGTGTATTGCCTGGAGGATTCCCAAGAAGGGGACCTCGCGAACAACCAATCAAGATTTGTCCGCTATGCTCTCTTTCGGATAATTTACTGTTCAGCAGACTGTCTTTGTTTTGTTAAAGTACGTATTTTCTATACAGCCTTATCTGAAGCAAAATTGTCTTGAACTTTTTCTAATCTACATAGTGGGAGAAAAACTAAAGATGATTTACTTGATTAAATTGGCCTGTTATGTTCATCTGAACTTCTTATTTCTAGCAACTCATATGAATTTCTTGATTAGAGTTGCAATATATCGGATGACTTACTAAAACGAACATGCTAAAGTTATGAAACAGAAAGAAAATAAGGCATATGTTGTATTAGTTAAAAGAATACTTTTTCGTTCAAAGCCACTAGGCAGTTTGACACAAAAAAGGTTCATGTTCAATCCCCAACAGCGATGCTATTTTGGGGAACATCAACTGTGTCTCTAAATCAGGGGCGGATCCAGACTGTCTCACCGTTCGCACGTAAAACAGTCAGATTTTCAGATGTGTGCAAAAAACAACCATTTGTTTAGTGCAAAGTATCGTTACTGTAGTTGGCCTGGTCTCAGTGTCTCAGTCAGTATACGTAATCATATGAAAGTCAAGGATCCATAAAAATGATATCGGGGAAATCGCAGGGATCCAATGTAGTCAGATTCGGGGTATCCGTGAGACTGATGGTTTTTTTAAAGTTCGCACAGGCATCATCCCACCAATCAAATTGTGCGATTGTGCGGCATCGGTGAGACGTATGTTGTGTAAAGTTCATCTTGCTACCCACCACCCCGAAGGAGCCCAGTGCAAACCCGGCATTTTGCATTGGATGATGTGTGGAAAATTTGTGATGAAAATCGTGTTGTTTCTCCTGTAAACACCTTAAAATGGAGCTTTTGCAAAGAGTGGGAGAACTAATAAAGGCAGAGGAGTTCCGAGGGCCAGCTGACTTAAAACATACAGAACTAGCAAGACTTGAAAGGGTTGTCAACTTTGCACTGAACTGACAAGTTTGCAGCCTCTTTTCTTTCAAAGAAAGACGTAGTTGTGTAGCCTTCAGTCAATGAGAGGGTAGCTGCGGCGAGGTATTCAAGGCAAATTTATGTGGACAGCCTGCTTATTACAGTCGTTCTGAAATTGTTTACATATTACCCTTTGCTTTGGTTAAATTTCATCAACAAACGAAGCAACAACAACAGCAACAGATAATTTGGGTTGATGGCTGAAGGGGGTTTCTGAGAGACGTTATTTGATTTTAATTAAAAAGCTTGTAGCAATTTCTCATTTATGAATGCTTAGTTAGGTCCAAATAATTTGACTCTGGTACCAACACTCTCCCTGGTGGTTCTGCCTTCAGATTAATTTCCTGAAATGATATGATGAAACACCCAAAAGGAGGTGAATTATTCTCTTGCCATTGAGAGACAGTGTAAGAAATGACATTGTAGTGTTAACTTATGTAAACCATGTAGTAGAATGAATTTATGTGATCTTTCTTGTGATCTAAGCAAATATTTAAATTGTTCATATGCTTGTATTTTGAAATATCCTACTTAGGGCTGCAATTTATTCCCCTTTCTAATTTAAAAACGATCAGCACTTCTTTTGACCCATTTTCCTTTTCAAATGATCATGTATTTTTTGGACGTTTTCTTTATTTTGATATGTATTATGAAATGATATGTAGGTTTCTTCTGATACCTGACAAAAGTGGGCCCTCAGAGATACCATGGTCTACTTCTATTCATAAAAGCTTTTTGAGTCAATATAATTTTTGTGTTTAATCAACAAAAGAATTGGCAGCTAATGGTTGCCTTTCATGAACTATCATTTGCAATTCATGAAAGAGTTGCCTTTGGAGAGAAACTATTAAAATTTTCAAAAACAACTTTATGATTACTCAAAATGTACAAAAATAATTCCATCTAATTTATTTGTACTACAACCAATATTCTTGAGTGTCTTATTTGACTCCATTTCAACACAAATTTGATTAAAATTGGATTCCCAGCATTATATGTTTTTAGTATTCAACAGCAATACAATAAATATATGTTTTTAGTGTT